TAAGAAGGAAATACTCAGTATTTCCTCAAGTCTAGTTTAATATCCTTTTTCTGTGATTTCCTCTTTAATTTGTATAAATAGTTCTTATTTTTGTATTCTTAATTAAGTGACCTTTGAGAGATTAAACGTTAGTAATCTTAGATCAACGTGTGTCCTTCATTTGTAATAGATTCTAGGAATCTACATCAGTATTCTCGGAATACTCAGCTTACCAACTAGGTTGGTGAAAACCTTTAGTAATACTCGGTATTACCAGTGATCTAATTGAACTAGTGAATAGTCTAGGACTATTACTGTGATTAGAAGATTTGTGACTATTTGTTCAGTTGCTTAGCTTCAACCCTGTTGAAATAAATTGTGAACAACTCAACCCGGTTGAGCCATACTTCTGTTTCTAGCTTCTAGGAAGCTCAGAGTGTGTTAGAAGAACTTGGAACCGATAGTTACACAACATTGATTGAGAAGATCATTCCTCAAAATGTACAAATATTAATAAAACCGAATGAAATGTTTAACTTAAAGCCATTAATAAAAGTTATTATATTTAAAATACAATTTGTGCTCCTAATTGTTTGTCTAAAAGTCCCCATTTTTGATCGGTATTATCGTTGACTTTCAATTTAATTGAGCTTAAAAAATTAGTTGTGCTTGTAAGCAAAATAAAAGCTTGTTTGCAAAAATAAACATAGCAAACAAAGTTTGTCAGCCAAACTATCTAATATTAAGATCAGAGTTGTTGGTCTGCTCATTAAAGCATATAAATAGAATTAATTAATGTAATTTAAAACTTTCTATGACGGATAGTTTTCGTAAAAATTGCGTTTGAAGTTCAAACTTCGATCGCTTTCTGTACAACAACGGAAATAGATTTTTACATAATGATGCATTTATACGACGTAACTTTTTGTGGGCAACCAGAAAATAAACAAATTTTGGGAAATAAAACTTTATTTTTCTGTAAATTCGATAATTTCGATTTTTGGTTGGAGAGACTTTTTACAGCGATGAAAACAGTTAAAGATCTGAAACTTGTTATACTTGAACAAAAACCGTATGCAAATATCAAGGAACAAGTATTTTTCTTGCATCGCCAATAGTTCTCTTGATATTGTCGAATCAAATCGAAACTTCGACCATGAATATTTCGAGAATAAAAGCACTTACAAGCATTATTTTTCACTCAACTACTAGATTTCATCATGTGCTATGATATGACATGATATTATTTGAGACAGTTTTGTCCCAACAGCCTCTAACAACAAGTATCTTCAGCACACATCACAAAATTTTTCATCGATATCTTTATCTGACAACCTAATTTGTTTAATGCTGTAACTTCTCTTACATTATCGTGATTGGTCTGTTATTTTGTTCCAAATTAGCACATGATAAAATATAGCAGTTGCAGGAATCATAATGTTTGTAAGTGCTTCTCTTCTCGAAATATTTAGGCTCGAAGTTTCGATTTAAATCAGCAATATCAAGAGAACTATTTGCGATGCAAGAAAAAGACTTAATCCTCGCTATTTGTATCCTGTTTTTGTGCAAGCAAAACAAGTTTCAGTTCTTTAACTGTTTTCATCGCTGCAAAAAGTCACTTTAACCAAAATCGAAATTAACGAATTTACAGAAAAATAAAAGTTTAATCTCCCAAAATTAGTTTACTTTCTGGTTGACAACAACAAGTTACATCTTAAAAGTGTATTGTGATGGTGAAATCTATTCCCATTATTGTACAAAAAGCGATCGAAGTTTGAACTTTGAACGCGATTTTTTCGAAAAGTATTCATCATAGAAAGTTTTTAATTGCATAAATCAATTCGTTTTCAATGCTCGTACACATATTTATCCAATTATACCTCTTGACTTAATCAAATGAAGAATATCTCACAATTAATAAATCGTCCTTAAATGAAACACAGTTTACTTCATAAACCACAATAACCATCAAGTTTTCGCTTCTTTAACAGTGGTTTTTGCATCGCTCGCTCATCATGTCTAACGTAAGTAATATCATATGTACTCGAGTACGTAATTTCATCTTGTACACTCATATTTGTTATTTAACCAGATAAATCAATATAAAATTAGCAAAATAAATACAATCAAATAACGAGTGACAGTAAAACTTGAAATTAATAAAAAGCAGTTGTTTGGATTGTTGTCTGTGATACTTGGAAGTAGCTCACTCTAGCCGATATCAAGCAGACCAAATTATTGATTGATGAGACTCCATGCAATATAAAGTTTCATAAAAATAAGAGTCAGTCACAATTGTTAGCAAAATAACATTTAGCGAAAATGTTGATGAAAGTAATTTTACCGGTGAAACTGAACAAGATATAAAAATAACGCCTGTAGTCATTGAGAGGAATGGTGAAGAATAACATGAAGAATCATTAGTTAGATGGCGTTATGGAAGGGGAATTGTCATTAAGACTGGTGTTTGATCGGAGTTCGAACAATTTTTTAAACATTAACCCAATGAATTGTGAGGTAACACTAACTTCAGCATTAAAAATTGCCATTGATCTGCTACAATGTTGATAAAGAGTATACTAACTTTATGATGTGACCTGAAGTACATAAGATAGACCTAAATCAAAAACTCAAGCGCTTGGGTAATCATGTTAAAACATATTGACAGAGTAATGCAGAAAAGAATGTTAAAAAAGCAAAAACTTGATGGTTTATGAAGTAAACTGTGCTTTATTTTAGAATGGTTTATTAATTGTAAAATATTCTTCATTTGATTGTGCCAAGAAGTTTAAATTGTGTACATATGTGAACCTGCAACAAAATGCACTTGATTTTTGCAATTAAAAACTTTCTATGATTAGTAGTTTTGGAAAAAATTGCGTTCAAAGTTCAAACTTCGAGCGCTCTTTGTACAGTAATGCGAATAGATTTCACCATCACAGTACACTTTTAAGATGTAACTTTTTGTGGCCAACCAGAAAATAAACAAATTTTGGGAAATAAAACTTTATTTTTCTGTAAATTCGATAATTTCGATTTTTGGTTGGAGAGACTTTTTACAGCGATGAAAACAGTTAAAGATCTGAAACTTGTTTTGAGCTAACAAAAACAGTATGCAAATATCGAGGATAAAGTATTTTTCTTGCATCGGCAATAGTTCTCTTGATATTGCCGATTGAAATCTAAACTTCGAGCCCAAATATTTCGAGAATAGATGCACTTACAGGCATAATTTTTCCGTCAACTATTTCATTTCATGTAGTAATAGTATAAAACAAAATATGAGATCAATCAAAATAATGTAAGAAAAGTTACACTATTAAACAAATTAGGTTGTCAAATAAAGTTATCGATATCTTTATCTGACAACCTAATTTGTTTAATGCTGTAACTTCTCTTACATTATCGTGATTGGTCTGTTATTTTGTTCCAAATTAGCACATGATAAAATATAGCAGTTGCAGGAATCATAATGTTTGTAAGTGCTTCTCTTCTCGAAATATTTAGGCTCGAACTTTCGATTATAATCGGCAATATCAAGAGAACTATTGCCGATACAAGAATAGTATTTGCTCCTCAATATTTGCCTATTGTTTTTGTTCAAGCAAAACAAGTTTCAGTTCTTTAACTGTTTTCATCGCTGCAAAAAGTCACTTTAACCAAAATCGAAATTAACGAATTTACAGAAAAATAAAAGTTTAATCTCCCAAAATTAGTTTACTTTCTGGTTGACAACAACAAGTTACATCTTAAAAGTGTATTGTGATGGTGAAATCTATTCCCATTATTGTACAAAAAGCGATCGAAGTTTGAACTTTGAACGCGATTTTTTCGAAAAGTATTCATCATAGAAAGTTTTTAATTGCATAAATCAATTCGTTTTCAATGCTCGTACACATATTTATCCAATTATACCTCTTGACTTAATCAAATGAAGAATATCTCACAATTAATAAATCGTCCTTAAATGAAACACAGTTTACTTCATAAACCACAATAACCATCAAGTTTTCGCTTCTTTAACAGTGGTTTTTGCATCGCTCGCTCATCATGTCTAACGTAAGTAATATCATATGTACTCGAGTACGTAATTTCATCTTGTACACTTCAGGGCATCATAAAGTTGGAGTATCTTTCGAACCTTATACTTTTTTCATCAACATTAAAGTTATTGGTTATTTTTAATTGCTGAAGATTTTTTTACCTCACGATTCATTAGGTTAATGTTTGCAAATTGAACACAAGCCATTTTATCATTTCTGCATAGAGACCGTTGTTAGGATTAACTATTAATATAATTGCGAAGGACCAAAGTTAATCTAATAATTGTCCATTTATTAGTTGTTGAGTAAATATTTAATTTACCCAAATCAATATTGGAATCCATCAATCACTCAATTAGGAATAAAACACTCTAATTGAGAGAAATTCGTTAGGCTTCAACGGTCTGCTTTATCTGAGCCGACTTCTAGGCCAAATCGAAATCAAACTTTCTAGTTTTTAATGTTTAAACTTGTAAATTGTTTACTTGTAAGAAATCATTGATTCAAATGAATCATTTTAATAAGCAATTGGATTATTAAAGTTTCTATCGCATCTCTCTTTAGTTTTTTGATTATGCCATTATTTAAATTGCGATATTGAGCATACTTTGAACACCTTGACGCTGTCAACCCACGACAGTCTCGTTCAATCCAACCTTTCTAACCCATTAATTTTCTTGTGAATATTTGAATGACAGTTTGCAATTGACTAATTGTGTCTGTGTGTTGCTAATTGTTTTTCACTGACTAACTTCTCAGACTATCAAAAATGCATTTTCAACGTTTACAATGCTTTATAATTAAAGGCAAAGTAAACATCTAAAATACACATTCAAGCTATTTAGCATTACAACAATTAAAGAAATATTTGTTTATGTCAAATGGACCAGACATATTGGATATAAATTTCATATAATTTTAATAGTTTTAAAATTTATTGGCAAATTGTAATATCAAGTCAATTTTCATTAAGGTTTCACAGTGATCATTACAAAAAATTAATAACTTCATAAACGGTTTGCAAGTTGTGGTTTAAAACAATGGAACCAACGAATCTTTCAGTCGGTGTTTTTACAGTAAGTAAGGATTGATCTTCACAAACGTATTGAATAAAACACTGATTTATTTGCTTTAGTTGCCGTTTTCTGACGGATTTATCGAGGAAGATGGTCAAATTGTTCCTGGTCTTAAGTCTCTGAAAGAGATTGCATCTCTAACGGCTGATTATGGTCCTTTCAAGTAACTCTTCAGTCAAGTTTATCATTTAACATTTTTAACCATTTTTTAGTTTGAAATTTCATTTACCAGAAACTGGTCAATTGGGTGTGCTTACAGAAACTGGTTATCATGATGGTGTTTTGGGTTTGATGCAAGAAGGGGTAAGTTCATAACAATTACATTTTTTTAATTGTTATTTCATTACTTTGAGCAATTAAGTAAACGCTCGTAAATATTAATCAATATTGCTTGTTCTTGACTTTTACTCAACCAGAAAATTGATGTGTGCTTCATACCATTATCATTGAGCATACAGAGACCTCCAGGTCGATTCTCGCAGGTTATATCCGAAGAGGATTACCTTATCAGTAGCATACGGAATACAATTGACGATACTTCAGCTGTTGTTTCGAGTTTAATCTCAATCTATTCAATCCCCGTCCTGGTTGCTATATTAGCCATATTCATATTGGAATTGGCTGCTGTTAAATATTTCAATATAAAGTCTTTATTCACAGTTATTTATAAAACGTTTGTTATCTCATTTAACCAGCATTTAACTAATCGTTCATCATTGCTTTGTTTCACCCAAATGATTATCTTGATGATTCCTTTATACATTTTTGGTGCTGCTTTCAATACCCAAACCATTGTTGGGAATAACGATGTTAAAATTGAAACTCTGAGAGATATTGTTGATTACGATAAATCGCCATTCTTTATCGAGGGATTGTCAATGTACGACTTATTTGCAGCCAAAGTAACCAGAGACTATGGAGATGTTTTTGAAAAGGCCAAAGCTGAAGGACTTGACCAGCCATTTGAATTAGGACCAATACCCTTCATGAAAGAAGAGAAGGATAAAATGTGTACTTTCCTTTCTGGTAAAAGTAAAAAACTTGCTCAGATTGCTATCTCTTCAAATGGATTTCTGGAAGCTAATCAGGAGTTATATTTCTCAGAACGGCCTTTTCATAAATCTTTACAAGCTATTCTTGTCGACTTCAATTTTTTTGAAAACTCCAACTTCGCTAAGCTCAATAAAGTGTAAGTTTAATCTGTGTTTCATATTTGAATATACAATCTGACTATAATATCTGACTTTGCATTTGAACTCTACAGAATCATAAGGTCCTTTGAGAGTGGAATCACCGAAAAAAACCTAAACGAAGCTTACATTGATTTCTTGCTGAACTTTTATTACCTGACCAAGTTTGATTTTTACAAGAATCGTAAATCAAATGATCTGAGTTGGAAATCATTGAATTGGAATGGATTCAATCAAATATGCTACATATTCATTGGATCTCTAATCTTTGTGACAGTTATTCAACTTATTGAAATAATTATAGTCAAACTTATCCCTGTGCTTATCAAATAATTATCTTATTTTTATTTAAATTATTCAAAGTTACAGACAAGAATTATTTTAATCATCAAGCATTGAGTTAAACAATTATATAATTTGTGAAAGTTTTACTTTTAATGCATTACAATTTAGTTTGTAGCAATTTCTCAATTAATCAGCTTGATGATATACAAATATTGATGCTATTGTGATAGTTATTATACATTTATCTATAATAATGGTCAATGATAACGAGAGATAGATGCTTAATAAATATAAATAGCAATTGTAACTTCTGTTTCAGCTAATTGTTAATCAATAAAATTTGCACCAAATGTATCGATTTTAATCTATTTCACATCTACAATCATTGAACCGCTCATTTTATTGCTAAAAATTCATCTTTTGATATTTTTAAGTGCTTCGAAATATTTCAATCGCACTTTTGCTTATCAGGGATTTATCAGGAATTACAGGGATGTACTTGTCAGTTTATACAGTCAATATTCCCATTATGCTACATTATCATAATTACGGAGTCAACAGATTTATTATTTATCATATTTATCATTGTAAGATTTAATTAGAATTCATAAAATCAAAAATATTGTTAGCCAGATATTGATAAAACACCTAAAAGGAATATTTTATTGAGAAAATCAAGAAATTGTTTCATGTTTAAAATAAATGCGCCTAAACCATCTCCATAGTGATTGTTTAAAGAGCAACATTGTTGCTGCGACAAGATACAATGGGTTGGTTCAACCAACGCATATGATCGAGCTAATTTACAGCATTTTAATTTGTTTTTATTAATAAGTCAGTTTTTTTGGTCTAATTTAACTCATAAGCGGAACAATGTCTACTGTAATAGGATCCAAAGAGGAGACTGATGTTTCGCCAAACCAAGATACCAATGAAACTCGGTCTGTGTTAACTTCAAGTGATAGTGGATATATTTCCAATAAAAATTATCTCAAAATTGTCAAAGCTATCTACCCATTCAAAGGTGCCAATAATGACGAATTATGCTTCCAAAAGGACGATTTAATTATTTTAACACAAACACCTGAAGGTGGTTGGTATGAAGGAACTCACTTAGCCAAAAGGATCACCGGTTGGTTTCCTGCTGGTTATGTTACACCTCTTCATCCAGACCATGCACATTCTCTTCTTGATCAACAATTTATTGATACTTTTAATAAAGATCACAATCTTCAATCTAATCGAACCTCTGTAAGTCAAATGATGTTTAACTCTTTTGATTTATCATTTGCTCGCCAATATTTAACAAATAACTGTCTCTTTTTTATTAGGTTTTTAGTGATTTGATCGAGACGGAAAAAAATTATGTCGCCGAACTACAAAATGTCCTGCAAACATACCTTTTGCCTTTACAAAAGTCACAAATGTAAGTTAAAATGTAACTGATTATTTTATCATTATCCTTAACTATTTATTTTTGTTTTTAATTATAGCTTATCCAAAGAGGAAACTGAGTTGACTGTTGAATGCTATAAAACAGTTATTGAGACTCATAGTAAATTTTGTGAGGCTCTTGAAGCGGTCCGAGAGGAAAATAAAGACTTGAGGATTGGTGGGTGCTTTATGAGCCATGCAACAGCCATCAAAGAAGTTCACTTCAACTATTGCTCAATCCATCCTAAATTCGTGCATCTTATTGAATTACAAACAGAAAAAGTTTGTAACTTACTGAAAGAAACTTTGGGCAATCAACCAAATACTACTAATTATTTAATTCTAATCACCAGCGGATTAAGTTTAACATTCAGACACCTTGACAAATATCCATCCTATCTACAAGAATTGCAAAGATACACTAATGATGCTCATCCTGATCGTGGGGATATACAAAGAGCTAGTTTCATATTCAGAGAGCTAGTCACATCTTGTTTGCAACTTCGTCGCCAAAAAGAAATGGAATTGGAAGTAATGTTAGGCAACGTTCGTAATTGGCCAACATCCACTGATCCTATTGAAAGTTTAGGTTCTGTCTGTCATATGGGTCCAGTAACTGTACTACAGTCACCTCAATCTTCAGAGACAGTTAAAAAAGATCGATACCTTGTATTGTTTCCTGCCTGTTTGGTGATTCTCTCAGTTAGTGATGAAATGACTTCTTTTGTTTATGAGGATAAGTTATTGCTAATGAATGTAACTTTACCTCGTTTACCTGATATTCAAAGCACTAAAACTACATTTCATTTGCTGGTTGCCGATCCTAATTCTGAGGATACCGGTAAATATGTATTGTCCTGCGTTAATCCTGAAGATATTAGAAAGTGGATCAGTATGATGCATAAATGTAAAAGTAAACTTGAAAGCAAAGGCTTAGAAACACCGTTGAAAGAAATTCGAGCTAGTCCAATCCATCATGCTATTGCATCTGAAAGTCCAATGACTCCTGTTCATATGGAAAACAATCGAAGCAAGTATTGGGCTTGGAAAAGTCTTTTACCTCACCCACCTATACGTATTTCGGGTTCTAGCAGTGATTTCGATGGTTCAAGTACTTTGAGTCGAGATGCGTTAAGCAAAATAAATTTGGAAGGAGATGTTAGTCAAGCCAATGATATGGCAATTCTCCAAGTCATCGAAGCTTACTGTCAAAGTAATCGAGCAAAAATGGCCAATGCAACTCCACTTCAACCGATCCGAGATATTGATAAGCATATTTTTGGTAAAATGGGTGATCAGTCTATTGCCGAAGATAAACAATCGATAAATTTGTCAACCATCGTGGATGACGTTAAAGGTCTGAAACTCCAATTAGAATCTCTGAATAGTTGGTTCAAAAAAGAACGCCAGTCAAGAAAAAGATTAGCTGCCAAAGTAGATTCTCTCGCATCTATGATTTACAAGTAATTTAAAGTTTTCATCGAAACAATTTTTTTAAATTAATCTAATCAACTTCAGACTATTTTGAACACGAATTTGTGACTAGAATGGTTTCATTCAAAAGGAGACAAGATGAAGAGTTAATGGTAAAATTTATAATAAATTATTAATTCGATCATAATCTGTTAATTGAGTTGACGCTTCAGAAAGCATGAATATATTCTTTCTACATCGAATCAATTGAACACTATTTGTTCTAATTTGAATCGCTCAAAATAACCTAAATCGATATTTTCAAATATAAACCTTCTACGAATTTTGAATTTAAGATAATATTGTAAATTAATATTTTAACAGAAAAATTGTGTTCAGCTAACACCATGACAAGTTTTTTTCAATAATTGTAACAATTCTTAATTTAGATAGATTTTTTTCTTACTCATAAATAATTTATAAGCATTTTTTACTGTTAAAAATCAATAAGATCACTATCATTGCAATTATAAATGTAAAATAACAAATTTCTTATAATAAAAAGATAAACATAAAGAAATAAAATATGGTTCTGCGTTTCACAAGCGTTTGATTTAAGTCACAAGAACTAATTGTGAATTGAGTTTTTAAATAAATTTTTGTACCAACATTAATCTCATTTCTGATTCATTTTTTTCCATTTTAAAGAGCCATTGGATATCGAAATTTGTGTTCTTTACGGCGTCTTTTCCTAATAGAAAGTATAAAACAGAATGTCAACAGCATACAAGAAGTAATAACATACAAAAGTAAGCATAAACTAATATCCATTCTGTTGAGAATAACATTTGGCCAGGTCCAGAGATTGCCAACATGTTGAAAATCATGATCATATGATTCAAAGGCAGGATTAGAATTAATAAAATCACTTTTAGATGGTTTTAGATGGGATTTAAGTCCTATCAGATTATCACTTTGATAGCGAGTTAGAAGAAAATTAAATGTTTGAGTCTCATTGAAACGAAGTCCATCAGAAGTCCAACAAGTATTACAAACAGATGTTGGTGGATACTGTGTTTTTGGATGAACTGGATCTTCCGTTAAATCTTTTGCTAAGCGTCTATTAACAATATTATGAGCTCTCCACAACCAGAGAATTGAACCGTTTGGATTAATTAAACTAGATTCCATATTAGAAGACATTTCTCTAAAATGTTTGGCACATTCAGCACAAGAGAAAAAGTTGGTTATGTAATCTCGCATGGTGTATAAAACTCTGTGATCATTTGGTTCACCGTTTGTCTTGATATATTCGTTAACAGTCAACGTGTGAAATAATAACCACAATGAACAAGGGTAGCCACGAAAACCTGGCTCACTGCCTTGACATGTAATCCAATTTTGCGGCTTCGGAAATGGATTATGTTGGTTTAATTTATCCAGAACAGAGGTGAAATCATCCATTTCCAATCCATGGACTTGGGTGGATAACCATTTTGATAAAGATGTTATAAAAATTTTGGGTGAATCTGAATCGAATGGAAAATAATCATCCAAAATTGAGATAAAGCTTTTCAAAATTTGCAATTTGTGCGAATCTAAACTTTTGTGTAAAGGTATTTGCTTGTATAACGTCTCGCGGATGGATAGATACAGATCCGACAGGTGAATGTTATCTGTAGGCTTTAATTTAGGCGCAACAAGTTGATTTTTCAGTCTCTCTTGAAAGGCTTTAGAAGATGATGATGACGATTCTATTTCCTTGTAAGTTAAATTGTATTCAGACATTATTGTTTCGACTGTAACCTTACGATGATCGGGACCAAGTTCATCGGGTCTAGAAACAAAAAAATGTTATTAGCCACTATAAAGAAAATTTGAAAATAAAAGTACACTAAACGTGCATAATTTACGATAATTGTGACAGTTAAATTAATTCTAATTCTAAATCTAAAACGCTTAAAATATAATTGTTTACACTTTATGCATCAATGATTAATTCGAGAATCTAAATAATCTGATCTTTAACTAAACATCATACAATTAAACACTGATAAAATCTTTTCAACGTATAATATTTTCAGAGTAACAAATATGCTATAAATATTTCTTCCTGTAATTCACCTTTTAAATATCACAGGTTTTCCATCTTTCGAGATCTTTAATATCACCGGAAGAAGGAGAGGAGATTCGTTGAGTTGATTTAACCAAGAATGTCCCGTTTTGATTCTTCTCACAATAACACTATCCAAAAATGGTGACAAATCCAAAATGACCTGAAAAGACAAAAGTGATATTCAAAATATAATTAGTCTGAAGATTAACATGAAATCGGAGTCTTCTAATTTTCAAGTTACTTCTCTTCCTAAATGTGATTTTTCCCCTTCAACCAATATTAAAATATCTCTATCCAATGCTGCCTTGGTTATATTTGTCAACTCTTCAGGATTTCCAGGATCAAAATAATTAAGATTAGGCCAATTTTGTGGAACACCATGAGACCATGATCCATGCAACCAGTTCAAATAATCATGTCTCAAAGATTCTACGTTCCCAATGTTTGTAGTTAAGGGTTGGCCGTTAATTTTGAAGTCATAATTGTGCCAAAAATAGCGAACACTGGGAAATAAATTGATATTATAGTCACTGCAAAGTTTAACATTTGAATCTTCTGCACAATCGATAGCAGCAACTCGGACCACGGATGACCAATGACGAATGTCTTTTGCAAATGCTTTCCAGGTCGGAGCAAAACGGACACAATGGCCACACCAAGAATTATAAAATTCGACTATAAAAGTATTGTTTTGATGAAAAATAATCTGTGAAAAATTTGAGCTTCCTAAAATGATAAGCCCAGGTTCATTTCCATTGTACAAGATAGGAATGCCATTAATCAGCGTCAACAAGGTGGTAATGATGAATGAACAGATGAGTTGATGAATGAAAACAGGCTTCATATTTGATTAATGTGACTTGGAAAAATATTTAAATATGAGGAAACAAGTTGTTTTTTCATCGGATAGATCAAATTTGTAATCCAATAGCGACAATAATAAATCCACATAATCACTTAATCACGGGTAAGGGAAGTAAAGAAGAAAATAAAAATAAAAATTAGTATAAAGTCAAAAAATACAAGCATATTGGATTAAATTATAATGATGAGTAGCATATTTTGAATAAAATAGTCCACTATAAATGTATTGAGTACTTACATTACATTTTATTTCCACTTGTAACCATTTAAAATCCTTAATTTGGAAAATACTGATATCAAATAGAAGAATTGTATTTTTCTTTTCATTGAGTAGCATCTAATGACCAAATTTTAAACATGATCAAGTAATTAAGAAACACATTAAAGGCTTAAAAAATAGAAAATTAAAATTTAAGAAGAACCATACTTGTAGCAGTTTTTTGGAAAACAGCTGAAGTCTCTATCTTATCCTTTCAAACCAGAAGCGCAACCATGGTTTTGCTCTACATTACAATTTTCAATCCATAATCTTGTTGAACATAATTGTGAACAATTCCAAATAGATTGTGATCAATTTTTGACAATTTTATATCAGGTTAACAAGATATAATTATTGTTTCTTTAAACAAACCGTCAACAATCAGTACTGCTGATTTAGTAGTTATTATTAGTTTTAAAAAAATAATCATACAACTCATAAAAATGTACTACTGACAGGTAACTGGCTTTAGTTGGTGTAAACATCGCTACTTTTTTTGAGTAGCAAAACCAAATTTTGATTGTCAAAAGAAGGTGCCTTGACCACGATCTTTAAAATTAACTTTTCGATTCAGTTTTTTGGTCAAATTGCTCAATCGCCCTGTCTTTCACGGCTTAACCAAATCAGATCTTCATAAAATTATACTCACATCATTTGTCAATGTTATCTCCTATTGAAGATAATCAGTCTAGTAAAATTCATAATCAACTACCCTTAAAGTTTGTAATATTCAATTTCAATAGATATATCTAAAATGTTGAATTAACTGTTGAATTGTCTTATCAAACAGATGTGCCTGATTAACCTTTGTAATCTTGCAATTTAATAAAGTCCCCTTCTATTGACTTGAGATTTACATTGAGATTGTAGGTCGACAAAGTTATCTCATTCTTATTTTGTTAAATTAATGTAATATTTTTAGATCTTGTTAGTGTTATAAGTAGTAGATTATTTGTATTTTTTCATTAATTTTTTGACCAAACACCGTTTCGTGATTTAGGATTGTTATCAATTCTAAAGCTGGCTATTAACTTGGACAATATGGACAACCATTAATCAGGCCAAAGGTATGTTTCTTGCTTGTTTTGATCAAACAGCTGTTTTGCTAAATTGATTTTTCATCTTTTTTTGTATTGATTATTGGAGTGTACGAAGATGAAGAAGGGAAACCTCCGATATTCAAGAGACATAAGATAAACTTCGCGTAAGATTCTATTTCTTTGTTTTCAATTCGTTGCATATTTTTTAATTTTATGTATTCATTCATTATAGACCTGAAGATGTCATCACACATTTAGCTGTCAGTAATAACCAGATGATTTTGGCGATGAGAAACAAGAAGCTACTCAGAATTGATTTAATGAATCCAGATCAGCCCATAGGTATTTTCATAAACCCACTTATTGTATATCAATATCATATTTCTCCTATTATATTTTATCTCATCAGAAATCGAATTGGCTCAATTTCTTGGGGATAAATCTCAAATGGCTAAACTGCATCAGCTCAACTATACGCTCAGAGTGGTAAGAGTTTTGACGAAGTTGCATTGAAATTTATGCAACTTAAAGATCAAGAAGTTCTTAAAAAATTTCTCAAATGTAAACTTAATGTTTTGCCATCAAGCAATCAATCGCTGTTTCTGACAATTTTATTATCGATGACTTTTGAACACGAAATTAATTAGTCTCTTTGTTAGTGTGGTTGACTAGGCATTGCTAATCATAGATCGCTCTTTTTACCGCTTTTTGTGCTCTTAAAGAGATCAAAACGTGTCGCATTGAGTCAGTGTTTGACTTAAATATCCCACCAAGTTTACTAGTTACTTGGTAACCAAACGCCTAGTCTCTGCCGGAGGCTAACTTTTTACCCGAATAAAACAATCTTTGGAGGGACCTTTTGTTTTTAATTTGTTTTTGTCTTCAATTTGTTATGTTCTTAAAGTAAGAAAATTAATTATTTTTATAATACTTTTAGCTTTCCATTCAATTAAAATCATGAACAGAGATAAGAATGCTCAGGTAAGAATCATTTTTTTAAATTTGTATCTTCAACTCTAAACTCATTTTTATGTTCTCGCCGGTTATAGACTCAACTTTCTCAAAATCTTAAATGATGTTGTTGCATGTTGATGTATATGATTTAATTTGGTTAAATTCTGATAAGTACTTTCTTTCGCTGAAAGATTGTTTAGAGAATTGCAAAAATTGTGCCCAATATTTGTCAAAATCTAAAACGTTTGTAACTTCTATCTCTTGACTGTTCTAACTTTTTTCTTTTGAACTTTTTCCAACAGTTTGAAGACTCTAATGCAAATAATGATGCGCTCCGGGACTGTTCTGGTGATGAAGGTTCAGCAATAGAGGATGATGCTCCAGAAAGTTTTCGAGTTCCCCTTAGATCAGAGCCACCCTTGGAGACATTCCCAGATTTACTGAGAGTACCAACGAGTACAACAAATAATTCAGTAACTGAAGATGATACACCTGAAAGTTTAGTTTCTGCTCCTGTTCAGCCATTCAGGCCAACTGTTTCAATTTCAAAGTCTGTCTACGTAAGTTAATTTTGGTTGTTTGCTCTTTTTGGTTCACTTTAAAAAAATTTAATTCATTTCTGTTTTCTTTTTAGAGACCATTCACTTCCAATCTTCTGAATCCGTCATTATCTAATAATGTTCAAACAAGTGAAGGCGCTTCTAATTTTAACAGGGCCTTCATTGGCCCTGATATATCTCAGGTTGAACCAGCCAATTCAACCATTCAAATATCTAGAATACCTCAAACTTCTAGCTCATCTAGAGGCTCATCTACACCAGCTCCACTAATGTTTCATCCAAGACCACTTCCACCTTTACCAGTTGGCTCAAATCTCGATGACTCAAGTCTACCTCCTAGACATCAACCTGGATCTAGTATTACAAACGAAGTCACGAATCGGATAGCTAATCATCCACATCGTAGTCCAATCAACTGTCTGAATCTTTCCTCTGCTCTATATTCAACTCTTGACTCTAATCCTTCATCATCTTCATCATCTTTATCATCTGCTCTGGCCCCTATAAATGATGCAATAGCTCGTGTTCAATCTTCCATCGACGCATTAAGTCGGGATGTGAATGAAAGATTTGCTGCTTTAGAGAATCGACTTGACTCATTAACTTCGCTATCAAATCTAGGTGCCAGTTTTAACATAAATTCCTCAGATTATACTAATGGCTCTGGGGAAATCGGATCAGATTCACTGAAAAAAATCATCAAAGAACAGAGACAGGTTTGTTTTCCCTCGTTTACCTTAGCTAACTTTTCTCAAGATCTAATTCCTTATTTTTCTATTATCCAAAAGGAGTTACAAAACGAACGTCAAGAATTTCTACTATCATTTGCTAATGCTTTGAAATTCGCTGCTGAATCGTCGACCCAAGGGGAAGCGTCTGTCTCTAAGACCAATGGTACTGGACATTGACAAAATTTCTTCAATAATTCAAAGAATCAACAAGATTTTTTACAAGAAAAATTCATCCAACGAATCGCCTTTCTTTAATTAAACCGAATTTAATTTTAATTTCCGAGACTATTGCCGTTCAATCTACCATTCTGACTATAAGTCAGCCATTTCCACTACAATCTCCAGGATTATTGATCAGAGAACCAGCATATTTTAAAACTACTTTCAATAATCACCCTAAATCAAAAAAGTACAAATGATGCTAATAAATGTTTAAATAATCAACAACACTACAGTCTCAAGATAAAATTTGTTTGTGAAAAATTTGAGCTTCATAGAATGATAAGCCCAGGTTGATTTCCAGTGTATTATTTTTAGTTTTAAAAAATCATAAAATAATCATACAACTCATACAAATGTACTACTGACAGGTAACTGGCTTTAGTTGGTGTAAACATCGCTACTTTTTTTCAGTACCAAAACCAAATTTTGATTGTCAAAAGAAGGTGCCTTGACCACGATCTTTAAAATTAACTTTTCGATTCAGTTTTTTGGTCAAATTGCTCAATTGCCCTGTTTTTCACGGCTTAACCGATCAGATCTTCATAAAATTATACTCACCTCATCTGTCAAAGTTATCTCCTATTGAAGATAATCAGTCTAGTAAAATTTCAAATAGCTTCCCTTAAGATTTTATAATAATATACAGTTTCAATAGATTTATCTAAAATGTTGAATTGTCTTATCAAACAGATGTGCCTGATTAACCTTTGTAATTTTGCAATTTAATAAAGCTCCCTTCCATTGACTTGAGATTTAGGTCGACAAAGTTATCTCATTCTTATTTTGCTAAATTAATGTAATATTTTTAGATCTTAGTGTTTTTAGTTGTACATAATTTATATATTTTCTTAAGTTTTTCGACCAAACACTGTTCCGTGATTCAGACTTGATATCAGTTCTAAAGCTGGCTATCAACTTAGCTTTCAAATGTAATCACCATTCCAGGTTATTGTTATTGCCTTATCCTCCGGGTCTTTTTCAATGTGTTAGCAAACTGTTAATTATTATTTGATTGCTTATCTCTCATTTTGAAATTATGTTGTTGTTTGATCAATATGATGAAGAATCATCTTCTTCATTCACTAGACAATATGGACAACCATCAATCAGGCCAAAGGTATGTTTCTTGCTTGTTTTGATCAAACAGCTGTTTTGCTAAATTGATTTTTCATCTTTTTTTGTATAGATTATTGGAGTGTACGAAGATGAAGAAGGGAAACCTCCGATATTCAAGAGACATAAGATAAACTTCGCGTAAGATTCTATTTGTTTTCAATTCGTTGCATATTTTTAAATTTATGTATTCATTCATTATAGACCTGAAGATGTCATCACACATTTAGCTGTCAGTAACAACCAGATGATTTTGGCGATGAGAAACAAGAAGCTACTCAGAATTGATTTAATGAATCCAGATCAGCCCATAGGTATTTTCATAAACCCACTTATTGTATATCAATATCATATTTCATCTATTATATTTTATTTCATCAGAAATCGAATTGGCTCAATTTCTTGGGGATAAATCTCAAATGGCTAAACTGCATCAAGTCTATTTGTCGCCTAGTGGGAAACATTCTCTGCTCAGTTTTGCTGCAGATTTGAAAAATTTAGTTCCATTTGATAATCTTTATTTATCAAAGAAGATTCATCAAGCAAGTAAATTAAAAGGATATTTAATCACAGCAATAGGATGGAATTTTGCCCACGAAAAGGACAGTACCACTAGCAATATTCTCATTGGAACCAGTAAAGGTTTAGTGTTTGAAACTGAACTTGCCCCAGATGAGACAAAATGGTTGATGAACACCAGTCTGGAGAGATATTTTAATCAAGTTTTTGACGCCGGCACTGAGTCTGGTCCTATCACTGGTATACAATTCCATCGCATTTCTGGTAGCGATTCAACATGCTTAATTCTTATTACAACTGCCAAGTAAGTTATCAATCTTCAATGTTTTTGCAGCAATAAACATGAACAAAGTAATAATAATAATTCTTTTTTAGTCGTTTATATCAATTTATTGGAAAAACTGGCTCTAATTCTGATGGACCTAACTTAGTCAATATATTTAGCACAAGTGCCGGCCAATGTCGAGATATGCCTGGAAATCTAGGTTTTAGTAAACTAGATTTTTATTTCAACTCCGCTTTGACCCCTGAAACTTTTGGATGGCTTACGGGTAATTAAAAACTGCTTGCGAAAATCTGTAAATAATTTATTACATAAAAATTACTCATGAGTTTTCTTTTTTCTATCCAGAGCCTGGAATTACATATGGAAAAATTTCCTACGAACCTCCGATGTCTTTAAACACAGTATTTAAAGATTCCTTTGTTTTGCCTTACGCTGACGATAATCACCATCCAAATGATTCCGTATCCGCAAACAAAGAAAAACCATTAGGAATTATTTTAACTAAATTTCATATTCTAGTATTATTCAAAAATCTCTTGAGAGTTATTTGTGTTCTTTCTCAAGAAATTGTCTTGGAAGATAAATTTACTGAAGCATGTGGCTCGGTTATCGGGATTGCGAAGGATTTAGTCAGAGGAACTATTTGGGTTCATTTTGAGCTAGCAGTTTATCGTTACAAGATAACTGAAGAAGATCGATTCATCTGGAAAATTTATTTAGCTAAAAAGGATTTCAAAAATGCTAAAATATTTGCAAACAAAGACCCGATCAAAATGGATGAAGTTATCTGTGAAGAAGCTCAATACTTTTTAGACAGAAAAGAGTAAGAGTAATGTTCTAAGTAAATTCAATTGATGTAGATATTTTTAATTTCTAATTTTTTGCTTTTTTCTCTCATTGTAGCTACAACAAATCAGCTGAACTATACGCTCAGAGTGGTAAGAGTTTTGACGAAGTTGCATTGAAATTTATGCAACTTAAAGATCAAGAAGCTCTTAAAAAATTTCTCAAATGTAAACTTAATGTTTTGCCATCAAGCAATCAATCGCAAATTGATCTCATCACCGTTTGGTTAATTGAACTCATCATGAGTCAGATTGGTGAACTTAAAATCTCAAAATACTCTAAATCATTGGAAGAAAATATCGACGAAAACTCTGAAGAAATCCTTACCAAATTAGCGTTTGAGTTCAAGGAGTTACTCAGCATAACAAAAATAAAGGTAAAATTTCTTTTCTTAATTTTATTTTTACTATTTCTTATGAGTTTACAAATAAGAATCTGTTATTATCTTTATTATTTAGGATTGTATTACAAAGAAGAAGAACATTATTTATGAAATTATATTGAGTCAAGGTGATGAGGCATGTTTACTCTTGTTCGCTTCATCAGTCCAAGACTACAAATTTGCCATCAGTTATTTTATTGAAAAAGGTGATTATAACCAGTGCTTGAAAATTTTAGCTGAACAGGTAAGATTAAAAATATACAAATCCTTTGATCTTTTCTCTAATTGTTTGTTTCTTTTCTAGAAAAGCGTCGATTTAATATATCGTTATGGTCCTCTACTAATGCGCCATGTTCCTGCCGAGTTAGTGAAAATCTTAAAAAGTCGTTGCCTGTCTCTTGATTCTGTCAAATTGTTGCCCACTTTAATTCAAAACTCTGACCAAAAAGGCTTCAAGGCTCAACAGGTAATTTATTATTTACAGCATACTAAAATATCTTAATTTTTAAAAGTAAAAACGGACAATTAGACTTAATCATTTTATTTTACCATTTACAGTGCCAAGAAATAATCAGCTACCTTGAACATTGTGTTACGATGGGAATTACAGAGCAAGTTATTCATAATTATCTCATTGCGCTTTATGCGGAACTTGATCCAAATAAGCTTCTATCCTATTTAGAATCTAAGAATTATGCCAATAGGATTGATTATGATCTGAAATATGCTCTGAGAATTTGTTCAGAAAAAGATTTAAAGAACGCATCAGTTATTTTATACACAACAATGGGAGCTTATGAAGAAGCTGTTGACATGGCTTTGTTAGTTGATATGGATTTAGCCAAAAAAACTGCCGATATTCCTCAAATGGACGACGATCTGAGAAGACAATTGTGGCTCAAAATTGCTCGCCATGTAGTTGAAGAGAAAGGAGATATTCAACAAGTTAGCCACTTATTAGCTGATTGCAATCTACTCAAGATTGAAGACATTTTACCCTTTTTCCCGGATTTTGTTACCATAAGTCACTTCAAAGATGCTATATGCTCATCTCTCAAAGGTTACTGTCAAAATATTGAAGCTCTTAAAGATGAAATGAAGGAAACTACAGAAAGCTCGGATCAAATCAAAAAAGAAATTCAAAAGTTAAGAAATCGTTTTATTGTTGTTCGCACAGATGATAAATGTTCAATCTGTGGCCACTCAATCCTAAGTCAATCATTCCATGCTTTCCCATGTCGTCATTATTTTCATAAAGTTTGTCTCAATGTTGAGATTAAAAGTTACTTAAGTCCATCTTTGAAAGAAAGGTTAATCAAAGTGTCTAAAGGAGAAAAATTGACCAGCCAATTGCTTGACAAAACATTAACTGATAAGGAAATCAAATCTATCAAAGACAATGATGATCTGGATGAAATCATGCAATCTCAATGTCTCTATTGTGGAGATTTAATGATAGAAAGTATAAATGAACCATTAATCTCTCCAGATGAAAATAACATGGCTTCAATTGGATGGTAAACTGAAATACTTATCACCGAGTATTATGATTATAACGAAATTGCTGTTATAGAAATTTATCAATTTTTAATTTTACATTCCTCTCACAAACTTGTTGCCCTGTAAGTAAAATCTGTATAATGAACAAGATGAATACAATTTCATTTGAAGAAAAACATTTATTTATAACAAAATCCAGATATTAACTAATTAAAATCCAAGTAAATGTTGATTATAACGACTTATCATTTCAAAAACCTGTTTCATCAACCTGCTATTATCAATTTCTCGCAATTTATCAAGATATTCTTCATTACCACAAACCAAATCACTCAGTCTTCGTTCAAAATCTTTGACTTTTTTGTAGATATCATTCTCGTCCAAGTTTATTTTCGCTTTATCGACCAACTTTTCCAGTTCAATTTTATCTTGTCTCAAATGTTTTATGCTCTCCTCGAGTTCTTGTTTCTCAATTTCCAATGACTTCTCTTTCTTAGCAATACCATCTCGAAGGCCCTCCAAGTTGCCATACAAATCTATATCTTTAATCAACGTGTCAATCTTGGTTCGCAAAGATTCCAGCTCTGAATTAATTTTAGACTCCAATTGATCAATCTTATTCAAATCTAACTTCAATTTTCGCTTTTCATCGATTAAAGTCAACCTTGAATCACTACCACTGCTACTTGGTGCACCATCATGTCCACCCTTTAAGGTTTCAATGAATCTTATATATTGACTTGACTTTTCCACAAGATCAGCGATTGATTCCCCAAGTACCGTCATCTTTTCCAGTTCTTTGTTCAAGTTGTCAGAAAAATCGACCAAAAATGCATCAATGGTCGATTCCTTTTTTTTAAGATCACGAAATTTTTCCGCCGTTTCCTTGTCTTCATAAGCTCGTAGAGATGCCTGTTGATCTTCAATGATTCGACGAATTTCTTCAGAGCGACTTTCAAGAATTGAAATCTCTTTATTATCACGTCTAACCTGAGCCAGTAATCGACTTCTTTCATCACCAGTACTTTGGTCAGTGATTAGATCATTCTTTTGACGCTCCAACTCTCGTAATCGATTCAATCCATTGAGAACCTCTTTCCTTATCGATGAGTTTTCACTGCCATTCAGTTCCTCTAAAGTACGCTTTCGTTCAGTTAGTTTGATGATTCTATCTTCTAGTCTATCTGCTTCCAGAGTCAGAGAGCGGTTTATGTTTTCAAGCTCTTCAAATCTGATGAAAATAAAACGCAACATTGAAAATAGATCAATAATTCGAGACAATTGTTTAAAAAAGCTTACCTTTCCTTTTGTTCACTTGTAAATTGTTTTTTCAATACACTCCATTCACTTTCAATTTTCTGTATCTCCTGTTCATCTGAAAGCATTTCATCTTCTTTAGCCTTTTTCTCTTTGTATTTGGACTCCAATTGTTCGGATAACTCTTGATTTTCACTCTTAATACCATTTATGTCTTCCAATACATCAGATGATGTTTCACCAATCCTAAGTCGATCCCAATAATCATTATAAACGGACAACTCAAGAGTTGCCGTTTTCAATTCTCGAGCCAATGTTTCAGCCTTTCGTTGCCACATATTCAATCGAGCTTCTTCGGTAGACATTGAATCACATTCCTTGGAGAGGACAGCAATCTCCATTGTTAATTCATTCATCTTGGCTCTTAGTATTCCCATCCAGTATGTTTTATCCTGTACCATCCGACGTATGGTTGCTGCTGATCTACCTCGACCCGTTTTGGGTGCCATCAGTCCCGTTGAAGTGATGGGTCTAGCGGTGGTTATGGGTCTAGCTGAACTCATTGGTCTATTACCAAGGCGAGAAGACAACACTCTGCTGCTGATAATTGCATCCATTTTTCCTTATATACTTATTTCGACCCTTCAATTTATTTATTTTGGTTCACTCGAAAGAACTCCTTATTTCGATCAACACTTTTACCAATTATTGCATAAAAATCAAATTTAACGAGTCAAACATTTACATAATAACAGTCTTTATCGTCAAATAATCACTAGAATTGAACAAAAAACGACTGAATAAGACCCAAACATTGAAAATCGATCAAGTAAAAAACCGTTATTCCAACAAAATGTCAACATACCAAGTTACCATGGATTTAATATTGAAAATCAAAATGAATGAATAAAGACTGAAACACAGATGTAATTAATTGGTGAATCATTCGAAATGTCATCTTAAATTAATCGACACGAAGGAAGAAAAAAGGAAAATCTTTGTTCCCAGAAGTTTAATCAGCGTTCATTTCTTTCCGCTGAACATGTCGATATCTATTGTATTGCTACCCATTTATTATTAAATATAAATCATGAAATCCAAAAGCTGCCTGTTAATTGTTTAAAAAAACTGTGACAATTACGAGCTATTATATTAACCTGTAAAAGATCTTGTATGAAACGAATAAAAAATGCAGATTGAAATATTGATGATTGGTTAAATTGTTAAACAATCGATTGTATCACCAAATTGTCAGCATAGAGTTACCAGACGAGTCAATAAAAAAGCCAAAATAATAAACATGAAAGCTCCATCTATCTTTTTCTATGCTTTCAACTGACACTTTGCAAGATCTTCTGAATTGTAACCAAGACAACGTTTACTAAATTGACAGATTTTTGAAATATTCGAGGATTAAGAATAAAGTAAATTGAATAATCTTCATAATGTAATCTTCATTTTGTAATAATTTGGTTTTATTGTTTTAATCTCATCAGATCACATTATTCTTTAAAGTAACATTCTGACCTAAACAGATGATCTTGGTATACATCAAGGTAAAACCTAGATTTTCTCATTTTTAACTCATTTTCATTGAGCCAAGTGATTTAATTGTGCGACTCTAATCTTATTGATTTCATATTCTACTTCAATCTCAGGTAATCTTAGGAACAAATATATTCAGAAGATAATGGTGGATGAAGACCAGTTAGAAAAACAAAATTGTTTTGGAATCCATACAAAATAAACTCAACCGTATTCTATTCACTGATAGTCATCGCGATTTACTGTTGATGATGGACTTCTGGCAAGTGCTACTAAGACTGGGACAGTTTTCCGTTCTGACATTCAGATTAGTTTTTACCTACTATGATGCGAGCCATAAAATCAATTCTATGTGGTAATCGTGTAGATTGTCCTCTCATACCAAAAAATGAAGCTTCTTGGATGCGCGATCTGTTTTTTCATCGGGGTAACCCTATTCAGTAGTGGTTTTTATTTTTATCTGATAATCAGTCAGTATATGATTTCACAAACCTATCAGGTACATCGTGCTATGTTTAAAAATATGGTTGATTCGGCTAAAGGATTCATTGTATCGGACGAAGAATCTCTATTTCAATCTTCCAATGATATTGATACAATCGAAAAGCATCGTAAAATGACCCTGAATGTTACATATGATCATGAGCTTCGAAGGAAAATTGAGATATTTCTTGTCCAGTTGAGGTCTAAATTGAGAAGTTGGGAGCTCAGAAGCAAGAGTATTCTTTGGAAAGAACAAAATTCTTATAATCGATACAACATCACTTATCAAAGATCAATTCCAACGTATCCTAGTGTAACTCGTCTATGTACCGTTCCATTTGTTACGATTGACTCTTCGTTAGAGCCTTTCACTTCTAATGGATTTGCTCCAATTTTGCCAAAAATTCCAGTCATTAACTTTTTAAAAGAACGGTTTCCTATTCATGAAACATGTGCCTTGGTTGCTAATTCTGGTTCTTTATCGGGATCGATGAAGGGTACGGAAATTGATTCCCACGACATAATTATCCGCTTTAATGATGCACCCACAGTCGGCTATGAAGTTGATGTAGGAAAAAAGACATCCATCAGAATACTCAATTCTCAAGTTGTTTCTCGGCGCTCTTTCAACCTGTCCGATCCTTTATATTCATCAGCAGTGAATCTAGTTTGGGATCCATCCTCTTTTCAAGTCGACTTAAAGCACTGGTACAGTTCTCCGGATCACAATTTTTTCCCGAATTATCAAATTGCAAGGAAACTGACACCAAATATTCCTTTTTACATTATCCATCCACGAGTTGCTTGGGATCTGTGGAAGCAATTGCAAACCAGCAAACCTCATCGAATTAATCGAACACCACCTTCATCTGGATTCATTGGTCTCCTTTTAGCATTGCGGTTATGTTCATATGTTTATGCATATGAATATATTCCATCTATTCGTATAACGGAAAAATGTCATTATTATGACAACACTTCAGGGCTCGGCTGTACATTTGGTGACTGGCATCCATTGGCAACTGAGAAGTTGTATGCGCTACATTTGAATACAGCAAGTGATTATGATTTAGCTATTAATGGGCGCATGAGAACACGTGGATGTGGCTAAATTGTGATACAAACTTTGAGAAGCGCTCAATCAACTCCAGCTGAACTCTAACTCAAAACATTCATGATTTCAATAGCAATTTCATATCTGGTTTTCACTTCGATCTCCTGATCGCGGATGAGTGGTTATCATCAAATTGGAAACAAAATTAAAGGAAAATAATTAGTAATGATTCTTAAAATTCTTGATCTAAACTTTTACCAATTATTGCATAAAAAGTCAAATTTAACGAGTCAAACATTTACATAATAACAGTCTTTATCGTCAAATAATCACTAGCATTGAGCAAAAAAAACGACTGAATAAGATACAAACATTGAAAATCGATCAAGTTAAAAACCGTTATTCCTACAAAATGTCAACATACCGAGTTACCATGGATTTAATATTGAAAATCAAAATGAATGAATAAAGACTGAAACATAGATGTAATTAATCGGGGAATCATTTGAAATTTCATCTTAAATTAATCGACACGAAGGAAGAAAAAAGGAAAATCTTTGTTCCCAGAAGTTTAATCAGCGTTCATTTCTTTCCGCTGAACATGTCGATATCTATTGTATTGCTACCCATTTATTATTATGAAAATCATGAAATCTAAAATCTGCGTGTTGATTGTTTGGAGATTATTAAAGACAATTACGAGCTATTATAACCTGTAAAAGATCTCGTATGAAACGAATAAAAAATGCCGATTGAAATATTGATGATTGGTTAAATTGTTAAACAATCGATTTTATCACCGAGTCAATCTTATTTGTTGCAATATTTTCTGTCGCTTTTATTTTCAACTGAAAGTGAATATCAATTTGTTTCTTTTTGTCTCTTTGTTTGCCCTCTTTCTCTCTCTCTCTCTCTCTCTCTCTCTCATCCACTTATTATGGTTCCTCCCAAAAAAAGTGTAAAGGCGCAAGAAAATAACAAGCGGATAATAACCCACAGACTGTACTTTAAATCGATCGTAAAGTCTATTTGTTTGGACATGAACGCAATCGCAAATTGACTATCTTTCTTCTTCCTCTCAAAGTAATAGTTTTCCCTCTCTTTAGCCTCTCCGCCATGCTTCTCTCAAGAGAGTCTCAAACCAAACATTGTGGTTCGAATATTTGTTACATTTTTACTGTTTTGCCCAATTTATCTCACACCTCTGCAACATAATCATCAACTGCTTCTTCGTCTTCCTCATTATGCTCATCATCTTTATTTGCTTCTTGCTATAATTCATTTGTTTTACCCGTCATCTAATACTTTTTGTGCTCATTTCGATTCTTTCTGGTTAATTCGTTAAATTGTTCATCTTTGAGGATTATGCGGCTAATCAATTATGGTTTGTATCAATCTTTTTCATTGCTATTAACTAGACTCTTTATCATTGTCTAACCTAACTGAACCTCTCAGTCACTATCACTGGTCAATGTTTGATTATTCAATGTCGGATAATAAGGTTGTTGAGATGATTGTCATACTTTTGTTTGTAATTTTCACATAAGGTCAATGAAATTAATGATAATTGTTTTAAATCCTGAGTCTACTAAACTAGCTAACTCTTACAGCTATTGTAAGAGGTGATTGTGATATTGAGAGTTTTTATCTCATCTCTTCATCTCAGTGTTTTAATATTGAAATGCAACAAATTATTGATCTAAGGTGATTACAGTTTAAAATTTAGAGCTTTATAAGCTTTCGGTATATTTTTCAAGTTATGACACTTTGTCAATTACTATGGATTTGAAAGATTATGATTAAAGTTGACAATGACTATCTTTGTGTTAACAATGACGCTGTCAGGATGACAAGAACTGTTGTCAAAATAAAGAGAAGGCTCTTGTCAAATGTTAAATGATGTTTGATCTGTTGTTAAGAAGGTGAAAACTCGATTGTAATACATTAATCCACTCGAGTCTATTTTCACCAAATCATCCATTTTGATAAACTCACTCACATTTCATTTTGTAACACAAAAATCGTAGTACAAACAGTATATCTACTGCATGTAACATTCATTATGATTCAAGTACTTGAAGATGTCTGCCTATTATTAACTAGAGTGCTCAACACTTAATGAAAATTGGTTAAAGATAACCACGAAATTGGTAAGAAATATCGATCTTCATTTTCATTGATTGATTGAAATATTACATTTATCGCTAAATCTCGTGAATTTCATCTTTTCAATTGTTCTTGAATGTATCAATTTTTAAGTTATCTTTAGCTATTAGTAAAAATTCTTATTTAATGTTCAGTTTCATAGTCAGTAATGGTCAGATAGCCTTTAATTAGTCTTCTTTCATACCACCGAATGTAATCTGTTGAAAACTCTACATTTCACCTTTGTATTTGAAACATAAAGGGTTGATTAATTTCTTGGGCATCTTCAATACACAAGCATCAAAAACTAAACTGACAATAAAAATCAAGACACTTTCATATTTAATAATCTTGATTCTTGATTTATTTTAAAAAATACTCATATTTAGCCCAATCTTTCAATTATTTAATTTTTTACAGATCTTGGATAGCTGTTATCAAATTGAAATTACACTTAAAAGTCATCTTTAGGTGACATTGACTATCAATGGACAATTCAGTGATTGCTCGAAGTGGATGGCTAATGAGAAGAGGTAAATTGTATTCAAATATTATTTAAACAATCTATTTATTTAATAAAAAAATTTGCTTCTTAATCAAGTCTCAGGGAAAGATTGGAGAAAAAATTGGATTGAATTATATCGCGATGGTTACTTAAAGTACTACGAGAATGATTATAGTCCCAACCCAGAAGATGTTATAAATATGCCAACTGAATGTATATCAATCAAAACTGGTCTACAGGTGATTATTAAATACTTTCAAATACCAGAACCAATGATTTAAATGATTTCAATTTTAAGCTAAATATTAATTTTTCTCTCTTTTAGGTTGAGGAAAGTTATTGTCCACCAAGTGGTTTCTCATCTCAATGTGTATTTGCTGTCTCAGCTTCTGGCAATAAGAAATGGGTTTTCTGTGCAGATTCACCCGATGATATGAGAGCTTGGCAATTGGCTTTGGAACAAGCACGTCTCCTTATTTCCCGACCTCCTCACCATACTCAACATGGACATCACCATCAAACTCACCCTCATGCTCATCACCACCTAAACCATCAATCAATACTTCATAGTATGAGATTGGCTGGTCTACCTGGATCAACAATACCATTAGAGGAATATCATCGTCTCAATCAATACACTCAATTACAGCACATGATTAATTCTCGAACTTTACCGTTACCATTTAGTCACAGTGATCCAAGGATATCAACATATCCGCTTCATCTACCAACACCAAATGTCTCACAATCAAACAATAGTACAACACCATCAACACCTCCATCAATCTCATCACCGGTAACAACAACAGCCATTTTTCCTATTCCAGTGTCACCAGTGTCAGCTCCACCTCCTCGACTTCCTTGTTTTAATTTCAACTATCCGCCTCCAAGTGATCAGTCCTTACGACATGGACCATTTTATCCTCCAATCAGTCAAACATCAAGTTTACCATCAACTCCACTCTCATCGCAATCAAGAATCTTTCCATCACCTTTTCCTGAACCAGATACTAGAGGTTTCAATCTAGGTATGTTCAATATCAATTGTCCATCGATTTAACCGATTCCTAATTTTGTTGAAATTTATAATCTTATACTTTTACAGATTTACTGACAGGATCAACGACTAGTCCTGATGCTCGTCTTGGTACAAACAGACTTGTTTGGCCACCATTTATTTGGTGGTAACGATTTTCATTGTAATCATAAGCACAAGTCAAATCAATATCATTCCTTGTTTTTCTTATTCAAAATCTCGTCTATCTATTTGCAGATAGAAAATTCTGATTCTAGTGTGATTGTGACTTCTTTCATGAAATTTAAATTTTACAAGAAGATCACTTTAAATTAAACGGTGATTCAATAAATAATCACTTTCACGCCATCATTTTGTTTATGGTGCTAACTTGTCGCCCCAAAAATATATTCATTTCCTAATTTAAATTCTCGTTAATAAAAAGAAAGGCAAAAATATAATTATTCAGATTGTTAAGCTGAACTTATTTAATTTAGAGTTGATTTAAAATCGTCATAATAATCAACAGAAGGTACATTTTTATTTATATACAGAATAGAAAAAAAGTATATTCAGAATTTAAGTGATTGATTATCGTCAGATCGATGATTGTATTTCTTTTTTTGATTAGTTAATCACATGGGAAAATTGAACCACAAAGGTGTCGATTTTTCGTAAAATATCAGGAAAGGAAACAGGAAAATCAATGACTGTGTCCATTCAATGTTTCATATCCACAGTTAATTTACCAAGATTGTTCCAGTTAATTGTAATAAACATTTAGAGAAGTTAATGATAGAATAGAATGGAATGGAAAGATCACAAAAAGATCACAAAAAATCACTTTAGGTAAATATAAATATTTCATATGTTGTTTCATTTGAATAATTTTTGGAAACTTGTTAAATAATTCATTGGTCAGGTGGGTATCGATTAGTATCGCTCGTAGTCGTGGTTATTTGATGATATTTTTCACGAGCAGCAAAGTCAGTTCCTTCTTGAGTCAACTGTGAAGCTGTTATATCTAGATCAGGGTTTGTTGTAACCACAAAATGCTGATAGTCTCCGTGTGCGTCTCTCCTGTAATAGATTACAAATTAATATTAGAATGCGAATAAACAGAAACAATAAAAGATATTTGGTTTAATTGATTTGGAACTTACTTGTAAATTCGTCGCATTTTCAAGCGAAAATATTCATAAAGGCTAACCTGTGATACACCAGGATAGACACCTTTATTAACATGGCCAATGTACAGCCACAGAATAGCAGTGATGGAAATGATAATAATCGAGTAAAGCCAATGGACAAGAAACATAAGGATAACTTTAACAAGAGCACCAAACAAGGATAAAAATTTATTAGACAGAAGACGATTGATTGTCTGATTCCATTCATCTCCCAGATAAGGATACATATCATCACGCTTTCCAGGGGAAATAGATCCAAGACTGGAATGGCGAGCCGAAGTTTCACCGTCAGCTTCCTCGGTAATCATTGAACTTTGATCTCCAGGAGAAGTTGAAATTGATGAATCTGATTGTTCGGGACTACTTTGCTCTCGGCGAACATATATTTTCTTATGTTGAGGCATACCAATTGTCCTCTCTGGAAACAGCTGATCCAAAGCACCAGATTTAGCAGTTGTACCATAATCTTGAACATTTTTGCTAGCATTTTTAATCGAGAATGTGGGCGATGAAGGTGAATAACGAGTAAATCTTTCTTCTCGCATCAATTGCATCTCAGTGGTCAGTGAAAGTGCAAAATGAGCATATTCAATCCAAGCAAAAGTCATCAAGTAAGGAATGGTGACAATTGTTGCTAACAAATTAACGCTTCGTACCATTGTAAAGGCTAATGTTAACAAAGCATAAACGGTTAGCGCATAGATTGGTAGTTTATTTGGTCCTCGTCCTTTAGATAGGAAGCTCATTCCAGGGATAATCTTTTCAACTGCCATGTCCTGAATGATTCGTGGAGTTGCATAAAGAGATCCCAAGCTGGATGACATAGATGATATGTAAATACCCGCAAGTAAAAGGTACCCAATGGCTGATGCTTTAACTGCAATCATTGTGTCACCAAGCAGAGCTGAACGAGTACAAATGCTACCTAAACCAACCATGAATAACATGTAAAGAAGGAAAGCTGTTCCGATTGCTGAAAAAGTACCCTTTGGAATAGATTCACGAGGATTGTAAAGATCGGTGCTCATATTGATACCAGCAAATACACCAGTGACAGCTGGAAAAAATACTCCAAAAACGGCAAATAGATTGAGATTGTCTGGTTTAAGATTTTGGAAGAAATTTTCACGATTGTAACCAATTACACCAGTCTCTGTAAGGTTGATATAAAAGTGGTTAAAGAGTCGAAAGAATGGAAAAAAAGCATTAGTGGAATCATTAATGAATGAATAATATATAAACTATGGTTGAGTAAATTTTTTGTCTCTTGAAAGGTTTTATTTACCAAAGAAAAATCATTATCAACGCGAATGGATGAAATTGAATAAAGATTTAACTTTAACCTTTCTATAAACAAATGAACAAAGTATCTTACTTGGATCATGGGAGATGAACAATCCAAAAGCCAAATCCAGCGCAGCCAGAATAAGGATTGCTAGGATGAGAAATTGTAGACGAACAACCCATTTAACTCCAGCAATATTAATTAGGTATAAAACGACAATTAAAACTGATCCAATAACTGGTTGAAACCAAGGTTCAACATTGTCTATAAGAAGGGCCATAGACTCGGCGAAACCGGTAACATGGAGAGCACAGTTAACACACTGATAGCAATAAATAATGAAAAAGAGAGGTGAATATTAATTATTCAAATGTGCAATCAAACCAACAGTCTGGATGAAATACAAGCTGTTTGTCAATATTGAAACCAGTGAAAGAGTATCAAAAGATTGATAACAATGTCTCATAAAGTAAAATTGATATTTACCGATCCAAAGCAAAAGACTAGGCTTACTGCACCTCCAAGCCGAGCTCCAAGAACCTGTGATAAGCAATAGTGAATCGTCCCTCCACCAACTCTTTCCGTGATTTTGATTCCGGCAATTACCGCAATACAGCAAATTCCTAAGCTAAGAAGTACAATACCGATAGACAAGAGAATCCCAGCATTTCCCTGTTGATCAACAAGTGCAAAATTATATAAAGTTTAGATGTTAATCATGAATTTGATTGATGGTGAATTTGCTTATCTTTGGCTGATCCAGAAAATTGTTTACAAACATAATACTTACAACAATCCAACCTGCACGGATAAGAGTGATTACACCAAAAAGATGGATAACACAAGATGTATAAACACCATCCCAGGTACCAAAAAGAATTGGTTCTGAGATTAAGAAATTAGCTTTCCAGAAGGGTTTATCATTGAGCTTGAAAATTGGACAGAAAAGCAAAAAAGAGAATGAATGAGAATCATGACAATGAATCAATGAATGGTTGTTTTAATTTTCATTTTTTCTATCAAGTGTTAATTTCCTATGGAAGTAATTTATGTTGCTGATTCTGATTGAAATGACAATAATTGTAGTTTAGGAAAGACTGATGTGAAAGCAAATTAATTACCTGATCATGGAAGAGCTCATTGTGAAATAATTTGCCGAAAGCTGTTGATGAACCTTTCCTTTGGATGTTACTGGTGGTTGGCTTAAAGGTGGATGGAGAGTCAGAGGTTGTAGCCTTTAGATCAAGGCCCAATTTACCTGGTTTAGCTATTGACTCTGAATGGTCATGGTCTGCCATATTAAGAAAATAATTAAAATCACAGTGAAATTACTTTAAACATGATCCATATGGTGATGGTGATAATGGTGATAATAAAAATTCTGGTAAACTACAGCTAGAGGAAGAAAGGGAAGAGAGAGAGAGAAAGGAAAGACAAGAGAAACAAACTCAATATGATATTAAACTAAATGATATACTTAATGGTGATGCTGGTCTTCATATGATCAACTCAATCTTCATCTCTTTCCAACTGTTATTTCAGTAGTATGAACATGCCTCCTACGCTTTTCATCCAATATCGATCAGTTAATTTCATCTTGTACCGAGTTAAATGTACCACTGAACTAAAGCATTTGGGCAACTCTCACAGGAGAGATCATTTGAAGAGAAAAGGATGAAAAACGAAAGTCAGGGGAAAAAACAACGATGATTAAGAGCGAAAAATTGAAAACAAAAGATTTATTTTACTCTTTCTCATCTCATCATCACTTTTTTAGCTTTACAAAATTATGTGTTTATCTCCTTAAGCTCTGAGTCTGGTAGGCTCTTACAATGGATTTGTCTTTGAAATACCCTGAATCAAGCTTGAAAAAGGAGAATCACTTGAATTAAACTTCAAATAGTTGAAATTATCAAATGCAACATGACAGTTGCATTATCAATTGGATAAATATAATGTGAAAGTTGAAAATTAAGTGAAATATTGAATAAAAAGGTCTATCTTAAGGATTTTTATGATTTATCCAATCTAATCACCTCACTCAATTTGCAAATTTTCAATCTGACAATTTCATGAGCCATGACAAACCTTCTTAATTCTTATCAGTTTAGGGGCAATCCGATCAAAACAATTAATGAAATAAAAATTTCAATTAGATTAAAAACTGATAAGAAGTTAATCTAATTTTCACAAAAATTTAATCTGAAGAATGTCCACCATGAAAATTTTTTTAATTGACGGCAGGCGCAGGTCCTAAATGTTGTTAATTTGGTTGATCGGATCTTTGTAAATTAGTGACGTCACAAATTATTGAAATTTTATCTAATCTTATCTTTACTAACATTTTTATCCTAATTTTTAACTACATTTCTTGTTGATCGGATTGCCCCTTAATTAACAGTCAGTTTAAATGGTTTATTAACAAATTGTAATAAACTAAGAAAAAGAATCTTTTAAACATTTTTACTTCTTAGTAAAATAATTTTATTGCATTTACAGTTTTTGCAACTTGGTTTATTTTTACGATTGGTTTGTTCATCATTATGAAGATGGCACGACTGATTTAATACAGTTTTTTACACGTTTCTTAAAAATGAATTAAATTTTGATCAACTTTTATGTTGCAGCTGTGTTTTAAGTGAAATTTGAATGCTGTGAACACCTATTATTCAAATTACTCAAATAGTCAGATTTTTATTGATTTGCATCTAAAAACAATCAAGGCCTCACTGGAGTAAAAAATCCTTGATTGAAACTAGTGTTGTATTGTTCCAATATTTTCAAGGAACAAGAACAACGAGAAGAACAATTTCTTCGGAACAAGAACAAAAAATGTTGTTCCTAGTTCTTAAAATCGAGAACAAGAACAAGAACAAGAACAGTACAAATCGGAACAAAAAAAACCTAGCGGAACAAAACACTAAAACTGAGAACAATTTTGGTGAAAATTTTAATTTATCAACAGATTTTGGGCAAAATAGGGTTTGACTTGAATCCCTCTGGTGTTAAAGGGTTACTTTAGGCACTCATTTAGCATTTTATTGCGTCACCTTTGTTCTTTGCCAGGAACAATTGTTCTTTGCTCTGTTCTAGATTTTGGGTTGTTCTGTTCCTAGGTTGTTCCTAGTTCCGATTTTTCGGAACAAAACAACGGAACAGAACAAAGAACAATTGTTCCTGGCGCTGGAGAACAAGAACAATACAACACTAATTGAAACCAAGAAATATACAAAAGTGCGCAAGTTACATAAGCACACTGAATAACTGCTCTTTATTTTTCATCAAAATTTGATAGAAATTCATGTACAGTAGGTGTTAGGGTTAAGTTAACAAAAAGTGGTCAGACTTAAGTTAATTTTTAAGTGTCGCCATCTCGAGCATATTTAGTTTCTAGAGACAAGGAAAAAACAATGTAATAGAAAACTGGACAAAAAAAGTTCGATTCTAATGGTACTTTAATTTATTGTTAGAGGGCGACTATGAAAAAAATCTTCCCTTTTGTTAACTTAACCCTAACCCCTACTGTATTCGAATGTTGCTGCGTCTTAAATGTAAGTTTAAAATATTGATGCAATTTATCAATGATGAAATCAGCCTGAACAAATGATATGCAATTCTTGAAATATAACCGATTTAGAAGAGCTCGACTTTTGACTTGTCGGATATGGTCAGTATTAACTTTTGATTATTAAGATTGAGTTCCAAAAATGGTGAAATACGTCAATAAGGTGGAAATGTTAGATTCGGGTGGTGGAAATATGACGAAAAGGCCGATCCCTAAATTTTTAACAAATAATTTGTGGGCAACCAGGTTTTGAAAACATTGTTTGCCTAACAATGTTCGGGTAGTTGTTTTGATTATCAGCATAGAGATGGCATGACGAGCATATTATGATCGTTTCAATGTTTTCCTTAATTTTGTTGAAATTAAAACGTCAAATTAAAATTTTCAGGCGAAAACGCAATTAAACTAACAACCAGAAAAAAAGAGTGAGCAAAAGAGAGAAAGTTGATGAGGTAAAGTGGTAACAGGTAAACTGGTTTTTGGTTGGGAAGAGAAAAAGAAGTTTAAATAAAGAAACAAAATCTTGTTTCATTTTAAAGGTTAATATCAAAAAAGCGGGAGATGATAATAATGAGGAGGAAGAAAAGGAAAAGATGAAAGATAAACAAAAGAAAAGGTCATTTTAATGCATTAGTGAAAAAACTAGATATTTTTAATCTATTTTACCTAAGACAAAAGGTAATAGCTATAACACATAAATGCATTTTATGTGTTATAAAATAAAAGCTATCATTCATTTGGCTTATGTCCATAATCCGTAATCTAATGCCATGAAAACAATAAGATTAAAAGGTTACCATTTCATGAGTGTTATCCAAATCCTCGAGCAAAAACAAAAATGATTGGGATATGTTATTATGTTGCTAGATTCTATGTTTGCGAAACAGCCGGAAAATGGTTTGCGTTTTTGAGTTGAAATAGGTCCAGCTACAGAGAAAGGGGGTGAGAAGAGATGTAAAAATATATAAATTAAAAGGAGTTGATTAAACAAAAATGTGAACAAAATTAGAGTCAAAGTCAAGCAAAATGTATTTAATGAATGAAAAAAGCTAACAAAACGACGATGTAAATAATGATGAGAGGAAGAGAGAAAAATTGTGGGAAAGATTTTATTTACCTGCATCTTTTAAGGTCTTCACTAGGAACTAGGATGTCCTAATAGATTGAATCATTTGTACAACCCCATCCTACGGTGTTTCTGTGTGTGCGTATGTTTGAGCTGGATCATCACACCCATGCAGAATCTGTGGCTACCATAAAAAGGAACTATTGAAATAAAGAGAAAAAATATGTAAATGTTACATCAATATCGTACAGATATTAGTACATTTTACCAGCCATCAATAATAAATAATTTGGTAGAGTATACAATTGGTTAGGATCAATTTATAGCCATGTGATGTTGTTGAGTTGAAACCCACGCGATTACTGGAAAAAAGATCAACCCCCAATTGTTTATTAACTATCATCGAGGATGATAACATACCTGTTATTACGATTAAATCCAATTATCCCTTATAATCACTGAAATATAATCAGAAAAGGAGCAAAAACTAAAACAATGAAAACACAGTTAAAATTAGGAACAGTTAGTATAACGATTATAACTCACCTTTACCGCTTTGATTGACCATGTCAAGCATCACAAACATAACTAATTTAATTCCAAACCGATTTAATGAAGAAAATAAATTGACAACACTTGACAGAAATTAATAAAATTAATTAAAACATTTTTTTGATAAAACAAAAGAAACAAAAAAGGAGGGCTATTTAGGTAGGAAGAGGAGGGGAAACAACATAAAAAATGAACCGCCATCTTCACTGCATATGAAAATGTTACCAACGGAAATTGATTTGACTATTTTAGACAAACTAATCTGTTTTATTTTCACAATTAACTTGATTCTTTAACTTTTTTTCTTAATATAATGACCTGATATTATTTAAAATTAATGTAAACAATTAAAAAATGTTTTCCGTTAACAATGAAATTCTCATTTAATTTTCAAGCAATAACAATTTAGCTCTAATAATTTAACATGAAGGATGGTATGAATAAAATATAATTCAGGTCATGGAAGGATAAAATTCATGTTAATGTTGATGAAAAATGTAAAATTCAATCTTAATGTTGTACAATTGCAAGTGAATTAATCACTTTATTTTAAATTCATTTCAATTTAAACAAAAACAAAACAAATGTCGATAGTTATTGGGAGTAATTTTTTAGCTATCAGTTCATGGAGAACGATTTTATTTTAATTGATTTGATTTTGGGCAAACATTGATTCAATGTTGCTTCTTCATTCAATTACACTTGATTTACCAATTTTACCTTGCAAAAAAGTTTCACTCTTTCCTGATTTATCTGTTAAAACAAATTGAAAAAATTGTAATTAATTTTCCTTGATTCAAATGCAATTAGATTCAATGAGATAAGTGTGGGAAATTGTTATTTCTAACTCTTATCCGTTTAAAATGGTCCAATCATTTTAAAGTTTGTGCTAGGTGCTTCCCTCTACCAGTTTAACAGTCGCAATTGGTTTTTGTTTTCAAAGTCTTCATGAATGAAGGCAACATAACTTGAAATTAATGTAAAATGTTACTGATTTTTAGTTTAATTTAATTTTTTTTGTTTGTTTGTACATCCTGTTTTTTTCCTTCCTCTTGTTTACCATCAGTTTTGAAGTGTAGCCCATGACAATTTTGGAAAAATTAAGTTCTGAAAGAGTGAAAAGAGCAAACCCTTTTTGTTGTCTGTTTGATCCAAAGAGAAAAAAGAAGTGAAGTTCATCTGCCATCCTGGGTTGTTTTTTTCGTCAGCCTGAGAAAACTGTGTGTGTATCATACACTACCTTCTGTGCATCTTATAAAGCCGATTGATTAGTATTCTTTTTAGCCATGATAAAACCAAATTTAACTTATAAAATAAGGCGTAAAGCTGTTGCCCATTTTGATGTTCAAAGTATCACAGCCAATCTGAATAGTCCTGTGGTGGTTTCTCAAAAGAATACCATTACAGGTGCTTCAGCGGCTAGTAAAAATACATGTGTTGACCAAGGAGATGGAAAATCAAATTCTCTTGTTATGAGTTGTCCTTGTTTTCGAAATGAGATTGGTACCGAAAAAGAAGTAGCCATAGTTTTAAATCGATTAACAGCATCCCAAAATCAAGCTCAGACCGATGATTCTCTTATCATCCATTGTCCGTCCATGGCCTCTGGTCTTTCTCTATTGGAAGATTGTTCCGCCCGATGGAAAATAAATGTTTGCCCATACCAAAAGATGCTCAGTTCTTCTACTAATATTAACAACGGTGCAGAACAAAATAAGTGTTTTATAATTGAAAATTGTGATATAGGTGCATCCTACTACCGGATACATTTCTACGGTTTAGAGCATCAAAACTGGTTTGGCATTGATGATAATCTTGGTCCTATTGCTATCAGCATCAGGAAAGAGAGAGTCAACAGTCCAAAGCCCTCCATTAACAATAGTACCAACAACGGCAACGGCAATGGCAATGGCCTTTACTCGGGTATTTCTACTGGTACATCAAACACCCCCGCCAACTCTAGTAACAACAACAATAATAACATTAATAGTAACAACAATAACAACAGCAGTAATAATATGGTTAATGGTCAAACAAATGGTCAAGTCAATGTAGCATCCTCAAATTCATCTAGCTCATCTTCATCAGGTTCTGTCCCTAACAATCGAATTAAACACCAATATCGAATAATCATAAGAACAAGTCAACTATCTGTCCTTCGAGGAGCTGTGTATGAGGATTACATTCCAGCCTTAGCTTCCTCAAGGCATACTAATCACAACAACCACCACGCTAAAGAAGTTCTTGAGTATATAGCTCCTGAGCTTAATTTAAATGCACTTCGTTTAGGTGTATCCAATGCCGATGAACAGTTGCTCAAGCTTGATGAACAAGTCATCACTCGAACCTACAAAGTAGGTGTCTTATATTGTAAAGCTGGTCAAGGAACCGAAGAAGAAATGTACAATAATGAAAGTTCAAGTCCCCAATTTGAAGAATTCCTTTCCTGCCTCGGTGAACAAGTTAGATTAAAAGGTTTTGACAAGTATCGAGCCGGATTAGATAATAAAACGGACACCACTGGACTTTACTCAATTTATGCCAACTATAATGATTGTGAGATAATGTTTCACGTTTCAACGCTCCTGCCTTATACACCCAACAATAAACAGCAGCTTTTGAGGAAAAGGCATATTGGAAATGATATTGTTACTATTGTTTTTCAAGAACCTGGGGCCCTACCCTTTACACCTAGAAGCATTCGGTCGCATTTTCAACATGTTTTTATTATTGTTAGAGTTTTACCACCAGAGTCTGGTGGAAATAGAGAAAGTGATGATGGAGAGACCGGAGCTGGAACCAATGGTAACAATTTTGAGAATAATAATGGTACTGGTGTTACCAGGTATGCAGTTGCTGTTACTCGATCTAAAGAAGTTCCCGTGTTTGGTCCACCAATACCTGACAAAGGAATATTTTTAAGGAGCAAAGAATTTACAGAATTTCTTCTGGCAAAGATTATTAATGGTGAAAATGCAGCACACAAAAGTGAAAAGTTTAGTAGCATGGCTCAGCGAACTCGACATGGTTATTTAAAAGATTTAGCTACAAATTATGTCACCAATACAACTTTAAGTGATATTAGCTGTGGAAATAGTGCTTCCGCTAAATTGGTATCAACTATTTTTGGTTCTAGTAAGAGGCGAGGTTCCCATCGAGTAAAAGATTGGCAATTTATTGGTGATCCATTTATAAGAGGAGCGATTGTTTGGGAAGTTACAGTCAATGATTATGGACAATCTAAATTAGTTGATTGTTTCGTTGGTATTTCAGGTGACACTACTATCATCATTGAAGAAGCAACCAAACAAACTCTTTTTGCTTGTCCCAATATCTCAATTCTTGGCTGGGATGCATCACATTCAAATTACATCGAAATTTTTTGTCATCAAGGTGAATGTATCCGGTTAAATTGTAAAGATCAAGGATTGGATTTGGATGAAATTAGTGAAATAAAAACTCGCTTAGCATCAGTGACCAATGGTTGTCAAACAAAAGAATTGATCTTGAAAAGAAATAATCAGGGTCAATTAGGCTTCCACATTGAGCCCGATGGAATTGTCACAGATGTTGAAAAGTTTGCTTTTGCCTGGAATGCTGGCCTCAGGCCAAATTGTCGTATCGTTAAGATTTGTGAAGTTGTGACTGCCACTCTTAACTATACTGATATGATAGATTATCTCAAAACATCATCAACTGTTAAAATAACAATTCTAGATCCAAATGCAGATGGATCGCCTAAAAGGTGAGTTAACATTTTTGTTTTTTCAACCCGTTCATTTTTGTCTACCTTCAAGTTTCTTTTTCAACTTTTATACTTAACAATAATAGAGATAAAATCAAACTTCCGGTGATTGTACTTTTGACACAATTAAAAACAATTATTTCAAGCTCAGGTCCATCTATCAGTATGACCAACATAATCATTTCGGCCTCTTTCCCAGCTTTCACTTTTTTTTATTGTTATAATCTTTTATCTTTTTATTGCTCTCAAAGATATACTTTCATTTGGCAACATTCTCTTTCTACCTCTTCCTTTTCCAATATGATTTTATTAATATTTTTTACTTGTTTTCTTGCTCACTATCTTCCATCTCAATTAAAAGTTAATTTATAAATTAATCATTTTAATTTTCTCATCTCTCTATTTCAATTTCACAGAGGCTGTAACCTTCCTAAATGTCCTTATCTGAGTTTCATGGCTGGAGGAAGCTCCAACAACAATAATAATAATAACAACATAAATAATAGTTTAGGAAGGGATTCCCATTTAGCTTCACAACCCACCAGTAGCCTTAACTCTGTAAACCATGGAAGTGATTATGAAAATATCGGAATCATGATTGAACCAAAAAAATATCACTTTTCTACGGATTTCAAGAATGGCCTTCTTCATAGATTTCAATATACTGGAACAACAGCATCAGCTGCTGCTGCTTCCGTAGCCAACAAGAATATCGGTCTACCTCTCGGAAATTACCCGACACCTTTTGCATCAAGTCATTCAAGTAAAAGCCTTACTGTTTCACCGGAAAAAGAAAAAGATATTTCCAAATTAACCCCTTCATCGTCATCATCTAATATTTACTCTAATCTGGGTAGCTCCCAACTTCATTTTACATCATCATCGTTTGTCTCTGGGTTAACTCGCTTCACAAATTCAAAGCGGGAACCTTTACGACCAAAGTCAACAACCAACGAATGCACATCATCACCATCACCAGGTTCATCTTCATCAACAACATCCACTGCATTTATTGGTAACACCACTAACAATAATAGCGCCAAACAAACCTTACCTGGTTCATCTAGCATCACTATGTCACCACCTACTATACCAAAAGGTTTATCAAAAGATCATATTGTTTTACATCATCTTGGAAATGTGATGCTTTCTCGAAGTGAATTATGCTTGGCCAGTAAAAACTGTGGCCCAATACCCAATATTAAACCAACTTCAAGCCCAACTAACCAAAGTATGACTCTCACCAATAATATAATACAACCTTTGTCATCATCATCATCTTCATCATCGTCATCCCATACTCGATCTCATTCTCATCATTTTACCAAATTAGGAGCCTCATCAGCTTTAGGTTTACCTTATACTCATTCTCCTAATGCAAGTTTAAATAGAACTGGAAGTGTCCTCAAGCACCTCGGGTCATCGTCAGCAGTTGAGGCTCTTTCTGCTGTTAGTCCATCTCCATCAGAATGGTCTAATAGTGCTTGGTCTTCTCCTCGTATCGGCAGAAGAACGTTTGAGCCTCCTTCGTCACGCACAACCACAACCTCTTCAACTGTAGGAGGATTAGGAGGAAGCTCACAGGCATCTGGAGGATCTAATCTCTCATCAAGTAGCAACAACAATAATATTACATCCTATTCAAATGCTGCATCCTCACGCGAGATATTTGTTAATAATCGTGGTAAACCTGTTCTATCAACAAATCAACATCTATCATCTTCATCTTCTTCCTCGACCAAATATTCTAATGCAAGATCTAATTCCCTCACCGATCGAATCAAAATTCGTAGTGGTTCTCATAAAAGTAGTGGAAGTAGCTGTAGTGGCAGCTCAACATCCACAACTCTCCAAGAAGATTTGTTAAAATTAATTAGTCCAGACTTTTTGGTGCAAAGCAATACCGGTGATTGTGAGTCTAATGATAATACTTCAGGTGGAGAAACAAGTACAAGTCAATATTCGACACCTTATTCGTCCCTCGAACGTTCGAGTACCAAAGAGATGCCTTGCAAAGACGTTGATCAAGTTATATTAACTGTTGCACAACCTGCTCAAGTGATCTTCTCTCAGCCATCTTCACCTACTGATTTTTCCAAAAGTGATAGTGGAGTATATGGAGGAAGTGGTAGCGTATGTAAAGGTAACGAGCCAACTGGAAACAAAGAATCTTCTCCGTCAAGATCAAGTTCTGTTCTTTCTCGATCTGTGACAATTGGTAGCCTTCCTCTGTCACGATCATCACCTTCCTCATCTTCAACTGGTGATAAAATGTTAAGTAGTTTAAACTCTTCATCCTCACCGGAGGAAGATGTAAGCATCGACTGGCCAACCCTAGTCGAAACAGCAACCAAAGCAATGGCAATTAATGACACCAATAGCACTGGAAGTGGTGATGGTATTTCTGCCAAAAGTGACAATGCCCTAGACCATTGGCTTCGTGAATTTGGAGCTAATGGAAACTCTGCCACTAATGGGCATCTATCTGGCCTACAAAGGTCAGGAGAGAATCTAAAAGAGTTGGAAGAGACCGTAAAAAAGCTGCAATATGACCTTGTAAAAGAGCAATCTGATAAAGCTAAACTTGCTGAACTTGTCAAATCATTGGAGAAAGAAAACTCAAGGCTTCAAGAGGAACAAAAAACTGCTATATTACAGCTGAAAACCCTCACCGATTTCTTTTTTCATCGATAGGACAAAGTTTATTAGGATATGCTGTTTGGCTACATTTTTTATTTCTATTATCATCGCCAAATGATATTTGGAAAGTACTCATGATTGTATATATAAAATGATTACCAAAATTTGCCTCAACTCACCTTCATCACTTGAACGCTTTACTCCCTGCATTCAGTTCATTCTCCTTATTTCTTTCTACGTCATCATTCATCAGCATAAACAAAATTAACATGACACTTCACCAAAAATTGGCAATCGTCAATCCATTCTTTCAACTTTAATCCTAAATTAAACTATCAGACCCACCAAAAAGGCCTTAGAAACCATCAAAAGCACTACTGACCACTACATCATCATCGTCATCATCATTATTATTATTTCCTTATTCATCAATATCAACTACGTTGAAGCTTCAATCTTTAAATCTTTAAGAAAAAAAAGCCTTGAAAGTGAAAAAAAAACATTATTTTTGTTTGTTTGTTTGAAACAGAGAGAATAGAGTAGAATTGTTATGTTTTATTGTGGATTCTTCGTGTAAATCGAGAACACATCATGTGTTGTTAGCATACAAGCAAATTCAATTGTAGAGATGCATGTTAGGTAGGTTACCATTTCAGTAAATAATTTTTGTGACCAATGCACATGTTTTTAAACACATTTTTTCCTTTTTTATTTAGGTTTTTGTCAATGGAACGCATATTTCAAACGCATATGGTAAAGCTGTTGCTTATTCTAATGTTCAAAGTATTGAAACTACAATGATCCGGTGGTGGTATGAGTCAAAGTAAATTTTCCGATCAAAAGAGATGGAAAAATCAAATTCTCTTGTTATGAGTTGTCCTTGTTTTCGAAATGAGATTGGTACCGAAAAAGAAGTAGCCATAGTTTTAAATCGATTAACAGCATCCCAAAATCAAGCTCAGACCGATGATTCTCTTATCATCCATTGTCCGTCCATGGCCTCTGGTCTTTCTCTATTGGAAGATTGTTCCGCCCGATGGAAAATAAATGTTTGCCCATACCAAAAGATGCTCAGTTCTTCTACTAATATTAACAACGGTGCAGAACAAAATAAGTGTTTTATAATTGAAAATTGTGATATAGGTGCATCCTACAATCGAATACATTTCTACAGTTTCAAAGCATCCAACTAATAATTTACGATTGGAATTTTCTTAGACAAAAAAAGTCCAGGATACGTATCGTTATCAATCACTACAAAGATTATTTACAATCGTACATATTGTGCTCATCTTTTGCTAATGAACATGGATTTTATCGATAAATTATTTACCGCCTAACACCAATGTTGTTACTCATGACCACTGCTGATATTTGTCAAGTTAGTTTCAAAAATTTAGCCGCGACAAAGCATCTTTTTATATCAAACTTCGTTATGTTTTTGCGAGCTTGATTGAATCGCATATCGAATGTTAATGGACTCAACTCATGCTAATTATTTGATTTTGAAATAAGTGTAAACGCTCCTCCTTTCGCTCCAACTATTTTTATACACCCAACAAGCAACAGTTTTTATGGAAGAGCAGAAATATTGTCTTCACTTCATGATCTGATGCTCTCTACCTTTTAATACCTATCTACGGAAGCAGTTCATCGCATTCTCATAATGAATTTATCATTGTTGAAACTTTTTTGGTAAATAAGTGGACCGACAATCTTAATTGATTTGATACATAGGAAAGAATGAATTGACAAAAAAAATGTTTGTTTTCATCATTTTCTTAAACAGAAATATTCATTATTTACTGCTAAATTATTCTTAATGATGCTAATCACCAACAAAGAAAAGGAACACGAATCATCGACAATCTCAAAACAGAAATGAAAAATTATTGTAACTTAATTGAAAATTTTGATATCCCCTTTTATCCATTTGATTATTAAGATAAATAAAATATTAACACCTCCATTATTTCATTGCTTGTCTAATTAATACTAATACAAAAAGGCGATTGATGCATAAATTTTACCCGAAATTATACATATTTTCACTCCAATGAAATAGTATTAAGTTTATCAATACAATGATGACCGAGTAACAAGAAATAACAATTGAAACGGGATCTTATACTCAATCTTACGCTAAATTATGTATCATCCGTAATTTTTCGTGCATCCTCAACCACTTTCAAGTGGTAAATTATATTATTTAGATCTAAAATGATGGATATCAAATTTAATTGTATTTCTTACTTGTTACTCCAGGTAATTTGATCATCACATTTCTCCAAATGGCCTCAACAGTCATTTTAATTGATGACCTTAATTTAAATTACTTTTCAATGGGAAATAAATCGGACTACTTAACAATCACTCGATCTTATTATTAATTATCTCGTTCTAAGACTCATTTGTTTCAATTATTTGAAAAGTAATATACAATGAATGTTAAAATAATTAAAACTAAAATTACTATTGAATGAGTAACAGACGTTTGTTCCTAAATAGCTGTATTTGAGGCATTTCGTTTCGCAGGCAACTAAGGAAGAGACAGTGACAGTTTTCATCACATTGGTCACTTGAAAAATTGAAATCATTAAATTAATTGGTGATTTATTTGTGACAACTCAAATCCAATTTGGACTTTAAATATTAAAATAGCTTCTTCAATTAATCTTTTCAACAATCGTTTTCCCTATTTTCATTAATCAATCATTCTCTACTTTTATCACAGAATACTCGGTTCATTTACCAGGTAAGACAAAGAGACCTTCACTAAACGCGACCATTCATAATGATTCACATTAAACATGGTAACAAAAGTAGTAATAACAATTAAGTAGCTATTTTATTATTAATCTACTAGCATTTAAAAGATGGTTTACATCCAATGGTAGTATCTTTTAATAAGATTTTGAACAAAACACACCAAAAAGAGTTAATTTTGTGTGATGGAGACGATTGACCACAGCGTTTACATCAGTTTTGGTTAAACTGTCTTTCGTTCAAAGAGGAAAACTTTGAATCATGGGACTCGTTATGCTTTTTTTGGTTTTGATTTAACCTTAGCCAAAGCATTTAAATCAATTAAAGCAGGGTATTCTTATAACATTGAATGAGGAAAAATGATCCAGAATTATTTCAATTATAAGCTAAGAAACTAAATATGATTTAACAATTAATTATACATGATAAAATCAGACAAATACGACAGGTGGAGCTGGCCAAGCTTTGTTGGTAAAAATATAGGGGATGGTATTACAAGCCATACTTGCTTACATTCAACTTTATTAATAAATTAAATGTTGCTGTAATAAAGGTCTGTTTTTTTTTCTATGCTCTGACCTTTACTATTATATTATGACTTCTCTTTTTTGTATCTTATTCAATTGACCATAACCATTTTAATTGTTAATAGTGATTACTTATACAATCATTTTCTGCAATATAAACAAAACGTCCGGACAAATTACTTCAACATGACAACTCTAAGATTACCAATGTTAATATTCCCGTTATCATTTTGCCTAACTTTTTGGCTTTACATGGGTCTTCCGTATATTAGTTGGCTCATTAATATAACGACCACAATCATAGTTATTGCCTCTATTGCCTGGAAATCATCGTGTATCTTATCTAACGTGACTCAAGGATCTCTTGATGTATCGAATAAAGCAGTTCTGATCACAGGTTAGAAAGTAAAACATTGAATTAAAATCTCTTTCATGAAAAAAATCTGAAAAATTATTCTTTGCTGATTTACTGTTAGCATTGATAGTTACCAAAATACTTTCTCTTGAAACCCAATTAATCACTTTCTTCATTTTGTTATAGGTTGTGATTCTGGTTTTGGTTACATCACTGCATTGGAGTTAAATGAGAAAGGCTTCAATGTTTTGGCTGGTGTCAAAGACATAAAAGGAAAAGGAGCTAATGATCTCAAAAATAGTTGTAAATATCAATCTAGGCTCAATCTAATTGAAATAGATGTAACTCGAAATGAAGATGAGCTGAGCCGTCATCTTTTAGATGAAGTTACATCAATATTATCCAATACCGGTGATTGTTTATGGGCCATTATTAACAATGCTGGACTTTTAACTGTTGGCCCGATAGACTGGGGAAACTATCAAGATTCAGTTGAATCAATTGTCAATGTAAACCTTCTAGGTTGCATGAAAATTACTCGAATATTCCTGCCACTTTTGAAACATTCAAGCTATAGAGATGGCTCAAGTGTCATAGGTGCGCGAATTGTAAATATGTCTTCAATTCAAGGCAAATTGTCTCTTCCATGGACGCCAACTTATGCAACAACCAAAAGTGCCATTATTTTTTACTCAAACTGTTTGAGACTTAATGTTAATCGGTTTGGTATCAAGGTGACTACTATTCTTCCTTATAAATATCGCACACCAATGGGAGATACAAACCAGCTGATAGATCGTTTGGATTCAAATTGGCAATCTTCAACGCAAGATGTTAAATCATCTTATGGTGAATTTTATTACCATCGCTTAAGAAATTTATTAAAATTAACAAATGAAAGTGGACCAAGTTCAGGAGATCCAAAGGAAATCGCTTCCAAAGTTTATCAATGTCTAGTCACTCCAGATCCTCCAAATGAAATAATCTGTTCACCTTGGTGTCTTCGTCCTTTATGGTTTCTAGTCGGACTTATGCCACAAGAGCTGATAGATCTTGTTTTTGATTATATCGAATCAAATTATTTACATGCCTAATGAAGGATGACCAAACAAAATTTAAATTCTTATTATCAAAGACTGAAAAATCAATCACTCCAATTGGGCTCAAGCCCATAAACTAATCTTTTTCATTGTGTGATAAAACCAATCAGAAACTATGCTCGATACCAACAAATTTACTCTATAAAACAAAATTATTCAACAAAAAACATTTTTTCAGGCTTTTCAATTAAAACCAACTTTTTAATGTAAATAAATCTTTGTAATTGATCGTGAATTACTGCTCATCCCGGAAAATATACAAATGTATTAACCAGGTTCAATTCTAGTCAAATTTCAATCAATTTGAAAGCCACTTGCAGTGCTGTTCAACTTGATATATTGTTCACTTGATAACGTACTTTGTACACACAGATTTACCACTTTCTAGGCAACCAATTAAATTGTCTAGTTAAAGGTTAATAATTCAATATCATCAAGACAACTTGATTATTCTATTAAACCTTGACACCCTAAATATTAAACCATACAATTTAAGATAATTATTGAATCAGAAACTGATAATACTAATCGATTTAAACCATGCAAATGTTTACAAACAAATTGAATTTTTCAAAATTTACCAATTTTTTCTTACAAACATCTAAAGCTTTCATTTTTCATTTATTTTTTATATTTATCTGAACTGGCCATAACCATTAAATTGTTAGTAGTGATACTAACACTGCTGTTCGTACCTTTTTTATCATTACCGCAGTCTCGCGTTTACCTGACTAAGTACTTTTGATTTTTTTTGATAAACTAACGACAACGTTTTATAGCGAGTACATTGAAATTTACTAGCTTATTTTTACGTGAATCAGCTTTTACTTGTTATTATTATTTTCCTAAAGTTTTGAATAACACCTTTTCAGTTAAGCAAATTGTGACTTTACACAATTATTCGACATAGACACCAATGATTATCATTTTAGTTCAGTCATCAAAGAAACAAATCAATGTTAAAACTTAAACAAATAGTCGTCCTCTTATCTCACTTCATTCAAAACATTATCATATCACTACAATAAAACCATTACAAATTGTATTGAAAATTGATACAATTAATCATTTCTGTAATATGAAAACCCAAGCAGTCCAAACAAAATCCACCAGCGTAAGAATTTATAGAATGTCTTTGTTCACTTTCGGCAGCGAAAAATTTTCCTTAAAGTCCGTGTTTTAAATTATTAACAAACAAAAAGACGAAAATACAAGATATTAAGGGCAACAATGCAATCGAAAAAATGAAAGATGAAAGAAAAGAGATGAAAACTGGTTTATCCGGAAAGCTGCGGCTCCGGTCCGCTATTGAATACCTTCATCTCGTCCTTCTCTCTTCCTTTCTCCCTTTCTCTCCTTCTTTTCTTTCTATTTCTCTTTCTCTTCTCGCTCCCTCCCCATCTTCTTGCCATACTATTTTCTCTCTTTCTTGTCATGTACAAGTATTGTATGTACTTTTAAAAAGCTTAAACACTAAATGCTTTTTCTTTCCCATAAATACTGAATTTATTGAAATTTTAAATGTAATTACTTCTAGTTTACATTTTATATTCTCATATATTTGTTTTATTTGATACCTTGTTTATTATCTGGTCTCACGGCTTCAAAATTTATATATTTCCTGCTCACCAATGCCCATGATGACCCGTAGGAACGGGAAACGGCGAAAATATGAAGTCAAACAATCGCCATCCTCTCCTTTACCAGAATCATCTCAACAACCATCTACATCAACAAATACCTCTACCTCTTCTGAATCAGTTCCAAGGGTATTACCGTCAACCACAACATTCCAATCACCATCTACAACGACGGTTACTACCACTACAACTGCAACTACATCTTCACCAACATTAAGTAATGATACATCACCTTTGTCTTCATCCCATCGAACCTCGACACAGCCAACAACACCTTCACCCCGATGTGCATCTCCCATACCTCTAGGATCTACTAATCAATCACCAAAAGATAATACCACAAGTCAAGGACGAGTTGGAGGCGTTGGTAGTGGTAATAATGAAGAATCAGTCCATCAACAGCCATCAACACCTAACAAATCTGACTGTGCTCCAAACTGGTCTCTTGATAAGATTGCGAATGAAGTATGGTTTACTATATTTTCTTACTTATTGGAGCAAGATTTGTGCCGTGTTTCTCAAGTTTGCCTAAGATTTCATACTATTGCCAATGACTGTGAGCTTTGGAAAAATTTGTATAGTAGTGTTTTTGAATACGATTTACCTCTGTTCCGCAAGGGACCAACTGACTTTGAATTTATATCTCCTGAAGATAGTGACTTTCCTAACCCTTGGAAAGAAAGTTTTAGACAATTGTATGGAGGTGCTCACGTTAGACCCGGTTATCAAGAATTGACAGAAAGGAATTCACTGAGATACAAAGGAAGAAATGTTGTCTACTTTGACACAGTGGAAAAAGCAGTCAATTATTGTGAAGAAACCGAAGGGCTACATGAGGTTGATACATCTCTAACCTCAGGAAATTTCAATAATACCTCAAGTGGACATTCAAGTGGTTCTCCTTCCACCGTTAGCTCAAACCTAAGAAAAGATGATACAACAACCAAAGACAACTTTAATCCACCGCTCATATTTATTCATTCGGGAAAATACAAACCTGAAGGACTTTTCATTGATTCTTCTATTGCAATGATTGGAGCAGGTATGTTCATTTACTTTTTATCTATCTTCATTTACCATGTTCCTTATTCATCTTTTCTCTATGTTAATTGTTGTTCATTTGTTATTATTGTAACAGCTCCGGGAAATGTGGCAGAAAATGTAATCCTAGAAAAAAACTCGGACTCAACTATTACTTTTATAGAGGGATCCCGTCGAGCTTATTTGGGTTATGTTACTCTAAAATTTACTCCTGACACAACCTCATGTGTACCTCATCATAAACATTACTGCCTCGAAATTACCGAAAGATGTTCACCCACTATTGATCATTGTATAATACGAAGTTCCTCAGCAGTTGGAGCTGCAGTCTGTGTTAGTGGACCAGAAGCATCTCCAATAATCAAACATTGTGACATATCTGGATGTGAAAATGTTGGGTTGTATATTACTGACCATGCCAAGGGTGTTTACGAAGACAATGAAATAAGTCGAAATGCTTTAGCCGGTGTTTGGGTTAAGAACCATGCAAGTCCGATTATGCGTCGAAATCATATTCACAATGGTCGGGATGTTGGTGTTTTTACATTTGATAACGGTTTAGGTTATTTTGAAGCCAATGATATTCACAACAATAGAATAGCTGGTTTCGAAGTTAAAGCTGGTGCCAATCCAACTGTGGTGGGATGTGAAATTCACCATGGTCAAACAGGAGGAATTTATGTTCATGAGAATGGCGGGGGACAATTTATCGAGAACCGTATCCATTCAAACAATTTCGCTGGTGTATGGATAACTTCACATAGTGATCCTACTATTCGGAGAAATGAAATTTATAATGGACATCAAGGTGGTGTCTACATTTTTGGGGAAGGTCGAGGGCTGATAGAGCAAAATAACATTTATGGAAACGCATTGGCAGGAATTCAAATTAGAACTGCTAGTGATCCAATAGTTCGCCATAACAAGATCCATCATGGTCAACATGGAGGTATCTATGTCCACGAAAAAGGTCAAGGATTGATTGAAGAAAATGAAGTTTATGCAAATACATTAGCCGGAGTATGGATAACAACCGGATCTACCCCTGTGTTGAGGAAAAATCGTATTCACAGTGGTAAGCAAGTTGGAGTCTACTTTTACGACAATGGTCATGGTCGACTTGAAGAGAATGATATCTTCAATCATCTTTATTCCGGAGTACAAATACGAACTGGAAGCAATCCAATGATCAAGAAAAATAAAATTTGGGGTGGACAAAATGGGGGAGTTCTTGTTTACAATGGAGGTCTTGGAACTCTAGAACAAAATGAAATTTTTGACAATGCAATGGCCGGAGTGTGGATTAAAACTGATTCCTGTCCAACTCTTCGGCGTAATAAAATCTATGATGGCCGGGATGGTGGTGTTTGCATTTTTAATGGTGGAAAAGGTATTCTCGAAGAAAATGACATCTTCCGAAACGCTCAAGCTGGAGTTCTCATTTCAACTCAAAGTCATCCAGTTCTTAGGCGAAATCGTATTTTTGATGGTTTAGCTGCTGGTGTAGAAATAACCAATAATGCTTCGGCTACTCTCGAATTCAATGAAATCTTCAACAATCGTTTTGGTGGTCTTTGTTTGGCCAGTGGTGTAAGTCCACTACTGAAAGGTAACAAAATATACGACAACCACAACGCTGTACAAAAAGCTGTCTCCAATGGCCAGTGTCTTTATAAAATATCAAGCTATACAAGTTTTCCGATGCATGATTTTTATCGGTAAGTTCATATAAAATTAGTCCAATTTAGATTTGCTGGTTCATTTTCTTTCCATGTCATGAGGCTCTAATTTCGGTCAAGCTTTCGTAACTCTTTTTGCGAGATTACTTTTAATTCTTATTACAACTACATCATTTTACTTTCAATCATTTCAATTGAAATCATTAATAATCTCTAACATGGTAATCAAACAGTCAGGGTTTACGGAAGAGAGAAAGCCAAATATCACAAGAAAATGAAGAAAAAAGGAAAATTGTTACGTAAAGAAGAACCAAAGTACAGTTAAAAGCTGTTATAACCATTTGAAAGGGTAAAATCACTATCCGTTAACCCTGTATTATTCAATCAATGATTCTGCTATCATGTTTTGCTTGATTCATTTCTTTGACCTCCAATCCCTTTCATGTTTTGATCTCTTTTGCTTTTCGTTGTTGATTCTTTTTCAGTTTCATTCTAGAATCTTTTTTCATGAGAAACTTATTGGCTTATGATTATTTTTTTATTGACTTTTCACTTGTTTCTCTTATCTTCCTGACTTTTGCCTTTCTTATGAAAAAAAGCGTCGATGAATTAGAGATAGAGAAGGAAAGAAAGATAAAGAGAATGAACAATCATCATGATTTTATATTGAGTTGAAAGATTGAATGAAACTTTGCTTGTAACGGATGATCGGTGTAGGTTTCATCATTCAGTCAATTCACAAATAGACTCGCATGGGTTAACTCCCCTTCCAAGGCGAACGGGATAGACCTAGATGTTCGATCTGAGTGAATGGACTTGATCAATTGAACAATTCAACCTTTTTTCAATAGATCGAAGTTTCATTTCGTTTGATAAACTTTGAAACACAAGAGAGCGTGCAACTGAAAAAGGGGTGGCAAAAAAAGAACTTACAAAAGGAAATGAATGATGTAAAGAAAAGGCTTTCTCCAGCAACATCATTATCACAAGTTTCACAATATTTTTTCACATTACCTATTCTTATCGCATGAACGTTTCACCCTTTCTCACAGGCTTGTAATAAGTCTGTTGATGCGAAAGAAAGCAAAATTGAAGTTATGGTGATAAACTTGATTTAGCTTTATGATAAATTTTAAAGAAAACAATTTTCACTATCAAATTATTTCTACTCCAAATGGATGCTAATTTACCCTAAATAAAGCGATTTCAAAAATCGAAATCATTCTGTATTCGTTTAACATTCAACAATCATTTTCAACAATCAACTAATTTACTTTTTTTGTCTCTCAAATCCGTTAACTCGTTATGCTTTCTTACCGCTCTTATACTTTGTATTTGTTTCTTCGTCTGGTTAAAGCAACAAATTTGATGAGAAATCGTTTTCTGTTTGCTATCACTTTTCAGACCAATTATCACAAACTTGACCAATTCATCCAAACCAACCATTTAATAGTTGGCCTTTTTTGCGTGTAAAAAAACATTTTCTAGCTCTAAGTTAACGGTATTTTTGTGTTTTTGTGTTTTCTAAATGCTTATGCATGTGTTCACTCATTATTGATCTTCTATTTATCATTTACTTGATTCATTAAACTTGTTGTTGAAAAGCAACCTTTTTACGGTAAAAAATCTACAACCAAAATGATCTATCAAAATTTTTTCATCCAATGACATGGAACCGAGCCACAAATAACTGATCAAATGTTACAACGTTTTTTTTCTTATATTCATTCATCTTTTTCTTCTTTTTTCACTGTTGAACTATCATCGTTCCTAACCTGCTACACTCATCAAAAGATGTCGGACTTGTAACACATCAGATCGGAACGCTATTTGTGTCAACTGTATAAATACTTGTCACGCAGGACACGATCACGAATACATCAGGCATGATCGGTAAGTGATGAACGATATTCGACCAAGCATACAATTCCTTTCTCTCATTTCCTTGCTTTTGCCTCCTTTTTCATTTCAATGCTAAAAAGTTTCAACCAATTTTCAACCCTTTTTTGCTTTCTCTCCCCGTTTCATTTGTTCAAAATATTAATCTCTACTTTTTCATTTTCCCAGATTTTTCTGTGATTGTGGAGCTGGATCATTATCAAATCAATGCCATTTACAAGGTGAACCCACTCAGGATACCGACACTTTGTACGACTCTGCTGCTCCTATGGAATCTCACACTTTAATGGTCAATTGACACCACGCATTTTCACCAATAGCCGATTAATTTTTCTATTTAATCATTCATCCAATTAATCAATCTGCTTTTTCCATCATATCTCATCGAACTACTTGCCATCTCTACTTTTACATATATACATATTATATATATATTATTTGCGCAAAAATCCCTTGTCCCCTGAAACCAATATTGTCATTTTATCTCATCAAATTGTAGTTCTAATCATTTTCATCTTACCTTATCTAACGGTAACCTACCTAATCCTTATTTCGCCATCTTTCTCTATCATTCTTAGCCATTCACATTCATCCTAACATCAATGAGTGATACTCTATCAACTTTTCTGGTCACCCCAACCCTAACTCTTCCTCTCTTTTATTTACTCTCTCATCTGCTTTTATCAAGCTACTTTAACGCCGATCTTGAGAAAATCTGATCTTGTATTTTCTTTGAAAAAACAAGATTATTTCATTACGCATATTAAAGTGTTCGAAAAGGTGGTTCCTAACGACCAAGAAAATTGAAGAGCAAAATAATTCATCAACATTTTGGTTACCACTTTGAACTTTATCCGAATCGAAAAGAATAACCTCAAAAATGCAAATTTTCACCAATAACTCCAGTTTGTCTTCATGGAAACTTATTTTTTAGATTTACCGCTTAAATCATTGAAAGTACTCTTCATATTACCCTTCCGATCAAATCATGTCCTAAATGATCTCATTTAAGAAAGAAATTCACTCCATTTTTGTGGTTTTTATATTTTTAATTGGATTCAAGCTCATTGTAGGGTCTAAAAGATTTCAATGATTATTTACAAATTTCAAGTTTCTAGCTTAATTGAAACCAAATTTTAACCAACTTTTTTGAACACTGATTTATGTGCCGCTAATTTACTAATAGCTTAGTAATTATTAAAGTAGACCTAAACAGTTCAATTTTTTTGTCTTATTTGAATTACTTGGAAAGTAATACAATGACCGCTACAATAATGACCTCATTTACCCTTATAAATATTACAAACCCTTGTCCACAAGTAATAACTCCACTTTGGCTCTTGATGTTTCTTCAGTTGCCAAAGCAATAACAATTTACATTACTTGAATAATAAATATTACACCTTTTTATCTGAAATAATTGTACAAATTATTTACTTGAACTTCATTTTAAACACAAAATTGAATTGAAAACTAGATCAATTAGCAAAAGTGATATCGATACTTATTAGGGTGATCAGGGTATAAATGAATTGAATAGGTTAGGAACGCCAAAAAAGATAACGCTAGTTTTTGTTACTCTGATCAATTCCTCTTAAACCCTATTTAGTTTGGTATTCGTCAGTTGATTTGTTTCTTTTTAATTCGCGTTTATTCGAACTGAATGTAGTCACAAAGTGAAAGTAGTGACTACTGACGAAGTAGTCCGACGAAGGCATAATTGAAGATCTTTAAAATTAGCGATTTGAAGTGGACCTGAATGGAACATCAGACTTGTTAACCAGATCTAGCCCAAGTGACTTTTTATTTTAAATTTCGAACGGTACACCTGTAGCACTCGTTTCAGCTGATTTCTTATGATCTTTAGTTAAATCCAACAGCCGAAAACTTTCCAACTCCGAGGCATCAGAGAGATAAGCACCAGGAATGGCCAAAATTGTCACTCTGGGGTAAAAGTGTATAGCACCAATATTTCTAAAATAAGGCAGAAGTACATTATATTAAAGGCCAAACCACCTATTGTTTGATCACCAATAGATTCCTAACATGTTACATGTTGACCATGGTGGATCCTGTTATGGCTGACTATTGGACCCACTGACAGTTAATCTGGGAACGTGCTTTAATGTATATATATTCTGTCCATAAATCCTCTATCGGCCCTCGACTTTCCCCGAATCTGGGAACACCACCTTGATAGACATAAATTTCATTTCTCGGAATAGTAGGATCAATATGACTTTTAGTTTAAACGAGAACTCTGGGTTGAGCATTTCGGAAGATATCACTTTCTCGAATATTACTTTACTCTACCATTAATCCGACCATCCCGGCCATCCATGGAGATGCTTCTGGGCCACTAACACAGACTGCAGCTCCAACTGCTGAGGAACTTCGTACTAGGTCAGCCGTGAAGCGGCGTAGTCTGAGCGAGCGTTGAGTCAAATACAGTGACTTTTAGGCAGAATTTGCGAAGAAATAAACAGTCATTGGTTACTCGTAATCTTAAAGTATCAAAATCCATTAGGCAAGATTTTTCAGCCGAAATCGCTTATTTTCAAAATTTCGAGAGCAAATTTGTTTTTGCAATCCTTAAAATTATATTTGCAGATGAAGAAGGTAGATTCAGAAGGTTCTAGAATAGTGCGAATTTTTTTGGAGAAAAAATAGAATCACTGAAAATAACCACTTAATGAAGGTATAAGGAACTTTTTGTTAATGGAATTTTGCACAGGTAACATGAAAATACTTTTTGCCAAGTTTCATCCACTTAGGCCCTGTATTTAACGAAATCGGTTTTTGGCCTATAAAACGGAAACGGAAATTCGTAAACAAAAATCTTTTCTTTCCGCACTTCTTCATAGTGATGTCCATCTATGGTGAAAATTTGAGAGGGTTAAGTGTTACCGTTTGTGAGCTATCGATGACCAAAGTTTGATTTTTTGAAATTTTTGAGCTGTGGACTAAGTCTTCGCTTCGCTCAGACTAATTATACAATGATCAATAGTGGGTGAACATCTTTCGGTAATTTCGAGGCAGTAATGTTTATGATTAGGTACACATGAGGTTGTGTCAGGAGTAAATTTTAGAGTAACATAACCCAAATAAGCTCGACGGGATCCCTCTATAAAAGTAATAGTTGAGTCCGAGTTTTTTTCTAGGATTACATTTTCTGCCACATTTCCCGGAGCTGTAACAATATAAACAAATGAACAACAATTAACATAGAGAAAAGATGAATAAGGAACATGGTAAATGAAGATAGATAAAAAGTAAATGAACATACCTGCTCCAATCATTGCAATAGAAGAATCAATGAAAAGTCCTTCAGGTTTGTATTTTCCCGAATGAATAAATATGAGCGGTGGATTAAAGTTGTCTTTGGTTGTTGTATCATCTTTTCTTAGGTTTGAGCTAACGGTGGAAGGAGAACCACTTGAATGTCCACTTGAGGTATTATTAAAATTTCCTGAGGTTAGAGATGTATCGACCTCATGTAGCCCTTCGGTTTCTTCACAATAATTGACTGCTTTTTCCACTGTGTCAAAGTAGACAACATTTCTTCCTCAATATCTTCTCAACATCTTAAGGAATTTCAGAGTCAAGAGTCACTTTTTGTCACTTAAGTAACTTTTGCAAAAATGGGGTTCACTTATATAACTAACGGTTCAAACGTTATTGTTAGTTAAGGTCACTGAATAAGTGATTATTAACTTGAATCTTTTCAATATAATTTTATAAATTTGTTAACTGTATAATAATTTGGACGGTCAATTAGCCTAATAATCGGTTGGATTGTACCCGCACCGATTCACAGTTGAATTGGTTGATCATTAATACACTTATTATCATGGAAACACATGAAATGGATAACAAAAATGAAAGATAAAAGTGAAATGTAAAGAAGACAGAGAAGATAAGTTCCTCATTCCCTCTGTCTAATAAGAAGAGAGCAAGGGAGAATGGCAATTGAGGGAGTGAAATGATGATTTAGTTTATGGTAAGTCATGAATCAGTTGCAAGTAAAAAGTTAACTCATCAACAGTGACTCTTGATTATCATCACCTAATCTCAACATTTTTACCTGTTATTACCGTTCTTGTGCTTATTTCAATCATTACAGTGCTTTAATTATAATTATCTCATTTTAATTGTTTCAAAATAGTTCATCATTAAGCTAGATATTAAACCAAAAACTTGAAACTCAGCTTTAAAGCCAACTGTAAACCCAAAAGTGCAAAACCCAAACAATAATCATGCGTTTAACTGATCAGTAATAATTAACCAACATCGACAATCAACTAAACAAGAAAAGGTTACTAAGGAGAAACGTGAAAAAGCATAGGAAACCCAAAAAGCAAAACCTGTAAACCTGGAAAGTTACAAATGGATTTTCAATTTGATTTTAGGTTAAACGCGTTGAACGTTGGCAATAGCTTTAAGTGTCTTTATTTAATCAATTGAAGCAATGATAATAATAATCAACGGCAGTTATACTTTTAAGAGGACATCAATATAAGCATTAGCAAAGTCACCCTGATTATTGTTAATAATAACAACAACAGTTCAACATAAAAATTGAATTATCCAAACTATCTAAACAAGTCAAGGATTTATTATTATCATCACCATCATTAACGACCATTTTACAGAGAGATTCAAGCTAAATTATGTTAATCATCATAATCTAATCAACATTTATGGTCATATGCACCAATTTTGCCGTGCAAAAGTAAATTAAAAAGAGCGCCTTTCAAAGTCACTCAAAATTTTTCACCAACATTACCAACAGTTAACTTTGTTGTCATTGTTATCATCATTTTTATTAATCTACACTCATTTTTGACTGCCATTCAACTAAATTACATTTTGATTGTATGCATTTCCCTACCAACCGTTAATAAAAAATAGTAACCATCAAAATTGTTACCAATTTTCAGTGTGATGAGTCTCCTTGCTCGACAATTTTACTGTTACCATCATCATATCAATCAACAGTCACATCAATATTACATTCATTATATCAACGATTAATCTCGTCATTAATATTTATATCAACAAGCAAATACCCAAACCTAAACCCAAAAACAAAATACCAAGCCAAACAACCTGAACCCGGGCCCTATCAATGTCAGCTTTTGAACAAAAAGTACAAGGATTATCAAATTATTATCAAACCAATAAAGGTTTAATTGTTAATGTATCCTTGGACGTGTTTGTACGCAAACAATTAAATCTCGAAACCACCAAATAATAGTAATAATAATATAATAATAATCCAAAACAATAGCAACCACCAAGATGAACAATACAATGGAAAGAAGAAGGAAGGAATATGAATGCAAAATCTAAGTGTCCAAATAATAAGTAATAAGATATGTTAATTAAGTGCCATTTGGATTAATTGTTTTACGCCAATATTGATCATCGCAATAAAAATCACAATCATCTCAATAATTGGAGCCATAATTTACAAGGGAAAACATTTAATGGTGTCGCGTCTCTTTGCTCAACACTGTAACCAGTTTTAGGTTTGCAGTTGGTTTTCACCCATTTTTTTGGTTAACCATCTTCTTCAACTTTACTAATTGCTGCGAATGAAATTGAAACTATTTTAGCATTTAAACTCTACTCTCTATCTTTCTCTCTTTCTCTATCAATCTTTATCTGTTTAATTGTTGATAAGTTATGTACAACTTGAGACAATTTCTTGCAAACTTAGCTTGGTCCATAAATAATCAGCTGATCCTCTTAATCATCATATTCACAATAAGCCTTGTCATCTTTTTACCTGTTGATTGTGGTAAATTAGCATCATCAGAAGAGCAACAGCAACAATTGAAAAGTTTACCACCATCAACATCATCTTCAACTCAAAGACTTTCAACCAAATCAGAAGCTGATCTGTGTGAGATTTGCTGGTGCAACAAGGATTCACTTGCATGTCAAAAGGACAATCGACTTAAATCATTTCCAATATTGTTAAATGAAACCAAAAGAGCAGCAATTAAAGAAATGTAAGTTTCCAAATGAACCCAAATTGATTCACCAAGACAATCAATCACCAACTATGTCAATGTCAATAGTGTCCAAGTAACCCAGTGACAAATTTTGTTTTATTGCAGCAAATTTTCAACAATCAAACAATCAGCTAATTGATAGTCAACAATTATTATTGTTTACAATCATAATCAACATTGCGTGTTATTTGCCTGGAAAAGTGAAAAATATTTACAAATGCAAAAAACCTTGCAACTAACAATAAGCATATTTTGCATAATCAAACTGAAAAACAAATGCAAGAAAATGAAATCATTAAAATGATCACAATTTCATGGTTAGCATTCAGATCAACAATCAGAGTAAAGGCAAAAGTTGATTGTTGTTAATTGAAAGGAAAAATATTTATTCAATTGCAAAACTTGATTAGAATTTTTGATTAACCTTTTAATGAAGATTCAAAGTATTTTTGCATTTTTGATTCTTTTAGATTTTGATTTTACTTTTGACTTACATTTGTAATTTTGAAGATCTTTTCCCTTCTTTGCTCTCAATTTTACACAGATTTTGCATAATCTTGATGAACTTTCTCCTGCTGCTTTCATAGCAACTCTTGAAACTGCGTCAACGTTTATTTCATCTCAATCGACTCGGTAATTTAGCAATCAATTTGATAATAAATAGTCAACTATGCATGATGGTAAAAGGCAGGATTTATGATGGTTGAAGGTGAAACTAAATAGTTACAGACAAAGTAAAACCCTTTTTTAATGAAAACAAGTGACAATGGAAAGAAAAAGTTAATTGTTCAGTAATTTGACAGAGAAATTCATTGATGATTAAGATGGTCACATTTGCAGGGGAAAACAGAGCAACTGAAAAGGTCAGAAAATGCGACAATTTGCTTTCACATGCTTTTACTTTGCACCAATTAATGGACAACATTCACTTGAGTTAATTATTATCTCTATTGCTGTGATTATTGTTACTATTAATGTTATTACATGTTTCAGCCCATATCAAGGTTTCCCGGGCTCACATCATGATAATAGTGATTCAAACTGTTTAACTATTACGATGATGTGTGTGTTATTGTTGATTTTCTTTGAACCAAATATGAAAGCTTGAAAAAAAAGGTCTGATTGATAAATTGTAATGATAACAAAATAACAATGATATTTATGAGCATAAAATTTATACAATTAAACCTTTCAATATCTCTTTACTGCGCTATTAAAGGGTAATCAAGAGAAACACTGCGACACTAATAATTCCCAGGGATTCAACAATTATCATACCATCAATAATCATCATCTTTTATCGTCTCTTTTTGCCCCTTTACGTCTCACCATAAACATGATAAAGATGCCATGAACCACTCCCATGGATAGATATTTACCTTTGTTTCATCCCTTCTCTTATCATCTTGATTGTTGTTAAGGTTAACTTTTCAATTGACTAAACATTTATTGATTTTAATTTGAACACTGATCAAGTTTAAATGCGCAATTTGCATCACTTTTTGGTTCATTTTGCAAATCTAACAATTTTGCTTGTCGATTCATTTCAAACCTTAACCGTTACTTTGAAATTAAATATTGAAAGGCCCTTCAATTATGTCAATATTTATCATTTATTATCATTTGACATTCTCAAGAAGCCGAGTGTTTTATGGTGATAAAGATAGCAATGAATGCAGAAATAGGAATGATTAAAATTATAGGTAAATTGTAATTTGCAAATTGATCACAATTTGCAGTTTTTGCTTTCCCTCAACCTGACATTTAATGCTTTCCTTTTTGCTTATCAACCTTTTTGAATATCAATCATGTTAATGGGATGATATATTTTTTTGAGTAAATCAATGAAAATTGTTGAGTATCTAAGTTACAATTGAATTACAATTAAGTCTCATCACAAAAGGTAAACCTAAACAGAGTCAACCTAAATTTATAAATATGTAAGTTGATCTATTTTCACCTGATTTGCGTGGTTTCAACCCGAATTTGTATTTGTGCAAGGAAAATGCTTAAACATTGATATTGGTTGCCATTGACTATTTAGACTACATAATTATAACAACAACAATAATAGAGTGAGCAACCAGAAAAGAAACAATTAACTTGATATAAATATTATGCATATTGGAGTTGCTCAAGAGATTTTGATCAATATCTTTAGGTACCAAAAGTAGACCTAAACACAATTACAATAATAACCAGTATTTTTAGGCAAATGATGTAAATGCAAAAATCAGTGAAACCAGAAAAAATTAACTCAACTGATTGCATTGAAACAAGCTGATTAAATATTTTTTCACATTTTAAACTGTTGTTTTTTACTTCGCAATGTGAACGAGAAATGTCATCAACAGTAACATTTGAATAGACTGTGAGAACCCAATTTATTGGCTTTATCATTAATGATAACAGTAACCGTAATAATATTTTAGGTCATCTAGGGTGTTAAAGGACATTGAAAAACATTGCATTCTGCTCCAATTTATCAGGCAAAGTCGTTTCATGGGTTTCAGATCAGATTCACATTTTCTACTTTTAGACCTGATTTGCATTAATCCAGGCTGCAAAACTCATGTTAGTCTTTGGCCTCTTCAATGATTGTCAATTTGAATATCGTTTTATGGACGATTTAATGTTAAATCAATTTTTGCATTTAGACTTTTCTTTTGCATATATTTTTACTTTGTAACTTTTTGGGTTTGTTGATTGAATTTGCTACAAAAATTGTCAAATTGTTCAACTTACATTACTGTTAGTTTTAAAAACGGGTTGTTTTTGTATCAAATTGAGTTGAATTCATTTACAGCTAACAGCGAACATAATTGTTATTTAAATTCACTAGATAACCGTCAGATTTAATTGAATGTTGAAAATATTGAATTTTGCATTAAAAATGACAATTGCAGATAAATAATGACAAACTTACTATTTTTTGTTTGGAAATATTGATTGGTGAAAAAATTATGAAAACTAAAGACTGGAAAACAATTTTACAAACCTTGGTCAACTAGTTTAGTGATTGAATTGATTGTTAAATCAATAATTTATTTGTTTTTACAATTGAAGTATTTCAATGATTAACCAATCTTTTATTTGTTTAATTGCCACAGAATCATTGAGAATCAAGCCGATTTAACGTTGTTAAAAGACAAAGATTTAAGCTTTTATCCAAGCATAACAACACTGTAAGTAAAAAGTTGACAATTGTAATAGTTGAATTGTGAATTTTACGCTTTCTAATTCTTCCTTTAATTGCAATTTCTTCTCCAGGACAATCAGCAACAGTGGTTTGGCTATAATTGAAGAGAATGCATTCAAAAGTAACAAAAAATTAGAAAAAATGTAAGTAATTTCAAGTTAACAAGTTAATTTTGATGAGTAGTTAAAGGCTGTCAATGGTGCGAATGCTATAAATCACATTTATGCGTTTTAAATAACACCGATGTTACCCTTTACCATCAAATAAACCAGATTAATCAGATTAACCTGATTAGCTATCTAACCTGCACTTATATAAAGTGAGTGAAAATAGCAAATAATAAACTAGTATTTATAGCTAGTAATTTGCAAAATAAGAATGAAAAAATTATTCAGTCATGAATTTACTTAGATTAATTTTTCACTTGTTCAAGGTAGACAGCATTTTACCTGTGAAAGAAACAAAAAAAATAATTATTAGAGAAATGCAGTGATTTGAAAAAAAGTTTCATCAGGAAGATTCTGTTGGAAACGTTATTGAAGACGATTGAACGAATAATGGCTTGTATTAGGTTAAATGATGCCTCAGCGATTTGTAAATCGTTATCATCATCATCATCATCGCCATCAGAGTAGAAGAGAAACTGCTAATTAATAGGGAATTTACCTGATTCCAATCAGAAATGAACTACATTAAATTTGAACCATCCTGCCAAACTAACGTTGTAACTCCATTGATCCCGTGATAATGTTGTCTTAAAGATTGTAAAGAGCCTCAAACATTATCACTCTCTTTACATTATAATAATTATAATTATATTACTGGAAACTAAATCAATTTTTGTTCCACCTAATAGCTGAAAGATAGACAGAAATGAGATAGAGAGATGAATTAGACAGAGAGAAAAGTAAGATAAAAATGGATGACAAAAAAAAATGTTACCTGGGAATGTCCTTGAGACAAGTTATGAGTTAGCAGAAAGCATTGAAATAGCCCAAAAACGAGGCAAATATAGTGACGATGGTAATAATATATTTAACTCTTGATCAACTTCAATTACAATCCTTCAGTTTATGGACAGTGAACAAAACTGCAAATTATTTTTAACATGTCAACGGTTAACATGAAAACAAGGAAGGTAACCAGAAGGTAATACACAAGATAGAAGGGTTGCTCAACAAAAGTTTATCCCATTATTTTGTCGTATTAACTTAATTTAGTTACACAAAAATACAATTGATGTTTAACTTAATGATAGACATTAATTCAAATTGAAAGATTTTACATTTTTAATCAATCAACACTTTAACAAAATAAAACGCTGGTCAGCTAAAGCCGCGTAAGCCGGTTCGTTAAAACAGTTACTCAAAGCCGTTAAGCTGAGGTATCAAGTGAAGGGTTAAAGTTTAACCCTGAAGATGGTAGCAGTAAAAGTAAATTAAAAAGCGCAATTATTTTCATTTACAGATTTATTTATTTATTATTTACTATTTATTGCCTTTACTTTTTACTTGTTTTATTTTGTAATTGGTATCTTAATTGCATAAAATGTTATCATCAAATGTAGATTTATTATTAACCAGTTAAATAATTGTATTATTGTTGTAACTACGATTGCCATCGCTATTGTTTCTCCCGTTGCCGTTACCATTGCCATTGCCGTTACCGTTTCCACTATTAATTTTGTTCCCATCGCCGTTGACATTTTTATCTCCATTGATAACTGTGACAATCAAAAATAGAGTTTAAATCATGATTAGTGTTGATCGTCAATCATCATTCATTACACAGATTCATCTTGAGCATCTTCAATCTCTTTAATTGTCAATAGCTTTTTTTCAACAAAATAACAACCTTACATTCAAATGCTGTAATCAATCCAAGAATATTTTAATTATTTTATTTACCACCATAAATTGTTAGTTTACTGTTATTGAAGAGCATTTATTTGATTTCTTTATTATACCTCTAAATAGCCATTGAATTGATGATTCAAATGACAGCCAATTGATATGAAAGCTTTATGTAGAGCTATCATTTGTGACAACCATGATGATAATCATCTGACAACTTATGATTGATCATCCAAATCAGATGATGATTAGAGTATAGTAAACTTGTTGGTTAGCAAAAAACCCTGATTTACAAAGAGTCACTCAAAATTAACTTACTTGGGCCAAAATTAACAAAAACATAATCAGAACCATCCTTAGGCGGATCAAAACTGTTGATACTGTGGACATTGCTTTGATTTTCTGTGTCACTCATAGCAATTGCTTGATTAAACGGCGGATCAGCTCCATTCAATTGTGATACAGATGAACTTTTACCAGATTGTTGACCAGTAACACCAATAGCAAAATTACAATGAAACTCATCATCAGCTAACAGGCATTGAATCTTTCCATCACAGAGTAGTGACCTAGGAATACATCGTTTGCTTTCTTGACACTGATAGGCACAACTGTCCTCCTTTGGCGATGGTAATGGTGGACAGGACTGTTCATCATCTCCTTGTGGACACTCAATTAGACCATTACATCTGTACTCTTGATTTATACAGGGACCATTAAAACAGTGAAATTGATTTGGCAAACAAACTGGCTGATTGTTCACCTTATCTGTAAAGTCTCTGCACAAACAAGATCATTATTGAAATGAATTATTTAATCACGAAAACTTACCCTTTCAACAATTGATTCCGATTATTAATGATTGATCCATTTGAAATTGCAATTGAAATTGTACAAATTATAACTAAAAGCAATACCATTTTGTGACTCTCTTGGACTGTAAATAGCTAGAATTGATCGATTACAATTTTATATAAAGATGGTAACGATGTTGATGGTTGATAACCGCAAATATAATCAGTTTTACGAACAAATTGACTTAAATTGGTGTAATTTACAATTTGGTTAGTTGCTGTCATTAACGACTAGTCAAACCAAAGACAATAAATGAACAGTTCCCATTATAAAGCAATTAATTACTCATCAATAAGTGATCAAAATTGTATTGCAAATTTGAATGCTTTGCTTATTTCAACGATTTACTTCTCAACCTCTAACTTCACTTTTTGTATACTTTCAGTGATCTCAGATTGAATAAATTACAAACCTTACCTTGGATGGTTTTTGATCAAACTAACTTGCCAACAATGTAAGTAAACCAATCAATTTTAATTTCTCACCGAATCCAATGTGCACTATTGATTTATACAAATGGTTCATAGATTTTTCCAATGTTGATGGAAATCAAATCCAAGTTTCTCATCTACTTCCAAGAGATGTTAAATTGCGAATTAACGAATTAACAAATTGCTTCACCATTTATCTTTAAACAATTATCTTTGATGTTGAAGTAAAAATCTCATAAGCAATTGATTCTTTTGCATTGACCATGAACAATTGTATTTGAATAATATTAATAGTTGTTGACTTGATAACATGAAGATTGACTGTTTGATAAATTGCGTTCTGCTTTCAATTTGGTATAATTATTTTGGTAATCATTTCGTACTTGATGGTCCCTTCAAATCTCGATTTGATAGCACTAATGTTTTACCAAAATCAATAGTCCAAGTACACTTTCTGCATTCAAGCCATTTGTTTTTTACTCAATACAAACCCAATGTAAACCTTTTTAGTTTCCCAATCGTTCATCTTGAACCTTTACTGGATATCCTCATTTTCATGCTATTTTTATTCATGATGATATTTATATTGATCCTCCCAATAGTATCATGACTGGCAATCCATTGGCATGCAATTGTAGTAATAAGTGGATCCAATTGAATATGATAGATGGTGGCTCAAACCTAGGACCTTATTGGGACAAAATAACATGTATACATAAAAATGGTTCAACCGAGAATCTCTTGCAAGCATCGATCGATGATTGTGGTGAGTAAATTGCAATTGCACTTAACCAGAGAAAAGTAAAAACCAGTAAATTAAACCCAAAAATTGAGCTAAAAACCTGCAGGTCGACTTGGAATTAAAATTGTCTGCAAAAAAAGACAATTGAAATGCTTTTAATGCTTATTTTGCCTCAGTCTGACTGATGAAAAGTATACTTGAAGTTAACCCAAAATAACCAACAACCCAACCCAATGCAATTTTGCCAACCTAACCCTACCTTTTATCATCATCATTTTCATGGTTTCTCATCATCTTATTCACTCACCTATTTTCCTCGTCATTCCCATGACTTCCTATTGCATTTCTCATGATTAAATGTTTTCCAAATAATACAATAACGAGAAAAAATGGTTCCTTTTTTGGGGTTTATATGCGCATCAAGCAAACATTTGGATAAACTTACAGTCAGAAAGTGAAAAATATTACAAAGTAATCGACCCAGGAGAAGATTTAATTTGTTTGTTTCATAATGTTTGTCGATTGACTGTAATTTGAAAATAAAGTTGCTTCCCTTTGCGCAAAGATGCAGAACCTTGCATGAATTTGCTCACGAGGTTGTCCAGTCTAATACCTTTCCGTGTTTAACATAATTGATTATATTTTTTGCAACTTTTCTTGGAATCTTTTCATTGAAAAATCCATTGTCTGACTATCTAATTTAATATTCATTTCATTTGTTTCCGTGTTCCCAGATTTACCAAAAGTAACTGTAGATCCAAAGTCAATTAACATCAACGAAAGCCAATCAATAACAATTACGTGCCATGTGACCGGCAGTCCAACTCCAAGGTAACTCACTTGCAACCTAAGAAGGCTTAGCTCTAGCTTGAAAAACAAACAGCAGTTGGCTCAAGCATCGTACTTTGATTTAAGCTATTAAACTGGTCAATGATGAGTTTATGGTTAACTTAATAGATTCTGATAAGCAAATTAAGATCACAAAAGCTGAATCTTCGGTTGCAATTTACAGAAAGCTATTGAGTCCAATTGTTTAAAATGCTATTTAATTGTTTTGCAATTGATAACTAACATTGTATTAACGTTTAAATTTACAGAGTTTTCTGGCGAATAGACGATTCTTTTTCTAGAATCAGTTCATCTTTCATAAAATCTCACCTTAAATCATCAGAATCAGGATTAACAATGGCCAATATATCGGACCCAGTCCGACCTTATTCACTGATTACAATTGCCAACCCTAAAGAGTACAATGTACTAGTAATTGAAAACATTACTGGACCCGATGTTGGTTCAATCAAATGTATTGGAGTTAACATGGTTGGTCGAGTTCAAGATGAATCAACTCTTCAAATTGCAGGTAAAATAAATGAGAGCTTTCGATTCGGTTTTTCAGCTTCAATATGAGTTTTTTTTCGCAAAAAAAATTGATTGTTAATTAATGCCATTTGATGATGAAGCAAAATGATGATTTTTGTTGTTTTTACAACAAAAATGGACTGAAATGTGACAACTTTCAAGGCAAATGCCAATATAAGATAATTGTTATTAAATTATATGCTAGGAAGGTCGTTTTTAAATGCACAATGGCAGAAATTGTTATTAAATTGATTAGAGTAACCTTGATTAGACTATTATTAATTGTTAAACTGTAGTTTAATGACAATTGAGCTTTGTACAATCAAATGGCAAGATTAACTAGACAATTGGATTTTAAACGACTTTATTGATATTAACTGGTCATCATTAACTCATTCAACGTTGAACCCTTTAGGTAAACCTCGCATTGAAACATTTGAATCTCAAGTCAAATTTCATTTGTGTCTCAATTACCGAATCACTGGTGTTCCTAAATTAAAAAGACTCTGGTTTTTCAACGGTAAACCGTTAAAATTTAATGATGAAATTAAAGATCTTGAAATAAGATCACCTAAAAATCCTCATCTGATGCAAGGTAAGAACCAAAACTAACTGAATTAATCAAATTGCTCAAGATAGACCCAAAATCAAAGTCAAAGTTGAATCTAATAGCTAAAGGATTGATATTAAACAATATTTCCAGTTGAGTTGCAGTTCGTATTTTATATTGAAAATTATATGTTTATGCTCATTGTTTCAATCGATAGTTGATCAATAAAAATGTAAATGGCCTAAATTGGTTATAATCAAGCAACATATAATATCCTTGATTTAGTTTAAAATGCATATAATTTTGTGACCAAAAAATAATATTTACAGTTGTTGGTTGAATCCATGTTTAAGTTATATCCATGTGGTTACTCTGAAGGCTGTGTTTTTATTCACCTGAGCTCGCGATTTCTTTCATTGTTACTTCACAGGCTTCACAGTTGCTATCAGTTTCAATTGCTCATTGCATCGAATGACGTTACAAAGTTTGATTACGATCACAATGAAGCTCAATCAGAACATCATTTTGAGTTCGATGATTATCTTGTTGCAGACACGTTCATATCAGAAGTTGAATTCGTGTCAGACCTTGACCTTCTGTCAAGAAATTCAATATTTTATATGCAAGGGAAAACAGTTGATTTAAATAAACATCATTTAGCAAACAATGTTCCTGATTTTCAATCTCTGGGATTATTTAAAAGCAAACTTGTTGAGTAAACTTTATGTTAATTTTAAATTTGAACATTTTCATCAAATCCTTTTCATTTCATTCAAAGTTTGTTGAAGCAGCAAATTTAGACAGTTTTTGTAGTGCAATTGAACAGTTAATATCTTTCATGCAACACTATTTCAACTATTATAATTATGTTAGACATTGCACTTTAATTTTTGCAAAATTAATGGTCAGGAAAAATATCTCTAAATGGCTAAAGTCAATGAACATAAAATCCTTTATCCACTTGAAGACTCAGCGTCAACGGTTCTTCTGTCATATAAAAATGTCCATTGAATTTGCAGTCTTTTTGCATCAGTCAATCGAATGATGTGAATTTTATTATATCTTCGTCACTTGTCATTCCACCGATAATGTCACTAGTCGATATCGCATTTGCACTAATCCATTGAAGTCGCGTTTTTGGTTTAGTCAAGTATTCAAAGTGAGATGAGGTTACTATGCATTATGGCAGATGAACAGCAGAAGTAGCTTCAGAGTACCAGAAATAAGTCCATTTGAAGTGGAGAATCGCCCAATTGACCAAAATTAGCGGATAAATTATCGTTCTGTTTAACCCATTTTGGATATTCGCTGTACTTTTTATTCAGCAAGTCTAAATTGATGCAAATTAATAGTTAAATAACCAATTGGTTAATCAAATATTAAAAGTTACCTTCACTTGGAGTTGAGCTGACATAATGAAAAGTTATTACTATGAATAAATAAAAAGTCACTTTTTGTAATGACATTTGTATTTATTTACTTAACAATTTATATTCAAATTGATCCAAGAATTAACTAAACTTATTAATTTATAAAATAATTGTCGAAGAAAAGGCTGATTAGCTATTAAAATCTAATTATTGAGGGTTGTTTATGCCAATTAATCTAATTTGTGTATCAATTTCATTTCAAATCAATGAGAGTCAATAAACAAACGAGTGCATCAAAAATGATTATCAATACAAGTTCATGCAAACTTATCAAAAAGCGTTGATGAAGAAGCAAAGATTTCATGGAATCATGTGAAATATATTGTCATTTTAATCAGATAATTAGAGACATTGAATCTTCATCGGATAATTAATAGATACAAAAGACAATTATTTACTTAACCATTAATAAAATTGATAATTCATTATTGAAAAACTGAAAAGTTGGTTGACAATGATTTAGTGCAATCCATTAACTTCTGGTCATTTCAGGATGAAATGCATTGCAATTCAATTTTATGAATTTGAGATTGAATTTTTACTCTGTGATTCTGACAAATAGCAACTTGAATAATTCAAGAATCATTCAGTCTATCCATCATTATAAGACAAAAATTACAGAATAAGTACATTCATAGATTGATCATTAAGATAACTTGAAAAGTAAATATTGATTCATTTATTCAAATTAATTCCAATCAAGAATGAACAGAATGAATTTTTGTCAAACATTTGTTGAAAGGTATTTTGTTCATTGACTTAGCTTATCTTGATCCATGGTCTAATTAACAATTAAAAAGGTTTATATTGAAAAATTTAACTTTGTTGTTCTTTTTTGGGTTTACTCTTCATATTTGATTAAACATTGTTAACAAGATTGAAGTTAATGAACAGGATTAATTAACGTTACTTTAAATTGTCTAGGATGCCTTGAAATTCAAACAACAGGAACTAAAATTTTGGGTAATTATACCTTGGTTGCTGTTAACTCCTACGGTGAAGATAATAAAACCATATCAGTGGATGCTGTTACAGGTAAGAAGACAATTTACTAAACATTGACATTGAACTTGAATTATGAGGCATTCAAGATCAAAGGTTGAAACAACAAAAAATATTGAACCACTTTAATTGAATCATTAAAACTCAATAAACCTAATAAACCAATTTTTCCCATTTCAGCTGGTTTACCCAAAAACCCAAAACTGATTCAAGTAAACAAACCGATTCCGTCTCAAGAAAGGATTTACAATCAAAATCGAAACTCAACTGATAATGTTTATTCAGTGCGAAAGGTAATTAAACCATTTACAATTTAATCTCAATCCCAATAGTCAACAATTTAAAATCTTAATCTTGTCCGCTCTTTTGCCCAACAACGTTGTTAAAAATGAAACCATTTTCTGGTTAATTTGCTATTCAATTGTTTGATGTAACTTGATGATCTAGTGATTTTTAATTCATTAATTCAAAGTCATGCAATGATTTTGCCCAAAATATGTTAATTGATTGCTTCTACTGGATGCTAGTTATTAAGCAAATTTCAACAATAATCATTTCTCCATGAACCACAAATTTATTCACCAAATTGTATTCAATTGCAAAGTGCCTGGTCCAGGTTTTAAAGCCTTAAAGTTGACCAGATTTACATGTGACATTGAATTGTAATCAGTCAACAATCAAGTGTAACATGAGTTCAAGTAAACAGAATTAAATTTTTACAAATGTTGTGGTTCATGTTGATGTGTTGACTGTCATTAGTAATAATGGTTTCCCTGGTAAATCATTTGATTCTGCCAGGAGAAAAGGGAATCACAAAGAAATTAAAAGTTGAATTCAAAATGATGTCAACCTTTCCCATTAGTGGGAAAAAAAGATTGTCCAGTCTATTCAAATTGAATCTGGTTGGACCTTTTATTGCCGTTAATGATTAAATTAAATCAGAATCAATCGATTAATATAACATTATTTTCCATTGCCATGCATTCACCAAACATGATGGAAAATGCATTTGTAAATTGAAAATGATTATCTTGAAATGTCTTTAACCTAATAGCCGTTATTTTTATTCAATGTTGTTCTCGTTCTTTTAAATTTTTTCTGGTTTATAATTAGTTTTCTCATTGTATTGATTAGTTAATCAATTGAAGTTCACACAGAACTGGGACAATCCTATTTGTGTGTATTTATAAAGGCCTATTTGACCAATTACCAAAATGGTAAACTCGAGGAAGAAAAAAAAACCATTTACTTTGCATTTCTTTTCATCAATCCTTCTTGTTATTGTTGCCATCTTTTTATAACATTTTCAATCTTTTTCCTTCAATAGATTGTTATATTGATTGGATCCCTTGGTGGTGCACTTATCCTCTCTTCCATCATTATATTATCAATAATTCATCGTAAAAATGACAGGTTAGTATCAACTGCTTGGATAAGAAAACAAAATCTTATTCAATCCAGTAAACAATATTGAAAAAGGTGGAAGACGCCGTTTAACATTACATTAAAGCAATCTAATACACTGTCACTAGCTTTTCAAACAAACAAAGCATGATTATTTTGCAAATGATGTTGTAGATCAATCAGATTAGCACAAAATCAAATATTTAAACAAACCATTGAGAGCATTATGTTCCATGTGCATTACCCATTACTAGGTGAGCTGACCAGAAGATTTTGCAGAAAATTGAATTTTTAAAAGTAAATCTTAAAGTTACTAATCAATGAAATGACTGCAATTAACTTCATTTGTTTCTTGTAAGCTCTAAAAGAAACCCAAAAATTGCTTTATCACACAGGCTTTGAGTGCTTTTTCAAGTTCGGTTCTGGTTTTTTTTTACCAGATGCTCTAATGATAATCAGATGAAACCAGATCATAAGGGTGCATTGGAGCAATTTTTCAGCGATCATTGAGAATCTGAAAACTGAGAAATCTTTTTAGTCGCAAGTTAATCACAAACCACGAGACCTACAATTGCAACTAAAACTTGGAACGCAGTAGATCTAAATTTTAGTTAAGCATCTTTCAGCATTTTATGCATTGACTTACAGATTTTAGTTTTACTAAGCATTCGACTTTTTCGTGCAAAACTTTCTGCTCAACCTAATTCAAATAGCAATGGACTTTTGCATATCGATTTCAATCACAAATCAGTAAACTGTTAATATAACCATTTTTAAATATTAATGCTTTATTGACATTATTTTTGCAACCAGTTAATAATGAATTGAATCCTTTGATTGAAAAATGTAAAGTTAAAATTTTGAGATTGTCTTTCATCTTGAACGGCTGTTACAATAATTACGATAAAAAATGTTATTTTTGATTTAAAAATATCTTCTTCATTTGCTTTTTACTTTTTTTGTTCACTAAATTAATTGATTGCAGTTTTATTTGTTTAACAATTTGCAAATTACTCAGGATCAATAAGAATGAAACTCTGGAAATTGCGATCCGTGAAAAGATACCTTTAAATGCATCCAAAATGATTCGTAATCCAAATTATTCCCCAACCAAGGATAGTCTTTGCTCTGATTCAGGTAAAACCATTTTAACAATTCTGTTTACTTTCTTTTTATTTATTAATAGCATTTATTAACATTTAACTCAAGTTTCCAATAGTTACTTTGCTAACATTTCATTTCATTTGATAGACTACTTTACCTTTCCTATTGACAACTTGAAGGTTGATGATCATCATTATCATCATCCTGATGATAGGTTATTGATAACTCTGTTGACTTTTGGACAAACAATATCAATTTGACATATACAAACAAATATCAAATAAAAACATCAACTTGTTTTGTATTTCATCAAACTGTTTAACCTTTAATGATTTTTAAATTTGGTCCCATCAAAAGTAAGGCAACCTTGTACAATCAAGGCAAAGGAGTAACTCGCAAAATCTGGTACTTTTGACCCAATCCTCTGCAAAGGCGATCAGCAAAGAAGAGCCATTTCAATGTTTCTTAGCCACCCAAAGTTGACCTTATTTTGCCAGTTATTGCTCTATTTTTGTGTCTATCTTTTGTTTTCAATTGATGATCGGATGAATACTTGGTAATATTTAGTAATTAATAATCATTTACGGAAGTATTTTCTGGTTAACCGTCAAATTTTCCCAAATTAGCATAACCATCAACATAGCCTAATTAATTGAGGACATTTACCCGTATCGGTTTATCAATATCATCCTTTTCATCTTGCTACTTGAAAGCAATTGAAGATGAGGGGCTTTAGGAGTTAATGACACCAAAATCATTGGTCAAATTCAAATAAAAGTCAATATTAAAATTGATATTGTCTATTCAATTTTATAGCCTATTATCAGTTAACCAAATATTTGTATTTGTATTTCAATTGAAATGGTTTGCTAACAATTTATTTACTCTTTCCTTAGGCTTAAGGCTTATCCAACGAGATCGAATAAATTTTTTACAAGAATTGGGTGAAGGAGCTTTTGGTCGAGTTTTCCTTGGAACCATTGAATGCCTTAAACCAGATGAAGAGTCAACATTGGCTGCCATTAAAACACTCAAAGATTCAAGTGACTCCGAAGTGCGGAAAGACTTTGAACGAGAAGCCGAGGTTTTATCCAATTTAACCCACGCCAACATAGTCCAATTTTATGGCATCTCTGTTGACGGTGAACCTTTAATGATGATCATTGAATACATGAAATTTGGTGATTTAAACAATTATCTAAGAGCCAATGATTGTTCCAACAATTTGATTAAAATCAATGATTCCAAGATATCTTCATATGATAAACTTGGCTACTCTGATCTACTTAGGATATCTGTACAAATAGCTGCTGGACTAGAGTACCTTTCATTACAACACTTTGTCCACCGTGATTTAGCGACTCGCAACTGTTTGGTTGGCGATGAATTGCTCGTTAAAATCGGTGACTTCGGCATGTCCCGAGATCTTTACGCTACTGATTATTATAAGGTAATTGTGAATCCCTTTTTCTGTCTCATCAAACTTCATCATAATCATCTCCGACAGCTTCTTTAAACTCATCATGTTACACATAAATTCATTTGCTCATAATCAACATAACTATCATAATGATAATAAATATCAATCATGTTGTCATATGGAAGATGATAATAGCTACAATAATAATATCATAAAAGACTTGACGATAGACTTCTTCTCATTGATTAAATTAATTGAGGTTAACTCTGTCTTGCTTGTTCTTCTCTCCCTGAAAACAACCCAATCAACAAAGAGTTTACTTAATTGGTGACAAAGTTTATTAAAGCTTCGCCATTTATCACGTATCATCCTTATGATAATCAAGTTAATCATCAAAAATAATGAGACATCATCCTAATCATTTTGGGTAGACGAAGACGGCAAAAGATGAGAAAAGTATTTGAGGCGAAAAATTTGAACAATTTTTATTTCTCCTTTTCTTTTTATTGTTATCCAATTGAATATTGTACAGGAAACCTTGATTGAATGAATGCTTCTGAAAACAGCCTTGATTAAAGTTGAAAGGAATTGATATTACAAGCAAAAAAATATTTTTCAAGGAAAAATTGAAAAATGTTGTTAACATCACTTAACTCGTCTTATTTAGTCTCTGACGCTGTCAACAACATTACATAAGGTATTGATTGTTGTGAACTTTCATTTTCTTCTCAGCCAATGATTAGCAAAATTAACGGCAATTGTTGCAAATCATATGATCATGTTTTCATCATGATTGCTTGACACAGATAACTGTTTGGTGTTAAATCAAGGCAAAACAGAGCACACAGTTTAAAGGTTCATCTTATTTATCAATATTTCATTTTTAAGTGGAGCCTTATTTACCTTACTTACACTTACTCAAATGATTATCTTTAACTTGAAATTAACAATAATATGGATAGCAAATAATCAATTAAATAGTTAGTTATTCACTGGAAAAAGGAAAAGTCTGGTAAAGTCAGCTTTCTTATTACGTTCAGTTATATCTTGATATAGATGAATTAGTCAATTGTTGTTTATCAAGTGTTGATTTATTGAATATCTTTTGTTTTTTATCAATTATCTACACAGATTGGACGTCAAACCATGTTACCAATTAGATGGATGTCACCAGAAAGCATTGTTTACCGAAAGTTTACTGTACAATCAGATATATGGAGTTTTGGTGTCGTCCTTTGGGAAATATTTACATATGGAAAGCAACCTTTTTATGAGTTATCCAATCAAGAAGTTATCAAGGAGGTGGTCGAAGGAAAAATTTTAGCTCAACCCAAGAATTGTCCTGATGTTATTTATGATCTGATGCAAGCTTGTTGGATTGAATCGCCAGTTAAAAGGATAACTGCCAGTGAAATTCATACACGCCTTCGAGAGATAGTTAAAGAGGAAAATCTTCTAATGGATAATTCATCAGTGATAGATGCTCATATAATGAGGTGAACCAAGCCAATCAATAAACACAGACAAAGACTCATGCCATTTGCAAGATCAACAATTTGGCATAACTCAATGGCTGCTCTTGAGGTTGTTGGTTTATTATTGATTTTGGCTATTAGCTAATCATACTTATACGTTTAAACCGATGCCTGTTATTCAACGCTGATTAGCCTATCTGATGGTGTTTTTTGGTGTGCTCATAAAATGACAATAATTGACAGACAAAAATGAAACAACAAAGATTCAGAAATGGTTAATCAAAAGATAAAGAAAGCTAAAGATATGGTTTTCCAGTTTCATACAGAATCAAGTCAATCTCTCAATTAAAACGCAGTTAATAATTTTCCTTACTTAATTAGAGAGGAAGAAGAGACAATCTTGTCATGAGAAGCAGGCAAAATCTCAATTGCAATAACAATTGTCTATTTTGTGGATAAAGTCAATTCGGAAAGCAAATTGTCAACTTACAATCTACTTGTTTCTCTAATTGTTACTTGTGTTGCTTTCCAATCAACACATCAATTGAAACCCAAGAAATCATCAACACCATGTCTGTGATTGACCAGTTAAATAAAACTCAACACTGGAAGCTCAACTGACTCAGATTCAATTTTCTTGTTGGAAGATGAAATTTATTAGACCAGTTGTTTGTCAAGTCAAACTCAACGAATGATGTTCATATCTAGTCTCTATTCATCTTCATCTTCTCATCTTGTCTTCTCTTCCTCATCTTACATTGCCATTCATTTGTCTTTTCCTCAACTCTTTTTTTATTTTCATTTTCAATGAACATTCTGGAAATACAATTTCTCTCTGTTTCTCTTCATGAAACCTGGAACCAATACTTCGATGATGGTGATTCATGAAGCTGTACAACTTTCATTTCAATTTCTGTGATGAGTCTGTCTTCTTATTGAAATAGCCTTTCATTTATCTGGAAAGTTGCAAGTCCTCACAATTGTTGATGATAATCATTGGCATTTCACGAGATGATCATCTAAAGGCTATAAAAGAGACAGTTTTTGAGGAGAAACTTTTTTATCTAAATTGTGATCAAACTTGTATCATTTTATTTCAATTGTAAATGACAAATTAATTTTCTTATATATTGTAAATTATTTTCATCATTTTTTTCTGTGTAGCATAATCATTGCCTTTATGATATCAGTGTCATGGATATTGTTGTCATAAATATATTATATCATGGATAATCAGCGATCGCTTGATTTTCCTTCTCAAATCATATTTTAAATGCTTCTCATCAGATTAAATTCACAAGATTTCTGATTCACTTTTAATTTATTTCTGTCAATCTATCTTATTACACTTAACTCTCTTGCACTCGAAAATGCTACCTAATAGTCTGAATCAGGTGACTTTTTGTTTCATTTTTTATCATCAAAATGAACTTAAATAACTTTGCAATAAAAATGAGAATAACTTTGAAAGTCGATCAGTATGGAAGAGATCAATTCGCAAGTTTTAACTATTGATTTGATTGAAAATTGATAATACTCATTAGTAATGAATTAGAGCTTCTAAAAGTCTAGATTTCAGGCCTGAATCAATAGACACTGGGTTAGACGTCTAACATTTTATTCAACCTCAGCTTAAACTTAGACGTTTGGGCAAAATTTCAAACTTTTAGACATCTAATCTGATGTCCAGCTTTTAATCAATTAAATGGTTGTTCCAAATTTAAACAGATACGATAAGACACATGCAATGGCTTTAAAATGTTTTTATCATTATTCGGATATTAGTCAAATTTATTACGATTATGCGATATAATTAAAGATCGAAATAAATCGATAGCAAAGTGATCTTGAAAAATCAATACGCTAAGAGTGCATCAACCAAGTTTAAGTCCAGGCAAAAGGCTGAATTGCATTAGACTTGAGCTTCAGAGCTAGTTTTCAAATTTTTATTAGGCTTGGCTATAAGCCTAATATCAGAACATTTACTCGTTACAGTGATTTCACGATTATTTAGACAAAGAAATTGAAGTCACCTATTGGTGTCGAGGCCGAAGCCATAGTATAATTAATATTAGGATAATTCAAGATTTCTGTCATTACCATTGGTAATTCAGTAGATGGAGCTGGTTTTTGTCAAAATCACGGCAATAATTTGTCTTGAAAATGATAAAATATTATTTGAGAACGAGATATTGAAGCAATAAAAGGTCAGATGACGCAAAATACTTGAGGAATGAAACTCGCGAGCTCAAGAAAAAATCTATCGAAAGATTTGCAAAAAGTTTTGGTTTTGAATATTAAACAGAAACCATTTATATACTGTCAAACCTCCAATAATGTCACACTCTCAAAATGTCACAGAGTCATGGTAACGAAATAAACAATTTAGTTTAATTCAGTTTTTTAATTAAATAAATTTTGTGAGGATTTTAATAATGGTTTTAATTGGGTATATTATACGAATCGCCCAATTAAACATCAAAAATCACAAAATTAAATTAAAAATCAATTTTTTTGTTAAATAAGATTCGGAAAAAGGCTATTCCACCTAGAAATTATGTAAAAATAGCCAAAACGCTAATCCCACGAAGTGACATTATTGGAGGTTTGACAGTACATGTATTTTAAATATGTAAACATATAGATGTACCAGACATGATTCACCATTATTATTGGAGAGGTCTCTGTTGATGTCTATCATTGAAAGATAAGTAAGGTTGTTATTAGCAAAATATTATTGAATTTAACAACATATTTAATAATTTTCACCTCAAGTGTTTTAAATTTAAATTTAGTATCCCATGGATAAACAACGAATCATTATCAATTGTCCTTAGAATTGTAATTTCAAAAATTGTGCCATCTTAAAATAAAAACATAGTCTCTCTCTATCTTTTTGTGTTATGTGTAATACATATTGTGTATGCTTAATCTGTCCATGTTTCATTCGGTCTTGACAGCATGTTTTTTTAGTCAAAATTAATCGTATCCATCTTTGATCATTATAATAATAAGTGATGTGACGCAGTAACCAGCATTCAAATCAAGATTTGAATAAATTTATTGATTCCAAGATTTTGCATTATCGTCTCAGCTGACAGGCCAGCTGATTGATCTGTTTGTCAGATTGTGATGATGAAAACTGATTCAACCACAGATTCAAAGCAGCAACAAATAGAGATTGGTCTGAGACGGACTTTGGCTCGGGCTCGTTGGCATATTTTAGCTAAAGTGTTTTATGAAGGCTTAGAGGCTGCCGCTCCATACGATGGCTCTGTACGCTTATTCAATGGCTTTCCCTTGATAACTCTGGCGGCCATTGAGAAAGAATCTGATCAATCTAATGGAAACGAGTCAAATGTTTGGTATAAAGTTAAATGTCAAGGTAGTGATGAGGTTAACCTTGAAATAAGACTACCTGCTGGTAAAATACCTTTTGCCGAGATTCTTGTTTCTCGTGATTCAACCGGTGCTATTTGTATTTGGCCTTCTGAGAAAATTTTGGGTCATTGGTGTCTTCAAAATAAACCACTATTCAATGGGAAGATTGTATTGGAGCTTGGTTCGGGTTTGACCGGTTTAAGTGGTCTAATTGTTGCATCAACTTGTAATCCAGCGCAATTATTTCTTACCGATGGTAATCCTGATTGCATCGACAACTTGAATTTGATTCTAGCCAGAAATAGATCTCGATTTATATCCAAAGACATTCCAATCGAAGCTCGTCAGTTGACTTGGGGCCAGCATGAAGATTATCAAAATCTTATTGGATCCATTGATGTTATTCTCATTTCTGATTGCTTATATCTAGAAAATTGTCACATAAATCTGGAACAAACCATTTGGTCCTTATTGAAGGTAAACGGGAAATGCTATATTATAGCTCCAAGTAGGAATCAATCTTTCGAAAAATTTGCCAACCTTACCGGTAAAAGATTTATAGTTCAACACGAAGAAAATTACGATCCAATCATCTGGTCAATGCATACAACTTATCTAGATGAAAGAGATAGATATCAGTATTCACCCGATCGACATTATCCATTACTGATGATTCTGACCAAGCCACGTTATTAAACACATTACTTATTTGATCATGGTCAATCATTCTTATTCAATCGACGTTGACAAGGAAAGATCATATTTAATGAACTTGGAACAAAAGAATCAATACATCAAGTTATATACAATCATTGGAAATATTAATACATATGCCATGCTATTTTTAACATGGAATATGTAGCAAAATTGTTGAAAATTTATTTATAGCCATTAATATATCAAAATGGGTAACGTCCCAGTTTTGGCCTGTTGAATTTTGTCGTTTTGACAATCAAATGTCATCTTCTCGCTATTCAAGTGCTTAATTTGGTCGCAAAAACAGCGTTAAACCGACATAACTATGTGTACATATACCGTTTAAACTTTGTTTTTAACACAGTTTTATTCAACATAACCAGCAACATTGTACATGATTGTTCAATCACATCAGAAATCATTGAAAACAAGGAAAGCGTAAAAACAAATACTGCACTTTAGGTGTTGTTTTGATAATCATCTTAGCTGACCATTTTATTGAGTGTAACCGCCTCGATTTAGCTTAATGAGAAATCAATCAAGCAATTGTCTTCAATCATAAAAAAACAAATCGTAAAACAAAAGAGAACCGAAAAAAACAATCATTTGGAAGATTACATTAAATAAAATAAATTGCAAAAAGTCAAATTTGTTACTCCTTCGAGATCATGAAGAATAGTGAGAAGATAGAAATAATTGGATATATAGAGGAATTTTGATCCATCTTAATTGCTTACGTTGATAATGATTATGCATTTAATCATGCTGGATGAAAAAGTCGACCTCGATTAAGGATATCAACCATTTCCATGAGTTTCTCCTTTTCATTGGTCACCATTAAAGCTTCAATGCATTTAGGAAAGTAATCATTTCTAAAACAGCTTTGCCTAATAAAGATCAAATCATGATTGAAATTGTAAGGTTAATTTGTACTCACGATAAATTAGGTTTGAAAACTAACCTGCACTGAGTAAATAAATCAGGAACCCGGTAAAGCTCATAACATTCCTCACACAAGCGATCCAATCGGGCAAACATGGCTTTATCATAGTCACCATAACAGCCAACTTCAAGGAATCCGTCACTTTTTTTGTCCATACGCATTGGTCCAAGAGAGGGTGACCCATTCGGTACCCAGGCCATTGTTATTAATGGGATGAAGCTCACAATTAATAAAATCAAGATTGATATTGATACGAATAGTTTAGACATTGTGTGTTGATCTTTAAAAGCAACAAAATTCATCATCAAAATGTTATTGTCTTGTAAGTCACAGGCTAAATGGCAAGTTACTAACCTTTCTGGTGAAATGGTTCAAGTAAATACTGGATAAACTATCTCTGATTAACTCAACTTGATCAATGAATGATTTACAATCTTATTCTAGGGCTAATTTACTGGTTCCAGACTTGGGTTAGACACAATGATAATGTTGTACTCAACTGATGAAATTGTTTGTCTCTTTGCAGCAACCAAAATAGTATTAACGAAAGACTTGAATATTTTGCGTCATTCAACAATTAGAACGCAATTTTAATACTGTTTGGATTAAAACTCATCTTCAGTTTTAAGGTCTGTGATCCAGTGTAACAATTGGAATAAGTTGGTTAATAAAGTGAATAAAAAATTTAATCTGATTGTTTTGCGACCCAAGTTAAACTGCTCAGTTTCCGCAGGAAATTCACAGTCAGTTGGATTAAGGTAATCCGAGAATGCAATTAGTTATGTCAAAGATTCGCGGTCAATAATTTTAACTTACAGTTTGTTGCAGTCAAGTTTGATTAAAACAAAAATAGATGATCAATTTTAATTTATCCACTACTAATCCAATGAGAGATTCAATATTTCCCCTTCTGAGTCTGATGACAGATTTCATCTAATCTATTTAAATTCACATGAAAACTCATGCTGATTTAGATTTACAAGTCAAATTTAATAATAATTGCTCAATTATCCAACTAAAAAAACAATCAATATAAATGTCTATTTGTCTTTGATCGGTTAAGGTTTTAAAACAATTGCATCTATCAACCTTTCAAGATCTTGATTTGTCTCTGTTTCAATGTGAATACAAGAAAAAATCCAACAATTTCAAAATAATATTTTTTAAATATTTGTCAATCAGAACGTATTGATATATTTGAATCAAATATGGTTTGGGTTAAAATTCAAGCAAGTATTTTAAGATTTTTGGTCTTGGCTCAGTGAATTAACTCTTTGAAAAATTTCAGCCTCTTTAAAGGTTCGAGTCTGAATTGAGTTGAAATCAAGAAAAGGATAAATCATTGAATGGAGTCTATGATGATATACAAGGTGCAGGTTTCGCTATAAATTGCAAGTCTTAAGCCTCATTGAAAGACACTCCTTGGCTGTCTGATGACTCTAATTATTTTAAAATAAAAAGCTTTTAAATTAACCAGATCCATCATTACCTTATAAATTCAGTTGATTTACAATTTTCGTGAGACTAGATTATCGAAAATCTTTTGAGCTAATTGTTAAACTTGCTTGAATTTTATGGTAAATATTGCCAATATTTGATTGATCAATCATCTAACCTTTGGGTTAATTTGGTCAATTTTAGCTGTTTAAAGCAACATCATAATGAATGTCAATGGACTGAGATCCGGCTTCATTTAGGGACCGAGTAAAAATCTAATGTCAATTATTTAAAGGCCTTTTTTGTAGTTTTAAATACCAGTAACTAATAATAAAAACTGCCATTATTATCGTAAGAAAATTGTAATTAGTTTGGTTTACTTTGCAAACATATTTACATTTCTTCTTACCACTTCCCTGTATTGGTCAGTAATGAACATTATTTTCAATCAATGTTAACCTTTAACTTTTGGTTCAAGTTATCAGATAGTTTTATTAGCAATATTACACTAAAGTAATACTAATAATGTCGATTTGCCAATTTAAATCCATGCAATGATTATTTTATTGATGGCGATCAATGTGGTGATGTATAAATGATTATTTGTTAATAATAACAAGAGGTTAGGAAGAGGTAAGAGGTTAATGGTTGAGAAATGTACAATTTTATTAATACCTTTTAGGTTTGAAATGCAGAGACGAAATAAATTATCAACTGTTACAATTGTTGATTTAGGTTCAAAAAGTGTTAAAAAGGTTAAAAAGAGGTTAAAAGATGTTAAAAGAGGTTCAAGAAAAAAATAAAAACATCAAGATGATACTGTTAAGGTAAAGAGATGTCATTGTTCATTTGAATACTGTATTGACGAGTACGTTTGATTTCTGAGACTATGTAGTTTGCATATTTTAATAACATGTATTTACTTAAACCACAATTCATTACCAAAATTAGTGGCTTGCCTAATTTGCAACATTAAATTTTTATATTGGACTAACCAATCTTGATTAAAATACCATGTCGATAAGCTCAATTTTAACAATATTATGGTTACAACAAATAATTGCTAAAAATGAGCCTTGCTAATGTGAGGGACAGATTCCAATGAAATGCCATCAAAATTATCATTTTGTTGTTTCTTTGATTTTACCAACAGTTTAGGTCCAGAGTATTTTATCAAAAAAGCTCCTAATGGTGCAGATATTATTATTGATAAAACAGCGAAGGTTAAAATGGTCAATCCATAGCTTATCATGGTTTCATCATTTTTGGCTCGTGCTAATTCAAGGGGAATGGAACCAATTGCAGCTTGAACTGTTCCTTTTGGTAACCAAGAAACGCCAATGAAAAGATGTTCCTTCAGAGTTAATCCAGCTCCAGCAACAATACCAATTGAAGTTATAGTTCGTGCAATCAATCCAATGACAAGACAAACTAATGACCAGAGAATTGTGTGCATCTTCAAGGAACTAAATTTAACTTCATAACCAATTAAACTGAAGAGAAAGATTTCACAGAAAAACCAAATATCTTTCAAACTGTATATCATGGCATCTATGTAACCTTCTTGACGCCATCGAAGAGCAGCAACAAAGCTCATTGATAGTACACCCAATGGACCCATTGATTCAAAATTTAATCTTTTGGTGACATAAATAAAACTGAGTCCAGTCAATAAGAGAAGCCAGAATCTGACTTTTCCAGCAAATGGTCGCGATTCAATATCATCAGCATCACATTTAGGTGGTAAAACCCAAAACAATAAACCAAGAGTGATTCCCAGAATCAATCCGCAAACCGCTTCGATTGGACCAAGTAGAGTAGATGTAATGGAGGTTGACGTAGACATGGCCAAGCTCAAAAATATCTCAAAACAGGTGATGGCCGCAATATCATCAACAGATGAACCTCCTATTACCAGTGTTGGTATGCCTTTATCAATTCCATATCCCAAATCTTGCATATTGATCATGATTGGAACAATAACAGCAGGTGAAGTGGCTGTGCAAACGAAGCCAACCACCATGCACCAAAGAAAAGGAAGATGCAAGAGTAGATGAGTACCAATGGCCAAAACTACAGCTTCAACTACACATGGAGTAAACGCCAATCTTAGGCAAACCCATGATAGCTTTCGTAGTGCATTAGGATCGAGTGAAATGCCAGCTCTTAGTAAGATAACACCTAAAGCCAGGTCACGAGCAGTGGATGATAGGGACGGATCTAGTTGAATTTCGGTTAAATTGGACAAGCTTATACCAGCTAAAAGCATACCAACTAGTGTAGGCACACGAACCAGTTTGCATAATTGACCGGCAATGAAGGCTAATGCAAAGATAATCAAGAAAGCCAAGATCTTTCCATTCCAGGAAAAAGATGCTTCAGGTGATACACCGTAACAAGTCGACCAAAAGAGCGTGAATAAAGCAACCTGAGTCAAAACAATTTGTACTAATGGAACAATTGTTTTTACTTTGATATTTCCCATGCAGACTAGTTGATGAAATTAATTTGAATAATCAAATGAATAAGAAAGATTAACAATAAATTAGATTCTTCTTTGGACTGACTAATGGGCAGAAGATGTATCTAGCAATACAAAATATTAATCACGGTATTTGAAGATTGAACAAACTTAATATGACAAATTTGGATCTAAGACAATTCAATTTATTGACAGTTGCAGAGATGATTGCGATTTAGACCTTGTTATGGAAACAATAAATGTTTCAAGATTAAAACTGGGCTTAAAGGTTACCTGGGTATGTTTCAGATTAAATGATAAATTATCGTTTGCATATTAAGTTGTTAAATTTTTATTTAATTAGTATTGTCGTCAGTCTACATCTACTTTATTTATATAAATGGACTGATGATTAGCTGAATATCTCGAAATCACCTTGAATGATTAAGATAAATGAGCTGTAAACAGCAAATAATAAATTACAGTTAGGTACAAATGGTAACAAACCCTTCTTCAAACCAAATTACATGATGCTCATCTCAAGTCTTTTGCATCACACTGTATTTATTTCAGTTACAGAGAAACACAATTTTTATTAATCTAACGAAAATCGACATTAAATCAAGTAATCTAAATTGCGAGCTATTTATGGACTGGTTAACCTAACGATTTATTTTATAACACTTTTATGAACAAAAATTTGTCCAATAAACAACAAAAACAACAATAAATATTATTGATATTAATAATAATAAATAACAGTAGCAATGATTTTGCAAAACATTTTGACTTGAAATAATAAAAAAAAAGTTACTCAAATTATTGTTTTGTAATGAAGTTCTTTGAAAATTTTGGCTTCTATCAATTTCTGAATGTTGAATTAGCGACTTTAATGAATCATAGTCGATATGAGCAAACCACTGTCTAAAAGGTTAAAAAATCAACTAAAATGCATCCTTCGAGTCCAATTGTCTAGGCCTGGTAATAGTTCCTAATATCTTTATTATTGTGGTTATCTCTTTCTTGTTGGTGTTTTTTGATTCTTACGATTCTTTCGTTAGAGTCAAAACTAAAAATAGAAACCAAGTTTTCATAGGCAAGAATCTTATCCTCTTTCACAAGATTGATCTTTAATTTTATCAAGCAAATTACATGAAACAAAGAGTTGAGCTTAGTTTGTTTACCTCTTTTAGTGTTCATAAAAAGTTTAATAAGGTATGACCGATAAAGTTTGTCACTAGTTTTTTAGAATTGAATTGATTGATCTATGTTGGGTTATATTAAGAGAATTACATCTTTTTCAATAACTTTGAGGCCAAATTTCACTATTTTTCGATTCTTCGAAGCCTTAGTATGAAGTTGAAAAATTTATGGTTTTTGGGTAAAGTTAAAATCAGATTGCGACGCCTTTGTCCATTTAAGGTCATAACTTGGCAATTTATGGTCAAAATCAATTCATTTTTGCACAAAATGTGCTTGAGAAGTGTACCTTTATTTCAACGGTTAAATGGTGCCTGTAAGTTTAGTCTAACTGACGCAATTCAATTCTAAAAAACTAGTGACAAACTTTATCGGTCATACCTTAAACTACGTTAGTTGTTGGTTTGTCTGAACGTGAAAGCATTCTGTATTCCAGGTGCTGAGCCAGATAACTATTTTTTACATATTAAAACGTTTGAATGCTTTCTATGATATGGTATGGCCTTAAACCTTCCGTATATCCTTACAACACATAAGTTTTATAATACTTACAACGTTGTGAGCAGCAAGAGTAACCATTGAAAATCAAGAGAATAATAAATCTAAAAAAGTTTAGTAATGATCAATTATTATTTCTGCAGGTGAAATATAAATTGCATACTTTCCTCAATAACTTTAAACTTTAACGAATCGCTATGTTTTTGAATATTGCATACAAATCGAGTCCATTTGCTCTTGGATCATTAAAAGTAACAAGAAAATTAGTTTGGTGAAAAACTTCACCCATGAAGATGTTACTAAAATGACAACAATTGTCACAATTTATACACTAATTTACAAAAGTAGACAAAATGGTAAAAAACGGCTAAAAATTTATTTCTTACGTATTTAGACTCTAAAGGTTAAGTAAAAGAAAAAGTTATAGCATTTATTACTTGTGCTGTCAGATTTGAGACTCGATTTGAAAACCTGGACACAACTCTTGAAGAATCTTCATTATTAAGTGAATTAGCTCAGATTTTATTCGGTATTCAGTCATATACTGTTATAGCCCATTATGGGACCAATGTTAGGTGAAAGAATGATATCTTTCTCGAGACATTGAACCTCAAATTTTTGGCCGATAAATTGTTAAAATTATTCAATCTATGATGCAAGTCAGCAATTTTTAAGCACAAATAGTAAGTTTCAGCTCGCTAACTCTTAACGTCATAGAAATCAGTTGAATGAAAATTGCACTTATCGATTTTACAAGAACACAAAACTTTATTTCTTGTAATGAAGTATATTTTCTGGTTGACCATTGAAACTTCCATTAGTAAAATCGAGTAAGTTTCGAGAAAAAATCTGCGTTCATAGCTACACAAAAGGCGATCTTAGTTTCAACTTTGACCTCGATTCTCTCGTGATCTGTTCATTAGAAGTTTCAGTTTCTCTTTCTCCACGATTCTCACCAAGTATAAACTCTTTAATCAGATGTTCGAGCCTTTGGTCGTACTTTTTGCATTATTTCGCAAGTTTAGCCAGAAAAGAGGTTTATTTACCTTGAAATGGGTTAAGATGAGTTTGTTTTGCTTAATAAGTTATTACATGTACTTGTGCAAATATCATAAGCAACTTGTGCTAATGGAGGTTTATTTAATCAAATTTAATTATTAAGCAGTAAAGAATTAAATTTGTGCGCGAATGATGATTGTAGGTGCTAGCATTCTCGAAATATCGAGGCAGAAAGTTTTAAGTCCAATGGTCAAAATCAAAATGACTGTTGTTAAACCGATAAAAGTATTCAACCCAAGATGTTAGCCAACAATTTTTATGGACAAATAATAAGTTTCAGCTCGCTAACTCTCGCGGCCACAGAAAGCGATCGGTTTACTGGAAATCGAGCTATTCTCGTTCTACGTAAACAGAAAATTTTTATCTCTTAAAATAATTTATTTTCTGGTTGGTCAGCAAAAGTTACCTCACTACTGTGAGTTTTATGAAAAAATCTGCTATCATAATTGTACAAAATGCTTCGCTAGTTGCGAGCCCGATTCTCTTTAGAAATGTCGATCAGAGAAGCTTTATTTTCGGAAAAATGGATTCAGTTTCATTTCCCTACAAACTTATAGAGTCTAAATTTGAAAGAAATTCATTTTCACCCAATTTTGCTTATTTGAGTCAATCCGTTTATAAATGTTAAAATTGTGTCTTTGCAGTAACAACCGACCCATAACTGCATATGAAAAGCGATCGAAATTTGAACTGTAAACTCTGTTTGTATAAAATTTGTTAATTTAATGATAAATTTAATTACCTTACAAACCAACCATTTTCAATTCCTAACTCGGAATTTTCGAGTCGAAAGTCAAATTTTTGCATTTACTCATTTTGTTTATTTTAGGCTTTTATTAGAAAGATGTTTGTTGTGTTTGTTACACAGTCCGCTTTGACCGCAGACCCTATTCGGTTTGTTATTACAGTTCATATAGATCAGATTGTTTTTAGTATACAGATGTTGTGAATATTTTTCTGGTTTTGGGATGGGAATCTTGTCAAATTTTCAGTGTAAAGATTTCTGAGAGATCTCAGAAGATTTAATAAGCTAGAAATTAGGCTAAACCAAGAGCAAGTATCGATACCATTGGTAAAGTATCGATTAGTAGAAAGTATTAATGCAAGCTTCAACCTGAAGGTTGTTTTGGTTATTTTGGTTGATTTTGGAATCAGCTAATGTGATTTTGTATTTATGATTTCATGTTATTTGTAATCTAGTTGATTAAAATAATCAATTGTTTACGTTAATTATCAACAATGGCTCATGCTGTGGCTTCGATATTATGTCGCAATCTTTCGCGACTACGAATTAATCCTGCTTTAACAGCTTTACAGATTCACAAAAACTACTGTAATTGTCTATTCAATATTTTGTTTATTTGATAAGTGTTTTATTTTCGGTGATGCAATATTTCAAATTTTTATTCTATTAATTTCTATAGCTGACTCAAGTTTATGGAAACCTGGGCCTCCACCTGTAACGGAAGAACAGAGACGAGCTGCTGCAGCTAAATATAATTTAATTCCAGAAGATTATGATGTTTGGGATGAGAAAGAAGGTTATGGTGATTACCCAAAGTTTCAAGCTGCTGGATTTGATGCAAGGGATCCATTCGATGATTATGATGATGAATATGACCGGTATTTCTATGGTGAACCAGTAAGTTAACACATGGTACTGCTAATTGAATGATTCTAACGAGGCTTAATTTTTTATTAGGTTCATATTGATTCAATTCTTTGGGGGCCTGCAGGTATGAATCCTGATTGGCAATCTTACAAGCCAGCGTAAGTATATATTCTGTATATAATTTACTTTTATAATTTAACCAATTATATTTAACATGCGATTTTATTTTCTCTCAGGTGGTACTACCCTTTGATGTCTTTTGGATTTGTTTTCACGTGGATACTTTTAGACTCAATTCTTGATTATTATGATATCCGAATCAATGGCGCTGTGGTAAATATTTTTTCACCAATAATTGCTCCATTATTTCCTACTCAGTATATTTCAAAGATCTAATTTTTATATAATTCTTTATTTACAGAAACCAAAGCAATATCCGGGTGCAGACAAAGTGCACTATACATTTGATCCAGCTTATGACTAGTTTCTGTCACTTCTTGTTATTTCAATAAGAACTCTTATTGTACATTGCTATCAATTATTTTAGTTCAAAAATCATTAAAAAGATAACCTTAAATATGTTAATTTTTAATTTTCATTGAAAGAAAAAATGTAATAGAGTTAGTAGATTTTATTGTTACTGAAAATGTTAAATCGCAATTTACATAGACGGATATTTCATGGAATGTCAATGCTGATGAAAGTATGCGTGAATAAATTTGCAAATATTTCAGATTCATTTCAGTCTCAAGATCTTTTTCATCCAATCTGTTTATTATATGATGAAGGATCTGCAAGCCTTAAATGAACTGAAATAAATATAAATCAGCATGTTGAGCACTTCTTCTTAGCCCAAAATCCCGACTTAGCATCCAGTTTAACAACTGCTTTAGGATCAACTACTCCTTTTTTGTTATCTTTCTCCATCATTTTCCTATTAATGCAACAAGAGAATAAATAATTTCGTGATTATAAGTTAATCGTAACATGTATATTTGTAATTTACCTTATGATTGCTTCAAGAGCTTGCATCACATTAACTCCATGTTTGGCACTTATTTCGAAGAAAGGGCAATTAAATTCCTAAAAGTAAATCATCACAATATATTAATAAAAACCAATTTCTAAAATTACTCAATTTAATATAACTTACTTCTGCTAATTTATATCCTCTATCATAAGTTATTTGATCCTCAATATCAGCATTTGGATCCCGCAAATCTAATTTATTGCCTACTAATACACAAGGTATATCTCGATCGGAGCATTCCTGTAAAGTATAAAACGATTAGAAATAATCAGTAGTCATTATAAAAAAAAATCAAAATTGAATGTATCAAAACCTTGATTTGGCTCATCCAGTTTCTTGCATTGAGAAATGTTTTTGGAAGTGTAATATCATAAACGAGGATAACTCCATCAGCTTTACGAAAGTAAGATAAGGTTATCGATCTGAATCTGAGTAAAAGATACATTAAATTTATCAAATAACAATGAATTAGATGAAATGTAATAGAATTGAATCATCTTGAGACAAAAGAAAGTCGTTTTGATTCTAAGTTGATGAATCGAAGGGATGAGTCTGTCGACTAACCTTTCTTGTCCTCCAGTATCCCAAAGTTGAACTGTAATTTTTTTATTATTGTCAACACAATAGGATTTAACATGAAAGTCAACTCCAACAGTTGAACAAAGATTGACTAAAAATTGATTCTGAGCGAGTCGATAAATTAATGCAGTTTTACCAACTGCCATGTCACCAATGAAAATTAAATTATACAATGATTCCCCTGGACCAGTTATCTCTTTGATTCCCGGTATATCGAGTAAATCATCCTCTGTTGCGATTGCACTTGAACATCGCGAATCACGATCATCTTGATTGATAGATATTGCAGGTGAAAGTTTTTCATGAAAACCTGTTTCGCGAGTGTAAGCTGGTGAGGCAAGACTAGATGTGGATGGAAATATAAGTTCATCCTGATCATCACGAGTAATTGTTGACAATCCACTGTCTAAACATGGAAACAAAAATAAACGAAGCAAATTTAATTATAATCTAGACAAATGACAAACAGGACGAGAGTAATACAAACCATTTTCGTCTTCCTTGGAATTCCAAGTTGATGAATCATTTGATTTACCTTGACGAGAATCTTCCTCTCTGATAATAAGCTCTTCAAGTTTTCTGGGATAAATTATAAATTGTCAGTTTTACTTTCTTAGATTTGCTTCTAATGGTTAATAGATTACTTACGACAAATTTTTAGACATTGCTGGTCGCTTATCAATATTTAAACCTAAATAATCTCCAACTATTGAACCTTTTTTCATCCTGGTTGGCATTTCGTTGGAAGAGTTTGATGGCATTGAATTTGGACCCTATGCAAATGAGTATAAGAACGAGTTGATTAAATAAATTTCGACTCCAATTAAAACGATATTCGTTCAAGTTTTCCTGAAATGACTTCTATTTCTTACCCAACTGTCACTTTCTTGGATGCTATCAGCTATCTCTTGAAATCTGCTATTTGCATTTCTGGTTGAAGTTAAAGGTCAAAGTAAGTAAAATGAGAATGAAAAACAAAAAAAAGTTGTTATTTGGAAATCATTTTAGCTGAATAAATGAAATTGTTTATAGTTTAATATAATCAAGTAGCTGAACCAACAAATGAATAAAAAAGTAATGACATACTGTAAACTCATCAACTGTCGGGTTAAATAATCTTGATTGTGGACAACCTCTAAAACCTTTTCCCTTTCTTGATTCAATTCTTTACACCGTTGCTCATACAAAGTCTTTAATTGTCCCAATTCACTTCTCATCATGGCAACCGTAGTTTGGGTATCCAGTAAAGATAATCTCATTTGATGATTCTCTTCTAAAGCTTCTTCCAATTTAGATTTGAATTCACCCAATCTTTCATTTTCCATTGCTGAGTGTGAATTTTTCAGCCAACTTTCAACCTAAAACAAAGAGGATAGAAAAAGAACATTAATTATTAAGATTACTCATCTTGTCATACAAATTGATCATGATAAAATTAAACAACTGTTACCTTTTCAAACATTGAAAGATGAGACTGTAGTTGTAACATTTCATCTTTCATCATTTCTCGTAATGATCGTCTTTCAGCTTCAATCTCTTGTTTAGCTCTTTCAGTTACTCGTTGTTCGACCTGACGTACTTGACTATCGACATCTTGTTCAATCCTGTAAAGATGTTCCTCATGTTCACGTCGCTCCCTACAGATACATTGTGATTAAGACAGATTAGTTGTTTATCAAAATCAATGTAATTCATCAAATTACCTTAAATATGATTTGGCCAATGTTTCATTTTCCTCTTTTAATTTCTTTAAACTATCCATCAACTCTTCAATCATTTTTGCTTGTTTCTCTGGTTCGATTGGCTCTTCAGCTTCCAATGCTCGATTGATTCGTCTGCCAAAATCAAAACAAATTAAGATTAGATCATGATTGATAGAGATGAAATTAGTAATCGTTCATTATTTATTAGTTTATTTCCATTTTTTATGGACTAATCAGGGAGTACAATAAACCAATTAACCTACGATTATACAAACAAAAGAGTTTAACTTACCTTGTAAATGATCGAACTCGTTTAAGGTTTGATGCATGACGAGAATTATCGATGGTTAGTAGATCATTTGGTTCTTGATTATTGTTGTTATCGCTGGTTGCAGCTCTTAAAAGTCTCATTTTGTCAGCTAATGGATTCGTTGAAAAATCTCTCTCATAATCTTTAAAACCTTCTTTAAAATCTTCAAAACTAATTTGTCCATCTCCATCTCGATCGAGACTCTCGAAAATACCATCCGCATCTTCGGTTTCAATTGAAAATTTGGAACAAATATCACGAACTTCATCTCTTCCAATATAACCTGAACCATCAGCATCACAAGCATTAAACAAATCCCAAAGAGTTTCTGTATTCATCTTTGCCTTCTAATGTATAAGCTAATAAATAATTAATTGATCAGAGAAACAAGATAAACCCGTCAATTAGGGGTAAAATAATGGTGATAATGATTTTGAAGATCACTTATGAATAACAGGTAAGGCAAATAATGGATTAATTAATTGTTTATCATCCGTCATCTGTGATTATCGCCATTGTTGTCGTGATGAGAAAAGAGTTAAACTTGAAACTTAGACGCCAAGCACAATGAAAATAATGATGTTTGATGGTCTTTAATAGCACAAACGACACAGATTAGTTAACTTTAATTATATCAAAATAATTTCTTATAATTGTTTATTATGGTTGAAAACTAAAGTTTAAGTTGATACAAAAAAGCTAAAAACGTCTTCTTTGTTTCGGTGTTGATGTCGTTGTTTTTTGTCTCGCAGAAGAGGAGAGAGTCAATGTTAGAATGTGTTATAAATGGATAAACAAAAATGAAGAAAATTGTTTCCAACTAGTAAAGGAATTGATGATGTTGATCAGAGTTGTTGATAATGAAGATAATGCCAATAAATTGTGGTGACAATTGAATCAACTTGACAGTTATTAGTTGCCATTAAATGTTTAACCATCTGCTTTCATTTGAAGGTAAATCATGTTAATCGACATTAACAAAACAAAAGCATAGTTTTGTTGTATTTTTCCTATTTTATTCACCTATTACTCCATTAGTATTATAATTTGTAAATTACCTTGAGCTATGTTCATTATAAGTGAATTTAGGTTTAACTCTTTTATGTTTACATTTACACTTTTGTTATTTACATTTGTAATTTCAATGTCGCCAAGTATTACTTTTTTGTTACCAATGGTTGACCTAAATCAAAACCATTTTAATTTAATTTGACTATTCACATTTGCTACATTTTATTGATATTAACACGTTGAACGTTTTTTCTAGCTCGTTTTGATCTACGAATAGGTTTTTCTTCGTTTGTCGAGTCGTTTTTACTTTCATCTATCAGGTTATTTGTGTTACTTTCTGAACTTGCTCTTATTGATAATGTGGAATCCAAAAGTCTCCTTGAAGCTCTGGTACAGTAAGAGGTAATCGGACTTTGTTCAGGATAGGCAACGCTTAAACGATTCACTTGTGATTTATTTGTAGTTGTGGAATCGCAGTTCGATGAGTTAGCCATAGGTTGAGTTAACTTAGGAGTTTTTGGCACGAAATTTTGAATAGAATCAAGGCTTGTTGAAAGAACAGCTTCTTTCGGGGTGGCTTTGTAAATCTCAGAATTATACATCCAACTATCTTTGTCAGCTGGTGAGGAAAGATCGACATCAGTTGAATTAAGTAGCGGAGTTCGAGGCACTATACGTCTGAATGAGGGAGTTTCTAACATTGAAGCATTTGTCGTCTGCTCTAATAAAGTTGAACAAAGCTGATTATCAGCGTCTTCACAGTGAGATTCATTCTTTTTGGAGTTGATGCTGAAGGTAGAATTATTTAAATTTGATGGAGCTGGTGAGCTAGTTATGATACTTGGTTCCTCGCTCATCGCTGTCAAGTCTATCCTTTCACAATATATTTGATTAAGTATTTCTTTAACTCTTGCTTGTCGATCAAGCTCATCAGATCTTCCACTTGATCTTTTCCTTCTAGATAACATGAGGTCTTCGAGATTAGAGATATCTGAAAGCGATAAAGTTTTTTCAAATTCTTCTTGAAATATTGACGCAGGATCGTGGTTAGTGAATTCGTCCATAACTTCATTGAATCGATCATTAAATGAATTGAACTGACCCTTTAAGTCATGCAAGTTTTCCATGAATAAATTGTGATCCTGAAAGAAAAACAATGATTTCATTAGAACGAAAGATATTTGGTATTTCAAGATAAACTTACCCGTTTAAAAGAGGAAATTTTGATGAACTGTTCTTTAGAAATTTGGTCTAGTCTGGATTTAAGTAATTCATTTTCATGGGTTGCACAAGCATATTTAAAAGCAAGATCTCGGTTATTCTCTTTCATGAGATCGAATTTACTTTGAACATTTAAGTATAGAGATCGCAGTTCTTCAAATTGGTCCATGAAACATTTCAATGTTTCTTGAAGTTCTCTGTTTTGTCTGATAAGCTGACCCTCTAAAGAAAAGGAATAAAAAAAATTAGTAAAAACAGACCATAACAAAGGCACAAAGAAAGTTAAACTTACTTGTAATGCGGCTGCCATTTTGTAGATTATTTCTTTTCCTGGATATTCTATTGGCAAATTTGATAGCCATTTTCCTGGAAGAAGCTACTCTTGGTGCCATTATCGATGAAGTTTAAAAAATATGATGATAAAAAAATAAAAGATGCATGTAAACAATAAAAGCAACTTGTTGACAAAAACAAAATTTTAAATTTAGAGGCCTGTTGCGATACCAAGTAACCGCGGTTAATTTGAAACGCCAGATTTTACATATGTTTGAAGCAAAGATAAATTCTTGTCTAGTTTAGGAAATGTAGTTAAAAACGAAAGTGTAAAAGTAAAATAATTAAAATATCAATAAAAAATAGTAAATAAATTCGATTAAATGAAAAAGATTGTTGATGCACAAACAAAATGACATATGCTGAGCTATAAGGGGCTGTATGCTAATATTAACTTTGTTTTACAAAAACAAATCATAAAATGTCCACAGTGAATATAAAACTAATTCAGTATCTAACCTAATTGATGTGCATAGTTAAGGCCTAATTGTCACGAGTGCCTAAGTGAGTTTAACAATATAAAGAAAATTTTGGTATCATATTCAGACACGATTCATTTACTGATTGTTAAATATATTCATTTTTTAATATTTTTATGAAATTTTTGATTCATATTAAACCAGGATTGAGAGTGCATTATAGCTGATGATTTAAGAAGTTTATAGCTTTAACTAATTTTCGGCGTTGGATTGGCTGGAGGACTGATTTTCTTTATGGACCACTACTCCACGAGCAATTAAATCAGGAATCTCAACGGCTAACCAAGGACCAAGCTGAATGGAAAAATTAACAGAAGTTTTCATTAGAAATTTGATTGAGAAAAATAGTGAAATCTTGACAAAATTGAATTACCCCTAAAGCCATCGCATGAGCAATTCCAAACTTTGGAACATTTTTGCCCCATAAAGGCTTGAAATGATCGGATAAGCAAATCTTTCCACCTCGATACATTTTTGAGGTTTTCCCATCTAATTCGGGGATGGCTATTTCAGGGGCAGTAGTTGGGTAAGTAACTGGTATCTAGAAAAAGAAACAAATCATGATAGAAATAAATCGTAATCAAATTACATCATTTTAATGGATTCAATGAATTTTTAAAAGTAAAATCTTACATCAAATTCAATTTCAAATTCATATTTGAGGAGTTCATGGATATACCAACATTTACCAAACCATTTGGTACCGTCTTTGTTATGCTCTAATCGGAACCAATCATTCTCATTTTGGCGAACTTGTTTGACGTACTAAATGAAAAGGGTAGATTGATAATGAGTAAAGGCTTTTAAATGTAAATCAATCATGAACATACCTCTATTAAAGCTTGAAGTTCCTCCTTGAGTCGTTGTGGCCACAATTCTTTATCCCTGGGACCTGCTTTAGTCCTTAATAAAGGTATACTACTTAATGTTTTACGGGTAGCATCGTCTACCATTTTGCTTAATTAAGGTGACAGTTGAAAGATGTGTGAAGAGACAGAACGAGAGAGAAAAGTAAACAGACTTTACACAACCATCTGTAGTACAGTAACGTGTCAATATCCAATTCAATTTGAGGCTACCTTTTATTTCCATGGTAGGCACTAGGTACGTCTTAGGCACTAAGTGAGTTTAACAATATACATAAACATTTACCCTTAAATTAACCATTGTTATTGACAATTGCTTTCATTTTAAAATTTCAAATTCAGTGCCAAAAAGAGTTTGGAGCGAACTCAATATCTTATCAGATATCTAGTACTTGATGTGTTAAAATAAGAAAAACAATTCAGTAAACTTGTGTTTGTTGTGGAAATAATATTTAAAGAAAGTAATTTGTATCCTCAAGTTAATAGAATTAAATAACAAAAGTGATTTGAATGTAGTCCAATTCACCAAATTTATTTGGTTAATCGAGTCCATGAAAAATATCGATATTTACTTTGTTTTGAACTATGCAACAGCAGCGACAGGCTAAAAGTGAACTCATAAGAGAGTAGCAGTTCATTCGAATTGTTTGTTAATTAAGTCTTCCGCTTGTTTCGTTTTGTTATTTATTTAGTTAACTATTTTAAGTGCTAGTTTTATTCTAGATTTTTTTGTGCGCTATTAATTTCACACTGTTCCGTGTGAGATGAAAATTTATGTTTCAAGTATTTTATTTTCAAATCTTATTTTTGTTTTCTCGGTAAACTCAGTTTTTAGATGTGATAAGAAGGCAACTTAAGTATCTAATCACTATTTCACCATTATTCAGCCATCATCATTCCATTGTTAAGCAAACCTTTAATTTTCTGGTAAGTTGAATTTTTTTTATATTCAGTCAATGTTGTCATTTGCTTGATGAATTTCTGTTCATCTAAGCGTAGCGAAAATCGTTGAATGAGTTTCTCAAGCTTAAAGAAAATTTGCAAGGTTTCTATCTCAAATGTGTTCTAACCTGTTTTATTCATTTTTTTATCGCAGGTCATCATTATATTGACTTTGATTGCAGCAATAAGATGTCACGCGCCACAATGCCTTGAAATCAATGCTGATTAAATTACCGAGAAGTATATCTGAATGAAACATCATTCTGGTTCTACTTTATGATAACATCGACAGATAATATTGTTCTGGCAAATCCCATTCTTTTGCAAATTTCTGGAACGTAATGCAAATGTTACCCTGATGTATCTCCTCTCAAAGTTATTTGTTATTACCATCGATAAAAACAGTTCAGAAAGATGGGGTTAAAGCTAGAGCTGTCTAAAAGACGCATGATATTTGCTTTATTTTCTTTCTTGTTGGTTTATATGATTTGTGAATTGCTGTTTATTGGAGAATTTACGACACCTGACCAAGAAAATGTATACGATTATAGCAATGATTGGTACGAGTCCAACTCAACGGTGTGTGATCTTCCATTTCGTATGCATCCTTATGATACAACGATTAAGGATTTAATCCGGAGAAAGCCCAATAAGATAGTATGCATCAAATCAGACGATGGAGCCTATGATTCGCTATACAATCTTTACCAAGGACAATCTCTATCTTATATGAATGATGATGATCCAATTGTGCGAATATTCCGTATTCGAGATCGTGAAAAATCACTGAAGTGCCTGTACCAACCTTTTGATCGTGATGGTAATGATGATGAGATTAAATTTTTGGAAAAGAGACCAATAATTGGTCATAAATTAGATCTGGAAAAAATTGGAGCTGAGTTTGTTAATATCGAATGCTATCTCTCAGGTGCATTAGTTTATAGCAACATCCATTCGTGGCCAAGTCGAGTTCCTTCCCATGCAGATGCCACATCTTCCAATAACAAAGATCATTCAATGATTAATAATTATCCAACACCAGATGTAAATAAGCAATCTGTGATGTTTCTTGTCATAGAATCAATGTCTCTTCTCAATTTTAATCGATTCATGGTTAAAACTGCTGAAGCATTATCAAAGTTGTCTAATAATTTCATTCTTCGAGGATTGAATAAAATGGCAGATAATTCTTACCCGAATATGATGCCACTTTTATCAGGTAAATTTATTTTTATGTTTCTAACCATATATGCGATGGAAATTGTAATTAATTTTTTTGATAAATGTAGAGATTTTACCTTTTCATTTTAGAATGGTTATTTAACTTTAGAGTTGTTAGAACTAATTAAGTTCGAAATTTCATGGCCCATTTATATGGGGAAACCGAAAATTCCTGTTTCTACGTCATAAAATAAGCATCTCGTGATTTAATTTGAATTATTTTAATGAATAAGATTTCTTTGTGTGTTTCCTAGGAAACTAATAATTCTCATAATCCAGTCAACCTTTTAGATCAAGATATAATTTATTTTGCCATTTTCACCCATTTTATTAGCTTGATAGTGTTTACCGCATATGCGCTATCTTTTCAAATCGATTTTGAATTCTAATATCTAAATAAAATGAGATAATTATGTTGAGTTTGCAAATTTTTAAATAGCTGTCAAAATTTTGGTTAATGAACATGCAACCAGCTTAATAATCTTCACGAGAAAAAGGAGGTAGATTTTTTAGATGTAATCGTAAACTGTCTACTATTCCTTCAAAACATTCAGTACATTCAAATAACTTGATATTCAGAGCCAATCTTGAGAAAATAAACATGTAAATTTATTCAATTTATTGAACAACCAGATTTTCCACGCCCTTGTTTCAATACTTTTATTTAACTTTTTTCAGGATATCGACCCTATTATGGAGAATGGCCCTTTGAATTTGAAGTTGGTAAAGGTCCTTATGATGATGTTCAATTCATTTGGGATGATTTCAAAAGACAAAACTATACAACTGGCTACATTGAAGATGATCCCAAATTCGCGTTATTTAATTACTTAGCTAAAGGATTCAAAAAGCCTCCGACTGATTGGTATACTAGACCCTATTGGTTAAGAATGGATTATGAACAAGGAATCGAGTCTCTAACATTTTGCTACAAACAGAAACCTAAAATAATTTATTGGTTAAAACAAATCAAACAATTCCTGAACAAAGTCACCAAAACGAAGCAACCGTTCTTCCTTTGGTCTTTTTACATTCAAGTTACTCATGATGACTTTAATAATGCTCAACTTATTGATCAATATATTGCCGATTTCATCGATTCTTACCGCCATATACTTGAAAACACTGTTTTTATAATCATGGGAGATCATGGTAATCGTATTGGACCTTTATCTAGGACAGAATATGGACAGATCGAAACTCGAATGCCACTATTTAATATTCACGTTCCTCCTCAATTATTACATGAGCATCAACATTTGGCTTATTATTTAAAGATGAACGAGAAAAGGTTAACTACTTGGTTAGATGTTAGGAAAATGTTGAAAGACATTGTTTCAGGTAATCATAATATTCATTTAGATAATATTATTATCACAGGACATTCCTATATTTGATATTGCTAACATTTCTTTCCTATTTCGTTTTAGGTAATTATGAAGCAATCGTTTCCTCTTCTAAACGTGATGCTTACTCTGTTTGGCGAGAAGAAGTTCCTTTAGATAGAACTTGTAAAGACGCCTTGATTCCTATGGAGTTTTGTTTATGTTTAAAAAGACACAATTTCCCTGTTGATTCACAATTAGCTCAAATAGTATCAACAGCGTTAGTCACTCGACTCAATCAAGCTTTATTCGAGTTCAATAATCTCTGTTATGAGCTTTCTCTCAAAGATGTTCATAGTGTCAAAGTGAGTAACCTTTGAAAAGCATTTTACTTCATTAAATTTTAATATTTGTGTTTTGAATTTACAGATTGTTCGGTTACCTGGAGAATCCAATCCAAGCGATCGTGTTGAAGTTACTTTATCTGTTAATCCTTCAAATGGACTTTTTCAAGCGCAGCTTTACTTAAAAAATGCAACAAATTTAAACAACTCAGGTATTGATGATTGGATTCTCGAAGGAGATGTTTCGAGACTCGATTCCTATGGTAATCAATCATCATGCATTAACGATAGAGTTCTTCGGAAATACTGTTACTGCCGAAAAATTATACATTCCCGATGAACCATAATCACCAAAAATAATATCAACTACGCAAATTCTCGAAATTCCCCTGATCAAAAAGAAAATACCAAAATTGAAAATCGATCTCATCTTTTTTTTCGTTCCATATTTTCTCAAATAATTGCTGTTCGAAAATATAATCAACCTTCTGACAGCTTCTCAGTCTTTCATTAGATTGGTTGATTTTCCATTTCATCGACAACATCTCATCTTAATTCAAAAATAGTTAATGATCAAAGGATATTTAGTCCATTGAAGCCAAAGACATATTTAATATTTGCACAGAAAAAATGTCCATATAATTAGTAAAATTTCTGTCCATTTGTTGGTTTAAATTAAAATGAGCGATTATAAATTAAAGAACGAAAAATTTCAAGTTATCAAAGGTTTCAAAAATCAGATTCATACATATTCTAGTCTTTTTGAGGGCAACGTTGTACTAATATTCAACATAAAAAGACGATATTGCTGAAGAGTTGCTTAAACGAGAAGGGCGCGGAACGAGTTATGATTGCGCCAATTTAACTGGATTCCCAATGATGGACTTCAATACTAAAGCTCCTGAACGTTACCGTAACCGGAAAACTTGGTACTTCTGTCAGATTGATTGAGGATGTTAGTCTGTTATCAGTTATCTATTATAAGAAATGATATCCAGAGATATTAATACATATGAGATTATTGGAAAAGCTTATAGAGAGAAATATAAATAATTGGAACTCAATGCGAAGAATGAAATTGAAACCATTTAAAGTATTGAGTGAATTATTCATTCAAGATTATTACATGAAGAAGCAATTATGTTTCAATGATGTTCAAAATTCCCATGAAGTCATGTAATGGCCGTTTGAATTTGAAGTTCGTAAAGGTCCTTATGACGATGTTCAATTCATTTGGAATGATTTCAAAAGACAAAACTATACAACTGGCTACATTGAAGATGCTCCGAAATACGCGTTATTTAATTACTTAGCATTAGGATACGATGAAACTGATGGGTATCCCAGACCTTATTGCTTGTACATTAAAAATGGCCAATCAAACGTGTTTCATAGATTCTGTTACAAACAGATGCCAGAAGTATTAATTATTTATTGGTTGAAACAAATCAAATAGTTTCTGGACTAAGTTAACGAAACGAAGCAATCGTTCTTCCTTCGGTCTTTTTACATTCAAGTTACTCATAATGAGGTGAATGATCTTCAACTCATTGATCACTAATTGCTGATTTCAACAATTCTTATCATCATATACTTGAAAACACTTTTCAAATATCCTGATAAGGATTTCCGTTTCCTACAGAAAGAAGTCTTTATGTGCGCGTTATTAAAATTTAAACACCTGATAATTCATTTATCGTCACATGATATCCCATTCCAAAGTTATGTTTTATTTTCTCAATTAATTGAAGTTAAGTATGAAGCAATTAAAGTCCATGAAATGCATAAAATTTGTTTTATTTTGTTTCTGCTTGTTTTACATTATTTGTGGATTACAGTTTGTTGACAAATCTAAGACAAATAATCAAGAAAATGTATACAAAAATCATGATGACTGGTACGAGTCCAACTCTACGATGTGTGATCTTCCCTTTCGTATGGACCCTTATGATCCAATTGTTAAAGGTTTCATCAAGAAGTTGAACACAACGATAACGTGTGAAGAACCAGAGAATGCAAGTTTTAACTCGCTTTACAATCTTTACAAAGGACAATCCTTATCTTATATGAATGATTTTGATCCAATCGTACACATAATGCGGATTCCGGGAAAAGCATTCAATTGTATGTATGAACCATTTGATCGTGAAGGTATTGATGATAACAGAATTCAATATTTGGAAAAAAGACCGATAATTGGTTATAAATTAGATTTGGAAAAAATTGGAGTAGAGTTTGTTAATATCGAATGCAATCGTTCGGGTTCATTAGTTTATAGTAACATCCATTCGTGGCCCAGTCGAGTTCCTTCCCATGCAGATGCCACATCTTCCAATAATAAAAATCATTCGATGATTAATAATTATCCAACACCAGATGTAAATAAGCAATCAGTGATGATTCTTGTCATAGAATCAATGTCTCTACTCAATTTCAATCGATTTATGGTTAAAACGAAAGAAGCATTATCCAAGTTATCTAATAATTTCATTCTTCGAGGATTAAACAAAATGGCTGATAATTCTTTTCCGAACATGATGCCCCTTTTATCAGGTAAATGGATTTTCTTTATGCTTTCAATTTTTCATATTCCATTCGAACCCAAAATCTACATACAGTACTTGCACCCACTCCTGCATCTTTTAATACTAGGCTTATACCTTTTAAGACAATTTTAGAGCTTTTTAAAAATGATTCTTATGAAAATATCAAAAAACCAAAGTACATCAGGAACCACTCAATTACAGGAGAACCCAAAAGGCCATTCATCTTCACTGAGCTCTATCTAATGAGACATCGAACATAAAAATCGATGAATTACACTTGGGTAACTTGCCTTGTTGGTCTAAAGACAATTGAGAATTGAAAACAGGATCTTTCAGGCAACAGTTACAAAACTATTAATAGTAACTTCCAAAGTAACTTCCATGAAAAAATTCAGAGGTTAGTCAAAGATTTAAAAATCAAATAGAAAGAGATCATGAAGATAATTAGTTGTGGAGATTGAGAGATAAAGCCCAATTAGAGTTGTCCAGTTATCCATACTAGCATTGGCGGTACGAAATAAGGAAAAGGAAAGAAACTCAATAGTCATCATGCCCATATACCTAGACAAAGTAAACAATCAATGGTGTTCAATCTCAGGGATTAATCAAAAGGAGTCAAAAAATTTCGAGTAAAGACGTGTGAATTTGTTAAACATAAAAACTGAGTCCATTAAACTTTTTGTTTTGATATGTTGAGGATATCGACCCTATCATGGAAAATGGCCGTTTGAATTTAAAGTAGGTAAAGGTCCTTATGATACTGTTCAATTCATTTGGAATGATTTCAAAAGACAAAACTATACAACTGGCTACATTGAAGATGATCCAAAATTCGCGTTATTTAATTACTTAGCTAAAGGATTTAAAAAGCCCCCGACTGATTGGTATACCAGACCTTATTGGATGAAGATGGATTATGATCGAGGTAACCAGGAGCGTTCACTTTGCTACAAACAGAAACCTAAAATAATTTATTGGTTAAAACAAATCAAACAATTTCTGAACAAAGTCAACAAAACGAAACAACCGTTCTTTCTATGGTCTTTTTACATTCAAGTTACTCATGATGACTTTAATAATGCTCAACTCATTGATCAATATATTGCTGATTTCATCAATTCTTACCGCCATATACTTGAAAACACTGTTTTCGTGGTCATGGGAGATCATGGAAATCGTTTTGGACCTTTATCTAGGACAGAATATGGGCAAATCGAAACTCGAATGCCTCTTTTTAATATTCACGTTCCTCCACAACTATTACATAAGCATCAACATTTAGCTCATCATTTAAAGATGAACGAGAAAAGGTTAACTACTTGGTTAGATGTTAGGAAAATGTTGAAAGACATTGTTTCAGGTAATAATGATATTCATCAAGATAATTAAATCATCTCTGAATAATTGCTCACGTGATTAAATTTCTCTCTTATTTCGTTTTAGATAATTATGAACCAATCGTTTCCTCTTCTAAACGTGATGCTTACTCTGTTTGGCGAGAAGAAGTCCCTTTAGATAGAACCTGTAAAGACGCCTTGATTCCCATGGAGTTTTGTTTATGTATAAAAAAACAAAGTTTTCTTGTTGATTCACAATTAGCTCAAATAGTATCAACAGCGTTAGTCACTCGACTCAATCAAGCTTTATCAAAGTCAAATAATATCTGCTATGAGCTTTCTCTCAAAGAAATTCATAATGTCAAAGTGCGTAAACCTTTGAAAAACACTTTAATTTATCAAATTTTAATATTTGTGTTTTGAATTACAGATTGTTCGGTTACCTGGAGAACCCAATCCAAGGGATCGTGTTGAAGTTACTTTATCTGTTAATCCTTCAAATGGACTTTTTCAAGCGCAGCTCTACTTAAAAAATGCAAAAAATTTAAACAACTCAGGTATTGATGATTGGATTCTCGAAGGAGATGTTTCGAGACTCGATTCCTATGGTAATCAATCATCATGCATTAACGATAGAGTTCTTCGGAAATACTGTTACTGCCGAAAAATTATACATTCCCGATGAACCATAATCACCAAAAATAATATCAACTACGCAAAGAAATTTCGCGAAACAACGATTGATACTGTGCCTTCATTGCTCAAAGATAGAAATGAACTGTTCAGAATGTTTCTGAAACTTATTCTTCATACCTAGTTAAAAACATTATGTTAACCCCTAATATCTTTCACTTGTTTCTACACATTGACCATCCATACATTTTTTCAGTCTTTTATAACTCAATTCTTATACTATTTAGGATATCGAGCCTATTATGAAGAATGGCTGATTGAATTTGATGTTAGGTGAAAGTCCTTATGGTAATGTTCAATTCATTTGGAATGATTTCAAAAGACAAAATTATACAACTGGCTACATTGAAGATGATCCCAAACAACAGTTATTTGATTGCAAGGATGTCACTGGAGAGAATTTCATTTTCACTTGGTTTTGTTGTTAAACTTTTCTTCAACTATTTGAGTAAAATGTAAACACTTAATCGACTTTTTTCCAATCAAATGATACATTAACGTTGTAAACGAGCACTATTTATACTCATCTTTAGAGCATGACTTATTGACATGTCGATTATTGTCTCATTGGTGTTTTGCATTTCCTTGAACCACCGACAGCTCTCAAAACACGGCTAATGTCAAATTTTATGTAAATTTTATGGCAAAATAAATATCAGCCTATGTAAATTGCTTTACTCCTTTAGCTATTACCTCGACAATTATTTAGAGGTGATTGGATATTTTCCAGCCTTCGTCTTATTATCAAATAGGCAGTTCGAGCAATTTTTCAATGTTAAACGTTTAACCTTCTTTAACTTTAATCGTATTTATTTGAAGAGATGGCTTATTAACAAGTCTTTTAATGTTTTTTTCATCTCCTTAATTCATCAACAGCTCTCACAGTACGGCAAATGTAAAATTTATGCGATTAGTCTATGCAAACCGTATTAATAATTAGCCTTTTACCTCAACAATTATTTAGAGTGATGAGGCTGGAATTAAAAGTTGACTTGCTAGCCAACATCTGATTAAACATTTTATCCTTTTCTACGCTGACACACAAAAACAAATTCGAATTCGTGTTTACTCATGTTAATTCTCTTTTATGGTCACACAAAGTGGTCTATTTAACCGAAAATCAAAGTGATCTGTTGTACAAAACCAGAAAATTTGATTTCGCAAAATAAGTTCATTTTCTGGTTTTCCTTCAAAAGCTACCCCAGAGAAAGATTTCGTTGAAAAATCTGCTTCTTTGAACCAACAAAAGTTGAAATTTTTTGATAACACTAATGGACTCAGTTTTTATGACCCAAAGAAACTCACACAGTCCGAACTCTTAACTCGAAGGAAAATTTTTTGTCCATAGTCCTTTACATTGTTCTGGTACATATTGGTCATTTTGATTGTACTTTGGGTGTATGTGAGAATAACTAAACCAAAAATAACTAAACTTTATCATTGACTAGATCACACCATTTGGCTGGATAAATATTTACTCCATATGATGCAAGTTTTTTACTCTTAACTTTCCGTTTCCTAAAGAAAATATTTGAATGTTACTCGAATGAATAATTCAGATACCTGATGGATAATTTATTTTCGAATTGACCACCTTTCGTATTTTAATGTTAATACTTCCGATAAATAGAGTTCTGTGAGATGAGATTAAAGTCCATGAAATGCATTATATTTGTTTTATTTTGTTTCTGGTTGTTTTACCTAATTTGTGAGTTACATTTTATACGAAAATCTACCAAAATCGACCATGAAAATGTATACAAAAATCATGATGACTGGTACGAGTCCAACTCTACGATGTGTGATCTTCCCCTTCGTATGGATCCTTATGATCCAATTGTTAAAGGTTTCATCAAGAAGTTGAACACAACGATAACGTGTGAAGAACCAGAGAATGCAAGTTTTAACTCGCTTTACAATCTTTACCAAGGACAATCCTTATCTTATATGAATGATTTTGATCCAATTGTACGCATAATGCGGATTCCGGGAAAAGCATTCAATTGTATATATGAACCTTTCTATCGTGTCGATGGTGATGATAGAGATGTTGATTTTCCGGAAAAGAAACCATTAATTGGTTATAAATTGGATCTGGAAAAAATTGGAGTAGAGTTTGTTAATATCGAGTGCAATCTTTCGGGTTCATTAGTTTATAGCAACATCCATTCGTGGCCCAGTCGAGTTCCTTCCCATGCAGATGCCACATCTTCCAATAACAAAGATCATTCGATAATTAATAATCATGCAATTCCAGATGTAAATAAGCAATCTGTGATGTTTCTTATTATAGAATCAATGTCTTTCCTCAATTTTAATCGATTCATGGTTAAAACGAAAGAAGCATTATCAAAGTTGTCTAATAATTTCATTCTTCGAGGATTAAACAAAATGGCTGATGGTTCTTTCTCGAATATGATGCCACTTTTATCAGGTAAAAAAGCTCTTTATGTTTACAATTTTCTATTATACTAGTACTAACTAGTACTAGTTAGTATATTCCATTAGTTTCGTTAGCATTTTTTTCATAATGTAAGTGTATTAGTGGATCATTTTGTCATTAATAGTCTTTGTATAATAATTTAAGAGTTTAATGTTTCTTTCAGACTTAAGCATAACTTACAAGCATTAATGACATTCAAAGAACTTGAAATTCATCTTGTATTGTATTCAATTTATTCACCCAGTCAGCAATATTAATAGATCACCATTTTCACCTAAGGTTTTCTCCAACTCTGTGTGTTTCCATGCTTAGGATATCGTCCCTACTATGAAGAATGGCCATTCGATTTCCCTGTAAATGGAGGTCCTTATGATGATGTTCCATTCATTTGGGATGATTTCAAAAGACAAAACTATACAACTGGCTACATTGAAGATGATCCCAAACAACAGTTATTTGATTGCAAGGCTTTAGGTTTCGAAAAAGCTCCAACTGATTGGTATCCAAGACCTTATTGGTTGAAGATGGACTATGATCAACGTGACCAGGAGCGTTCATTTTGCTACAAAGGAAAACCTAAAATAATTTATTGGTTGAAACAAATCCAACAATTCTTGAACAAAGTCACCAAAACGAAGCGACCTTTCTTCCTTTGGTCTTTTTACATTCAAGTCACTCATGATGACTTTAATAATGCTCAACTTGTTGATCAATATATTGCTGATTTCATCAATTCTTACCGCCATATACTTGAAAACACTGTCTTTGTAATCATGGGCGATCATGGTAATCGTTATGGACCTTTATTCATGACAGAATATGGACAAATCGAAACTCGAATGCCTCTATTTAATATTCACGTTCCTCCTCAATTATTACATGAGCATCAACATTTAGCTCATTATTTAAAGATGAACGAGAAAAGGTTAACTACTTGGTTAGATGTTAGGGAAATGTTGAAAGACATTGTTTCAGGTAATCATACTTCTCATTAAGATAATTAAATCATCTCTGAATATTTGCTCACTTCATAATCAATAGCTACCATTTTGTTTTTTCCTATTATTTCTATTATTAGGTAACTATGAACCAATCGTTTATCACTCTAAACGTGCCGCTTACTCTGTTTGGCGAGAAGAAGTTCCTTTAGATAGAACCTGTAAAGACGCCTTGATTCCCATGGAGTTTTGTTTATGTTTAAAAAGACACAATTTCCCTGTTGATTCACAATTAGCTCAAACAGCATCAAATGCACTCATTACTAAACTCAATCAGGCTTTATCCGACTACAATAATATCTGCCATGAGCTTTCTCTCAAAAGTATATATAGATCAGAAGTGAGTAAAACTCATATACTAGTTCGGGGTCTCACTTAAACCCAAAAAACAACCGAAATGACCAATATATACCAGAACAATGGACTATGACTATCGACGAAAATATTTTCCGTCGTATTAAGAATTCGGACTTTGTTGAGTTTGTACCGACATAAAAACTGAGTCCATTAGTGTTGTCAAAAAATTTCTCCAACAGTTCGACAGTTGGAAAAAATCGAGATTAAAGTTGAAACCTCGATCACCTTTGCACACTTATTTTTGTCCATAGCGCTCTACATTGTTTTGAAACACATTGTTGATTTGGTCTTCAGTGAGGCCCACTAGTTGGCACACTATTTATTTATATGTTCACATTTTTGATTTAGATTGTTCGATTACCTGGAGAATCCAATCGCGTTGAAGTAACTATATCCGCCAAGCCTTCGGATGGAGTTTTTCAAGCACAGCTTTACTTAAAAAATACAACAAATTTGGACAACTCTGATATTGATGATTGGGTTCTTGAAGGAGACATTTCAAGACTCAATGCCTATGGTAATCAATCATCATGCATCGACGATAGAGTTCTTCGGAAATATTGTTACTGCCGAAAAATTGTACTTCCTTGATGTCTATAAACTCAAGAAAGATATTGTTTAGCAACAGGTGATTTATGATACCTGCGCAACTTTTTAACGAGTTTAAAGCCGATCGGTAGGAATGCCTGTAGAGAGAAGACCAAAAGGAGATTGTACAAAAAAATATTTCACAGCAATTTACATAGAAATACATGTAAAGTAACCAAATTCATAGTCACCAAAGACAAATGATTCATTTGTTGTGGATCGATCAATTTTGGGTAACAGTCTAGTTAGGACACAAGGCGTAACTAGCAAGACTTTTAAATCAGTATCTAATCAAGACAATCTGTTCAAATTTAATTTCAATCAATAAATGTAAAAATTGAGAATAAATCAATAGAGAAAGATGTTGAAGCTAATTTTGGAAGGGTTTGCTGGTAAATTTGTTTGTCCACTAATTCAACAATTGAATATTCGTAAAAATATCATAGTTATATCATTATTGAATTAACCCATGTCTCTTCTAAATGATTCAAACACTGCAGATATTATCGTCGATAAATAACAATGGCAAGTCTCTCATCAATATTTTTCTAGCTAATATATACTTTGATTCCGATAAGCATTATTCAGCAATGTTATCACCCAATGTTATTTGTTGGTTCAGAAATATTTCATAAAAAAACAATGATTACAATAATGAAATTAAAACTTATATTATTTTGGGCACTTAATTCAAAGGGAAGGAATCAAATTCAAGTTTATCATCAATGATGTTTGAATTCCGTCCCATTCCATCTAAAACTAGTTTAGATCACTTTATAATTAGTATCGCCTATCTTCATTTTCCCTTTAACTAGGTATGATTCTGTCGAATTAACTTTTGAGTTAGAATTAGAAGTTAATTACTGACCAGAGACTAGACTTTCGAATGACCATTCATTTTCTTTAACATTTCTTTTACATATACATGTAAACAATAAAAGCAACTTGTTGACAAAAACAAAATTTTAAATTTAGAGGCCTGTTGCGATACCAAGTAACCGCGGTTAATTTGAAACCCCAGATTTTACATATGTTTGAAGCAAAGATAAATTCTTGTCTAGTTTAGGAAATGTAGTTAAAAACGAAAGTGTAAAAGTAAAATAATTAAAATATCAATAAAAAATAAAAAATAAATTCGATTAAATGAAAAAGATTGTTGATGCACAAACAAAATGACATATGCTGAGCTATAAGGGGCTGTATGCTAATATTAACTTTGTTTTACAAAAACAAATCATAAAATGTCCACAGTAAATATAAAACTAATTCAGTATTTAAACTAATTGATGTGCATAGTTAAGGTCTAATTGTCCCGAGTGCCTAAGTGAGTTTAACAATATAAAGAAAATTTTGGTATCATATTCAGACACGATTCATTTACTGATTGTTAAATATTCATTTTTTAATATTTTTATGAAATTTTTGATTCATATTAAACCAGGATTGAGAGTGCATTATAGCTGATGATTTAAGAAGTTTATGGCTTTAACTAATTCTCGGCATTGGATTGGCTGGAGGACTGATTTTCTTTATGGACCACTACTCCACGAGCAATTAAATCAGGAATCTCAACGGCTAACCATGGACCAAGCTGAATGGAGAAATTAACAGAAGTTTTCATTAGAAATTTGATTGAGAAAAATAGTGAAATCTTGACAAAATTGAATTACCCCTAAAGCCATCGCATGAGCGATTCCAAACTTTGGAACATTTTTTCCCCATAAAGGCTTGAAATGATCGGATAAGCAAATCTTTCCACCTCGATACATTTTTGACGTTTTCCCATCTAATTCGGGGATGGCTATTTCAGGGGCAGTAGTTGGGTAAGTGACTGGTATCTAGAAAAAAGAAACAAATCATGATAGAAATAAATCATAATCAAATTATTCATCATTTTGAGTAGATTCAATGAATTTTTAAAAGTAAAATCTTACATCAAATTCAATTTCAAATTCATATTTGAGGAGTTCATGGATATACCAACATTTACCAAACCATTTGGTACCGTCTTTGTTATGCTCTAATCGGAACCAATCATTCTCATTTTGGCGAACTTGTTTGACGTACTAAATGAAAAGGGTAGATTGATAATGAGTAAAGGCTTTTAAATGTAAATCAATCATGAACATACCTCTATTAAAGCTTGAAGTTCCTCCTTGAGTCGTTGTGGCCACAATTCTTTATCCCTGGGACCTGCTTTAGTCCTTAATAAAGGTATACTACTTAATGTTTTACGGGTAGCATCGTCTACCATTTTGCTTAATTAAGGTGACAGTTGAAAGATGTGTGAAGAGACAGAACGAGAGAGAAAAGTAAACAGACTTTACACAACCATCTGTAGTACAGTAACGTGTCAATATCCAATTCAATTTGAGGCTACCTTTTGTTTCCATGGTAATTTGTTAATGTTTTACAAATTGCCCGTCGGACATAAATTACATTTAAAGGTCATGATTAACATTTCAATTATGGATTGTATTGTTCTTTTGAAATTTTGAAGCTTTACTCGATATATCTCGAATACATTAAGATGTACTCGATACCATGCATTAATTATTTTACTAGGTTCTCAACAGTAACTGGATTTTAGCTTCTTGATCGTATCAAATTAACTATTTGTTGCCATCTAATAAATTCCCATGAAGTTAGTCTATTGTGCTCTAACAAAAATTTTCTTTGTCTCATGTTCAAATTGATCAAGAGATCAGTATGAGTGTTGAATAACAAAGAAAAAAAAACAGCAATTTACGATCTGAATTACATCATTATTCGTGCTTTTTTGCTAACCAATTGTCCTTGCCAAGATTGAAAAAAATTATGTCAATAGTTATTGATAATTTATTGGTAATTGAAATCATGGATTGTTGAACAATTAATAAAAAATAATTGAAATTATTGATCAAGAGTCTATTTAAGACCTTCATTTCATTGTTCAACAACAATCGGGATAGAATTCAAAAATAAGAAGCTGGCGCCATCTTTTCAAGATTATTGATAAAGTGAAAAATATATTTCGGGTGTTAGTTTAATTTACATGGTTATTGGTTTTATCAAGGTTAATTGTGCCGTAAACTTCTCCATCTTGATTTCAATTGTTTAATACGATTAATTAACAGTTTCACTTTTTGACACAATGTCAATGTTGAAAGGCCTTTGAACCATTATGAAGCTTTCATCTCATTAAATTACCTCACTTCACGTTGAAAATCCCGACATTAGTTACAGGATCCAAATCACGGTGAATATCCATTTATTCAATTCAATATATTTTTTTTCCTATTGTTTACTTCATATTTAATCGTTTCTATTATTGTATTATCTAATCCTAGACTTTTGAGACGTTATCTCCCTGCCTACAGAGGGAGTTCTGTTTACCTTTTCACACCAAGGGGACAACCTGTCAAATCAGCGGTTGTTGATATTTAGCCTTATACATAGCTCAAATCTTTTAAGGTTATTTAATAAATATGACCTCCTCATTTGCGTCACAGTTCAACCTAAGATCTCCAGGTAAGATAAGATTATTATTTTAATTTTCAACATGAGGATAACTTAAGCTTTATTGTGTCCTTTTATGTCTAGCTGTTAAAAGATTGATGAAAGAAGCTGCTGAATTGGCTGAACCTACGGAAGATTATTATGCTCAACCATTGGAGGTAATAGTTATAGAAGACAAAATGAAAATTGTCTGATATTCATTCCATTTATTTGTTATTTTCATGACAATCCGTTTCATCATTTGCAGCACAACCTTTTTGAATGGCACTTTACTGTAAGAGGACCATCAGACACCGATTTTGCTGGAGGGTTATATCATGGAAGAATCATTTTACCCACAGAGTATCCGATGAAACCGCCTAGTATTATACTGTTAACCCCAAATGGAAGATTTGAAGTTAGTAAAAAGATATGTTTAAGCATATCTGGTCATCATCCTGAGTCATGGCAACCATCGTGGTCAATCCGTACCGCTCTTCTAGCCATTATTGGTTTCATGCCTACAGAAAGTCGAGGAGCAATCGGAGGTTTAGATTATACACCTGAAGAGAGGCGTGAACTTGCTACGAAATCACAAACCTGGTCATGTTCCGCCTGTGGTCCTATTAAAAGTTTGCTTAAAGATCGTAGTGAAACCCCTTGTGAACCATCTAGTGATAACCAAGAAGCAAAAGAACTGGCTAAGCAAATAAGATTCAAGGTTAGTAAAACAAACATTCCTTCCAATACATATCTATGAAATATTATGTCTCAATGATAAATTTCAAGTCTATTTTAAAATGCATCTGTGTTTCACATTATGAAACTTCATTAATACCTATATTATTCTAATTATACCTTTTCCAGGAAATCGATTCCGGAAACACAAATCAAAGAACAATTAAAGATTCAGAACAAACCATGGATAAGAAAAATGATGAAAATTTAACAATGAATAGTGACTCTACAAATATTGAAACAAGACGTCGACGAATTGGTGTTGTTCATCATGATCATTCCGCAACTGAAGGTTCACAAAAAATACCTCAAGTAACGCCAAGCATCTCACTAAATTCACCATCATATGAGGCCTCTGTTCAATCATCAAGGACTCGCCTTTCTTCTTATATTATTGTTATCCTTATTCTAGCAATTGCTTTTCTTCTATTCAGACGAATCTTCCTTACTGATTCCGAGTGATCAAGATAACACAAATGTTTACTTTCACAATGTTTATGCTTGCAAATACACTTCCATTCAATTAAAATGGACTCGACTATCCTTTATCAAAAAGTCAATCACGGAATCGACAAATGCCTTTGAAATTCAATATTTTATTGAGTTTTCAAGCCCAAGTGTTGGAGTTACTGTTGATGAGCTTATGCGTTAACCTGGGTTTTTATTTCAAAACTTAGCAGGCCACTAGTTAGTGATATTTCAATTAATCTTGACTTAAGAGTATCACTATATTGTGATATTATTACTATAATAATATTGCTCTTTGGTTTAGACTTGATTACCTTGGTTTAACTTAACAACCTTAAAAGTTGATTTTCTTATTATTAAACTGCTATTGTCTAGGATAAATGATAAATATAGAAATCATTAGTGATCAGCTGATTGCTGACCTCGAGCAGTTATTTAGCCGACAATTAAAGAAATCAGTTTTGTAAAACAACTTATAGTATCGTGTTACCAAGTTGTGATGTCTAGTATTTCTGAGATAAAATCTATATCAAAAGTAGCCGCAGAAGAAACTTCACAGTCAACCCTAAATAAATCAGACGTAAGAAGTTGTTTTCGATGGTCTGAAAATCAACTTTAAGCAAATGAAATGGATCTTCTTATTTAATCTCCGTAAAATTAATTATAGCATTCTGTATCGTTATTCGAGTTTGAACTCTACTCACTTTAAAAGGCTTGACTGATGTTTTGATCTAGTATACCTAAACCAATAGACCATTTGATATAGACCTTAGCCTATGCCGTTATGCAAACCGTCAATATTTCGATTCAAGAATTAGTCTATTAGTTTATTTGTACAGTTGCTTTGAAATAGACATGAACTTTATCTTTTAGGCCCGACTTTTTCCACATTTTTTTCATAAGATTTCCTACCACCTAAAACCACCAAATCATTCACCGCTATATGATCTAACGATGATGATAAGATGTTAGATATGCTGCTGCTATATGATCAATATGATGGTGATGAATGGTAGGTGTTTAGATTTGGGTGGTGGACAATATGGTGGACCACACGGTGGAAAAAGTGATTGAAAAAGTGGTGGATGTGGTGGAAAAAAGCCGGTCCCATCTTTTTCATTTAATATTTTGTATTAATTTCATCTCCTTTAATGCATAACATTGCCTTAAAAATCCTATGGAAAAAAACTTGAACTTGAAATAAACAAATGACTATTTATCTAAAATGCAAAGGTTACAATTTTTCGGGCTGTCTCGTCTTATTTCTTAAGCTTCTGATTCAGCCATCAAAAAGTAGGTACCAATCGCTTCGGTCTAAACAGTATTGACTATTGGGTCGTCGGGATTTCTCTTATCGATTCTCTTTCAGTTTGATGGAAGCTCACTTGGCAGCTCGCCATTTCAAATGATAAATTCTGGATGTTATGGTATAATTGTTCTGGCATACTTTACTGGATATCTTAAATCTTGACCTGTTCCTCGATGCGTATAAAGCTTGAGCCAATGATTCACTCAATATTGAGATTATCGATTCAAGAGTTGAACAGTTGGTTAACTTGATGCAACTTTAAGCTTAGATAACTCACGTTTTCAACCTTGGCCCGAAGGTTCGACTTCGAAGGTAAATTATTTTATGAATTGACAAAAATATTCTCAGCTCTGAATAATTCTTTTTTCTTCTTTTTATTAGATGCTTGACTCTCCAGGGCGAAAAGTGTATCATGTTGCTGTTGAGCAAACAAAAAGTTTATCACCGTAAAAGGAAAAGTGTTGAAAAACTATGGAAGAGTCAAATCTTGGGAGTAACGATAATTCATACGATAAACGTTTTTAGTCTAGTGAACTTTACGAAATGTGCCTTGAAAGTGAAAAAAACTGGAAAACTTTGCCTGTTTGTTCAAAATATGACTCTTATTGGGAAGCCAAAAAGACATTTAGAAAATGAACTTTATTATTTCATTTCAAAAAATTTTTGCATTCAATTTTTAAGCATTTTTTGAAATATTTTTTAATCTGATTTGGTTATTTTATGTGGTTATCATTACAATCGACCATGATTCTGTCAACAATAACAGTGTAATCACAATGTTACTTGTACATTTTGATATTCAAACGACAGTCTACACTCTTTTATCATAACCCAACCGTTATTAGCTTTATCTCTTAGGTTAAAATTGTAATCATTGAGGGTTATTGCCTGATCAAGACGAAACACCAAAGCAACGATATACACTTTACGCTACATCTATAGCTTAAGACAATGATTGACTCAATATCAAGATTTTCGATTCAAGAGTTCGACACGAGAGGCTGGAGTTGCTTTGCTTGACCCAAAAGTGATGTTATTGTATTATTACATGGAAATACGTAATCATGAGGTTGTGGTCAAGTCATTATCGCGGTCTGATGCCATTTAAGCAATCAAAAATTCAAATTGCATAAACATATACTGTAACTGCAAATAGATATTTGTTTCTTATTAAATAAAGTAGACTAGCCGGTTAAATTAATTTTTTCTGTAGTCTCATTTGGTGACGTACACACTTTAATATTGTTACTATTGATAATTAGGATTTATAGTCACCATGAAATTGTGCCTTAATTTTTAAAACTTATTAAAAAATAATAAATCGAGATTGAAAAATTGGTCCAGCCGGGTACTCGAGTGCATTGAGTTTTCACCGGTTATTCCCCTTAACTCCGGCCCGTGGCGGCAACTACAATGAAGCACATATGTTTACTGTTTTTCATAGTAGTTTTCTTGATTAATCAATATTAGTTTATTGTTCAACCAATTTGTTTCATTTTTGATCATTTTATTCTTTCTAATTGGACCAACGTAGATCTTCATTCCAGGTGAGTTTATTATTTAAGTATATTCAATGATTGTTAAGGCTCAGAGAAGCTTGAGATGCCAGCTTTAATTTTTGCATCAATGTTCACTCAATCTGAGGGGTTATCTGGTTCATTTGGTCAGTTGCTTTTGATTAATTTTGTATCTATTTTTGATTTTTTTCTTCTAAGGGATTCGTTGTCACTTGATTTGCCTTTCTTATCGTTCTCATGATTCAATCCTCACACATTGGGAATCATGCAAAATATACCGAATAACCTGATGGATTCAAAAAAGATTTGCTGGAAGAGGAAGAAGAAGCCGCAAGCCACAAATATGCTTATTTCAAAGAAATCATCAACAGAATACCATGGTTAGCTGATAAATGGTGTAAAACAATAACTCAGGATATGAGTGAAGGCTTCAAAAGTCATGGAAAGGAGCATGCTAAACATAAACACAAAAACAAAAGTACAAGAGGATGCCTAAATAATGAATAATGTGACTTGTTGGATAATGTCGATGGGTAAGGATTTAATCAGGATCACTAAATATCATCAGGCTTAGCATAAACATTTAAATGATACCATGTAAAGACCCAAAATTTGAAAGAAATGCTATATTACGTGACTTGAGGTTACGAAAAGGAAATAGAGCTTAACCTGATATTGCATTAGGTAGGAAGAATCCAACCTTTTCTTTGAAACTTGTGCCACTGTTGATTTCAATTATTAGTGAATCCATCGTTTTTTTCACTCGTATTGTCTTGATGAAAAGTAGAGTTGATGTAATTGTTGGAGCATTTAAAAAATTGAAAGGTGTGTTCCCACCCAAACATAACATATCCAACAATCATAAATCAACAAATTATCATCCCATTCTTTAGATTAAATGTTTGCAATTTCATTTCAAAATTAGCTTCTTTGTGTTTGTGAATGTTGGAAATTTTGGTGATTGATTCAATGAAAGTTAAACTTTAATGATATATCTGCCAATCTTCCTTTTATCTCTTCTCTACTGATGAATTTCGGCTTCAGAATCTTTTAGTGAAAACTCAAAAAAACGCAATATTTCTGTTGAATAGTTCTGAAGCTGTTCAAATGATTGCCTGATTATAGTCTAACTCTGGACCATTTGGTGAAAAAACAAACAATATTTAACTTATCACTTTGAATTGAGTTACATTCTTAATTATACCGGAACCATCTACTTCAATGGATTGATGCCAAGTCTGTTCATTCAAGTAGTAATTGTAACCAATGGGCAATCCTCGTTATTACCTACTGGGTTTTACCAGGGCTTAAAATATTCTAGCTCAAAATAGGAATATTTCATGATTAACCTTCCAAGTTGCAAGACTTCTCGTGAACTTGATTCACTTGGTAAATAGCATCTTCACAATTTACTTTTACAATCTTTAACAATCTCAACAAGAAATTTTGTTTATTCATTGAACATTATGAACTTGAGCCAATAATTTTAACAGTGATATTGAATCTTGTTTACGATTTATTGCTTTATTAAACGAAATTTCACATCTTTGGCCGATCCGAAATTGCGATTAACGTTATTTTTCGATTCTTGTTGCAAGTTTGTATTTATGACAATAGGTAGCACTAGTTATGCTCTCTTCTGATTGGACAAGAGGGAAGATAATTTGTTGATCCGAAGCTAAATGACACTTTGAGCTTGTTTACTTCTCTCTAATAGGCTGATCTCAACTGGTTACTGAAAGAGCTGAAAGAGGAGAAAAGTTTTTCTTTTTTTCACTTGGTTAGAAAAGTTTTTTAAATTGAACAACACTCCAACTTGAATTTTGCTACTGTAATGTTTTGCGTATTTATTTATCGTGTGCTATTTATTTTTGATTAACTGTGAACCTAATTTATTGCATTAATCTGGATCTATGACCAAACTTTAAGATGTTGATCTTCAATATGATTTATCCAAAGATTTTTTCGATGTTCCTTCCAATTTTCACTGTGATCATCTTTTCTGTTGACAAAGGACTGTAAGTTAACGATCGGATTCATTTTTCCTCTAATTTCCATCTGATTGATTATTCATTTTACTTAACTATTTGTCACCTCATTACCTGGTACAAGTGTTGATTTTGTTTTCCCATTCCCATGTTTTAATAGTTTTTCAGACAACAGTTATGTGAAAAATCTCACACGACCAATATATCCATGTTTGCTAATTTGTTTTTGTTTTCTATCTTTCTTATCATGTTTTCAGAGCTCAAAATCCAACTTATACAATTTTAGCGCCTGAAAAGATTCGCCCAAATTCTGATTATTTTGTTTCTGTGTCAACCCATCATGTATATAATCCTGTGAATGTTACTTTAACCATCTCTGGATATGACAACTCAACTAAAAGCTTCAACGAAATTAGTCAGACAATCGAGTTGTCTGGTGAAATGACTAGACTGGCTCGTTTCGGTGTTGGTCCTTGGGGTATCGGTAATTATAAGCTGACAACAATTGGTACCGGCGGATTAACTTTTACCAATGAAACAAAACTTGTTTATGATGGGAAAAGTTTCTCGGTGTTTATTCAAACTGACAAAGCCATCTATAAACCCGGACAAAAGGTTCTTTTCCGAGCTATTATTGTTCGTCCTAATCTGGCGCTTGCTGATACTGGTGCAAATTACGTCTACATCGAAGATGCTAAGAGTAATCGTATTAAACAATGGGATCGTGTTTTTACAACACACGGTGTGCTCTCATTTGACTTCCAACTTTCAGAAAATCCGGTTTTAGGAGATTGGACCATCAACGTTGAAATTGATCGGAAAATATTTAAGAAAACTTTCACCGTTGCTGAATATGTACTACCTACTTTCAGTGTTGATGTTACTCTACCCAATTATGTGACTTACAACAAATCCGACCTCATTGCAAATGTTAAGGCAACTTATACCTATGGTAAACCAGTTACTGGTGAGGTTACTCTCACTGTCCAACCAAGAATTAGATATGGTTCACTGACCACTCGACCCTTGGAGCAATATCAAGTTAAAGCCAAATTAGATGGTTCAGTAGATATTCCTGTTGACGTGGTCAGAGATGTTAAATTGAGAAAAGATTTTTATGACCGAGAGATTGAATTTTTCGCCTTAGTTGAAGAAAGCTTGACTGGACGTAAATACAATAAAACAGCTATCCTCAAGGTTTATGATAAAGACATTAATATTGAATTGATTAAAACTGCTCCCTACTACAAGCCAGGTTTAAAGGTAATTTGTTACCTTAAAGTTGCATACCGAGATGATACACCAGTCGAAGACAATGGACCACCAGTCAAAATAATGTATGGTTATGGATATGACGAAGATGCTTATAACAGTATTATTGAAGAGGTGCCCAATAAGGGTATCATCAAATTTGAGTTTACTGCAGTTAACAATTCACATTCCGTAATTGGAATGAAGGCTGAATATAAGGGTCAAGTTTACAACTTAAATAGTTTTGAAATGTCCCTCTCACCTAGTTCAAATTACATTCAAGTGGCCATCCCGGACGGATATCAAGCAAAGATTGATGAAACTCTGCGCCTAAGTGTAACCACCACTGAACCAATTGAATCATTTGTCGCCATTGTTGTGAGTAAAGGTAAAATTGTTTCAACTGAAACATTTTACTTTAAATCTGGTAAACAGCATGTTGCATCACTATCAATTACTCACTCTATGGCCCCTAAAGCCCGTATAATAGTTTACTACGTGAGAACCGCCAATTCAGAGATAGTTGCCGATTCTGTGGCCATAGACGTTGGTGGAATTTTCAGAACCAATGTTGAAGTATCAGCATCAACCGAAAAGGCCAAGCCTGGTGAAAAGGTTGACATTAAAGTGAAAACAAATTCCAATGCTTATGTCGCAGTTTTAGGCCTTGATGAGAGTGTCCTTCTTCTTAAAAGTGGAAATGATATTACTCGTGATGATGTCACCAATGAATTAGCAACTTACGATTCTAATTATTACAACCCAAACTCGGATGATTCATTTTCTTACTTCAATAGAAATTACTTCAACTCACTTTCTGCAGCAGCAAACATTTTTCACAATGCAGGACTAATTATCCTTTCCAACGGAATTGTCTTTGACCATTCTATTCAACGTAAGTTTGTCTTTGAATGAAAATTTCATAACCATTTTCCTCAACTCTCACCATCTCTTTATTTTAAAAAACCAGTGAAAAGTTCCTTTTTCACCCATCCCTGTTAATCAATTGTTATTTCACATTAACCTTGAATTCCATTATTTGCCCAATTTTAGCTTTTGATATGAAATAGCTTTAAGGTTTACACAAAAATGAAACATTTGTTTAAAAATATTGTACAAAAAATAATGATTCTATTGTTTAATTTTTTGAGTATTTTTCAAATTTCTTCTAAAACATGAAATAGCCCTTCAATTTGATACATTTTTAACTAACTAACATTTTTTATTTTAACACCATTCTATCCCAGTTCATTATCGTAGTAGCTTTCCAGTATCTCTGTCTGAAAGCGCTGATTCCATGTCAGCCTTTGATGAAGCCCCTAATCCTGTTGGTTCAAGATTTTACACTAAATCACTGAGTAGTTCAACTGCTCCGGTTAAAGTTAGAAAGTATTTCCCTGAGACTTGGCTCTGGGCCAACCAAACTTCTGGGTAGGAATACAAAATACAAAATTTGAACTTTCATGATAATACTTGCCATTGAACCTTCTCAGTCACAAATAACTACATAACAATAACATTAACAAAGCAACAAATTACTATTAATAAAGCTTATAAGTTAATAAGCTGGTAAACATCTATAACTAATTTTCTGGTGTCCCATTTTAGCTGTATATTTTTGAATATCCATTACCAAATTGTTAAAAATGGGACGAATTTGTGAAGAAGAGTACAAACCATGAAACCTGTTTTTCTTTCTCTTTCAAAAGCAGTTTTCAATCTGTTGATAGCTTATGAATCTTGTGACATTCAAGTTTAATTTTCTATTCAACATATTGTTCGCCGCAACAACATCAGATTGATCTCAACATGTTATGAAAAGGATTTTCTGAAAAGAAGTTTTGATTACAGATAATCTTTGAAATCGTCTTATTCATTTTCTTAGAAGTACATGAACAGCATTAATTGGCTGTTTTTCATCTCATGTTGATATTGTCATCACTCACTGTCAAACTGTTTATTTTCATTAGGTTCAGTAGTAAAAACTATTTCTGTGAACAATCAAAGGAAAACACTTATATTTGATTAGCCATTTTATTCAATGACAATTTCAGACGAGATTTCATTTTGTAAAACATTTCCCTACCCTTTATGTGCCTATTCAAGTATCAAATGTCAATACTGCAAACTTTGGGTTATTTAATTGTTTTTAATATTTGCTTAGCAAAAAAAGCAAAATAAAAAGTCAACACTTTTTAACTTTTTATCGTATTCAACTAATAACATCAGTATTCCCTCATTATTATCGTATAGCAAGCTTGATGTCATGATGTTTTTAAAAAGCACAATTCAATTGACTTTGCATAGACTATATGCGTAATTTATGAAAACATTACCTTGATAAATTGAAAACAAATCAGTTAAGCTGAAGACTTATCGAAAAATTTCCAATGTCAAATCATTTCTGTGTTATTTGTCTCTTTCTGTTGATTAGTGAACAAATACTCCGTCAATTGACCAAAAATTTGTAGCATCAGAATTAGTCTGATAGAGTTAACTATTAGCGATTTAATAGGGATGATGATGGAAGCTATTAAAGTGGCTCCATTTGAAAGTGCATTTTTAGAGTCTCATGGCATTAAACTGATGGATGCGGTAACCATGAATTGTTATTCTCATTTTGCCATAATTTAATGAATTGTAATTTTTCTTCCTTTTCTCAATTTCCATCTGTGATGGACATTGGCTTAAATTGCTCGATTTGCTTTCCCATCAATTGCCATATTCACCCTTTCCATATCAGGCTATGGATTTTCAATACCCGGTTTGGCTCCTTCACCCGGTATGTGATAAAATAGATTGTTAAAAACTAGAAACTAACAATTTAATGAAAAACTGCATTCAAGATTCATTTAACCATAAAAACAAAAACAAAACTGAATCTGAATCTGAGCTGGAGCCGGTTCCCACTCTAAAGCTTACTCATAAAAGCATCATCAGCTTGAATTGATAATAGCTTGCTTGATGCATAACTACGATCTATCTAATGGGTCATTTGTTTTATGCTTATTTTCCCCTGTTTTTTCATTTCTCTCAATCTCGCACCGCTCAATGTTAGTAAGTGGTAAAAGTATCGTTCTTGATGATAAATTACTTGATTATCGTCCTCGATTGGCCAAAATAGTTTTACCGGACGCCACTGAATCCAGGATAGTATTGAGAAAAAATTTCCCCGAAACTTGGTTATGGGATCACACATATTCTCGGTACTTATGATGAAAATTTCTTACAAATTTTTGTAATCCATACTAACTCAACAATTGAACCATTATTTGGATTCATGCTATTAACTCAAAACTTTGTGATGGTGCCAAAGAAGGCAAAAGGGTTAACAATTGTCCTAGTATTAACCTTTCAATTCACCATCACTCATCTATTATCATTTCTGTTTCCTCTCAATGTTTACCTTTACTCAACTTCTTTGTTTTTGAGGGTTCTTCTTGTTATAACATTGAGTAATGAAATTGTCTCAATTGATTGTGAATTACAACACCCGTTGCTGTCAATTCCTTTTTTAAATTCAGTTCAAAGCTGAGTCAACTTTTCTTCTCCTCTTCTTTTATATTTAACATCTTTCAACGTTTGTGCTTATAATTCATTTCGACTAAAAAGCAAAAGGACTACACCTAGTATCAGGTTTCCTTTTCAAACCATGAACTCTTCTTTTCTTCTCTCTACCTTCATGATGTAAGAAGCATAACTAATTCAAATGGGTGCTCTCAAAGAGTCTCAAGAATACCTTAAATCAATAATTGTTGTTTTGTTTTGTCATTATCATCTTATTATATTTTTCATTCTTGTTAAGTTGCACTGAGAAGGCAGGCAAGTTTTTTGCCGTATTTACTAGACTAACTTGTTTTTTTTATCTTTTGATTGTTTTTATTTCCTTTGTTCTCCTGTTTCAACAACGCATTAATAAAGATCTGATGGTCTAGCTACCTTTAGTAGTAACATTCCGGACACAATAACATCTTGGAGCGTTACAGCTTTTGCAGTTGATAAACGGACAGGATTGGGAGTTGTCGAGAAACCTACAAAGGTAAATATTGTCACCTAATCATCTAAAACTTGCTCAAAAATATCACCAATAACTTATCGGTAAACAATGAGTTTTATTTTTGATGAGAAAAACGGAAATTATTAATAGCTTGAGGTTAAAATTTGAGACCACAATTTTCTCTATCTGAATATAAAATTCCAATGAGAATCTTTAGGCGTTTGCTAACTCAACATATTTGTTTGACTTAATCTTGAATGGCTTTTTTTCATTTACTTTACTTTTCTGGTGGTAATGGTGATGATGGTTTAATGGTGAAAAAAGCTGCCTACAACTTTTTTCACTTGTAAACATGATTGCAGTTTTTGTTAACAATATTTCAGACGTTGAACATACCATGCTTATACACCTACTTATAGCTGACGATGGCTCTTTCCATTGAATTTTGAGATTTCCTACAATTAGCTTTCACTTTCTGACGGAAAAGGGATAACTTTTATAAGTGAAGACAACCTTGACAAATAAACCATGAATGTAAGTGAGTAAAAATGAGAGGGAAGAATCAAAATGAGAACAGATTGTGGTTTAAGATTCCCTTGAAGATCGATTTCTTTAATTGGTCAATTTGATAGCGCCTACTGAATCATGTTTACTAACCTTGCTATTTTTGTTGTGAAAAGTCACCAGTAAACATTCAATTGGTAGCTGGAAAATTGTGCATTAATTTACATTGCAAGTAATTTTTCAATATTTCAGAAAACGAACAAAATAGCAGTTTAAATTTTCTTCCTCAAAAACTAAATTAACATATCACACATCATTAACATTACTCATCTTACAGTCAATCAAGAAATTCTCACCTCTAAATTTAGATTCCAAATCAATCCATTGATACAGACATTACATTTATTTCAGTTAAGTCTACAAGGCTTACCTTCAGTCATCCTGGCAAAGTTGATAAATTTTATGGTTCTCTGTGTGAATCGATAAACCCAGAGTTTTAAAAAAAATGGGGATGTAGCTCAGTGGTAGAGCGTTCGCTTCGCATGTGAAAGGTCCCGGGTTCAATCCCCGGCATCTCCATTTAATTTTGTCCATTTTTAATGTTCATTATTTTCATTCGACATTTTCGTGTTTATGGTTATTATTTTGTCTTGTAGTCGTAAAAATTGATTTAGACTGATTTCATTGTTTATAAATGGATGGAAATGGATAAAGGTTTTGGATGCTTATTTGATTTATTTTTGGGAAATTTTTTTTTCTAAGCGAGTTATTGTTTGTATTTTTGTTTTTATTTCATCGATCACCTGAACTTTTTATTTTTCTTTGTAGGTTACAGTCTTTAGACCATTCTTTGTGAAACTGAATCTTCCTTATTCTATCATTCGTGGGGAAACTGTTGCCATCCAAGTTTTAGTATTTAATTACTTTACTAAACCCAGGGAAGCTCAAGTTGTCCTACACAACGACAACAAGGAATTTAATTTCACTGTTGCCAGTAATGAAGTGGATACTTATTTGAATGATGCCACTCGAAGTCAATTTGTCCAAGTTGCTGCTGAAAGTGCTGCTTCCGTTACTTTCCTCATTTCAACCAATCGAGTTGGCTCAATTAACTTGAAAGTTACTGCTCTCACTGATAATGCTGGCGATACAGTTATTAAACAATTATTAGTAAAACCTGAAGGTAAAACACAATACCTCAACAGAGCCGTTTTATTGGACTTTTCAAAAGCTGGTGGATCCTCTAGCAATCATTTAGTTCCTCTTTGGATACCAAATAATGCGGTCCCTGGGTCAAAGGGGCTATCAGTATCTGTTATTGGTGATGTATTGGGCACTAGTCTTAACAATTTAGACGATCTATTGAAGATTCCTTATGGATGTGGTGAGCAAAATATGCTCAACTTGGTTCCGAACATTGTGGTTCTTCAATACCTCAAAACGGCCGGTAGATTGACTCTTGACATTCAATCAAAAGCACTTCATCATATGGAGCTTGGTTATCAAAGAGAGTTGACTTATAAAAGATCAGATGGGTCTTTCAGTGCTTTTGGTGAAAGCGATAAAAATGGATCTACTTGGCTAACAGCTTTTGTTTTAAAGTCTTTTTACCAAGCTAAAGAGTATATTACCATTGATGACAAAGTTTTGGCAGAAGCGACAGACTTTTTACTTAAACAGCAAAAATCTGATGGAAGTTTCCCTGAACATGGTGAGATACATCACAAACCAATGCAAGGAGGGGCTGCTGGTAGTCAGGGTGCTTTGTCCGCCTACGTTACGATTGCTTTGCTTCAAAATAATTATTTCAAGCAACAATATCCAAAACATTTCGATCGATCAGAGAAATACTTGTATGAACAATTGAGAGAGGCCAAAACATCATACGAAACAAACATTATTGCTTACGCTTTACATCTCATGAAATCTGCTACTATTGAACCAGCATTGGCCAAATCATTGATCAAGATGAAACAAGATGGAGATGTTAGCTATTGGTCAGATGAAGATGAAACGGAAAAAACAAATTTCACAAACAAACAATCGAGTCACTTTTTCTTACCCAAGTCAACTGATATTGAGGCTACAGCTTATGGACTTTTAAGTCTGGTTAATCATAATCAAACGGATCAAGCTGTTACTGTCATGAAATGGCTTATCTCGCGACAAAATGCTCAAGGTGGTTTCTCGTCAACACAAGACACTGTTATTGCTTTACAAGCTTTATCTTCAATTGCTAGTCATTTAACCAGCTCAACTCAAAATATTGATGTAACTTTTAAATTTGGTAATGTTACGGAGAAACAAACAAGTCGTACTTTCCAAATTCGTGATAATAACGCTCAGGTGTTGCAAAAATTTGAAATGACTGATGCCAGAGGAGAAACAATTCCAGATCATGTTGAGATCGTGACTCAAGGAACTGGTGTTGCTGTTGTTCAAGTTTCATGGAGATATAATCTTGCTGTTTCAGCTGAAGAACCGGCTTTCTTTTTGAATCCAATTTTAGGAAAGGCTTCAACGGACAACTTTCTTCAACTCAATCTATGCACATAGTACGTATTTGTTAACTAGGATTTTAACCCCAAATTTCCACCTAACTTCTCTTTTCATTTGTTTTCTTTATTAATTATCTAACCTTTGACTTTTTACTTGTCAATTAACTACAGTTATAAAGCTGGTCTTGCTACAAATATGGCCGTTATGGAAGTTGAGTTACCTTCAGGTTATTCAGCCGATGTGGATGCCTTACAAAGCATTAAAAGTCAAGGTAACGGAATTAAAAGGATAGAGAGTCACAATGGTGATACAAATGTTGTCATTTATTTTGATAGGGTAAGTTGACCATTTCATATAACTCATTGTAATCACTTTTCAACTTTACCATCATTGTTTATAGCAAAACTAATTCTCTATTATTCTGTTGATTCCATTTTCTTTTTCGCTTCTCCAAAATCTTTTTATCAATTTAGCTTACCCGTGAAGAACTGTGTCTCACTGTTCCTGCTCACCGAACACAAAAAGTTGCCAACAATAAGCCTGTTCCCGTTACCTTATACGATTATTATAATCGCCATGAATCAGCTCGAATCATGTATGAGCCCAAGATGACAACAACTTGTTCCATTTGTTCAAGCTCAGATTGTCAATGTAATAATGAAGGAGAAAATGCAATCAAAGAAGCCAGTTTTGATGGTAGCTCAGGATTTATAGCATCAACTAATTTGGCAATTGTTCTGTTACTTCAATTGATTTCTTTTGTTTGCATCATCTAATAACTAAATTAATGACATTAGTTACAAAAAGAAAAATTGGAAACAAGTAATAATATTAAAATAATAATATGAATGGAGTCAAGCAGTTTGGTACAAACAAACAGGATCCAAATAATGATCAACTGTCACAACAACAAAACAGAACACTTTCTTTCTCATTTTTTTTCTTCATTGCTATGTCTCATCATGTTCATTTCATCTTTGTCATTATGATTGCTGTTATTAATCTCGATTGTTACTACTTTTGGTATCCGTATCATTGACTGTTGATAAATTGATGCAAAATGTTGCTTTACAATTATCAAAACAAAACTTGACAATAAGAAATCTCTTTAAGAAAACATTTCTTTCTTCGATTATTATAAATTATTGTGCCGTATAATATATCCTTGTCGCTGTTGTTGAAGCAAATCAATGACAAACAATTTGTGCCCACCGAGTGTTGCTCTTCTTTCATCTCCCTTCATCAATCGACGTACAGTTACCGTTTTCTGGATAATTTAACCACTTGAATTGCAGATTAGCCAAATTCGGGAATCTCCAAGGACAATAACGATCAATGTTCATCTGGCTTGATTTGACTTTCAAAATATGCAAGCTTATAAAGTCACAAACGCCCTGTTATCGTCCTTCATCTTTTTCTGCTTCTGTTGCTAATACTAATAATGATGCTGATGAAAACTCTTCATACATATTTTTTGTTTAATCACTCACGCCAACTCCGTAAAAATTGAAACAATATAAGAAATCTACAATAATTGGGAGCAAGTCAACCATTTATTATTAATTATATCATTTCGAATCTTGTAAAGGTTCTTTTTTGTTGATGCTCTCATTTATTCAACAAAACAACTTTTTTTCATCTAAATGTTTCATCTATTAAAATGACAGTTTCATTTCTTGGACCTCGTTGAAATTGTTTGTATTAAACAACTATCATCATCCAATTTGGATCATCGTGAACAGCACCATCAATTATTTTCAACATTGCTGATGCAAACATAGATATATAACCTGGAACCAGTGTAAAAAATGAGTGTATAAAGGAGTTGATGCTAATTTAAAGAAAAAGTATTTGGAATGAGAATCAAATGATGGGAGTAAAGAAACTAAAAACAAAATTTATGTGCCTTAGCAAAAGCATAACACAAACTAATCAAATTTTCATTTCATCTTGCATCTTTTTCGCCTCAAATTTCCACTAATCTCATCAGTATCTCAAACTTGTATCTGCACTGAAAATTAACAAATATACAACGAAGTAAACTTTGTAAAAGTTAATCTTGACTTTCTTCAATTTATCCGACACAAAACCAGTTAAACTAAAACTGTTTGGAAATTTTATTGTGATTTAAAAATCAGTAATTGTTTATAATATCAATTGTTATAAAAACCATTTTTTGTCATCAAAAATATTTGTTTACACATTAAAATAAGAACTAAATTAAATCTTAAATTAAACATTAAATCATTAACAGATCCTATTCAAGAAAAATTAAAAATAAGAAATAAATTTATTCTTATATCGAATTGATTGCAAAGCAACCTAAAAAATCGCACATTTCGCACGCTAAACTGGATCTAAATTGATGCAAAAAAGTTCTCTGTCAAATAAAGGAGGTAGAACTGAGTTAGTTAATTGGGGAAATTGAGAGGACATTTGATTAAAAACTACCTTTGACAGTATTGGAGAGACATAATTTTTTTTTGCTCAGCGACAACTTGAAAGTAGCCTGAAGTCCGATAATCATCTATCATCACATTAACCAAAGAAAGGGTCGAGAACGATAATGTGTTTGTCGATTCCATGACTAGTAAACATTTAAGGAATAGTAAACAACATTCAAGGATTTATCTGACAATCTTGTCAGTTCGCTATAAACATTTCACCGAATAAAATAGAGTCTCTATTGTTTCAATGCTACACTGGGTGACAAAAGTATAAGACCACTTAATATTTGTTTATAAATCTTTTGCTATTATATTTTAGATCAAATTAGCGACTAAGTTAAATTGTCGTTAAATATCAATCAGTCACAATGATCGTGGTCTATTAAAAAGAGCAAAAACAAACCTGATTACGAGCCATTATTATTTTAGCTAACATACCAACGCGTAAATTGTGTTATCTGGGAATCCTACTTGAAGCAGACCTATCCACACCAATCATCGCCGTTGAAAAATACATTATGAAATACATTAATAAATAGCTGTTTTCATTTAGAGGATATAGCTTATCTCAACTAATCTTGTTTAATAAACATTAGAAGAAATTTCATTTCAGTTTCATTAATTATCAACTCAATATTTAAATCAATTAAACTCTCTAACTTGAGTGAAGCAAACAATTTCAATACAGTTTTTCTAATAGTCTAAAGTTCTGTTGATGTACATACGAGACACAATTCACGAAGGAATTTGCAGCCATCTACTTTTGAGTCGTAAATTTCAACATTCTATGCTAATTATTTTTATCGTTTGCTGGGAAGTGGTTTAAATTAACATTAAATAAGTTTAGTTTTCTAAAATTTTCATTTGTTCACACGGTCGATCTCAGCGATAACACCACGTGTGTAACTGCTCGGTTGATCTCTTCATGTCGAGTATCATCCGTATTTGGAGTAGCGGTATTTTCAATCTCCTAACTCAGGTTAAAGAAAAGGCCAGGTTCATTGCAGCAAAAACCTGTACCTGCAAACCAAAAACATGCAAAGACTGTATTTTATTTAGTTAGAAACACAAATGGAAAATTGTTTATTGATTTTCAAAGATCAATCCTTACCAGATTTTAAAGTTACCTGCATTTACTGAGTAACTGAGGCGACTTATCAGCATTTCTGGTAATATTAACCATTGCCTACTAACTTCAGATGTAATTAATATGGGGGTTAAATGCGGGGGTTTCTAATGTGCGCGATTTGTAGTGCTTTTACATTTTGAAAAATTGTAACTAGTTTTTCAACCAAACCTAGAATACTCAAAGGCTATATCAAGACATGATTATGAATGACGTATGAGTAGAAACTCATGTTTTTTGCATTTTCAGTTGCATTGGATATTTTCATTCTGAAACTCGTTCTGAACTAGAATACCACGAAATCGAAACAAACTCTGCCAATTATACTTGTATTCGTCAGTCAAATATAATTTTTTATGGCTGCAGAGTAATAAACAGCCTTGATCTTGCAAAGTAAACGTTATAAAATTAAAGAATGAGGAAAAAACAGTGAAAATCAAAATATTGGCGATGTTCTCAGCTCAGCTCATTATTAAGTTGTTTAAAGAGTCCGTAAATGATAGATGAAAAGACAGATGACAGAAGGGTAAATGTCATAGAATTGCTTCTTTATTGTCTGAATATACCATTAATGAGTTTTCAATCTTTTATTGATAATAGCTTTGCTTCAACTTAACAGCATTTACATTTGCTTTAAGCAAAAATATGTAAAATATTTCTTTTCCCTACCAAAAAAGATCTCTCAGTCGGTTAATTTAATAATCGTCAGAGTGGTGTTAAAACCAACGTTTTCGGGTCAAAAGAGACATAAGTGTCAGGCTTCGGGGAGTATAAGGTGGATACCGATGGCTGAAATAAAAAAAGATGCGGATTACTAATTTGAAAACAGCATATTCTTGTGTTACGAACCTTCCAAGAGCCTCGAGAATAAAATTATAACCACGATGTAACACTGATTTATAGTGAGTGAAAGTTTCAAATGAAAATTTTCCTCGATATCTACCAATGCCACTGTTTCCCACTCCACCAAATGGCAATGAATCAACTGAGTAATAAATAAGGAAATAGGATGTTAGTATTTAAAATTCTCGTTAAATAATTTATCAAACTAACCTGAAAGATGGATCAGACAATCATTTACACAGATTGATCCACTTGAAGTTTTTTGGCTTATTTTATCAACAATTGACTGATTCTTAGAGAAAATATACAAAGACAGTGGTTTTTCACCATTATTGATGAACTCTATTGCATCTTCAACACTATCCATGATAACAATAGGAAGAATGGGTCCAAATATCTAAGTGAAAGAAGGAAGTGAGTTAAAAATTTCTTTTCCAAGATAAGTCCATTAGCTCATACCTCGTCTTGCATTATTGAATCATTAGGAGAAACATTTGCCATAACAGTTGGTTCAATGTATAATTCCTGTTCGTCGTAATTGCCTCCAAACACGATTTTACTTTTGTTATCTTCAATTAACTTGACAAGCCGCCTGAAATGATAGCAAAGTAGGAACAAGTATTAATCTCAATTTTTGCAAGATTAAAATGATGTTAAAATGAAAACACACTTGAAATGATTGATGTTGATGATTCGACCATAGTCCTTATGTGTTTTAGGATCATCACTGTAAAATTCCTCTATTACTTGTGGAAGTTGTTTTATAAGACTGTTTTGTACTTTTTTTGAGCAAAGGACGTAATCAGGAGCAACGCAGGTTTGACCATTGTTCACATATTTACCCCAAACCAAACGCATAATTGCTGCAGGGTTCTCGTCAGCTGAGTCATCATAATATAGTGGACTAAATGGGATGAAAAAATATTAAAAACTTGAGCAAATGATACAAATGATTCACATGCTTACCTTTTCCCTCCTAATTCTAGAGTGACTGGTGTTAAATGTTTGGCTGCCTCTAAGTAAATTAGTTTTCCAATACGACTGCTTCCAGTGTAAAAAATGTAGTCGAACTTTTCTTTAATTAGATTCTTAGTTTCTTCAGGTCCACCAAGGAAGACTTGATAGCAATCCTAATGTATAAAAAAAACAAAATTGTTAAAAAAGCACACTATAACAAAATTGAAACTATATAAACAATAACAAATTTACCTTGTCAAGATAACGCGGTATAAGAGCAGCTAATGCTTTAGATGTAGCTGAAGCTAGCTCAGAGGGTTTGACAATAATTGTGTTACCAGAAGCAATAGCTCCTATCATTGGACACAATGTAAGCATAAGAGGATAGTTCCAGGCTCCTATGATTAAAGCCACACCATATGGTTCCGGATGTAAATAAACTGAATCAAATAAAGTCATGAGACTCTTGGAGACTTTTTGTGGTTTAGCCCAGCTTTCAAAATTATTAAGGATAGCATGAATCTCATTGCGAACAAATTCAATCTCAGTTATAATTGCTTCGAAGTAGGGTTTCCTCAAATCTTGTTTGATGGCTTCGGCAAGAACAGATTCATTAGTGACCAGCATTGTATCCAATTTTTCCAGTTGTTCCCTCCTGAAAGCAACATCTTTAGTGATGTCAGATGCATAAGCTCGCCGAGCAGTTGCCACCAACTAAATAAACCAAAATGGGATCAAAATTAGCTAGTATTTATAACATAATAGAGATCACATGTAATTAGGAGTAATATTTACTTGACTTGGGGTTGAATTTTCTCCATTTTCAGGCATTTTGAATTGGTTCTGTGGATTACTGCACTGGTTGTCAATTGATTCACTAGATGTAAAAATGAAGTTGATTCTTGTCTTTGTCAGAATACGAAGGATTGTTGATGCTGGCTTAAAAATACAAAAAAAAATATCAAATCACAGCGTAAAACATTAAATAAGATAATTTAACAAAACAGGCTTCAAGTTTGGCAAAATGAAAGTAGATGTAGCAGAAAAAAGGTAAAAAGGACAACTTGACGGACAAGTCAATCAACTATGGTGAACATCATTAGCAGGATAGGTTAAGGTATGTTTCTTTAATTCAAGTTATCTAATCAGCATCATGATGTAGATAAACTCTGAAACAAAAAGGTAAAAAGGTAGACAAGCAAGCAAGATTGGAAAAACAAGTAATATGGTTAAATTGGGAATACAGAAGAGGGAGCTTGTAAGTTTAGCTTGAAGATAGCAAAGATTATTTTAGAGGAGAGGAAAAGAGAGGAGGGGAGACAATGTATGGCGAGTGGAGAAGAGCCTGTCAGACTGAATCAACGGAACCAATTTTGACAAAACAAATTGAAAATTATGAATAGGAAAATCAATCGCTCACCCGGTGGAAAACCAATATTGCCAATTTCCCTTTTCCTTTAATGTTTTTATCAACTTTTAAATTGAAATGAACTTTGATACAATATTTAACCAGTTTTGATCACTCCTATAGATTTGTCTGGAAACATGGAATCTAAGTGTTACCATGAAATTTAATGATAACATGTATCTAGTTTCATGTAAAGATAGATAAACAGCAAAGGATTAGATACAGAAAAAAGCTCGCAAATGATAATTACAAAAGCTACACGAGCTGCAATCAAAATGAATAAAATCGATAGGTTATGGCTTAATAATAATTGGACTTAAAAGACTTAAAAGCCTTAAAAGTTGAAATGTTGGTTAGTTTCATCAAATCGATTGGATGAATAATATGATGAAAATTGAGTGCTTATCCCAATATTTTTAATAACAATATAATCTATTAATACATTTATAAATGTTGCGTTAAACAAAGTTTAAATATCAATCAAGTTTTAGTTGTCCATTGGTTTAATTGCAGATTGACAAAAAGGGAATCAATATTTGAGTTGAAGTTGAGCCTCAGCGAGGACAGACAAGATTACGACCACCATCAACAGAAAGAGTAACACCAGTTATGAAAGATGAATCTTGATTATCAGCCAGGAATCTTACAGCCCGAGCAACTTCGTCTACATTTCCTGGTCTTCCGAGTGGATGAGTTGTTTTGGACTTTTCAAGGAACTAATGAATTTGTAGCAATAAACAAATGGAATAGTTAATTAAAATATTAGTTTGAAATTGAATAAAAAGTATGCCAAATTTTCACTTACAGCAGCATATTCTTCATCACTCATTCCACCTCTCTTGTGAATCTCTGTGATGATAACACCCGGGCTATAAATTATATAATAGAAATAAATTATAAATCTTTCATATTTAAATTTTTAATATTAAATATCCAAGAAAGTTAGTTTGGTTTTTGTTGGTTCAATTTTTACTGACTTTCATTGCATTTTCTCAAGAATAGAGAGTTTTCAACCAATAAAGTTTATCACTAATCATTGCCATTTGATAATATCATTGAAATTTGAAAAAATGACCTTAAATAGATAAATTTTTCATCAATTAAAATTAGCTGTAAAAACCGAGCGAACTTTCTTGGGTCCTAATTTTTTTTAGAAAGCTTTTGTACTTACTTTACAGAATTGACTCTAACTCCGTCAGCAGCAAGCTCTGTATTAGATGAAGTAGAAAATTAATCAGTAAGTTTATCAAACATATTAGGAATTGACATGTCAAAGGAGACAAGGTCTTTTCTTCATATTTTTATACATTTCAGAATATTTTCTAGGTTAAAGGAGAATAAACTTACCTAATGCAGTATTCCTTGTGAGTTGGTCTAAAGCTGCTTTGCTTACACAATATGCAGCAACACCAGCAAACTAATAAAACAAAGATTTTATAGAGTAAGTAAAAAAGACGTAAATCTATTATAAATAATATATCCTTACAGCTCTCAATCCGTTAACACTTGAGACATTGACAATGTTTCCTTTCGTCTTCTTTAGGTGAGGAATAGCTAATTGTGTGAGATGGAAAACAGTTTTCACATTTACATCCATAACTTTATCCCAAACATCTGGTGGAGTTACCTCAACGGTTCCTTTAGCAATGATTCCAGCACTATTAACCTGGTTGAGAAAGATTAGGAAACCATTATATTTCTATCAATAATAACCAAAGACAATAAATTAGCACCTTACCAAAACATCTAGTCTACCAAAATGATCAATGGTTTTATTGATCAAATTTACACGATTAATCTCGTCAACAAGATCACCTTCAACAACAATAATTTGATTTTCTTTGACTAGTCCATTACTTGATTCCAAGCATTTCAATCTTGTTTCATTCAAATTGTCCCGATTTCGTCCACTCAAGGATAAACAACAACCGAGGGAAGCCAAATGCATAGCAACACCTTTTCCAATCCCAGAGCTGGCTCCTAAGCAATCAATAGAAACAAATGAGAAGATTTAGGGTTAGTAAAAGGACAAGGAAACTAAATTTACATAATTTACCTGTGACAATGGCCACTTTATTAAGAAATTGTGCCATTTTGTAACGTAACAGTAGTAAGTTTGAGACTAGTTAATCAACAACCAAAACTAAAAACAAAAATGATGAGTCGAAGGCACCAACTACAAATGATTACTGGTTCAAAACAAATGTTAATTGATATATATGGAGATCAGATATTCAAAATATCACATTTAATTGTAATCAGAGTTAAATAAATGGAGAAACAGTTGTGTTTACAACTTGTAAATAAATTACAAGTGAGAAAAATCGTAAGAAAAAAATCTTCACCAAGAAATTGCCAATGGCGGCAAATTGAAAAGCTCGTTCGCATTCTCCTAATTGATGAAACATGAAAAATATGTAGACACCTAAAATATATAAAACTGAGGTTAATGAAACAATAAATGTTGAAAAATGGTGAGTAAAGATTTGAAAAGTTTTGTTTTTATTGTGCTATCTTCAATTTAGTTTGTTTGACAGTTTGACTATTTAGTTTTTACAATTCAATTTGAAAAAGTTGACCAGTTTATTAATATCCAGAGAAAAGGAAGAGTCACTTGGTAAATATCTTTTTTGGGTGAATTTTTTGACATAGATACCTATGTTGAAGGCACAATTTTCCTTATTGATTGGGAAAAACTGTAATTGATCGGGCAATGTTTTTTTTTGTGAATGTATTCAACTTTGTGTGTGTATGAGTGTGTGTGTGAGTGTTTGGCATGACTTGAAATTTGAATTGCAAGCAAAGGTTGGAAAGTTGCGAGTTTTAAAAGGAAGATGGTCAAAAATGATAAAAGTAATACTACAGAGTATTTTCAATGTGTTGAAATGTTACGACCAATCCAACAACCAAAGCAGTTTGTTTTACTCTTGGTCACTGAGTTCACAGGCGACGATTTAACAGGGTTTACAGTTTTTAAGATAAATATGGTAGCAACGAAATTTTGACCTTTTGTTCAATTGTTTTGACTTAGAACATTGAAAACATTGTACTTTATAATCGCCTTTTCGTAAGTTCGAAGTTTGACTGGAAACAAAAATGTCCGAGATGGAAGCACGAAATAAATGTAAATCATCATCTTGGTTAGTTTAAACTTGAAGATGTGCTTAGAAACCATTGATCAGTCCTTGGCGAACCATTTTCTTGATCCAAAAATTGTTATATTTTGAGGAATACAAAAATTAGATTATGTTGTGCATAGTTGTAAGCTTGTTTTGCCTGAGAAGCACAATAATCAGGATGGTTTAACTGTAACGAAGATAATGATTAAAGATTAATTGGCATCTTGGTAGAAGATCAACTTCTTCATCTCCATATTTGCTTTCACAACTTTAACAGTCCCACATTTGACTGATAGATTATCCTCTGTATTAAAAGTTCATCTCTGGTAACAATCAATCAAACTATTCGTCAAGATAATTAGTCTTGTTTGAATAATTTAACAGCAATATTCGCTTTAACTTGGTATTTATATAATTTTATGGATAAACAGTTTGATTGTGATTGTTGACTTGGGTCCTCTTTCTTCTGTTCACCGTGTAGAGTTGACCATGAATTACATTAATTTGTTTTTAGAAGTGATATGAGCTCTTTAAGTATTGTTTTAACTCCATCTTTGCATTAAAAGTTATATTGATGACTGGTTTAAAAAATCTCGAGATTAAATACATTATCTTTGAAGTCATAGGTTGTATTTACAGGAACCTGTCAGTAGTCGGTACTTTAGAAGTAACTTATGTACCCTATTCATCAGGCATTTAATGAATCTAATCTCAATATTCGGTGGTTAACGCTATTCATCAATTGAAATCAATTTTATGAGTTTTCTGGTAATGGTTTTAAGAACAGGAATGGAATAAGATTCGATGATAACTATTTAAATCAAGATGGAATTTAATCACTTATTGGATGTCGTGTGATCAGGAATTGAGCAGAAAATCTAGTTTCAATTGATTGAATGTTCTTGAAACTCAAGGGGAAATAGGAAGGGATGGAAACTCATCGGCACCTATTTGATTGTGAAGATGTTGATTATAAAAAAGATGTTCCAAATATTTGTAAATGATGTTGATAAATTTGATGTCAACAGCTTGAATTATTGATGTTATTTGCGAAGTGATTCAATATGTTGTTTAAAAACTGGACCATTAACAGTTAGCCAATGGAATTAATCTTGGATTTTGTGCTGCTCAGACATCATTTCATTTCCAGAATTACATTCACAATAAATAAGTAACGAGTAAATTATAAAAATCGCTGAAACTTAGAATACCATTAAAAAACGAACCAATCGTTGTGAAGAGGCTTGTCAATGAATGCTTTGTAAATGAAAATGGATGATGGATTATGAAACATATTGCGATTAGGATGATGATGGGGAAAACAAATAAGATTGAGAAGATTTGATCATTGTGAGAAGTTAGAGTTGAGCAGTCATCATGGAACAATCAAATATCAGGGTTTACAATGAACGAATTGAGCTATTCTTGCAAATTGATAATCAATCTTGTATTGCATTATTTATTCGGTGATTCAGGTACATTGTCTGTTCCCTGAGCTGTAAATAAAAAATGAAAAGTGGAATTAGTTTTCGTGCAATCAAAAAAGTATCGTAACATAATTAAAATGATTCTTTAAAATTGGTATGAAATGGGTGACAAAAATAAATGGAAATAAATGGTTAGCAAAAAGAAATTACAAATCAACGAGGAAACTAAAAGTAGGGGAAGCGAAATGTAAAGTTACATGTGAGAGTCCGATTGCTGACAAATTGAAAATTTAAAAATTTCTAAATTGAATTAGTTTTAAATTTAAGTTACAGTTAGAGCTGATCTTCAATAACGTGGTTAGCAGTTAATGTATCACCATCAATCTCAGCGACTGAAATTTTTTTACGAGTAACAGTTGGTATGGGAGGTATAAGAGGAGGAAAACCTCCGCCGTGATGACAATGATGATGATGATGATTATGATGCATACCTGGTCCATGTTGGTAAGCGTGTAAAATTAATGGAAATTTTATGTCACAACTTGATATTGCACAGATAAGTAGATGATTTTGTAAAGGTTGACATTGAAAGATGATTGGGATAGTTTAAAAAGGAGGGAACGTATAAAATAAAATAAAAAATGGAATGGAAGACTTTTTTTGGTGAATTTAAAAACTAAATAAGCACAGATAATGGAAAACATTCAATTCACTAAATTTTCAAGGAACTGATAAACAAAATGAAGCAAGCATTAAGCAACTAAATTATTGAGTTGAGTAAATTGTCGGTTCGCCTGTGTACATTGACTGGCCTGAACCAGGTCGAAGGTGAGTTAACTCACATGCTTCCATTGGCTTTTCATCTGCTAAAACATTGGAAGTTGTAGGTCTTTCAGCAATATTATCCACACCCGCTAGACCAGAATTACCTTGTTGAAAGAGAACGGCAATTTCTTCAAATGTTCGGTTCTTTGTTTCGGGAACTTTTTTGTAAGTGAAAGTCCAAAAAATAGCCAAGAAAACAGTGAATGGCAGGAATGTATAATCTCCAAGATGATGCTAAACAAAGACAAAGATTTAAAATTAATTACAATTGTATAAACTTTCTTAATTCAGTCCATTATATTTAACAAACCTGCATAAAAAGATAACCAATTCCAACAACAAAATTAGTAGACCAATTGACTAGTACAGCTATACTCATAGCAGCGGGTCGAGGCCCCTGAGAGAAAAGCTCAGCAGTGATCAACCATGGGATAGATCCTGAAAATAAGATAATTTCATTTTGGTTAAAATAAAGAAATTTGATTATTCATTAGCAATTTACCTGGTCCCATAGCGAAAAATATTACAAATGCTAATGCACTGACGATTGCGGCGTAAGCCATTCCTTGATATATAAACTGTTGAAAAAGAAAGATTAAATAGTGATTTGACTTAATTTAAGAATCTGTAGCTTACTTGAACTAATAATGAAATGGTAAAAAATATACTGGTTATAAACATTCCACCCAACCCCCATAATTGCAGGGTTCTACGACCAGCTCGATCCATTAAAGGTATTGAAACAAGTGTCATAATAACCATAACAGTCCCCACACCAATTGTGGCAAATTGAGCTGATTCATGATCGATACCAGTATTTTTGAAAATTTCCGTTGAATAATTAAAAATAGCTGTGATTCCGGAAAGTTGTTGTGATAATTGCATTACAATACTAATAGTTATTGGTTTTTGGAATTGTTTATTGCGTATAACCTGCCATATGGTATACTGTAAAAGAAGCAGAGATGGATATTAATTAATTATCGATGCAAAATCAAATTAATAATCACACTTACCCGTTTTTCTGATTGTTGCGATTTGTGTTCCGATCTCATCTCTTCGATATCTTCTTCTACATCAGTTGAACAACGTAAGCGTTGAAGAGCTAAGTATAAAGACAAAGGAAACAAATGAAAGGCATAAAAATGGTTTCATAATTGAGAGTGAAGTTTAATTTAGATTATTCTTACCAAATTTTGCGTCTAGTAATTGACCCCTACTGAGCAGTAAATATCTCGGACTTTCTGGACACATTGGAAGAAGCAAAAGTTGAAGAACAGCAGGAATAATTGCAATTCCCAACAGAAAAGGCCAGCCATCCTTTGTACCCAAAATATAAGGAATACCCAGAATCTGACCTAACAATAAACCAATTGTCACAGCTAATTGACTAACAGTTCCTGGAATGAAACAACAAAAATCAAAATTTAGCGATAAAAATATACTGTACAATGTACTAATTAAATCTAGTATAATTTATATTTAAATGGATCATTTTGCGAAAACGTGTTCATTGATATCATGGTTAAAATGCAACATTGTATTAAGAAATTGATCTCCAATTGCTTACTTTATTAGCTTATACACTGCGTCTAAGCATCTGAATTTGGTTTAAATATCATATTAGATTAGAAGATTCAATGGGAATTTTTCTATTGATTCAACAAATATATACGATAAAATTAAATATTCATCGATTAATGACTTTGCGATAATCTAAGAGCTAAGATTTAAATCTACTTAATATAATTACCAAGTACGAATTGAGGGGAAAATGGAATGTACGCATCATTACAAATTGTAACAAAAAAGCAATTTGAGTACACATTGAGGTAAATATGACATTGGAAGGATTTGATCAATTAAAAGTATTACAAGTTGTAATTGTTGTATAGACAGATAACAAGACTCTTAATAACACTTTATAATCAATTAAGTGTATCTGAAAATTGAATGGATGATTATTAATAATCACTGTTGTAGTTTGTTATAAAAGGTAATATACATTGGAATGCTGCAAGTGAATAAGAAAAAGCAATAAAATTTGTTAAACAGTTTGTTAAAACAGACTACAATTTGGATCATTTCTGCTAACAATTTGAGCGCAATTAACCATTCACTCAATAAAATTTGTTTCATAATTCAATTGATTGAATTGGTTCTTCCAAACGAACATAAAACTATCATTTTTATCAATGATTGGACCAATTGGCATGAACTGTCTATCAATCTTAAAAGAGAACCTCATAATTATGCCGCATTATTTAAAAGGAAACATTTTCATCATGATAACACAAATCAATCAGTTAATTTTATACACGTAATGACCCAAGCCGTAACCTTATTAAGGAATCAAAGCAGGGACAATATTATTAAAACAAAATCTCGAGAAGAACAATCAACAAGAAATGATTATTAGATAATTATTCCAAGGTGATACAAGAGATTAAATATTTTTACCTTAATAATCATTAATTGGATGGGAAATACTGAGAAATAAAAATAATTAATATTGATTGAGAGCTGCTTGCAGATGACGGCTAACCTCACAATATTCACGCGATAAACAAGTATTTATGTAATCGCTATAAGCATTACCTATGCATTTGTATTTTTCTGAGAAATAAATTTTCCCAATCATAGAGTAAACATATTATATGCTAAATAATAAAATTAAACGCATATAGATTTATCATGAAAATCATTTGAAAATCACTACCAGATCATAATTGGAAATCAATTTACAATCAAAGGTGACAATTCACTGGTTAAATTGGCTAACGTTGAATCAGATTAGGCAATATCAATAGGATGAAAAACTGTGAGGGATTAAGGTGAGGTTAAATAAAAAAATCATCTAACCTAAAGCACCACGCAAAGAAATTGGTGCAATCTCTGAAAGATACATTGGAACCAGAGTAGTGGCAATACCACAGTTAAGTCCGATAAAAAATCGACCCGCTATTAGACATTCAATGCTTTTAAACAGCTGACTTGAGCTCATCAAAGTAGCTCCCAAAATGGCTATAGCATTATTCAGAAGAAGGCCACATTTCCTAGAAAATAAAAAGGCAGACAATAGAAACAAGAATTAGTAGGAAAATGAACAATTGGATCATGGTTCATGGACATAATTAATTAATGAAAAATAAGCGAATAAAAGATAAAATTGTAAATTGTAGCCAACTTTTGTCCTTTTCAGTTGCATAATTGAAAACGATAATATCAATATTGGTTTTAGTAAGAAAAAGTTATTGTTGTTGAGTTGAATCAATCTTTTACTTTCATTGTTCAATCGTTACAAGAATCAACACTTAAAAAATATAATCAATATCCACTGTTTGTTAGATTGTTACGTTTAACTTAGACTGATAAAGGGCAAAATTAACAAGAACCTAGTTAGTTTTACGATAATATATTGTATTGACGATTAGAGCGACTGCAACTGCAATATACAATCATTTCTTACAGTTCAGTTTTTTTGCCAATAGATTTTTTTAATTGATTCAATGGGAAAATAAGTAATCTATCATTATTAGCACTATTTTTGCATTATAATAACTATAATTGTAAAACGATTGCTAATCATTGTTATAATACACAAAAGGATACATTTATATACTGAGATTACGTCTTTAAGTCATAAATTGATTTATCAATAATCATCGGGATCACAGTAAACATGGCTGATTGTTTTGTTAATTCAAGCTTTTTTTAGCAACCAACAGATTTGAATAATTGTCAGCAGTTTCTAGCTATGAAGTTAATACATGTGTATTTTGAGGCTAAAAAAAGCTGTCACTTTGAAATCAGAGTAAATCTGAATAAAAGTGATTCACTAAACTGTGATAACTTGAAAATTTTGCTTCAAATATGTCAAAACCTAATACCTTTCTGTTACATGTTTCAAAATAGATCTGTAATTGAATTGACAGTTTGCATATGTAAATCATTTTTACAATAATTTTGTTAATGATAAAAAGATAAACTGTCATTGTGGTTTACCTGTTATGGCTTGTCTAATTAAATATTAGATTTTGGACATATTGGAAACAATTCATTGAAAAAAATGCAGCAGCTAGCGGCACAAAAATAAGTGAAATGCTTAAAAATTCACAGTAAATTAAGATGAAGACTGCCATATGTTTTTCATTTCTTAACTTAAATAAAAGAATATGACAATAAACAATGGACAGTCAAGGGAAACTAATAGTAGACCAACAGTCGATTAACATTAAAATCCTTTTCTACTAACCTCCCACACCAGTCAGCAATCAGACCTCCACTTATACCCCCAACCATACCGCCAACAGCAAAAATGGAAACAGTTAATGACCAGAGGAAGTCACTTAATTCTTGAGATAAATAATTCCCTGTGCGATCTTTATATACACCATCAATGAACTCCTCAATGATCTAAAATAAATTAAGAGAAAATAGTTAATAACAAGATTTAAAATATCTTTGAAGCATCATAAATACCTTTTGAGGAGCATTAATTACACCAGTATTGTAACCAAATTGAAACATTCCCAGAGCCGCCGAAAAAATAGCAAACATAAGCATACATGTCAGACCCTGAAAGATGAGAAAAAATTAGGTTAGGATCAAGAGTGTTACAAATCAGGATCATATTAAACATCAGCGTTTTCCTTCTTGAATTGCTTCGGGACTTGGAAACTAATCTGTCAAAACTAACCGGAGGAATATTCATGATTGTTGATGTGAATCAAAACAAAAAAAAGCAAACTACAATGGTGAAGGAATGTACACCGACCAAACACTTGATGTAAAATGAAATGTTTAACAGTAGAGAGTGAGACTTTAGATGTAAAACAAGGTGGTAATTGAATCTAATACAATCAAAGAGTAACAATCTAAATCGATTGAGTTGAGTGAAATGAGGATATGAAGATAGGGAGAAAGCAAAAGATAAATAGATAGGGGGAGAGAAAAAGGTAAGTAAGAAATAGAAAGCAAAGATGGATTAGAACCAGATATAGCTTTAAAGGTACACATAATTTATGAGATAAAGAGTTGATTAACGGAGAAATATTGATATTGATAGGTGAAATGGTAATCTTGTAACACTAATACATAAGGGATGAGATAAGTTGAGATATTTCAGGTTGGATAGATGATGATGGAGATTATATTGACAATAGTGTTGATGGAAGATTCTGTTTGAGATGTGGTTAAGAAGAAACAACACACATCAGAAACACATACACAATGGTGGAAAACAGTTCCAGTTTTAGGTAAAAAATGTAAACTCACCTCAGGACAATGATGTCCACTTGGACACCAAATTGGTTTACACATGGTTTAATTGACGACACTCAGGGTATAAAAAAAAGAAAAATTAATCCAACTGATTAACAACATGAGTCAAGAAATAAGATTAAATTAAACCACAGCTTTAAATCGACTTCACAGCCTTTCCATTTTCTAACCAAATCTCTCTTTCTCTAACCAACTTCTCTTTGGTATCTCACTTTCTCCCTCCAAATTTCTTCTGTCTTCAAAGGTTATTTTGCTTCCCCTTTCATTCCGCAGTCTCTTTTCACTCTCTCGGCATCCTTTTCTCATCCCTTTTATCCCTTTACATCTTCGACTATCTTCGTCTTTCTATCACAGCATCTTCGACAAAGAGTAATAACAAGAGACTCGAAACTCTTGAAGAGAGAAAGCAAAATAAATTTATGAGATGACGAAAAAGTGAAAGACAGATGTCGCCCCAATAAAATGAACCCAATTTTTGCTTTAAATGGTTTATTTTTTAATAATGATTCAATTCAAATCAACCCATTTCTACTTTGATTAGTATAACCTTTAAATATTGTGTGCATTAATGATTTCATCGGCGAATTTGATTTTTCATATATTCACACTTATGAAGAATCAAGGTAAATCTGGTTCATTAAACTTTTACCCTTAGTTATTTTGAAGACTGTTCAGACTGTTTGGATAAATAGACCAATAATGAATCAAAACAAATTTAAAAATAAACCGAGTTGATTAAAATTACCGATCAAATTACCGATGAATGATCTTTAAATGGAGATCTCCATTTCTCAATGATTAAATCGATCTCACCAAATGACACAGAATGAATTAATTTGGAATCTGCAAGTTGTCAGAAGATTCTGAAAAATCCTTGAAATCAAACGAAACTTCATTTTCTAAGCAAACATCCTGAACTGGAGACAAAAATTGAACTCCAAAAAACTTTAACTGGAATATAATTAGGAAACAAATAAAGACTAATGTTCGAGGTTCGAACTACCTTATGCAATATATTCTTATTATTATACTTTCCATCTTTTCTCACTCACAATTTTCAATCCTTTCTCTTCCTGTTTCCCTGTTTCTCTTTCTTCCATCCATGTTAGAAGTTCAATCAATTGATGACGAAGAAAGATGATACAAATAAGGAAAAATCTAGCTTTAGATTTATCTTCTTCAATCAAGTTAGCTTCATCTTTATTACCTTGATCTGTATTTTGATTTTCCAATATTTTCCAATATTTTCCCATCTTTTGTTTCTTTACAGCCTTAAATACAATGCTTACAAATTGTAAGTTACAATGTACTTTGCTTTAAATATCCAATCTGTCAATTAACAATTTATACAATCTATAATATCTGTTTAATTAGTGAGTTAATTTATCTAATTTTTGTTTCAAAGCTGTGCTCAAACTGAGCGGGTTCTGGGGAAAAAATGACACAGCATGTAAGTCATGATTTGACTACATCCATGAAAATAGAAACCTCATCTCAAATTTTACGTGGGCTTAAGAAAGGCTTTTTTCATTTCGGAATGAATCTTATCAATTTAAAAGCTCAGGATTCTAACTTTTGAATTGCTTATTCTGTAGATGCTTTTTGTCATTAAGAATTCGAGTTCTTTAAATGTGGATTAATTGTGTCTATCCAGTAAAAAGACATTTACGATCAATCATAGTCGGGGAATCCACTTGTATTATTAAAGCTAAACTATAATATTGTTGAATAATACTTACAATTGATATTCGTGGATATCTTTAGTTAAAACTTTGGTATCAGGCAAGATTATTTTGATAGATCTTTGGTGCAAAGTCAAATCTTTTCGAGTTTAACTTTTGCTATTTCAATTCAGATTTGGTTATACTCGAAAACCCACAGAAACTGGCGATTTTTAATGTAGCTTTATAAATTCAGGTTTATTTGTGAGATTGATCAAATTGTCCTAAAACTTCGTTGAATCAGAATGTGAGGGTAAGAAAATAAACCACTTTGACGGATCCTCTAAAGTATAATAATTAACAGACATTTTAATAAATTAATACATTGAATAGTTTAACTTTGTGATTCAGACTGAGGAAAATTTTTCACGATTTGATTACATTTTAGTCTTTTTTGAATCATTTTAGGAAACCAGGGAGTAAACTATTCATGTTTGCTGTGTCTTCTTTTCCTGTGCTTTCAGTTGCTTGGCCTCATCATCTCTGCATCCCTGGAAGCAAAACGAGAGTAAATTTTCATGAGAACCGTTTCAACCGATTGTTATGGAGTGATTTATATCAAGATGGGCATCGGAAAAAATAGCAATTAGCAACAGAATCCATCAATTTACCTATGTTTTCGCTCTTCTAATGATAGTCCTTTATTACCATCCTTAGCATTAGCACCTGACCCTTTTGACTTCTCTTGGAGTTTCTTTTGATTTTTTGACGGGCCGATTCACGTTGATTAGCCCCTTAAAAGAATAAAAAAATTCATTGAAAATACAACAGGTCTATCAAGTTGTAGGGATACATATATCAGGTTTCCCGGAAAGTTTTTACGCTCTTGAAGCGTTTTTAGTTAAAACAATTAATTAATTTAGTAAAATTGATTCAATTGTTTTGATTTTTTCCACAATACTAATTTTATATTTATTCTTTAATTTGAGCCTAATTTTATGATTAAAAATATTGATTAACATACCTAAAATTTGAATCAATTAAATCATAATTTTTGTGAAATTTTTGATAATCAATTTGAATTGTTAATTAGAAATGATCAACAATTCAGAATCAAGAAAACTTCACAACATTCGAAAGCTTGAATTTCATTAAATCACTGTTAAAAATTCGAAAATTCTAATCATTATCATTATTTAATTATTCTGTTCGATAGCTAACAAAAACGGATTTTTTTGAAATTTTTTCATGTAAAATTTTCATAGGATTCATCATCAAAATCCTGAAAAATCTCAAAATATCCTTTCTATGGAGATTCAATGTTAAATGAAACTTTAATCATCCTGAAATAATTAAATAATGGTAATAATTAGAATTTTCGAATTTTTAACAGTGATTTAATGAAATTCAAGCTTTCGAATGTTGTGAAGTTTTCTTGATTCTGAATTGTTGATCATTTCTAATTAACAATTCAAATTGATTATCAAAAATTTCACAAAAATTATGATTTAATTGATTCAAATTTTAGGTATGTTAATCAATATTTTTAATCATAAAATTAGGCTCAAATTAAAGAATAAATATAAAATTAGTATTTTGGAAAAAATCAAAACAATTGAACCAATTTTACTAAATTAATTAATTGTTTTAACTAAAAACGCTTCAAGAGCGTAAAAACTTTCCGGGAAACCTGATAGTAAATTTGATAGGAAATTGTGTTGACAGTCATTATAAAAGGAAAGATCGTGGAAACGAGGAAAACTCCATTTTTCCTTATAACTTGGGCATTGAATTTCTTTTTTCTTTTAGAATTATCAATTTCTAATAGTATTGGTCCGTCTATTTTCCATAGACTTACAATATTAGCAATTGAAAAATTAAGCGAGCTTGACGACATGATTATTTGTAGGATGATAGAAAGTACGAATTAATAAAACAAAAATAATGATTAGGATCATTATGAATCCAACCACGTTCTTATAGGTTAACCAATCCATTTTTTAATGAATCAAAATAAAATCACTGTCTTATATAGCTTAGGTCTTAGAGCATGCTCTGTCCTAGAACGGGCAGTTTTGGTAAACCGAAATCTAATAGCGCACCGTCATACGGTGTTAAAATTTGGTCCAGGACCGCAAGTTGGTCTAGAACCGCAAGTTGGTCCAGAGCGGACGAGTTGGTCCAGTACGGACGAGTTGGGTCCAGAACAGGACTTTCACTTACTACTATTTCCAAAGTTTAAATGTTTCACCTCGTTGAAGTTGCTGTTTAGAATCACTCAAATCGAAAAGATGAAATTCTAGAAGGCCATTGTCTTCTAACCATTGACGAAATTCAGCGATCCAATTTTTAATGGTATTTACTGGGCAAAGAACCAATGCGCACTTGATGTTTTTTGATTAAACGGTGAGCAAGAATGGTGTGAAGAAAAGTAATGATTTGAAATGTTTTTCCTAAACCAATAGAATGGGCCAAAATACACCCTGGTCCGTCTTCTTTAGCCTTATACACACTTTCAATGGCTGAATCCCACATAAAACGGATACCTTCGATTTGTTGACTTTTCATTTTTTTAGCTAATACAGGAGCAACTTCCACAATCGGTTCATGTGTATCTAGATCAAACTCTAAGATTAACCTAGATTTATCTACATTAATCCTATCGAAAATTTGTCGCTTGTTCAAGATTCGTTGTTTCCGCTTTTCCTCCTTTTTACCAGCAACGATGGTCTCCTCTAAAAGTTCCTGGTCGGTAAATACTTTTTGTATATTACGTCTGCGATTCTTTGATTTTGACTCATATTTTTTGTGAATTATGATTAGAATGCGTTGAAACACTTCAGTGTCGGTGTCAATCTTGTGCAGCTTGTTGTCACCAAATTGTTCTGCTATCGCAGGATGGATATGCTTTTTCACGAGTGAAGCTTTCACACAATCAATATGAGACAATCCATTGACCATATGAAACGTTGGCGGCTTAAAAGTTGAATAAATCTTGTTTAAAACTAAAGAATCATTTGATGAATAAGAAGAAGTGGCGTCAACTGGATGCAATATTAATAAAAAATCAGATTTTTTACTCAAATTGTAAATATTGTCACCAATATTCCCAAAACACACATTACACTTGCAATGTTTAACATATACGGAGATAGAACCTCAAAGAACAATGCGATAAAACAATTAATTAATTAATAGAGCAAATAGACTACAGTCACCATTGAGAAACTGCACCTCGCTAGAAATAGCTTATTTACACTATTCATCGGGCAGCGAAATTCATGATTTTCAATCTTGCTTATTAGATCGAATTTAGCCTCAAACTTTGTTTTAATCTGATTTGGCGAGTTTTTTGATTAAAATTTCACGAAAGAAAGTTGAATTAAGTCACTTGATAATTAAAGAAATCGAATCAAAAATCGACGAAATTCAAAGTAGATAAAACTCCTCCTTAATAGGGACCATTGAAAAAATTAAGTGCAGTTTCTCAATGGTGACTGTAATAAACTTACATTTCTTGGATCGATCTATGATTAATTTTCTTGAACATAAATTGAATAACGTAAAGAGATTTTGAATTGGTTTTTTTGAATTATTAAATTCAGCAACACTAATTTTATTAGAATTTTTCCTTTTCAACTCTTTAGATGTCGACATACTTCCACGCTTTTTAATCGAGGCTTTTTTTGCGTATAAATCGAGTTCGGTACTCATGATGTAGTTCGAAACAGATTGAACACAATAAGAAAAACTAGTTAAAACAATTAGTTGCATTAATGAGGAGAAAATAAAATAAAACTATGTTGTCAAAGTAAGGAAAGGAAGACAAAAGTCCATTTACTAATTAACTAATTGGACAGAAAGACTTGTTAACTTTGGTATTGAAAAACAACTTAATAAAATCAAATCAAATAAACAATGGATATAATGAGCAATATGCATAATAGATATCAATAATATTGTATATATTTTATTCCGTTGATGATAAAATCAATGCAATAATATGTGAAATACTAGTAAAATTATCCATATATTGCATATAATATTGCACATAAAATTAGTTTTAGGAGCAAAGGATGTTACGCCGAACAAATTTTAATTACAAATATTACATTAAATAAAGAATACAAAGGTTCATTAAATACAAGTTAAAGATATTCTATTGATTAGGATGTTTACATTCTATGTGTTGGGCAAATCCTGGTCGGTGAAGCACTTTTTCTTTACAAAGTATACAAATCATATACATTAAATAACTTTGAACATGATTATCAACCTTTGATTTAGACCGGGTCGTAATATTTACAAATTTACATCCACCACGATGTATTTTACAGGAATAAAAACTATTCCTATTGTCTACAATGTTTAAAGTAATCCAGGCCTTAATAAGTTTAGTCCGCTCGTCATAACTTAACACTTTTAAATTATCCCTTTGCACTAAAACATATTTAAATAATTTACCCTTATGGGTAAGTGTTTGGTGATTTGTGATATCTGCAATATAACTATCAATCAATAGATCGTCCGAAGGCACATCTGCAAGCTGAAAAATAAAATGATATCAATTAAATATCAATCAACACATTATAATATCAACAACTTACCAAATCAACTTGATGTTCATCTACTTGGATGTTCATCGGCTCGTTAGTCTGCAAAACTGGTTCAATATATTGGCAACCAATATCATTTTGTACAACCAGTTGTGGAATTTCACATTGGATACCTTTATCACTCGTAGTGATATTTCCAGAACCAATTCCAATTTCACTCGTAGTGATATTGCCAGAACCAATTCCAGTTTCAAGCCTAATAATATTTCCAGAACCAATTCCAATTTCACTCGTAGTGATATTGCCAGAACCAATTCCAGTTTCAAGCCTAATAGTATTGCCAGAACCAATAGATTCCTCATGGTAACTGGCAGTATCACTCAGAAGAGATAAATTATTATTCGATGCATAATCTCGGGACTAACAGATTCCTCATGGTAACTGGCAGTATCACTCAGAAGAGATAAATTATTATTCGATGCTTTGTTTATAATTAAATCAGATGAATATATATAAACTTAATAAAATACAAATAAACTCACGACTTTTCCTTCTGGAGAACTACATTCTTCAGGTGTAGGATCCTCCATAGTAAAATTTCTTTCCTTGGAACTTTTGATTTTTTGACGGGCCGATTCACGTTGATTACCCCCTTAAAAGAATAAGAAAAAAATTCATTGAAAATACAACAGGTCTATCAAGTTGTAGGGATACATATAGTAAATTTGATAGGAAATTGTGTTGACAGTCATTATAAAAGGAAAGATCGTAGGCACTCATAAGTTGAATTCACGTGGGTAATACTTACGAGTCATTTTGGTGAAGTGATAGCTTCTGTGTAATCAGGAAACCCAAAATTTAAAATGACAAAGAAATCCAGATTATGATCAATGTGATGAATATTTGTTCAGTTTGTTTTGTCTGCTCAGCTTGCCAACCAATAGTTAAACTAACCAGAATCCGCGGTTACTTTAAATTTTTTTGCTTGCATGGTAATTGTAATTGTAATTGTAGTTTAATTGTGGTGCTGCACAATAAAAGATTGAATAAAATATATTTTATACTACAGTAAGCTACCAGATAATGAGAATCAATTTTTCAACGGCCCCTCAATGGAAGAGTTAAATCAAATTTGAATTTCATTTAAATTTCTTTAATTATTAATTAACTAAATCTAATTTCATTTCGCCAAATATCAATGAAGAAACTCAAGAAATCAGTTTAAAAAGCAATATATTTTGAATTTGATTAGTTAAAGAAAGTTGATAATCAAGAAAATAAGTTGCCCGGCGAATAGTGTAAATAAGCTATTTCAAGGTATTCTCATTATCTGGTAGCTTACTGTATTGTTTATTGCGAAAATTTGCGGAATAGGATAAATAATTTGTATCGATGATAAAAATAAAATAATTCCTCAATTACGTCTTTCACAAGATAATCAAACTAAACTAATGTGAATTTCTATGGTCAACTAACTGTGGTCTACTAACTATGGTCAACTAATTTGAAATACATTTTTAAACGAAATCATCAAAGTATTTAACATAAAAAATTAGTATTTCATGCTTTAATACATCAAGTTTTTTAATGTCTAATATCTGGCAAAAAGGGAGACTTATTTTGATGAGAGACGGAGCCACATGTGATAAACAAAAATAAAATCTGTATTTTTTGTGATAATATTGATCAAAACGTATGTCTTGATTTCAGTGTTATAGCTAATTTGATAAATTACCGATCTTCAAGAATTGCATCGCCTAAATCAAAAATCTATCTGTTAATGAATAAATAATGGTAAGTCCTGATGCTCTATTTGATAATGTCTAACTAATGCTACTTCCAATGTCTTTTAACTACAGGATTTTAAAGCATTCACTGAAGAAAATTTTAATTCAGTTGATTGGATCAATGATACTCTTAATTCTGCACCTAAGGAAAATAGAGAAAACTATGCTTCTAATATTGTCTACAAGCTTCAATTATTCATCCAGGAAATCAACCAATCTCTGGAAGAGACTGCGTTAAGTGTTATTGGTAATTTGCCCAAATTGAATCGAGACATTGATGTTTTGTGTGAACAGGCTAGGACTTTCAAGAATGATTTAGTTGCAATAAAAGGGAATGTTGACAAACTTTCTATGGACTCAGACCTACGAATGTCTCAATTAGCTGAAATAGATCATGCAAAACAAGTTATTGAGGACAAATTAGTTGCACTTAATGAGATAAATAACCGAGATCAGTCTTGATTCTTAATTTTTTTACTATTAAAATGTTGCCATCTCAGATATTTTAATATCAAATGTAATTTTGTATCAATCGGATAAATATAACATGCCTTGACTAATAAGTGGTGATTACATTTGTGTGATGTCAAGTCGAGTCTTAATATTTTTTTAATTTCGATTTTATTGAAGATTAACTTTGGCTTATCTTCACATAAAATTAGACCGAGATTTGGCTTGAAGTATCAGAAGATGATTTTTTGTAAATAATAATGAACATGATACAGTGACCATTTGGATGATCTTAGTTTTTACAAATATACATCAAAAGTCTGTTGTTCCTTTTTTTGGCTATGTGATATTATCTTTCTCAGTTCCGCGACAAAGATCAATCTGAACCCAAATGATAGAGTCTTGATGAGTGCATTTTGATATCACTTTATCCTTATTCGTTGCCTTTGAAGGCGATTTTTATGTGCTTCGAAGAGAACACGGTTTGATTCAAAATATAGCGGATTCTGGTCTACATTCAATGTAGGCTGATAAGGACAGCTTAATGAATTTGGGTCCATTAGTTTATCACTATCCTTTCCATGGTAGAGTGGTTTATGGCTGGAAGCACTATGCTCAGTATTTTTGTTGATTTTGCAGTCATCAACAAAAGAAACGACGAGAAAGTAAAAGTGGGCAGGTAAATAACAGGTCAGATTGTAAATGAATCTGCATCTGTTGGTTGAATTTAAATGAATTGAATTGAATCATGATTGTTAACTGAAGATATGAGATGAAATGTGAAATAAAAGGACTATCCTAAATAGAGTGGATTCACTTGTATCTTGAAAGTTGAGTTACAGTCATCACTTTCACAGAAACACATGTGGCCTTTTCCGTCTGATTCCTCCATGCAAACATGATCCACCATGAAAAGGTTAATCTGGATCTTCCCTGTACAAGTCCTTTGGATTATTTGCTGAGCTGTGAAAAGAAAAGAAAATTTCATTCCATTAATCCAATGTCATGGATAACAATTTTTGACTAAATTTCCTTCATCTGAGTGATTATCGATAGACTGATTGATTTATCTCTGATAGCCTTTAAAAGCTATCAATTCATGATTAGTGAAAACAATATCTGGTGTCTTGGCACAAAAATCAGGACAATCATGAATCTCAATCTATCAGCGGAACATAAGATGAAGTCATGCAGATACGTTCACAATACGTTCATTTCTATCAGAGAAATAATAATTCTTTCTTCGAATAGCTCCAGAAATTTGTTGGCATCAAATCAAGGATCATTTCAATATCGAGGAACTACAAGCTGGAAAATTAATTGCTTTCATTGATTACTAGGTAAAACAATGTGGTCCATAGGTTAACACTTTGATAATTATTGAGAGTTTCAGCCAGAGATAAATCAACCAATCAAAAAATCGATCAACTAATTGAGTTAACTTTATCCTTAAATTAATCCTTAAATTAATAACAAATAATACTTACGAGTGTCTTTCTTCGCAACTATTTTAATACAACAGCCTTCACATTGGGTGAAGGTAACATCTTTGTCTTCACCTCGAACCAGACTAATATTGAAAGGATCGCCATATTTAGGGTTGGTTTCAGTCGAACAATCATAGCACCAAATCTTTTTAGCTGCCGATTTCAATCAATCGTAATTCTAATAGAACTAACAGAATGATAAGATGTCAAAAAAATCGATGCTCGTTGACAATTTTTGCAATAAATTCAACCTTTTTCTCCTTCTAATCCATTTTAAGCGTAGGTTAGTCATCATCTTTAGTATCGCCACCGTCTGAGCTGTTTCCATTGTTGTTTATATCACTACTGGTGTTTTCATCCTTTACCACATTTGCTGAAACATTTTGACCAATTGTCTGTTCAATTGGGTTAATTTGAGCCTTTGTATTACTCTGTTTATTTACACTTTGAGGACCATCTTCTTCATGGGTTGGAGATTCACTTTCTTGATTACCAAGTGATCCAAGACCATCATCAGCCTCATCTTCACTGAAATTATTATTTATATTACCGTTTTTCCCAATGTCTTTTGTCTCTTTACCATTCTTAACAAAGTCATTAGAAGGATCAGTCATTCCAGTTATAATAAGAGGATCATTACCTTCAATCAAAGTTGTAACATCATCATGTCTATTACAATCTTCAACACCAACATTCAAAGATCCATTAATCTGATGACAGCCAACAACTTCACATTCGAGCATATCTAGATGACTGGGACAATGTCCTTGACAATGGCCTATGGGACAATCGTATGGAACAATTGTATCAGATAAAGCTGAATGAATGGGATGATGATGATGTTCGAGCCGACCAGGTTGACCAGGAGAAGAAGAGGTTGATGTACACTTAACCATTCCATCACAGTGAATCACAGAATCGTCCAGTGATAGACGACACTTAATACCATTGGTATCAATCGGACCCAATGGCACTGTTCCTGTGTGAATCATATGATCACCGTAATAAGATTTCAAAATGGGCCTTATATGACCTCTTTCTGTTAAATCTTCTTCACTGTCCTCTCTTTTTCGGACATACCAATATCGGAGAAACACAAGAACAAATCCAATGCTAATTATAAAAATCATCACTATGGTAACTTTAGACCAAGAATCGCCATCAGCTCCACTCGCACTTGTACCACCACCTCGTCCACGAGTTGGACGATGATCACTCTCTATTAAACCAACACTATCAAGATCATCAAGATCTTCACTATCATTGTCTTTAAAAATTTTAAGGACACATCTTTCCTTTTCGGAGTCCCATTTGTAACCATAAGCACAGGCACTGTCATTGTTGGGTTTACACAAGCTACCTGGATAGATGGCATCCCAATGAGAACCTTTGGGACACTTACACCGTCCTCCAGTACAAACTAATTGATCACGAGAGCAATCGTCTGAAGAGCGACACTTAGAACCATATAAACGCTGTGGGCTACAAGCATCATCAATAGAATCATAAATATATCCATATAAACATTCACAAATACTATTTTTTCGGTTACAAAAAGAGTGAAAATTTTCTTTGGTACAATCACGATCAACATTACACCAAGAACCTATAGTTCGTTTGACACAAGTACCATTGTTTAAATCAAATTGATGACCCATTCGACATCGACATTTACCTTCTGGCCAATCACTCAATTGAAAACCAACATTGTGACCACCTGAATGATCATATTCAGTTCCAAGAATGTAACAAGCAGCGTTTAACGTTTCATTACATTGTCTGGAAGTATAACAGGTTTCATTGATGCCTACATATCGAAGGCAATATTTAAACAATCTTATTGGATAATCAGCTTTACAATGACACCGAGATGTTTTCAGGTCACAATAAGATCCAATTGAATCTTCACATCCTGACTCTGGATATTTATCAAAATCACAGGGAATCGGTGATGATAGGAAAACCATCGTTTTAGACGTGATTATCCTAATTAGTAGAAAAATTAGTAAAAGGCTTGCTTCTATCGACATTTTCTTTGTCTCTCCGTAATCTGGTTCTATTCGTTGATTTGCTTTTTAAAAATTTAATTTGATTGCGAGTCGATTATTTGTCCAATTTTCTCTCCTCGCTTTTATCACCAACATTTAAGTGCTTTTCCAACTTTACTGGTTGTTTCTCTGGAAATATTAGATGATATTTGTCATTAAATTGCTTTTCGCACCAAAACCTCGTATATTTTGCTTTTTTGCAGTGCAGACATCTAACATTGAAAAAAATAAAATAAGCAAATGATAAACTGACTGTAAATTACAGTAGTTCACAATAGAGTGAGCTAAGTTTTTGTTACAGTCTCTGAAAATTAAATTTGCTCATATGAGTAAAAAAGTGAGCTCATTTGATTGTCAACTACTGTAACTTACAGTCACCGTAAAGAAAAATTTACTTATTTTATTTTTTTGAACATTAGATGTCTGGACTCCAAAAAAGCAAAATATACGAGGTTTTGGTGTATTATCGAAGTGACCATTCAAGCTTCAAAGATGGTGATAGTTTTTTGCTTAGGAATAAAATCACTTGGTTGAAACTTTTTTGATTAACCCTTTTTCACTTTTATTACTTTTGCTTTTGTTTCATTTGATTTCTCATTTCTATCTTTATTATTATTCCTAATAGGTAATATATATATTTATATAAAAATAAATTCTGCAATTTTATGGAATTTTCTTGCAAAATTTGGATTCTCTTTTCAATACCTTATTCTCATCGCACACCCATTCAAGTTGGAAGATAATTTTCACTCTCGTGTCAATTCCTTGAGGATCTATTCAACCGTAATGATTCAACTTTCTTAGTTTCACCAAAATAGGAACACATTTACTTCACCCATTTGCTGTAGGCTGAACTCGATTCGGATAACCTTCATCGTTCACTCTTTTTTTCACTAAATATCTTCTTCTTTATCTTCTCCTTTTTCCTCCTCTAAATGTCTTCCTATGCTTTTCTACTATGTGTATTTTCTTCACACTTGCTTTCCTTTCACTCCCTGTAAACTTATTGATCGTTTCTGTTATACCTTAATATATATATTTATATATTCTCTTTATTTCTTTTCCAGTTTTCTTCTATCAGATCCACAGGACGAGTTAACAGCCATGCTGATGAAACATCATGCTCTCAAGTTTTTTTTCCAGTTGCAATGGAAGCAGAATATAAAGTTGATTGGAGTTGAAATGAAAGCTGGTTACATCTAGAGATATAAAACTTTGTGCTTAGATTTGTCCTTCACAAAGATTATATTTATTTATTGCGTGCCAACTTGGATTGTCAAAAAAGAAGAGAATAGCTGGTTTCTTGTGATGCTTTTTGTTTCCTTACTGATCATTTGAGATGGGATAACAAAGAAATGCTTAGAACAAGAGAAATAATGAAGTTCTCGTTAGGTGGTAAGATATTATTCATGGAAGACTTTCGCTAGTTTATGACCAAATATTCGTTGATTCAGCTTTATTTTGGACTATTGTAACCATCATCAGTGCAGAAAGTAATTTACTTTTTATATCTCTTGATGGCCAAAAAAAATCAAGTCAATCTGATGAAAGAGAGGAAAGAGACAGAAAAAAAGAAACAAAAAAGGAACCATGTAAGAAGGTTTACTATTTTTCTTTTTTTTTCTTCATCAATTTTCTTACACACCACTCAATATATTCCATGAATAGTTATTTTCAGTGTAATGCTTCATGAAAGATGAAGAAAGAGTAGACTGAAAAGTGGATTCATTTCCTGAGAAGGCAAAGCTAAGAATCTATTAACTTTACTTTTTCAAGTTTATTCTTATTCACACCAATTCAATTGATATTCTTTTACTGTTCTTATTTAAATTATTTCATCTTTTTCTTCATATTCTCATTATTTCAAATTTACACCGGAATCCCAGATTAACCTTGGGAATTGAAACTATCCAGAAAGAAGGAGAAACATCAATAACACATTTTAGACGATTTTAATCAAATAAACAAGAATGCTGTGTTTATATCATTCATCGTGATGATCATATCTATTAGCATTTCCATTCTTCATATCTACATTTCGTGTGAATATTTTGTGTTCCTCATGGTTAAGGAACCTGATTTTCCAGAACAATGTTGAAAGAAATTAATTAGCATCTAAATTGGATGCAATCCTCTTCAAAGTCATTCTCCATTCAATTGTATAACTTTGTCTGAATTTTCCTTTCCTCCTTACAATACTTGATATTTTCCCAATCTTCATATTCTTTGTATGATTCTCATTTCTACCATTCTCTTGACAAAACATTTCTCTTGACTTGTTTCTTCTTCTCACTTAGCTTTTACTCTCATTTTTTTTCCTCACTCCCTGTCTCTCTATTTCATGTCTCGTCAACTAGTCCTTGTTCCTCTTGGATGCTAACTTTAATACTATGGATTGAGTTTCTCTTGTCTTATTTTTTTCCTCACTCCCTGTCTCTTTATTTCATATCTCATCATGTAACTATTCCTTGTTCCTCTTGGATGCTAACCTTAATACTATGGATTGAGTTTCTCTTGTCTGTTTGTCTTGAGAAGATTATACTGCCAAACCATGCAAAGCTAAATGTTAAAGAAGGGGAAGACAAAGAGGAAGATGAAAAGATGTTATTCAACATTGTAATCATTATTGTACAAGGCAAACATGATGGAAAAATGGATTAACAAGTCAAATGGTGCATTCCTAGATGCAACTTGAAAGTCTCCAATTACACCTTGGCTTTTTTCAATCAAAATCACTTACACTATGCTATTGGCAACCATTATTATTTTCATACAACAAAAAGTATAAAGATGAAGGCTTCCCAAGATTTACTCAAGCAATCAAGACTTTTTGATGACTGGATAATTATATTATCGCTTCAATCACCAACAAACATGGACATTCTTATGAACCCAGTTTTTGGCAAAATCATTGGTAAATAAATGTGGTCGAGGTTGAAAACAATTTCAAGTGTTCTCCATAATAAACTTTTGATTACAAAAGCAGTTTTAGTTGACTCGCGATATACTCGCCTTTTGTTTACAATTATTGTCTCAATCCTTTGGTTTTTGCTGTCTTTTGTTTCTTCTTTGAACAAATTTTGTTAAGAACACACAATCCATTTCCGATTGTAAATAAACAAATCCTCTTTTTGTCTTCTAATAGATTCAATATTTATCATCTATGACATTTATAGACACTTTCAAACGTATTTATGTGTTGATGTTTGTATACATTTATGTTAAAAGTTGTTCCAAATGTTGTTGTAAACACTTATATTCAAAGCAAATAAAGGGATTAGAGATTAAAAGAAAGAGTTAAATGATTCACAAAGTCAGGCACATTTTCATTTTTACGCATTAGAAGGAAGCAATTGTGATGGATTTCAATGAAATGTTGGAAGTGTAGAGAAAGATAAATACTGTTGGCAATGAGGAAGGATGAAAAAAAGGGAAGATGGAGCACATCTTTACACACAAAATCCATGAATCAACACTAGTTTCAAATGGTGAATCCGAATACCTAAATATGATGAACATTTGTCATTGAAATTGAATCAATTGAAGTATCCACAGATAGTCACTCACAATTGTAACATGGTTATCTTTTGCAGCTTTTTGTTTCAAAATCTTCCTCTTTCTCCTTAATTAATTCTCTCCCTTTCTTTCAACCTCTTTCTGTACCATTTTTCTCGTAGTTTTTGTATATCATGTAACTCATTCTATCTTAAATGTGAACTCAATGCTATTCTGCTTCAATTTCATTTACAATCTTGCGCCGTTATCATTTCAAACCTTATAACACTCGTAACAACTGCTGTTAACATAATGTTTTCTGGTTTGCTTTAATCATCTCATATAAGATGGTAATAACTGATAACTATAGAGGGGCATTGTGATTGTAAGACTTACCTTAAACCAAGACAATCATGGAAATCGGTTAACTGATCATGGTTAGAAGAAACGAGACATAAAAGGTTTACTAAAAAGGTTACAAGTAAGCATTGATTTTAAAAATTGTTATAAAATCTGTTAGTAAAGGATTAAAATGGGAGTAAATAAAGTAATTTTTTATCTAAGGGCTTTGGATTAATTTTGGTTCCAAATGCTTTCTCATCGGTAAAAAAAGTACACAGTTAATGAGAAAGAAAGGGAAAAAAGAAAGAGAAGAAAATATTGAAGGAAAAATGGGATTTCATTTGAACTGTGAGAAAGAAAGAGAATGTATCTGTTTTGGTTCAACCTAACCAAACCAAACTTTATTTATTGATCGGCGAAGCGGTTCCACAGTTTAACCGATTTTGTCATGCGTCTTGCTCAATTTGATCTTAATCGTTTAGTTGATCATTTGATTTAATGATAACTCTGCCAACCTATCACTAGTCGTATTTCATTAATCCAAACAATTTTGATTAGCAAAGCCAATTTCAATAATGGAGTCAACCATCAAGCCCAAAGTTAAATCTTATGAAAAAAAGAGTTATCTAAATGAAAAATGACAAACTTGATATGGAAAAATTAATTTCATGAATTTGCCTGTGAATTTGCATGAGTGTTTTCCTTCTTGAATTGCTTCGAGACTTGGGAACTAATCTGTGAAAACTAACCGGAGGAATATTCATGATTGTTGATGTGAATCAAAACAAAAAAAGCAAACTACAATGGTGAAGGAATGTACACCGACCAAACACTTGATGTAAAATGAAATGTTTAACAGTAGAGAGTGAGACTTTAGATGTAAAACAAGGTGGTAATTGAATCTAATGAAATCAAAGAGTAACAATCTAAATCGATTGAGTTGAGTGAAATGAGGATATGAAGATAGGGAGAAAGCGAAAGATAAATAGAAAAGGGGAGAGAAAAAAGGTAATTAAGAAATAGAAAGCAAAGATGGATTAGAATTAGTGATGTTCGATATGACTATTTTGATTTTTTCGATAAATTTCGGAAGATTGAATTTATTATCGACTTTAGTCGACTAGTATCGAAAATTAGTCGTAAATTAGTCGTTCTTTATCAGATATTCAAAAAGCTTACAATTTAAATATTTCATTCACTCCAGAATTTGTTTTTTTTATCATAAAAATATCAAATCTTTGAACGCTTTGGCATATTGAAAAGAAACTAACGAAAGACTAACTATTATATTTTAAGAAAAATTACAGTGAAAAGCCCAAAAAATATAAAAATCAAGCATGAAGACAGTAAATTTTTTTATCGACTAATATCGAGAATCTTATGACAGACTAACATATCTTTTTTTATCGACTAATATCGATATAATCGATAAAAAGGAACATCACTAGATTAGAACCAGATATAGCTTTAAAGGTACACATAATTTATGAGATAAAGAGTTGATTAACGGAGAAATATTGATATTGATAGGTGAAATGGTAATCTTGTAACACTAATACATAAGGGATGAGATAAGTTGAGATATTTCAGGTTGGATAGATGATGATGGAGATTATATTGACAATAGTGTTGATGGAAGATTCTGTTTGAGATGTGGTTAAGAAGAAACAACACACATCAGAAACACATACACAATGGTGGAAAACAGTTCCAGTTTTAGGTAAAAATGTAAACTCACCTCAGGACAATGATGTCCACTTGGACACCAAATTGGTTTACACATGGTTTAATTGACGACACTCAGGGTATAAAAAAAAGAAAAATTAATCCAACTGATTAACAACATGAGTCAAGAAATAAGATTAAATTAAACCACAGCTTTAAATCGACTTCACAGCCTTTCCATATTCGAACCAACTTCTATTTGGTATCTCACTTTCTCCCTCCAAATTTCAGAATTTCATGAGTTTAGATATTAAGACATAGGTGTCTCTGTGCAATACTTATAATAGTTTTAAGCACTGAACCGGTTTATTCAAAAGTAAAAATAAGCCGAAAAAGATTCACTAAAAAGACCTTTACGATCATAGTCGTGGAATCCACTTGTATTATTAAAGCTAAACTATAATATTGTTGAATAATACTTACAATTGGTATTCGTGGATATCTTTGATTAAAACTTTGGTATCAGATAAGATTATTTTGATAGATCTTTGGTGCAAATTCAAATCTTTTCGAGTTGAACTTTTGCTATTCCAATTCAGATTTGGTTATACTCGAAAAGCCACAGGAACTGACGATTTTTAATGTAGCTTTATAAATTCAGGTTTATTTGTGAGATTGATCAAATTGTCCTAAAACTTCGTTAAATCGGAATGTGAGGGTAAGAAAATAAACCACTTTGACGGATCCTCTAAAGTAATTAACAGACATTTTTAATAAGTTAGTACATTGAATAGTTTAACTTTGTGGATCAGACTGAGGAAAATTTTTCACGATTTGATTACATTTTAGTCTTTTTTGAATCATTTTAGGAAACCAGGGAGTGAACTATTCATGTTTGTTGTGTCTTCTTTTCCTGTGCTTTCAGTTGCTTAAGCCTCATCATCTCTGCATCCCTGGAAGCAAAACGAGAGTAAATTTTCATGAGAACCGTTTCAACCGATTGTTATGGAGTGATTGATATCTAGGTGCATAATTATGGGCATCGGAAAAGAATCAGCACCAAACAATAGCAATTAGCAACAGAATTCATCAATTTACCTATGTTTTCGCTCTTCTAATGATAGTCCTTTATTACCATCCTTAGCATTAGCACCTGACCCTTTTGACTTCTCTTGGAGTTTCTTTTGATTTTTTTGACGGGCCAATTCACGTTGATTACCCCCTTAAAATAATCAGAAAAAAATTCATTGAAAATACGACAGGTCTATCAAGTTGTAGGGATACACGGTGATAGGAAATTGTCTTGGCAGTCATTATAAAAGGAAAGATCGTAGGCACTCATAAGATGAATTCACGTGGGTAATACTTACGAGTCATTTTGGTGAAGTGATAGCTTCTGTGTAATCAGGTAACCCAAAATTTAAAATGACAAAGAAATCCAGATTATGATCAATGTGATGAATATTTGTCAGTTTGTTTTGTCTGCTCAGCTTGCCAACCAATAGTTAAACTAACCAGAATCCGCGGTTACTTTAAATTATACTGCCTGCATGATTCTGCACAATAAAGTATTGAATAAAATATATTTTATACTATTGTTTATTGCGAAAATTTGCGGAATAGGATAAATAATTTGTATCGATGATCAAAATAAAATAATTTCTCAATTACGTCCTTCTCAAGCTAATCACTAATGTGAATTTCTGATCTTAGTTTTATGAGTAATGGTGATTTTCAAATGATCTACAAAACAAATTTTTTCTAAGCTATGGTCAACTAATTTGAATTACATTTTTAAATGAAATCATCAAAGTATTCCACATAAAAAATTAGTATTTCATGCTATAATACACCAAGTTTTATCTGTGTAATAACCAGGAGACTTATTTTGATGAGAGACGGAGCCACATGTGATAAACAAAAATAAAATCTGTATTTTTTGTGATAATATTGATCAAAACGTATGTCTTGATTTCAGTGTTATAGCTAATTTGATAAATTACCGATCTTCAAGAATTGCATCGCCTAAATCAAAAATCTATCTGTTAATGAATAAATAATGGTAAGTCCTGATGCTCTATTTGATAATGTCTAACTAATGTTACTTCCAATGTCTTTTAACTACAGGATTTTAAAGCATTCACTGAAGAAAATTTTAATTCAGTTGATTGGATCAATGATACTCTTAATTCTGCACCTAAGGAAGAAAATAGAGAAAACTATGCGTCTAATATTGTCTACAAGCTTCAATTATTCATCCAGGAAATCAACCAATCTCTGGAAGAGACTGCGTTAAGTGTTATTGGTAATTTGCCCAAATTGAATCGAGACATTGATGTTTTGTGTGAACAGGCTAGGACTTTCAAGAATGATTTAGTTGCAATAAAAGGGAATGTTGACAAACTTTCTATGGACTCAGACCTACGAATGTCTCAATTAGCTGAAATAGATCATGCAAAACAAGTTATTGAGGACAAATTAGTCGCACTTAATGAGATAAATAACCGAGATTCTTAAATTTTTTACTATTAAAATGTTGCCATCTCAGATATTTTAATATCAAATGTAATTTTGTATCAATCGGATAAATATAACATGCCTTGACTAATGAGTGGTGATTACATTTAGATGTCAAGTCGAGTCTTAATATTTTTTGAATTTCGATTTTATTGAAGATTAACTTTGGCTTATCTTCACATAAAATTAGACCAAGATTTGGCTTGAAGTATCAGAAGATGATTTTTTGTAAATAATAATGAACATGATACAGTGACCATTTGGATGATCTTAGTTTTTACAAATATACATCAAAAGTCTTTGATAGTCATATTTGTGAATTTATGCATAATAAACTAACTGTGACACAATGGCAAAAAATGAAGAGGTGAAGATTATAATTTGATGCGAGTGACTGCGAGAATTGAATAGTAGAAAATAAACATGATCACATTTAATAAGCTTTCCCGAGAAAGATAAACAGTCAGTTTTGTTCCTTTTTTTGGCTATGTGATCATATCTCTCTCAGTTCCGCGACAAAGATCAATCTGAACCCAAATGATAGAGTCTTGATGAGTGCATTTTGATATCACTTTATCCTTATTCGTTGCCTTTGAAGGCGATTTTTATGTGCTTCGAAGAGAACACGGTTTGATTCAAAATATAGCGGATTCTGGTCTACATTCAAAGTAGGCTGATAAGGACAGCTTAATGAATTTGGGTCCATTAGTTTATCACTATCCTTTCCATGGTAGACTGGTTTATCGCTGGTAGCACTTTGAAGATACACATTGGTCTCCTCAGCATCAAGTTGCAATTTACTCATTCGTTTGGAAATAGGTAAACAACCTTCTTCCTCTTCATGGCTTCGTTTCCTTTGGGGAGAATAAAATGGAATCATTGGAATAAGATACAAAAGGAAGAGTTGAAGGTGAAATAACCAATGATTGTTGCTGTAACTTACTTGGATTTAGCTTGCGTCATGTATGCAGTTAGATTGTTGACTAATAGTAAACGGTGAAATTAATTCTGAAATGTATACTCAATGTAACGTTATCAATCTATTAATAAAGATAAATAACTTAAATTTGAATAGCTTGTGAGCCTGTGATGTCAAGCTACACATAAAGCTGTTTTTGAGTGGTTTTGTTTCCACCCCTTTTAAAGTCCTTTATCACACACAATGCAACTAAATTTTTACTCGGTCCCTAATCAGGCGGAGTTAACTAATTATCCAAATTTCATCGAAATTGATCGTTCAAAAAGTTAATTTTGTTGTTGAATTGTACTCAAGAAACTCTTAAAATTGACCATCAGTTGTGTTTTACATTGAGGAAGAACATATATGAACGATTACAAAATCTTGAAATTGAGGTGCCCGATGAATAGTGAAAATAAGCTATTTCAAGAAATTCTCTTAATCTGTTAGTTTTACACACTTAATAGCAGCTGATTTGTCAATTATCAACTCATTCATTTTTCTTGATTTGAATTCCTCACGTTATAAAAGTTAATTTGCTTATTTACTCCTTATTCAACTCTCATCAATGTGGTCAAATTCGGGACTCTTGAAATTGTGATTTATCAAGAGTATAATAAACATCAACATCTAGAATTTCAGGTTAGTGATTCATCTATTCTATCGCTCATTTTGGTTTATTTGTCTCAATTGAATGTTCGGTGTTAAATCACTATTTTGATCTTTTGAAAATAATTTCTCTAAGTAAAGCCTATTTCATAGTGGGAATGACAATGAACCTAGCTGATTTTTATCTTGTATTTATTTAATAATTCTCCATGTCTTTTTTTTCAAATTGATTACAGATCTGTTTCGCTTTTATTCATAACTATTCTTGGTTAGAAATTTCATTCGAGACCAATCTAACGGCTTACGGATAATACAAACCTTTATAATAACTGACTACTGGTTTTGCAATAACATTGGCTTACAATTGGCGTTATTTTTTATTGTGTTTCTTCATCATATTCGTCTTTTTTCTCTTTGATGGAATTCGTTTATGTTTGAATTGCTGATATCGAAGTTATTTTAGAGCCTGGAACAAATATGCACGTCGATGAGGGATCCTACGACACCCAAGAAAACTTGAAGGTTTGTGTTATTAGCAGTAAAGGAGAAACAACTTTAGTCGAATGTGGTACGAATTTATCCGTTGATAGAATAAAGTTAATGGCCCTGACAAATTTCATAAGAGATCAAGTGGAAGCATTGAAAGTTGTTAATCAATACAAATTGGTTTCCATAAACAAGAAAAGAAGCTTATCTGGAGAAGCATCTATTCGTGATGAAAATATTGTCAATGGTGATACTCTACTTTTACTTGACCGATATCCTGTTCAAACAAAATCTACATTCGCTGATATTATAAACAATGAAACAGCCGGTAAAGGGCCTAATGAGTCTATGATATTAGAAGCAACAAAGCATCTTAAGCCAAAAAATCTCAACCATCAAGTCACTGAAAACGTAATTTCTTTCGAAGTAAGTACAGTAGTCTTTTCTTTTCTGCTTCGATTTGCTATTCTCTGTGATATTAAATCAAAATTATCTTCCAATCTAACAGTTCCAACAAGAGCTCCGACCAATTCTCATATCATTGGTTGACTATGCGGAGAAACTTTTAAGACACCACCCTGATGTCGCTCCCGTATTGAAAAATATGAAAGTGAATAATGATGAGCTTGGTGACAAAGGAGAGGAGGAAACCATAGATGATGTTGCACTGAAACAGTTAACTGACATGGGTTTTGCCGAAGAAAAATCAAGAAGGGCTCTGAGAATGAATAATATGTCTCCTTTGGAAGCCATGGATTGGCTTTTAGCTTATGAGTCCAGTTCATCAGCAACTTCTTCTATGCCATCTTCTTCTTCAAGTCAAATAAATTATGATAATACTGATATATTTCCTAAAGTTCCAGCAATAGTAGATTGTTATAGAAAATATAAGCGTCAACATTTCGTACCAAATATGAACCATTTCAATAATTTGAAGCAATTAGGATTTGATGATGATGAGATCCTAGATGGTCTTTGGTTGCATAGTAATAACGAGGTTGCAACGGTAAGAGTTTTTTGATATTAGTGTATAAATTTATACATACATAAGCATACGCTATACCAACATGTTATCGTATTTTTTAATATTTTTGTTACAGGGAGAGTGGTTATTGAAAGAAAAACGTCCAAGAGTTAATGAATTCTGTAGAGGTTTGAAACGTGATAGTCCCATTTACAAGGCATTTATTTCAAATCCTTCTGTTCAATTGGCTCTAGTCAAGCCTAGGATATTTTTTGGTATGTTTAAAGACATTCCCATCTATTGTTTCAAAGCAATTTAATCTATTTTCGATTTTTCTTTTTCTATCAATAGCTTTTGTTCGTCTTATTGAGGATCCAAATTGCCGTTGGACAAGTGATCATGAAACATCTGCAGTAATTCAACTGCTTTACAGAATTTATCATTCTGAAAGAAACACTGTTGAAAACAGTGAAAAAGATGATGATGATGATGACATTCAAATTGAAAATGACCCAGGATCATCGGATAACGATTCACAGTGAAATCATGAGTTAATAAATCATTCATTTGTATAATCATCAAAAAATAGAATTTTATTTCTTTATATCAGCCAATTAAGTCAATCAATTAACCAATTTATCAATCGAACGATCGCCCAATCAATTACATATAACTATTAATACAATCTAATACATTTAACTTTCTGAGTTAGCTAACGTCAACATTTGTAATATTAAATTGTCGTCTTTTTATCTTGTATAATTAATAAAATATGAATACGAAATAAGCTTTGTTTTATTCTTAGTGACACAAAAAATATACAAATCATCAAGACTTAAGAGATTTGAGTTGACTTGCACAATCAAAATCGCAATCTAATACCTTAATTGAACTGCATATTATTTAGAAAGATCATTGGAAAATTGTATTTCTCCGCTCGTTCTTATTCAAAAATATAACATATACCTCGTAGAATATTATTTTATGTCTAAATCTGTTTGATTAGTGATGTACTTTAAGGAAAATTTTTAGTTACAAGCAAAGCAATTATTAAATTAATCTAACGATTATTAAAACAACCGCTAAAACCGATGAAGGTCATTTGTTTTGATTGTACTGAAAGTTATCACTGTAATTACTTCAAGACCCCTTTCGACAGTTTACATATGATCTTTTAGGTTTGTGATGTTTCAATTTTTTGCTTTGTTTACATTTTTGAGTTAATAATTATTTCATCAAATGTGATAATTTTTTTGTTTTGATGCTTATAAAACATTTTAAACTGCTGTGCAATTCACTGAATTTACCTTGCTATCTAATTTTTGCTATTTCTCAATGACTGTTAAATAGCCCTCTTGAGAAGTGTCACTGAGCTATTTTGCTCATTTCAACTCTATCTTGTTCTTGCCTTGACTTTCAGATGTGTTATAGTTATTCTTTATCAAAATCATATTACAATCAAATGCAAATCAATTTTTTTGATTTCGAAGGAATAAGAAATCAAAAAACCGCTGTACATTATTGTAGCAAATTATCCTGTTAGTGAGTTGGCAAAATAATTGTCGAAATAAGAACCAAAAATGAAGCTAATCGACTCAATTGAACCTAATCATATGATTACCATTGAATGGCAGATGATGGATCCCGCTAAGTATCTACCTCTTAGCTTAGTTAATGCTGTTGCTATTCGAACTATTCTTTACCCATTGACTGTGATCAAAACTCGAATGCAGGTGTGAATCAAACACGGTTGCATCACATGGAATGAGATATTTAATTTCACAAATTTTCTTATCTATTTTATCTTTAGGTACAAACTTCAAATTCAGTCTATAGAGGTACTTATGATGCTTGTTTTAAAATTGTCCAACGAGAAGGATTTCCCGGCTTGTACAAAGGCTTTTTTGTCAATACAATGCAAGTTGGTTCTGGTCTCGCTTATATTCTCACCTATGAGAACGTCAAATATTTGCTATCCAGCTATGGTAAAATTCAAGATACTAGTGTCAGAAGCCTCATTGCTGGTGGAATTGGTTCAATTATTAGCCAAACAATAATAACACCTTTTGATATTGTGTCTCAACACATGATGGTAATTTCGGGTAGAAAGAAGGGTAAAAATACCAATAAATTTTCCGCATTCGCCAATCCATTGCATCTCAACAAACAAGAGGTAGAAAAATATGGTATACCTTACTCTATTGTGCGAGAACTAAGGCGGAAAGATGGTTTCAGAGGTTATTATCGAGGCTATTTTGCTTCGCTAGCCTTTTATGTTCCTAATAGTGCTCTTTGGTGGTACTATTATGAAAAATTTTCAGGTAATCAATATTCTATGCAGTCATGATAATTTGCTTGATAAATTTCTCTCATAAGTATTTTCATGCGGAATTTTCCTTATCATTTTTCCATTCATATCATGCAGCAATCATCCATAACTCACTTCCAGTTGAAACATGGCAACTTTTAATTCGAAGTTGCGCAGCAGTTCTAAGCGGTGCCACAGTTGCAGTTCTTACCAATCCTTTGGATTTAATTCGTGCCAATTTTCAGGTTTGTGTACAGCAAGTTCAACACATCCAAATATTAATAGTATTTTTATATTTGTATTATTAGTCCAACTTTTAAACATTTATTAATTTATTTATAAGCAGTTCTTTTTTAGCTCAAGTTAAAATCTTCGAACCTTTAGATTTCTTTTCTTCGTCGAATTAATGATTTCTTACTTTTCACAAATCTATGCGTTTTACAGATCCAACGACTTGACTCTTATTCAGCAACGGTTCGTAAGTTATGGAAAGATGAACACTTAGGGCTATTTTACAAAGGTTTGTCGCCAAGAATCACGCAAAGCTGTTTATCATCAGTTTTTGTTTCCATTGGCTACGAAACAATGAAAAGATTAAGTTTACGGGAAGAATACGAGGACAAGATCAAGTGGTAATCCATATTGAAGTTAGTCGATCACACAATTAAAAATGCATCAAAGCAAAAGAAAAATAAAAAGCAACTCTAATTTAACGTGGACCACTGTGATAAACATGAAAGACAAAACTTAAAGCTTCAAGCTTCTTAGGAAAGCAAAAGTCTTGTTAATTGTCATTTTATATCTTTCAGCTTCTTTTATTAATTTTTTGTTTCCTTTTCTCTCTTCGCAAAACTCGTTCGTAAATTTAACGACAAAAATTGACTAAAAAACATCAAATAGCAAGAATCCATCGAAATATGTAAAGAAGTCATGAATACAAAATCTTCATCGTTCAATAGAATACAAAATTCCTAGATTTTAGGCTTTGTATATTTTGTTTCTCCTCTACTTTATGAAACAAATAATCAATTGGATTGTATTTTAATCTTCGTAACCTTTCCTTGGCTCGTGATTTTGAATAGATTGGATTACGCTATGAAATATCATGATGAGCTCCCATAAAGATTATTAAATTAATCATTGTTAATTGATATTGTACAAAACAGAAAAAAAGAATCAAGATTAAACGACGCTTTCATCAACTTATTTATTATTCTGTATTAATGTTTTTTACTTTAGTAATGTTATCAACGAGAATATGTTTCAAATTTGATTTTTTAACTAAAAGTACTAAATCTTAGATTGTTAATTAGAGTCGATTCATTATTTGCTCCGAATTGCACCTTTAAACAAACATATTTAATGTTTGCTAATAAAAATTTGGAAACATTTTTTATTGTTAATAATATTTTTATTAAATCACATCACTAGTTTAAATCAAATATTTACAACAGTTAAATGAACATAGTGTTAATCTTATACATCAAATAAAATTAGTTACAAGTACCAGCCATGTAGGCATCTAAGTCAGCATCAAGTTGGTTTCGAGTCTTGGCCATATATGCATCCAAATCTTTGTCAAGTGTATTTTTATCTGGATTCCTTCTCCTTTGATTCTGTCTGTTTGGTTTTCTATTTTGAAATCTTTTCTTGACATTAACGTTTCTTTGTTCTTGGTTGAATCCACCTCGAGATCTCATTCCTTGTCCAGGTTTAACTTGGTTGTTTCGGCGATTAAATTGTCTTTGATTTAACTGAGGGTTTCGCTGGTTACCTTTAAAGTTGTTGGTTGCGAGTTTTCGGTTTTTCATATGTTGATTGACTCGTTGGCCTTTTCTTACAGCAGCATTGTTATTCCTTTGTCTCTGTGATCGATTAGGTTGATTTTGATTCTTCTTGTTAGCAACATTATTATTGCTATTGAATCGAGAGTTCATGGGTCTTCTTTTTAAATTGTTATCAGATGAAGATATGACACCACCTTGTCTACGGTTGACTCTGCGAACATTTTTAGGGGAAACTTGAGTGGCACCGACAAAGTTGTTTCGGTTTAACTTTGGCCTTCTAACATTTGTTCCGGGTTTTGGAGCAATTTGAAGTCGATCACTCAAACTTCGCTTGTTAGGTTTTCGAGAACCAGAAAAGGATCTATTTGCTAGAGCTGTTGATCCAGTTCGTGATTGTTTAGCTGTAAAGAGAAGAAAAATGTATTAGAAATTTGTTCAGATGGAAAAAGATTCATCTCATATTGTGAGCACTAATATATGAAAAGAGAAAAAGTACTTACCACCGAGACGTTGTTTGATGCTCTTCTTTTTAATTTTGAGAGCAGCTAAAACTGAAGGTTTTTGTGCCATTGATGCAGCTAGTAGCCTGTTTTTCCTGGATCCTTGAAATGACGGTTTCACAGAGGATCTCTGAGGACCCGGGTTCACTTTTGGTCGCCGCGCAACCGGTTCAATGTTCTTTTTTATCAAAGCAGTTTGCTGTACCATTTTGAATCGTTCACTTAATGGTATTTTTGATGTAGAGTGAAGAGTAATTTTACCGGGGATGATAGAACTAGATGCCATGTCGAAAAGAATCACTGGGTAATAAGGAAACACAATGAACAGAAATTACAAAAACTGTTGAAAATACAGTGGGCAGATAGCAATGGTGAGAAGACACAGGTTAAAACTCAAGGTTTAGTAAACAGTGTGTATATCATTCACAGTTGTCAGGTTGACAATGAGATACCTCTACTAGAAATTTCAATTTATATACTGCCTTATTTAAGACGTTTATTTCAACAAAATAAACTGATTAAATTTTACCAATTTTGGCTCTATCTTTTTAAGTCGCTATAAAGGCTTATGTTCTATAAGCTTCTTAAACCATAGCCACGAGCCAATCACAAGCAGTTTACAGTTTGAATGATAAAAACGCGCCCTGTTTAAACCGTTTTTTACTAAAACGGTTTAAAATTTTTATTAATTTGCCAATGTTTATTAATAAATAATTTGAATATTATTTTAATAATCAAGCCATTTCTTTAATTGTTCAATTTTACAACATTCATCAGTTAGAAATTTCATTGTTAATAACCAAAAAAGTTGTCTTCTGGAAATAAAAAACACTCGAAATTCGAGTTTGAACAATAAGAGGATTACTTTGAAACTTTGGTTGATAAATTAAATAGTCCAAATTATAAAATTGCTTAATAGTCCAAAAAAATGATTACAATTTGCTTTCAAGATGGAAGTAATTGGACAGAAAGAATGAAAATGAAACAATTTTCAAAGCCACACAATGTTGCACATTAAAGGTACTTCCAACCTTCATTTTCCTTCAATTAACCTGAAATTATAATGGTAAACATGATGCTGATATTAATCAATCTTTTCTTAAATTTATTATATTCAATAGCAATTATTTTAACAACTATTGGAGTGAGTTAATCATAAGTGAAAAAATCTGGTATCATTGGTTTCTCTGGTTTTTTCTGGTAAACAGATATTAAGTAACCTAAAAGTATACCGAAATAAATGAAATGAAATATCTTAAAAAATAGCATCTTGAAATTTCTTATTAGATATTTTATAAATCAAGTTTTCCATGGTTTAAATTTAACTTGTGATATCAGTTTTAAAGCAAAACTACATGTTGAGTAAGTTATTTCAAGGCGAGATAAATTAAAGGGTTGCATGGTTTAATTGAGTGCTTTTTAGGAACAATATTCAGATATTTTTTTGATGATGTAGTGACAATTTGAATTGATTTGTTGACCGTTACTATTGCCGGAAAAGACAACTCTCAAACAAAGAGTTGAGTGACAAATTATGAAGAGGAGGCGATAAAAAGATGAACCTCTGAAGATGGCTCAGGTGATTAGGAAGATGATTTAAGTAGGAAAAGTTTCCTTACCAAATTCATTTTTTCGCCTATTTGTCACTCACAGGAACCAGTCAATCTTGAAAATATCCAGAAATCACAATTTATGCCGGAAAAGTCGCTGTAGGTATTTAAAGTCATTGATCTTTAAGATGTCGATGATTCAATCAACGGTAGTTATCACCACAATCACCATCAGAATGATGGACAAAAATGTGATGACAATTTCAATATTTAATCATTTACTTTTAAATAAGTCTACTGTAAATCATATTTCACCATTCAGTCGATATTTGACTACAGAAATTTCAACTTTATCAAAATGATGAATTACCAATTCATTAAAGTCTATTCCTTTTCATCTCTAATGTTTTTACTATCGATCGATCATGCATGGTCTCATGGACGTCTAATTGACCCTCCAGGTCGGTCAACAGCTTGGAGATTTGGATTTTCAACACCAATCAATTACAACGATAATCAACTGTTTTGTGGAGGTTTTCGAGTAAGTTTGTTCACTTCATGGTTTTTTCCTAAGGAAACAAAATTTGAATGTGATTTTATTTCATTATCTGATCAGGTTCAATATAATTTGAATTCCGGTAAATGTGGTATTTGTGGTGATCCATACAATGGTTTAAGACTGAACGAGCTTCCCAATGGACGTTATGCCCGATCCCTTGTAATTACACGGAAATATAAGGTTGGGTCTGTGATTAAAGCTTCTGTCCAACTAACGGCTAATCATAGAGGCTACTTTATATTCAAATTGTGTCCAGCTACTAGTAAAGATCGGGAAGTGTCCCAGGATTGCCTTGATTCTTATCCATTACAAGTAATCAACTCATCTTCACCTCATCGCTATTATGTTTCTGATAGGGATTCCAGGATTTTCAATGTTACATTAAAGCTTCCTTCTAATCTTACCTGTCAACGGTGTGTTTTACAGTGGACATATGTCACTGGAAATAATTGGGGACGATGTGAAGGTAGTAGATTATTCAGAGTTGGTTGTGGTCCACAAGAAACCTTCAGAGCTTGTGCTGATGTTACAATTAAAGGAAACCTTGTGAACAACAATGTCACCTCTACCACAAAATCACCCATAATTAATGTTTTAACTTCTTCAAAGCTGAAACCCAAATTGAAAGACTTGGAACCAATAGTTAATCAAACGACAACAACCTCGTCATCTGTATAATAAATAAATATTTATTGACGTTTGTTAAAATATTTTTTGATATGTTTATTCAATCCGAATAGATTCGGAATTTTTCGAACACAGAATTTGATTGATTACTATTTTGGAACTAATTTTGAACACCACAATCTTGATTAATCTAACAATTCCGGTTACAGTCAGGATTCCCAGTCATAATTTATGTCATGTTTCAACAGCGACTTTGTCCATTCCACAAAAGATGGCTTCCAGTTTTATGAGCTTCAAATTATTGTCTTTATGGCTACACGGATTTATTTTGTATAATAATAATTTAATTTAAGAGGTTTATCTATGAAATTATAAATATTGAAAACAATTAAAAGGAAAAACACAAATAAAATGTAATTTCAAATTTGTTTTTTGGCTCTAAAACATTCACCTTGGTAACCAAATTGACTCTAGTGTATTCAACTCTTTTTTTGTGTGATCACTGATCAACATGTTAAAAAAATTAAACAATTTAATCAAGGTTATTATCATTAATTAATATTGAGTGTTAATTTATATAATTTAAAAGTGATTCCGGTCATTTTGATAAACATTTTAATCATAAAATCTTTAGAAACTGTGTGTATCTTGAAGTGACCAAATTTTGGTCTCTGACCAGCTCAGCTGATGAGCCTGGTAAACATAAAGCACATTTTACTTTTTATTTCACTTTTCATTAATCTATTTTCTTCCTCTTAGTTGCTGTATAGCTTTTTGTTTCCATTCAGTCAAATTATTTTACAGTAATATTATCATCTATTAACAGTCCAAAGTGATCTGATAGGACCAATGACTATGACTTATCCACCAGTCGATAAAGATTTCGTTCCTCCTGAATGGATGAAACTTCCTAATGATGTACAGTTGGTGAGTAATATAAATCTTTTGGACCTCCCAATAAACCCTTTGAACCTAACAACATATATGTACCAATTTTATTTATTGCTTCCTTGGCTTCTATCAATGTTTTAATCATATTGTCTATTTTATTTACTCAATCTCTTTGGATTTTTTATGTCATTGTCATTTTCATGTGTTCATTTTTTACTTTACAGCCTTCCTCACTACGGATGCATAATTTAATTGAAAAAACCGCTCTGTTTATCAGTAAACACGGATCACAAATGGAAATCCTTGTTAAAGCCAAACAAGCAAACAATCCACAATTTGATTTTCTCTCTTTTGATTCTCCATTGAATAAGTATTACAAATATCTTGTTACATCCATGAAATCCGGTGAATATGTTTCAAGTCTAGAGAGGCAAACGGATTCTGGGGGATCTGATGATGAAGATCATTATCTTCACCCAAGTTTACTTGGGTCAGCGAAAGCAAATAAAAGTCCAGAAAAATTATTTCTTCCGCAAATACCCAGAGCTCCTGATGAGAATAGTTCTTACTCTCAGCTAGTCAAAAGTTTGAAGGATAAAATTGTCAGAGAACCAGAGAAAAAATCTGAAGATGGATCATTGAGCAGTAAAGGCAACAATACTAATAATAATTGTACAAGTGGAAATACATCACCAATTAATGAATCTAATAGCAAAACTGATTCCATGTCCATTCTTCCACCTCCCCCTCATGAAGTACAATTATACATTGATAAACTTGCTGAATATGTAGCTAGAAAAGGTGAAGATTTTGAAAGAGCTATTCGTAAAAGAAATGAGGCAAGATTCGAATTTTTGACTCCGGGAAACATTTTCCATGGACATTATATTAAGCGAAAGTTGTATTTTCTGGAAGAAAAGCGGCAAACTCAAGCTGAAGATCTCATAGCTAAATCTATGGCTTCTAGTAGTGGTGATGGAGTAAATAAGAATCTAGTGAGTTTTAGCCTTTCGTCTAAGGAGAAAAAAACTCTAATTGTTAAAGACGATGGCAGCCCGGATCATATGAATAAGACGAAAGATGAGACTGGTTCAGATATTGATAGTGATCTGGATGAACAGATTATTTTTGAAGGAATTACTTCCAAGCAAGAAAATACAACTCGTGAAAAACAGTTGCAAGAAGAGAGAAGACGCAAAGCTGCCTTATTTCTGAGTCTACTAAAGAAGAAACAATCAGAAACTAAAGAAACCAAAGAAACTGCAGCCAATTCTGATAGTAATAAAAACAATGGTAGTTATTTTAATTCATTTTCACAAATAAATGATCACCCTGGCGATTCACCTAATAGAAGTAAAAGTCCTAACATAATTAATCTGTCACCTACCATTGAAGCAGTTACTTCACCAGTTGTATCTCCAAAAACTGTAAATCTAGATGAAGGATCGTCCGGATCAGATTCACCAAAAAACTCTGACTATGTTAATGAATCAGTTAAGCCCTCTTCGTCTTTGTTACCATTCAAATCAACTGATAAATCAAGGAGAGATAAATCACCGTCCTCAAGTCCGCCATCAAGCACATGCTCCAAACATAGCTCTCACCACCGCCATCATCACGGTCATCACCATCATCACCGCCATCGCCATCACCACCATCACCCGCCTCATCCTCCACACCATCATCACCATCACGGCCACCACCACCATCGACATCACCACAGACATCATCATCCCCACCATCACCATAGGCGAAGATCACATTCTAGGTCCAGATCGCATTCAAGGTCGCCTTCTAGGTCGAGATCTCGTTCTCCTCGTCATAAATCACGAAGACGCCGATGCTAACTTAATTTAAATTGGTTGATAATTTATTAACGTGGTTACATAAGTTGAATTTGCCATTGCCTTAAAGATCCTTGGCGCAATAATCCGAGTGTTCATTGTTTTTCTCAACTAAATGATTATTCGTAATTGTTGGCAAAGATTGATAAATACTAAGCCATTGATTATGTACATAGAAACACTAAAATATTTTTTTGTCCCGACAACTCCTCTGCTCAACTTCCACCTAATAAAAAACATAATGACTTGATCTCTCAATGAAGTACATCAATATTGCAAGTCAAATATTGTTAAAACAATATTTCCCGCTCAACGCCAACATTTTTATTTTCAATCAGATGAATGTCTATAGCTTCAATTAAATGAAATTCATTCATTGCTTTATCAAACATGTTCAATATCGAATATTCCAAAGTTTTAAATTAAATATTTTTAATATCATTCAATAATTGTTTTTCTCAAAGTCGCTGGATTTTGAGAACACCAACTTTTTCATCTGTTTCAGTTCCAACATTGTAACATAACTTTCAAATAACACGATCAATTAGCTATTCCTTTCCTGTTTATAATACTAAGAGCTCTTAAATAAATTAATTCATTAAAAAAAATAAAATTTGATTTATAAATTGCAAGAAACTGAAGCTAATTTGTAAAAGCTTTAAATGCTGAAAAAGTAGAAAGAACGAGTTCAAGTTGTGTATCGGCTAGCTTTTTAAGATCGGCTTTCAAACAGCTTGTAACTGATAATTTCATACAAAACGTTACCAATCAAAGCATGATTAAGTTACTAATCTATATTTAACCTTGTTAATTAATCTGTGATGAGTTTTGTTACTAGTGATAAATTTATAGTAGCTGAACATTCGCTATTAAAGGTCTTGGTATTGTAAATTACCTTAAGCCTTCAAGCCATCTTAGCTAGCCACAAATAAATGATGAAATACTCTTTAAGAGTCATGCTTCAAAACAGTTTTGTTTACATTTAGTTTATGTTGTTTTATTGTGATTATTTTTAAATATTAAATTGTTTTTCTATCATATTTTTAATTTTTCAGTGTCTAATGCAATCCATAAGCAAACATCGGTATAAATTGATTAAAATTGGATCAGTCGTCGTCGTTATTGGGTTTGTTATTCTTAAATTTTCTTTATTTTACTACTGTAATCATTACTCGTAAACCTCGTATTATTGCCAGTTTTTAATTCAATCTATTTCAGTAGACAAAACGAAGCAATGACAAAGATGTAAATTTTTGAATGATTTGTTCTCTAATCTAACCTTTTCCACTTTCAAGGTTTATTCAGTAACCTCGAGAATACAACATAAATTTACTTTGCGAAAACACTTAAAATAAATGTCATTATTCTATAATAAGTCTTGATTCATTCCTGATCTAATATACCTATTTAATTACTTTTATTCCCACAGGACTGGTCTATTATCATACCAAAAATTTGTAACTAAACCAGATTCTACTCAACCATTGCCGACATCCAACGATGATTATATTTACCTGTCTCCGGTTGTTGAGGGATACGATGTCGATGAAAGTGAGAAAAGATTACGAAAAAGCCTCAATTATCTGCGATTTGCTAAATCCCGTAACTTAAAGCTTCAGAATTTCTGTTTGAATAATCTTGCTAAAATGAAAAATTTGGAAGGTTGGTTTATTAAATCATGAACTGCGTTATAACTTTGACTACTTCGATTACAAAGAAATGATGTATTTTAATTTATTTTATAGATTATCATTGTCGTCGTATTGCTATGCTCTGTGACTTTCAAAGCAGTTGTAAATTGGCCAGAATCAAAGATGTTGATCTCAGATTATTTAGACCGCCATTGAATATTCATCTACGACGAGGTGATATTTTTGAAATTCTCAACGATTTGTACAAAGCTTTTCCAGACTCAGACTGTGCCAATTTCTTCGCTTTGATGGCATTTAGGACTAAAATAAGAATAAAGACAGTTGAATCGGCTTTGGAAGATGAATTAAGAGATAATTACCTTTCAAAACAAGGAATTAATCTTCTCTGTCTACAAGCTTTAATAAGATATGCCATGGTTAATGAAAAAACATGTCAGTTGATGATCGATAAGGGTTTGATGGCCTGCTTACTCAATTTAAGAGATAGTTTTATTGACGATTTTGAAATAAATGCAGCTATTGTTAAGCTATTGTCTCAATTGAGCCAACACAAATTTAGTCATAATCATTTTTTCTCAACTGGTTGGATTGGAATTCTTGCTGGTTGGTTAAAACCTGATGTTCCTCTTGAATTACGTCTACCAGCAGCTAAAATACTACATAATTTAGATAATGATAAAATCGTTCTTGGTAATCATCTTTACCTTCTTCATCCTACTTACTCTGACAAAGATTATGATTACGATGTTGTTTTCTTCCATGGATTGATGGGTGGCGTTTATCGAACCTGGAGACAATATTCTGGTAGTTGGACAGAAGGAAATCAAACTCGTTGTTGGCCACAAGATTGGCTTCCTTTAGATGTCCCTGATTTAAGGATAATTGCAATTGATTACCATTCATCTCTATTTGAAAGAAAAGCCAATTGTATACCTGAAGCCAGGTCCTTAAGAGACCGGGCAGAGCTTCTTATAAACGAATTACTCAAAGCTGGTTTAGGTAAAAGGCCAATTATCTTGATTGGACATTCAATGGGAGGTCTTCTCATTAAACAGATTTTAGTCAATTGTCATTCGAAAAATGATCCTGATCATTCTAAATTACTCGATGCTGTTAAAGGAATTGTTTTTTATAGTGTTCCTCACAGAGGCTCTGGAGCAACAAAATTATCACTCAATTTACAAAGAATTTTGATTCCATCTCAAGAAATCAAAGACCTTATAAAAGGTTTGTTATCGTTATCAAATTTATCTTCAATATGATGTTTCACCCTTTGAAAATATATCAAAATACAAGTATCATTGTCTAAACTCTCTAAAATTAATTTGTTTACCCTCTTTTTTTGGTTCCATACAGACTCACCAGTACTTACTGATCTTCATCAGAAGTTCATTTCTTTGTTATCAACCAAGAAAATTGATATAATCAGTTTTGGGGAGAAAGAACAAGTTCAAGTGAACATAAAAGGAGTCAAAGTGAATGCCCTGTTAGTCCCAACTGAATCATCTCATCTTGATGTTGGCGAATTTCACATTCTAAATACAAATCATTTTCTAACATGCAAGCCTTACGATCAATCATCACCATCTTACACAATAGTACGAGATTTCATTCAATCAATTATAGACAAAACATCCCCAAAAGCTGTCGACCCAATGAGTTTAACTGAAAGAATCATATCAAGTGAATCTTAGCAAGTAACTTAAGACTCAAACAACTTAAATACAACAAAATATTTCGACTTCAATAAATTAAATTATCAAAGGACTAAAATATAAATTGTCAATGTCAATTCTTATAACATGAATGGGGATGTAGCTCAGTGGTAGAGCATTCGACTGCAGATCGAGAGGTCCCTGGTTCAATCCCGGGCGTCCCCTGTCAATTAACTTTTTACATAATTGTTATCAAGTTTTTTATTCAATTGAATTTGCAATATTTTCCATCTCTTGATCATCCATTGTTGGATTAGATCGCAGCTTTTATGGAATGATTAAAACGTTTAACTATCATTAAAGAAATTTGTATTATTTTTTCTGGGATTGGTTTGAAGGATCGTTGGAAAGTTAATATCTTTAAATATATGGCTTGCAGTTTAAATTAATTAGCTTGTATAGCAATCATCATTTATTTATGAGTTATTTCATTATTAGCAGCTGATCTGGTTAAAACTCCTGATTCTGTAATCTATTGTAATAGTTGTTTTACAATGTAACATTTGTTTACTTGTACCATGACCACATTTTCAAAATGTATTCATTACTGGTTTATTTGGTGCTTTTAGATTCAGGGCAATCTTGCAGACAGGTTTCTGAATTATTTATTATTATTATTATTCAACATGGTTTATCACAGAAGCTGGCCAGAGCTATTAAATCAGAACAATCAAAATCTGTAAAAATATTAAGTAATGTCTATTTCCTTTTGCAACTCATTTTGTAGTTTAAATTAACTCTTTGGTTTTGCTGCTTCTAGTAAATTTTTGTCTCCGTGAAAATTAACCATGTTATCTTCATCATTCTTGATCATTTTGGTTTGCTTTTTGGCTGCAAGTAAGTATTAAATGATGTGAAAACAAAATCTTTCACCAGTAATTAGCTTTCAATGAAAACAATTTTGTAAAATTTTTCTTAGGCGAAGCAGTAGTTCTCTCTGGAATCCTGTTGAAGGCTTATTGTGAAATTTCTCAACATTTAAATCGACAAGGGCGAGATCCTATTAAAATCGGCAAGAATCTATTATCAACTACTGATCCAGTAGAGAATTACTTGTTCCAAGCTATTGCCAAAAGCTATGAATGTGCAGCAAAAGGATCAACTTACAATATCGTAGATTCAACCAATATGATGTTATTGATTGTTGACGTACCCGATTGGGCATCAGCAAATTCTTGTACTCCTGGACCAGCAATGGACTCTCTTCGGGTTGATAAAAATGTTTGTAACTTGATTGAGTTCCCCAATTTATTGGATACATTTGATGAAACTCAGGTGAAAGATTTTCTTAAAAATTTCCAAAACCAGGTCTCCACCGTATTACAAAACAAAGCAAGCAATTCAACATCTAGAGTATAACAAGAAAGCAAGAATCCAGTTTCAGTGTAATCTTTACAATAGAAGCATCGAGGTTTAAATAAATTTCAAGATGAAAAATCACCAATTCATGACTACTTTAATTAAGATCTCAATCCAAATTGTACACTGTAAAATACACTGTATTCACTACTTGAATCAAGATAATACAAAGGGCTGATTGAGGAGGAACTATCCCTCAAAATAGACTTGTGAATTGTAACCAAGGTAGAAACCGTAATATAAATTTAAGTTGCTTGTAAATTATAATTCAATTTTCCTTGGTTGGTGAACAGTGATTAAAATATCAAAACATTTTGTTAACAATTATCACAGAGTGTAGGAAAATAAAACAAGAGTATTATAAATGAATTATCAGGATTTTCAATAGAAGGATGACATGACAACTAATAATACATGTATTATTAGAATTGCTCAACAGAATTGATTGGTTCATTGTCTTACTGACAAATTGATGAGCTACACTGAGATCCAATGGAATCTAAATCACAGGATATTCCATCAACATGATCAATCTCAATTTGACAGGTTGACTGATTAATTTTTGATCTAAATCCTCCATAGCTAGAAAATGGAACCAGTAAAGATGAAAAAATGAGAACCAGGTGGGTACCAAAGTCAAGGTAATCGGGTGATTCGGGTAAAAAGTTGTTTCCTTCTTTGGCCAAAACAAGAGTTTGTAAAATAATCAATGGACGTAAAATAATCAGCCACATAAGATTAAAATATAAGCTCAAAAGAACTGGAAAATCACGTAAACAATAACAATTCGATGGATCTGTAGTCAGAAATAAACAGTAATGGAGGGAAAAGTAAGAGAAACAGAATCAATCATTTTATCCAATCAAATTCACGGTTGTGATGTTAAAGCGGTCATCTCAAAAATTAATATTAAATTGATAGAAACAGTTTCTCACACCAATTCCATATCAACCAGTTGATTAATTTTAACCTAACGAATTAAATTAGTTTAACCCAGCTTTAGATGAGATGATGGTTGATATAATCTTTTTTCATCCATAAAGAGACATCAAAATGCATGATTAATATGATGGAATGATGTTAAGTAACCCGAAATTAACAATTGGCCTCAATACTGGTGATCAACATAGCGTGTTATTATTATCATGTTATAACAATTTTGAAACATTTATCAATTTGTAGTTGTAAAGAAATAATAAATAAAATTTGATTTGATTGAAATGCATATTGAAGGGCAATCATTCGGTAATATTAATAGACTTTGATGACAAGCAGCAAATAGTTGATTAGATTAACATTGAACTTACCAGACTTAGATTGATTTTCTTTGAGCGCTTCAGCAACAGATGATATAAATACGATTGTTGTTAATGGAATGACAATTACCAGGTAATGCCAAGAAAGTTGAGCTACAACCGGTGATGCTAATCGTGTTATGCAAAGCATGAAACCAATATGATTGGAGTGAGAGGCACCATTAACAGCCAAATGATTAGGTGTATAAAGAAGTCGATCAGCATATTGATGAGACGATTTCTCTGGACTGATCAAATCAATTAGCGTTATATACAATCCTTGCGGTACAACCCAACCAGCAACCAGAGCCAGGCCCAAGAGACGAGCCCTTTGAACAGGGAAAACATCATATAATTTGAGAATTGACAGGATGGTTAGCATTAGTGTTGTTACATGGTTGATGATTGAGTTTTGGATGATGCAGTGTTCACGAGAAGACAGGAATGGCCAAGTACCATTGAAAGTGGACCAGATCAAGTATGGAAACCAGGTTGTTAAATAAGTAATGTTAGAGACGATAATAAGACCAGTGACTACCCGATGAACACAAAAATCCGAGAGCCAATCTGATCTAGGTCCAAATATCAATTTAATGAGACTAACCAGGTTAACCAGGAGGACACCAAAGATCAACAGTAACCGTATATATGAGGTAATGTTGACAAGAAGCTCGAAATCTTGTTTCATTCGAGACATTCTTTTCCTTGACACCGTTTATTGTTCCATCACCAATTAAACCAATTGTAAATTATTGAATAGATCCGATCAATCCTTTGATTTGCCATCTAGATGAATACAGTAACGGGAAAACATAAACCATAATGACACGGAGTAATCTGTGTAAGGCCTTCACTGATTTAAACCTTTCAGCTTACAAGCAAACAATCTTTCAAAATGATTAGAAAAGCTGATCACAATTTACTCATTTTGACCGATGAATTTATCATTTAATGATCACAAAAATAAATATATTGCAAGTACAATTAGACTATTGTTAAAATTGATTCAAGACTAAGGTTAAAAAGGTTTGAGTTAAATTTTGGGTTAAAGTTAACCTTAAAGAAGCAAGTTGGAAACTGTTAAAATAAATAAGATGGTTAAGGGAATGGCTTAAATTGTAATGATGAGTTAATGCTGAAGATACTGGTAAAGATGAAGATGAAGATGGTGTTTATTTGATGATCTCAATCCTTAGTTTAAGTTTTACTTTACCACGCCAACCCATTACCCAGTTTTACCTTAATCAAGTAACCACGAGTCTTAACTCTCAACAAGTTGACTTGATCAGTTAGCCCATTTACCTGTCCCAACCACTATTATCATCATTTCCTTTTTCTTGTGAATCATAAACTCACTTGATGTGCTTATTATCATCCAAAAAACTGATGACCAACATGAACAAGAATCAACAATAGCAATGATAACAAAATGTAAACACTATCAATTTTTTGTCTTCTGTTTTCCATCCATGCTTTCATGACCATCTTCCCAATCATCATTTCAACCTTGCATCATTTTTATCTGCCATTGAACCGGTTTCTTACCCTTGACCCATCAAATAATTGAATTTGATGGGCTAATGTAACTAAAGTTATCATTAAATTATGCCAAACAAAAAGTGTATCTTCATCTTTTCAGGCTAAACTGGCTTCAGATAAATTAGCCTCCATCGTCCGCCTAAAAAACGGGTTCAACATTAACCTTATTCTTACCCAGTTGACCCTTTTAATTTGGTTTCATTTACATGTCTTACTTTAATTGTGAACAAATCACAATAAACAAATAGCAAAAGTAACAAAAGTAACCAAACATTGAACAGGTTGAAACATTTGATATTAAAACCTGTAATTTACTAATTTCTAATCAAAGACACAATTGATAAAATGTTAACACTGATGCACACAATTAATATCAATAACTGTCTGATGTAAAGCCATTGAATAGCAAAGACTTATGAACATTTCTTGATGAATCTAATCTTCAATTTTATTCTCAACTTTCACTGAATCTGACAATTAGTTAATAATTTAACCAAAAGATTGATCGTGTTTTAATTTGGGTTGAAAAATGGTTGATATTGAACCTGAAATAATGGTTAATTGAATGAATAGGGTTCACCTTTTGTTCATTAATAATTGATTGAAACGAGAAAAGTAATGAATCCAATATTTTATAGTTGACTTTATTTTGATTATTGAAAATCGTTGAAGATTGTACCGACAATTAGCTTTCGTAGAAGAGGTAAGAAATTGAAGTAAAATTTAATCATCGCTATGAATACTTACCTTTCTTAGGTAAATTTCCATAGCAACTGCGACCTTCTTCACCCACTCTAACCATTATTATCATCATTGTTATTTTGCTTATGATTTACTCGATTACTCTGTTATTGTTACATTAACTTGATTTACCATTTTGGGTCTCTACATTGGTCTTGACACAAGTCAAACAGTTTCCAATTTAACTCATCAATTGTTTGGCTAATTTATATTTAATCAAATTCACTGGTTTCCCATTCTGGCTTCCTTAATTTAATTGTTGTTCACCTCGTTTTTAATCACTTGTTTAAATATGACACAAGATGAGGGTAAAATTAACTTTGCCGCTGTTGAAGGTAAGTTGATTTATACATTCAAACATTAAACACATTTCAATGTTTTCCTCTTTTATACACTTGTTGGTAATTAACCTTCCTGATTGCTGATTATCATTTAAATAGCTTATTATACACAATGTGCGCTCTTAATTTACTTCTAATGAGCAAATTAAATTAAAGTCAAACCTAAAGAGCAATCAAAATAATTAAAACAGTTTTGTTTCTGGTTACTTTTTTAACCCATTGCTCGCTTCACATTTTAACCAACAATCCCTTTGAATAACCATAGCAAATAGACAATTTAATGCTAATTATAAAATTTAGTTCAATGAAAATGGAAAATTTGTTTTCATTTGAAATTGTTTTACAAAAATTAGCCAGAATTTTGATCAACTTTTCATCTTGATGTGAATGTCACCTTAAATCCTAATTCAGAGCTGATCAAAATTGAAATGACTTCAGGGTTTTGACTGACTAACTTGTAACCAACTTGAATTTTGTTAGTTGTAATATTGTAAAGTAAAGGTTGCTAAAGGTAACAATTTCAAAGTTAGTCGGTAAATTTGGGGCTAAAATTGGTATTTCTGGATGAAATGGGTAATTAGCATTTTCCAGTTTTTGAATTTGCAATTTGAAAATCTGGTTGCATTATTTATAAGTCAAGGTAACGAGTTGATATTTTAAATGAATAAATATAGCAATAAATGAAAAAAGTTCAAGATATCATTGTTTCCCAATGGGTGGATGTGATAAAGTATAGATGAACACGCACAATTGATTACCATTTTTCGTGTATTTGAATCAGCCAATTTCATTAGCATCAAATGTTAACCCGATCCTAGTCTGTATTTAATCAATGACAATTGGATCCAGGTTTTTATTTGATTTCCTAACAAAAGTCAGTCAATTGATCGTTCAATAATGATTTTAACTTTAGTTTAAAAGTTTCCATTTTCTCGTCTATTCACTCTTTGCACGTTCATCATCAATTTATCCAATTGTTTTCTTGATAGTTAACGTCTAACTTGAATAAATAAAACCATGCTAATTACAAATCAATAGCAACTTTCCAATAACTAGATCCACCTTCAATAGGGAAAAAAAGAGTAAACATTAGTAAATAAAAGTTAATAACAATAGATTGGAAGACAAATGAACAATAATAACACTTTTCATGAAAAAAATTGATACTTACATAACATTTACATAACCATAAAAGTACAAATGTAAATACGATTTGATATTAATAGCAGCAATCAAGCTAATAGGGATTTTCCTGTTGATAAACTTCCAGTCAACCAGTCATTTATACGATCAGATTTGAATCTTAGGACCATCTAGTTATGGACTTAATTTCACCATTTTTCAATCATATCATTGAATTAGCAACCATTTGTTGAATCTGAATTTACAAATGGCATAAAACAAGAATTCATCTGGATAATCAACTGTTGACTTGAATTAATCATTCCCAGGAATGATTCTGTTTTCAAATCTTAAGTCAGGAAAATTATAAAATTGTTTTTGGAACCAGCATTGGTTAGTGGCCAATGAATGAGACTATTATCAATCCATTATTGAGACTTGTCGTTACATTTACTTGTATGTTTGAGATGTTTGTTTAATCGATTGTTTATGATTTACTCCGACAGAATCTGGTGGGTCGAGTCAAAATTTTTTCGGCTTTGTTCTGACAGGAATGTCCATTGCACTATTTCTGTTGACTTTCCCACTTTCCTTATTTGTTACTCTCAAAGTTGTCCAAGAATATGAACGAGCTGTTATCTTCCGATTGGGACGATTGTTACACGGCGGTGCCAAGGGCCCAGGAATATTTTTCATCTTACCCTGTATTGAAAATTATACCAAAGTTGATTTGAGAACATTGACATTTGATGTACCACCGCAAGAGGTTTTGACCAAGGATTCAGTTACCGTTTCAGTTGATGCAGTTGTTTACTATAGAGTACAAAATGCTACTGTTTCAGTGGCTAATGTTGAAAATGCTCACCATTCAACTCGATTACTTGCTCAAACAACATTGAGAAACATGCTTGGAACACATAATCTTCATGAAATACTTTCAGATCGAGAATCAATATCAAGTTCAATGCAGGTTAGACTGGATTCTTTTCCCTCCAGCTGTCGATCAATTAACGCTTTTCAATCATTGATTTTCTGTTCTTTTTTCACTTTCAGCAATATTTGGACAATGTAACTGATTTTTGGGGAATCAAAGTAGAAAGGGTTGAAATGTAAGTCTTCCACTTGGCCTGTAATTGACCTTTCATAATTCAGCACATCCTTAGCCATTATAAACATAAACACTAATGACTGCTTATTATCTTCCCTCCAATTCAACGTTAATCATTCCAACCAACAGTAAAGATGTTCGCTTGCCTGTTCAACTTCAACGAGCCATGGCAGCTGAAGCTGAAGCTGCCAGAGAGGCAAGAGCTAAGGTAAGTAAAACCCCAATCACAGCCAAAAATTCATCATAAGTTCAACTCCAATCTAAAAATGAGAAGAAACTTAGACATTATATAAAATTACATAAAAATACTAGCTTTTTAAAAAACAATTTCTTAATCAAGACACTTACCAGGTTAAAAGGAAGGTAACAATTAGTAAAAAAGTGGTCAGATTTAAATAATTTCACTCATAATAATCAACTTTACTTAAATAGTGATCATGTTTATTAGATTAGTTATGCATGTTATTAGAAGTAGGATTTGTGTATTAACTTGTTGATAGATGTCTCTTCAAGTCTAGTATTGAACGTACATGTAACTTATTTGCAAGAATTGTTTATTTTTAATTTTTTTATATTTGTTAGTGTTTAGTTAATTGTGGTCAGACGTAACATCCCATCATGTAGATTAGTAGATTCATGATTGAACAGTAGATTTGTCATTTGTAACTGTATATTGTCCATTGTTTATACAATTTTTGCGTCAATGTGATTAATGATTGAACCATTTAACCAGTCAATGTACATTGTGAATGCTTGATATCATGTTTTGATGTTTGTTTGATTCTAGGTGATTGCCGCTGAAGGTGAACATCGTGCATCCAGAGCACTTAAGGAAGCAGCGGAAATTATTACCCAAAGTCCAGCAGCTCTTCAACTTCGTTATTTGCAAACATTGAATACAATTTCGGCGGAAAAAAATTCAACCATTGTTTTCCCTGTTCCTATCGATATGTTGTCCTACCTATCAAAGCAAAAAAATTTACCTACAACCAATTAGCTATACACAGTTAGTGAATCATAAACAATAGACTAAACCTGATCACCATCATGGTAACCAAGTAAAAATTCAACTAATCAAAGTGTTTACAAACATCAATAAATAAAAACAAAGCGTTAAAAATATCAATAACACAATAATACATTTATAATGTGAACGTAAAGAATCAAAAGATGGCCAAGATGAAGTGAATTATTGATTACATCTTTACATATCCATAACAATAAATCACAGCACAATTATTTTAAACTACTCAAGTTGAAGTGTAACAAGTTTATAAATTTTTTTCAGACCTTTTACCAGAAACTAATTCATTGTTTTTTTCAACTCAACAATCCAACATTACCTTTCAATGTTTTCAGTTTGTTTTATCACTTCCAATTACATGTGGCACCACTAATCAAACAATTCCTTATAATTTTACAATTTGCACGATGATTTTCATTTAATTGTTGCTTGTATTTTACTTGAATGCTATTGTCTGTTAAATATACATGTAAACCTGAATACAAGATTAACACAGTAATTTGATTTCAGTTCATTAGGTTGAGGTGAAAATTTTTCCGATCAATAAAATTTCAATGCTGTTTCCAATCACTGTATATTTTAAAATGATTGGAGATAATTGGAAAATGTCCATTCAATAACGATTAAAAAGATTGACTATAAAATTAAAATATTTTGGTTATCAGCCAATTATTAATAATTTTGAGTATTTCTGAATATTTGTACTTTAGCCTCAAGTTGACCAAATGTTTGTTTTAAAAGCTGAAACTCATTTCATTTTGTTGTAAATTTATCAGGTAATTGCCGCAGAAGGTGAACAAAAGGCATCTCGGGCACTTCGAGATGCCGGTAACATGCTTTCCTCAACCAAATCAGCTTTGCAACTGCGATACCTTCAAACACTTGCCTCAATATCGACTGAAAAAAATTCAACTATAGTTTTCCCGGTACCGATTGATTTTACATTGGGATCCATTGATAGTCACAATCAACACCAATAAATTTCATTACCAGACGGATTTACCATTCTGCTTAATGGCCAATCAAGTTTCCGTCTTTTCACAAAAAGCCATGTTCATGTAAATATTGCAGGCTAAATGGCCGCCATCGAGTTCAACTGGAAGACTATGTAATGTGTAAAGAAGCAACAAATATACAAACCACAATTAAATTTGTCCAATTGTTACACTTAGCAGATAAAATTCCGATAGGATAGCTGTAATTTTTAATATGTTACTAAATAAATATGTTTATTGTTATTATTGGTCGTTCAAAACGACAGATCCAATTATTGTAGTGAATAGCGTTTTGAAAATATGATCGGTATTATTGTTACCGATAGTAGAAGTGAATCAGACTCTCGTATACTCTAACTGGCAATCATAGTAGAAGGATAAAGCTACTAATCAAAATGATTTACCTTGACCATTATGAAAGCGGTGACTTGTTCAGGGTTTAGTTACTTTATGGGAAACTTACCCGATCTTCATTAGTCAAGTTTGATACTCATAAAGTGTTACAGATTGATCATGATTACATTTTGATATGGTGTTGAGCAATTGCTATTATCTTAATTGTAACATTTATTTTCTATTATATTGCCAGCTAGCTTTAGTTTCAATTACTTTGTTTTCTTCGATTGGTTTAAAGAATGGAATCCATCCGGAATGAAGATTTTATTCATAGAGCTGTTAAGCCCAAACGAGGTAGCTTTCTCTTACAATCATTGGCAGCAATCAGTCCATTGACAAAATTCACACCAAAACAAAATTAGTTACATCAATTAATGACCTTTGTTGGGGGTTTCCTCCAGATTTTAAACCGGCACTTCGATCTTGACAGCCTTAACGCCATTTAACGGAAACACTTGCACATTATGATTGGCTTGGTAAAGATTTCCTATTTATGATCATCTGTAAAATATACCACTTTTCAACTTTGAGCCGTTGTCCAAAAACGCCGGACTTTCAGGGGATTTCCTCAGTATATTAAAAAATTCACATTTTTTGAGTCAATCGTTGTAATAAACAAAAACTAGGAAAAAATACGCTCTTATTGTACTTCAAAATGCCAAAAGATGGAGTCAAAGGTCTTGAAGACATTTATTTCAAAAATTAATTGACTCTTTGACTGTCATCTATCGTAAGAAAATTAAAATATCTTAATAAGCAAACTTTTTGACTTAAGTTAAAATATTTAACATTTTCTTATTGCGTTCAAAGTTCTGATTCAAGTAAATTGTTTATTGACGTTCTTGATAAGTTTAATTATTCTCACTTAAAAATTCAATCTCATGATAGTTACATGTTTAAATTGTACACACTTTTAAGCTATTGGCTCAACACATATAAATCTAACCACTTGGTTTGTATCTGTAATATCAGTAATTAACGTGAGAAAAAATAAAGTGTTTCTTTAGTCATAACTACGCAATAAGATATGGCAAATTTTTCAAGAAAATTAATCTTTTTTAATGCCATAATTAATGATTTTGAATTTAATGGTCGGAAAATGCCGAAAATCTATTAATAATCTTCCAGTCGATTTACTCATATTTAATTTGTTATGTCTTGATTATTACTAGTGTTATGGTACCATTGTCTTTGTGCTTGCATCTTTATTTGAACAAAAAATGTTTGAAACCTGTAATCAATATCATTCGGTTGAATAGTTTAATAATTAACCTATTTTGTTTAGGTCTTAATTGACCTCTACTATACCGTGAAGGTATATGTGATTTGCGCATAATTGAATCAAGTAATTTACTGTGACAATCTATCTGATAAAGTCAACACTCTTTTATGGTTTACTTTCCAATTGTTTCTCTTATTTTGTAATTTATTTTAACGGCTTTTCTTCAACTTGTTTACAGATCTTTTGGACATCGCTTTTGGGACATCTTCTCATCGATAATCATGAACAAGGTTAGTAATTAAACCTAATTTAATTAAATCAATAAACTGTCCATCGATATTCGCCTTAATAACAATTGTTGAGTAACAATTTGTAGTATAGTCTTATTCAACATCTGTAAACCGTTTATAACCTTATGCATCATCCACCTATCCATGCTTTCCACATTTCTTTATAAAAAACATTAGAAATTTTTTTTCCTCTTTTAACATTATCTTTAACCATCAATTCAATCAACTTTACCAAATACCATGTTTATAACCAATTTATTTCCCATCTGATTTCTTGATCTTCCGATTACTTCTGTCTTTAAAACTACAGTAATCATTATTTTTATCAAGTGCTTTTTTTATTTCATTTTAATAGTCAACTTGAGCAAGAGAAGCAGCCAAAGGAGGAGGAAGTAGGCATCAATATAAATCGTGATTAAGGGACAAGAAAACCACTTGAAGGTAATCATCATCGACTTGGAATAAAAGGAGGACTCATTGATAAGACAATCAGGCTTGAATGATGAGAGAACAGAAAGCAAATATTCTTAGGATCAACCAAGGATGATGATGAGTATTAAAGAGGACGAGAACGACACCAACGATGAAGAAGGAGGAGAACTAAGGAGAAGAAGAAAGTGAGGGCTACATTGAGCATCCTATTTTCTTGAGTACAATTATCCATCAACAGTATTATACACATGAAATGAACGGAAAGAAATAGTGTGAAATATATCTGGAAGAAAGTGAAAAGTGGGAAAAAGAAGAATTAAGAGAGTGAGAGTAACCTTAATCGACAAGGTTTTCCTGTCAAAACAACTGTTGATTCAAAACCTCTTTTTCAATTATCCATTATGTATCTTTTGATTCTAAGATTAGTTCTTATGGTTGACAGTTAGTTTAACAAGTCAACGTAATTTAGTTAACGCCAAATATTTTTCTTTGTGTCTTATCCTTGCTTCTCTTTTTTTCAATCTTTCTTTATATGTCTATTCACCTTCAATCAATCAAGTTATGGCAAATAGTGATCAAAATTGTGAACATTCAAAGGAACATCACCATCAACAGCAGCAGCAGCAGCAACAACAACAGACATGTAACCATCTAGCATTGGTACAAAGTGATTGTCTTCAGAACGATGCTCATGGTGCTAAAGTTGAAACAGTTGATGAAGGAGATCAATGTAAACCAGACCAGCAGCAATCAACATCACACCATCCTACAAATACTAGCTCAAAGGTTGTTGTTTTCAAATCCCATTTTCCAGCACTTGAAAATAATAAGACTATTGATTTGGATAACAGTGATTGTGGAGTGAAGAGAAGTGTTGAAAAAGATGATTCCATAAATTGTGCCATTGTTGGAGCCTATCATGTGACTAGAACAATTAGACTAGGTAGTGCAGATGATTCCTTTATTTATGATCAAAACAAGTCCACAGTCTATGATTACCTGGCAAGCTCTTTCAATTCAACGCAAGGTCCTATTGTCAGATCTAATTCATTCACACACCAAGATGTTGGACGTCATCGTAAAAATATTCAAGCTTCATTTGCTTCAGGATTGGTTACCAATGAAGAAGATGAAGACTTATTACCGTTCCAAGGAGCCCGCCGATTGTCCAAATCATTACCTGAATTAAACCAATTGCGTCTTTTTCCTCATTTTGTGGAAGCTGCTAATCAATACAATGTTATTTTTGAATCAGACCAAGATGAAGACGATGAAGACAATATAAGCTCATGTATTGCCACTGACACTGAATATCAACCAGCTTGGGCCAATAAATCTGATTTTTTCTTGAGTGTTTTAGGATTCTCATTGGCAATCAACACTTTTTGGCGATTACCATACTTTGCTTACCTCAACGAAGGAGGTTTGTTTTGTAACTTAAATCCGCTATCATCAATATATGTCTCAATCAGTATCATGCAAATATTTAGTTTTCCTTTTATAGCAGACAATCATCAACAATTTCACAATAATTATAAGTCATCATTGATTCTGCTGTTATTTTAATGATATTTATATTAATTATGGTTTATCTCTCTTCATTCCTTTAGGTTCTTTCCTTATGGCTTATACTATTTTAATGCTATCTATTGGACTACCATTACTCTGTATGGAATATGCCATTGGCCAACTTACCCACCGTAATCTAATCGTATTTGCCCATCTTTGCCCATTAACCAAAGGTTCGACAAACAACATTTCAGCTTGAACAATCCAACTTTCGGTTCAACATTGAAAAAACCTTTTTCAATTATAGTAATTTTGAGATTTGAAATTTGATTTAACTGATAAAAATGAACTGACTTTCGTTCAAAATTCTTGATTATTTCATCGAATCAATCAAAGAACATCTAATTACAAGTTATAGCAATCATTTAAATAGATAATATGCCACAGCCATTTGATCGTCATTGTAATGTTGTCAACCCAAACTTATTTCTCAAAGCTATATATTGTTGATTATTTTCCTCGTAATTACCCTTTCCTAATTGATTCGATATGTTTGTCGTCAAACATTTATAATATACATTTAACATGTTATATTATTGTTGTTTAGAGTGTAATTTATTATATTATTTAAAAGTTATTACCAAAGCAATTTTAACTTTTAACTTCAATTGATAACCAAGGTTAACGTTGAACCTGTAATTGCATTGGATTGTTCTTGTGAAAAGCTCAATTGTCTTTTTAATTGTAAAAAAATATTAGACGAAAAAACCTTGAGCTGAAAAGTAGAAGTTACTTTTTTTCGTTTTTTATATAACATCATGAAGAATAACAATATTTTAAATCAAAAAATTTATAACTTTTTTTTCTGTATTCTGAACCAGGAATCGTCATTTCTTTAGCTTTAACGACAAGTATTTTAATTCCACTTTATAGCACAATTAATACTTGGTCAATTTTATACTTTTTCAAATCCTTTCACCAAACACCTCCTTGGACTCGATGTAATAACAAATGGAATGTCGAACCTTGCCAACTCAATGATGGACCCTTATTCACTCCGACCACTAATATTGAAAACACTCGAACCATGTTAAACAGTTCACACTTGGCCACTTCTGGAAATTTACTCCAATCTGAACATTCTAAAATGACTGATACATTCAATTTAACACATGATCATGGAGCAATCAATGTCTCCAATCAGGCAACTATGAATGAGTCTTCAGTCATTCATACAATCAATTTGTCCATTTCAATAACACCATCATCTTCCTTGTCATCTTCACCAATTTCATCACAATATGCATCACAACAATTCTTTGAGTAAATATCAACTACAACTTACTACCGATATCTTAACAGTAAACACTTGTAACTATTTGATAATTTTCCTTCTTTTGTTATCTTTTTTCTCACCTCAACAGTAATCGTTTGTTGAATTTTGATTTCAATGCATCTTTTCTTGGAATGATTCGTTGGGATTTCGCAATTACCCTGTTTTTCATTTGGTTTATCGTATTTATTACACTCCGTAAACCTTATATTTTCTCATCCAATCCAACATTTTGCTTAGCAATTGTTCCAACAACAGTATTTGGTGTACTTTTTTTCAAGTCAATCTTTTTACCAGGCTCACAAAAAGGTTTAATATACTTTTTTAAACCAACTTGGGAAGGTATCAGTCAGCCTGCTGTAAGTTAATTTCTCTAAATTGTGTGATTAAATTATTAAAATCTATTACTTACTTTACAGATTTGGTTGTATGCGACAGGCTTTACCATCCATTCTCTAGGTAACAACACAAAAAGAGGGTTTTGATGAAAAGTGAACTGTTTAAACGCTGCTCTTCCGAGGCATTTTCATGAAGTTTCAAGATTTATTTACTCGTAATTCCATGATTTAATGTGATTAACATTTAAATGTTCATTACTTCTTCTATGTGAATTTCCCTTCCCATGATTAACAGATATGACGAAAAATCTTGTTAAATGTAAATTACAATCATTGCAATTGAACCAAACAGATTTAAAGCATTTGTTCATAAACTTTCCTTTAGCTTAATTTAAACTCTAATTTGTTGCTTTCTGTCATAGCTTGTTACAATAATTTATTCAATAACAATTACTAATTTTCATCTCCTAACTAATTTTTCACTTCTATTAGGAAGCATTACTGGACTAAGCCTAGGAATGGCTAAATACCACCGAGATCGCAATAACCTGATGAGAGATTCTATTCTTGCCTGCTTTATGAACTTTTTGATCGTTTATTTCGTTGGGAGTATCTATTTTTCAACTATCGGCCATTTAGCTTATAAACGTCAGGTTGATATAACTCAAGTTATTTCCAAAGGTAAGAAAATTTCATCGATTTATAAACATTTTCTAATTCTTATTTATTTCTTCAGAACCAGGTTTGGGTTTCGTTGTGATGTCTGAACTTTTATCCTTAATGCCAATGCGAACTTTATGGTCATGCTGTTTTTTCTTCTTAATGTTTTGCCTTGGAATGGACTATCAGGTAAATTTTTTTGTTTTTTAAATTTTCATGACAATTTTCAAATTTTAATTTTTTTCTTCGTTTTCAATAGATTGCAACAGTTTCCACCATAGTTGATTGTATCAAAGACTTTTGGAGATCTCGTTTTCAAACTAAAATTTCTCATCAATTTGTCGTTTTTATGGTTTCTGTGGTTTTTTTCTGCTTGAGTCTACTTTTTTTAACCCAAGTAAGTTGTCTGTGAGTGACTGACTTATTCAACACGCTCAAGCTCATATCGATTATTGTTTTCACAGAAAGGGATTGTTTTCGTTCGTGTTACTGAGCATTTTATCACAGTTATCCTGACTACTATTTTGGCTTTATTAGAAGTTCTACTTGTTAGCAATTTCTATGGTAAGTATTTTATTGTATTCCATTACATATCATAACATGTTTTAATTATTGGATATCATTTACATTTTTAGGTGCAAAAAATATGGTTAATGCGATAAGACTGATTACTTATAAAGCTCCTGGGTTTTATTTTTCATTTTGTTGGAAGTTTCTGACTCCTTGTGCTTTGATGGTTGGTTTATTTTTCAAACGATTTTGTTACAATTAACCTTGAATTTTCAATCTCATTATTTTTCAGATCATTTTGGTTTGTAATTTGTATTATTTTGAAGAAGTTGGCTTTCGTGGGTCCAAAGATTTATTCATGGTTGATATTTTGGGTCCTTTAATTACAATGGTTATCTTAATTCCCATTCCATTGCTTGCTTTCCATGAATTGAGACGCAAGGAGGCAGATTCGTCTGGATTTTTAAAGGTTAGTCTACTTAACTGGCATTTATTTTACAATTTCTTGTAATACTCAATTTCATTTTTTATTAATTTTTATTAGCGTCTTAATCTGGCTTTTCAACCTACTAACGATCCAATAAGTGAAATTAAACGTGAGAATGTTGGCAACAAGCGACAAAATTCAGATGATTCTAACTCGAGAGGAAATTTATCCTGTGATATTAATCCAGTTATAAGCTATCCATTACTTCACAGTTTGAATCGTGAAACAACTGTTTGAAAGGCCAAACAGTATTAAACAATCAAGTATCAAACTACAAAAAAAATCTTGTAAACAAAATCAACTAGTCTTTCAATTCAGCATAAACAAATCATTTTGTAAAAGTTCATGATCATCTCCAAAAAAATAAATTGTTATTTCGAACCAATAAACACAATAATTAATGTGGATACTTTTTATGATTGAAAATCATTACTTTGGAATCTTTTTTAATTTGTAAAAGGTAATCGATGATTTAGTCCAACTAGCTATTTTCTCTTCGATCAAACTAGCTAAATCTCTAACCCTAATGAATTAAACACTTCTAATCTTTAACTAAACAAAAAAGAAGAAAAAAGAAAAAGATTTGAATACTAAAAAAACCGCCAGTTACTGCGATTGAGCGATTCTTTCAGCTTAGCTGAGACAGCAAACAGCTGACGGAGAAAGAAGTGAGCTTGTTCTTCCCTTTAAAGTTCTTGGTTAATTTTGTTTATTTTTAATTGCTCTAGGAGTGAATTTGTTTATTGTAGCTTCTAATTAGTTTTGTACATCCCCTTTCCTGGCAGGATTGAAACCATGTCTTGGCTCAAATTTCCATCAGTCAAATCATCTGTGGTTATTGATACTTCAATACCTCTGCAAAGTCTTCTAGATGATCCTAAATACAATAAAACGATTCTCAACCATCCTATGAATCAGACTCTACAAATAATGATACCACACAATCCAAATAAACCAAAGGACCCTTCAGAAAGAGTTGGACCTAGAATGGAGCCAATCTCGTATCCTATTTTGAGTAAAATCAATTCTGGATTTGGACTAGGAACTAAGGATGATCCGTATAACTATTTCATTGTCAAAAACATACCTGTACACCTTTTAATTCATCCTGTGCTTATTGAATACTATGTGAAAAAAGGTTATCTCTATGCTCTTTCAATCGACACTCAAGTTCATCTTGATGATTGTGTTGCACTTTCATCAAAAACTTTAACTCTCTCACTCACTGAATCCACTTATCGGCGCCTTAATTTGACTGGTACAAAATCTCTCTTGGTTAGAAACAAGAAAATTATGCAAAAATATATCGTGAATATCAAGTTGTCATATGCTCAAAATCTGGAAGCTGAAAAGCGTAATTATCAGCGAACATTTCGATATCTTCGAAACTGTAATTTGAAATTTGATTTGCTGATGAAATGGGAACCAAATCCACAAGCCACTAAAAATCTTTCTCCATCTTCATTATTAAAATTTTTTGAACATTTAAAATGTACGCCAGGAATGAGAGGAGGCTATTTACTATGCGAGATTGAAGTTAATCAAATTCATCTTCATCTATGTCAACCATCTATCAAAATATTTGACCGCTCAAATATTCAAGCTCCTAAAGATCTGGTTCAGTTTCAAGAACCAATGGCCGATGAATCTGCAATAAAAGATGATACTCATTTAGACGAAGTAAATGAAATGTCTACTAAGTCAAAGAAACAATCTCCTGAGGATTGTCCAGTTTTAGATACAATTGATTGGATTGGAAGTATATTTACTGGAGTTGAAATGACCCAAAGTCTAGTTGATCCTGAAATCACTTCCTTCTATCTACCTGAAAGTGATACTAGCTTACTTAAACAATTACTGTGCATTCAAATGAGTGGTTTTTTTACACCGAACGATGTTCGTAATTTATTACTCGAACTAGCCAAACTAGTAAAGACTAACGACCCTGATGAGGTTCCATTTGTTTCGCTAATAGTACATGGATTTGATCATTGTTGCGTCTCATGGGATGAAAAGTGCAATGAACATGGAGCCAAGATTAATGGGGAAAATCATTATGGAATCGTCCTTAGACAATGTGATAACAATCTTATTTGGCGAATCGCTGAAGAATACGACTTTGGTATAGAAAAGCTTTGATTCAACGTATCTTCTAAGCTGCAATTTCCATTCAATACTTTTGTATCTTTACTTCATTATGCTGCATTTCCCATCATTTTGACTACAATACAATTTGACATTGCTGCATAATCATATGCAATAGTATAATCGATAATAACTTTTCTACTAATCGTAAAATTGATTGTTTTCTACTTTTAATAAATTATTTGCTTTACGAGTCTTTTATTATCTCTGAACTTCATTCATATTTTATTTATCATCTCCATTAAGAGTGTGAATTCATGTAACTGCAAACAAAATAATTGAACATAAGTATTTAATTTGATATTTTTCTCATAAAATTGAATAAAAGTATAAAATGATTTAAATTAGAGTTGTCGGACAATATTATTTTATATGAATAAATTGATGCAGTGAATTTACAAAACTGCTCCTAAAAAAATTTGTGAATTTTAGTTGTGTATCAAACATTTATAGCTCGATAAATACCAACAAACAGCTATTTACACTTATTCAGATTATCTGATATTACTTTACATTTCAAACCGGCTTCATTGCTCGATTCAAAATAAAGTGTTCATTATTAAACAGTTTACTTAGTCTTTTATAATTTAAACTTTGTCTTTTTGATTTTGGTTTGACATTGTCTTTTAAAGTTGTTTAATGAATATCAATCAATTACCTGACGACTGCTTATTATATATTTTCCACCATTTCAATAGCTTTGAGATTCTTTTGGATTGTTCTGCAGGTAAATATAGATGTCATCTGAATTGAAAGCTTGTCAGTATAAAATTGTACGTTGAAACCCTTACTAATTGGTTTTATCTATCAACAGTCTGTGAAAGATGGAGACATTTGGTTTTCGAAAGATTAAAAAACGTCAAATACTTGTCGAGTGAGTTTATATTTTAATGTGGCCGCAATATTATAAACCAATAAAGATGATACAGTAATAAACGCCTATATTTTCAATAAAGATTCCAGGGATGGTTATCCAGCCAGTACGGTATACTTTGACACTGACGACTCAGTAGAGCGAACTAACATACCAAAATGGTTTCCTAAACTCAAGGTTTGTTTATTACCCGAGGAACAATGTAAATCAAAAAATTGGTTTTCATGAATTTATTTTTGAAGATTTATGCTTTGCGTGAAGGCTTTGATGTGGATGTTATTTCTAATTTGGCTGTCAAAGGATTACAATTGGATTTATTCTTTACTGATGTGGATGACATCACATTGGAGTTTCCATCCCTTGAAATGGTAGCAATTCAAAAATTTCATAGCTTTTTTGCAAATGATGTACAAGGACCAATGCTGAAGCAATTATTCATCCACTGCAGTTTTTCAAAGTTCACCCGTTATGCTAAATATTTTCCGAACTTGGAGCGACTTCATATTGAAAACTTTGTTGGTATGTATAATATTTTCTTGTTTATTTGTTTCTTTATCTTCATCATTAAGATATATTTGTATCTTCTTGTTAATGAAACAGGCATCCCTCGAGAAGACACATTTTATTCTGGACCTGTTCTTGAGAAGATAGAGATTTTAGAAAGCTGTAGTCACACACAACTGGAACCATGTGAATATTATGGTTTCAGCCTTGCAGACCGTTGTCCTGCTTTGAAAAGTGCTTATCATTATATTCAAACTGGTCATGAATTTTTCGTCAACAGTGGCATTAAAAATCTTCTCTTAGAAGATTTAGTTCTTCAATTTGTTAGTATTTCTTTTAAAAATTTAAAACTCAGATTTTATTACATGATTTCACGTTCCTATCCTCAACATTGCAGGACGATGTTTACGAAGCTCCGGATTGGTCAATTTTAAGACTCATATTGAGCAAGTATCCAAATGTGAAACATTTGGCTATTAGAGGCGGGTCCGACACAGGAATATCTGATGAAAATATTCCCGAACTTTTGAAGTTACTTCCCCGTATTATTCTTATCGATATCAGAAACTCCAAAAAGGTAACAGAAAAGTCAACTGAATACATTGATCGATACGGCAAACATCATAATCGTTCAATTTCATTGTATTACCAAAAAAGACCTAAAATAACAAAGAAATGGCCTCATTTATTAACCAAACATGTTTTTATTGGTGAAGGACTTGATTTCATGAAATACTGTTTCTTGATGGATGCAATTCAGTGCCACAAGAGATTGCCATATCTACTGGATCCTTTTGAATAAACAAATATCATTCAATAATATTTGAATCATCGAGAAAAGTTTAAAATAATGTCTTGAATCAAATTATTAGTTAATGATTGATATTTTATTTGTAAACAGATCAAAATCACCGAAAAGCTATTTTAAATATGCATCATTAAAATATTACAAGAATGATAATATTTATAATCATAATTGTTGATTATTAATTTCGTGATATGAGCTATGATCTATCGAGATATGTAGCCATCTAACATTATCTCAATACACATCAAAAATTGAATAATATCAAAGAATAAAAAATGAATTTGGACTTTTAGTCAGATTGAATAGTTTCTGATAATACCAGTGCTTAAAATGGCGAAAAAGTTCAAGTTTAAGAACTTGGTGAGCTTATACGGGCTTGTTAATTGGGTTGTTGCTAAGAAGAAACAATTAACACAATTGTCACATTTATACACAAATTGTTTGATATCATGAACTGAAATTATTTGATATTTTTTCAAATTATCAGCAGTTCTCTTAATTTTGGCCATTGATATCAAAACTTTGAGGCTCAATATGTCCAAAATGGCATCACCCACAATCATCATTCTTTCACCAAACATTAAATTGCATTAAGGGCTATAATATAATGAAATATTAAATTATATAAGATTCTGCAGAAAAAGTTATGGCATTTTATTACTTATGTTGTCAGATTTGAGACTTGATTTATAAAGTTAAACACAAATCTTATGCGTTAGAAAGATCAATTATTAAATGAACTATTTCAGATTTTATTCGATATTCAGTCATATACCCTTGATGAAATCTAATGTTTGGTGAAAGAATGACGATTGTGGGTGATGCCATTTTGGACATATTGAGGCTCAAATTTTTAAGGCCAACGGCCAAAATCAAGAAAACTGTTGATAGTTTGAAAAAATTATTCAATCTATGATGTGTACAAACAATTTTTAAAGACGGATAATAAGTCTCAGCTCTTTAACTCTTACGGTCACAGGATACGGCCGGTTCAACTGAAATTGTACAAAAGGCGATCGAAAAATTGCTGAAATAAATTGAAATCCATTCATCTGTTAGTTTAGGTATGAGGTGTGATTGTTTAAAATCAAAAGCGCAAATATTAAAAGAAAAATTCATTGAAATTTTCATGGATTTGCTTTTTAAAATTCTTAATTATAATTATCAGTATATTGGTTAGAACTGAATAATGTATCATCAATAATATTATCAATATTATCATTATTTTTAAATGTTTGTATTTGTTGTACTTGAAGTACGCGCTCACAATTTTAACCTGCGCCTGAGTGCCTTATAATGAACCTGAGGCAATTGCTCTTTACTTTTTCTTTGTCTTTTTCATTTTCTTCCCCCTCTGTGCTTTTCTGATTCAATTCTTATATTTAAATTACTGTCAACTTGATAAATTAATTGATTCTCCGGTTAATGGATCAGAACGGCCAAAAAATCAAAAATGTGCCTTGCCCTCAGTGTGGTAAACTATTTGTCTCTACTGAAAGGGCTAAGATACATATGAGAAAAGTCCATGGGCCAAAAACCAGTACTTGTGAAATATGTGGGACTTCTTTTTCCGATCGATGTAAACTGGTTGGTCATATGAGGACCCATACAGGTATAAATATATCTATTTTTACTTCTTAATTAACTTGCCTAACTTGTACAATCGCTGTACATGTTTCGAAAAAAATAATCTTCTTTGCCATAATATCTCACCAATTATTCATTGATTCTTTCGAAGCTCGTCTGTTCCCAGTATCATCGATTCTCTGCTTTTGTTTTGTTTTTTTTCCTTGCAGCAAAACAAAATCTCATGCCATAATGAATTCTTGAAATTTTCAGTGATCTTGTTTACATTGAAGTATGCTTTTCATTTCGGAATTCATTATTTTCACTATTGTGGATATTAAGAATTGATGTTTACAAGAGAAACATTCATAACATCCAATGTATTCCATTCCCTCTATTTTGTATTTGCTTCATATTTCAGATTTAGTTATGAGTTTGCCTTCTTTTGCCATGTTCAGTTCTAATACTTCTCTGATTTTTTTTTTCATTTTTAGGTGATAAACCGTTCACTTGTGATACCTGTGGTCGGGCTTTTTCTCAGGGGTACCATTTACGACGTCACCAAATGATTCATACCGGGGAACGGCCCTTTGTATGCGAAGTTTGTGGAAGGGCATTTTATCGAAAAGATAAATTAAGTAAGCACGTTAAGGATTAATCTATTTTCATTCAACTTTTTGTAACACTTTTTATTTATTTTGATTAATTTGGTTAGGTCGCCATCGTCGTGTTCATATGAATCCTGCTGCTAAGGCGAATGCAAATAATGCCAAACAAGCTACCAGCACTAATACAGTTGTGAAGATCGATCTTAATAATCGACTACCACCAAATGTCGGGCAAACACAGATCCACGCCAACATTTCAACTCTAACGCCAACAAATAATCACATTCAGGTTGGTTTGTGAAGTCGACAAATATTTCCTTACTTCACAATATAACACTTCTAATTTATTTACAAAATTTTGCTAGTAATTTTTGGACATAGCTTTATCTCGCCAAAGTTAGTCTGTCCAAATAAACACAACTTGTTTGAGAAGCTTAGTTTAGACTTTATTTTCCCATTTTTGATTTAGACTACTTTCATTTGAGTCATTCATCTTTATTCGACTAAAATTGACTATTTTGTACATTGATAGTTATATGGTAGTTACAGGGAGATAATCTATCATTGCATTTTCGCTACGACCAATTTAAATTTACATGTTTTAATATGAAATCCTTAAAAAAACAAACTATTCATGACTTTAGAAAAATTTTATTGAACTATTATGACTTAAAGGATATGATTGTTTATTTGAAAATATATTTCTTGAAGTATTTTTCTCTCTTTCTCTCTCTATAACCTTTAAAGGTTATTTTTTACTAAACTTTGTTCTGAATCACGTTCAAGTTTACTCTTTAAATTGATTAACTGAATCTTCTCGAGTGACAATTTATTTTTTCTTATCACAGACTCAGATCTTCCCCGTTTCAATTGATGCACATGTGGCAGCTCGACTTCAAAGCCAACAGGCGCTATTTACAATGATTGCAAAACAGCAGCAGCAGCAACAACAACAGCAACAACAGCAACAGCAGCAGCAACAACAACCTAAAGCCATCTCTGGAACATCAACAATGACCAACTGATCTCAGGGAGCTTCATAAAAGGAATTTATTCTCTCATTCCTGTAAATTTAATGCGTGAGGTTTGACATGAGATTCTTATTTCTCGAATCTTTATACTCTGTCCCTCTCTTCCTCAATTCACTTTTCATTTCATTTTTGCTCCCAATCTCAACCCTTCAACTCTTTTTTTGCTAAAAAGGTATCTAATCCACCGAATTTTTTCGTATACATGTGAGAATGATTTTTTTGTTTTTTCTTTTGATTTGACACAATTATACCTCAAACATACATTGATTAATGAATGTATTCTTCAATTTGCTGCTTAAGTGACAATGCTTTGACAAATCCAGTCTTTAATTGAATCAAATGTATCCATTGCTTATTTAAAAATCTTTTTCGCATCTCAATAAATTGATTGAATGTTTTTTAAAAATTAGAAACCTGAATTCATCTTATTAACTCAATTTTTATATCCCATGATTAATTTGTCTAGTCACTGATTCAAATTAATTTGAATAGGCAACACCTAAAGTTTTACAATTTATCCTATTAGCATTCCGAATTTTTTAGCTTAAAGAAAGATTAATGTGATGTATTATATCATTTGTATTGAGTTAACAATCCAATTATCATACAGATCTTTTCCCATAATTTCGAAAGAAGCAATTTCATTTAATTATAATTGTATAATTAAGTTTTGAGTCACAAGTCGAAAAGGTGCTTAACGAAACTTGAATAGACAGAGACTAGCTTCAAACAAATATTGAACCGGTAAATGACCTTTCCTTTAGTTATTCAACAATCCAACCTACGCTCTTTTGTATGCAATAAATGACAATTAGCAAATCAAATTATGGCTTCTTTCAGAATAAACGTAAAATGGCCTCAGAAAACATCCAAGTCTTTGTAGAGTCAACACCCGAACCAAATCAGGCGTAGGTTGCCTGAGAATCGCCATCATTATCATCACTATTTTTATCATTTATGACAATAAATAAATAATAATTTCTTGGCGTTGACATCAACTAATACAAAGCTCATGAAAATTTGATTTAAATTGAGCACTAATGGTAATATAATTTACTCATTACAAAACAATTGTAATATTCTTATGATTCACTAAGATATTAAAAAAGTAAAATCAGAAATAAAACTATTGTATAATACATTGATTGATGTTATCATTAGCGTTACAATATTTCTCATCACATTTTGAATGGAGTTACAAAAGCGCATTAATTAATGAAAGCAAAGCAAGAAGGTAAGAAATAGCATCACAATTTGCTTTCAACAATTCTAATATTTCATTAAGAATGAATAATATGAATTGAAATACAATAAAATGTTCATCTCAGATGATATAAACAATTGTTTCTTTAGGGAAACTGATTGTGAATTCACAATCATTGATCAACAGATGACGCTCCAATACTGAAGGTAAGATAATCTTTTCATTTTCCGATTACCAGCTAACACCAGCCTTCATCATCAACAACAATCCATGGTTCAGTGAGTTCATTTTTTTGTTTAAAGGCCCACCTTGTAGAGCACATTCAGACCTTAATTCACTAGAAAAATTTTTCAAGGTTGCTCCAAATCACATTGAATAGCAGTTAATTGATGATGAACATATCAATGCCCATTTTTTGACACCATACGAACAGTGAGAAGATGGAGGGAAATGCGTTTTAAAGCCGCCATTTTTCCCTTTACTTGTTCAACAATTGATAAATAATGGAAATCAATTGATTTAAATAAGTGAATATTTTTAACTTGCAATTTTCAAACCATCAGGATATAGGCAGAGTGTTTACAAGATAAGCTCCACGTTTCCAGAATCAGGTTATATCCGTACTTGTGTCGTTAACTTGTTTAAGCTTTGTTCAGTTATCAAAAACGCACGTTTGTTTACTCAACCATGTTGATTAATTGAATAACGAATGAACACCATAGAGAGTGGAGTCCTTTTTTGCATAACTTTGAAATACAAATAACTTTTGGCCAAGAAAAACATGGTACAAATTTAATCAGGCGACTCGGTATCATTAGCTTGGTCTGAGTTTGCAGGATCATCAAGACAATTGTACCATCAACCGGAACGGTTATAAAAGTTAAGGTTCAGTAATTTAAAGGAATGAAGCTCAAGTCCATCGGTTGATAGTTGTTAGGCTACCGAATACGGGAATATTGTTAAGATAGCCTCTAATTTTTCAAACTCACTGTCTCGCTTTTTTTTGTATTTAAATGCCTTTCCTCCAATACAATCCATAATCAAGCGATCCTTAATTTTACAAATGCGATAAAGAATGTTAAACCAGAAAGAATTTGAAAAGAAGAAAACAAAATAACACCAAAAAAATGTGAAAACAAAAGGTTGAGGTGCAAAAAAGTAGGGAAACAAAAACAAATTAACAACAGAATCAATTGAATGGAATAGTTAAGAGGTGAAATTTACTGTGAAATGAATGTTGAAGCGTTTTTATGACTAGAAATTATCGTTTACATCAAACACGGTTAACAATATAACAAAATAGAGACAAATAATAACAACACATTTGAATAATAGTTTTGAAAGTGACAAAAAAAGCCAAATCAAAAACTTTCTGGTTGTCTCTATGGAAACAGCAATTGTCACCGGTTAATTGTAGCCGTTGGTGTGTTGAAAAAGCGACCATCATTAACTAATTACCTTTTTTTTATAATTACTCATTTCAACTATTTTCTCTGTCTCCTTTAAACTCTAATCACCCTTCTAATATTTTTACCTGTTTTCGTTTCCCTCTGCTTACCGTTGTTTCTTCCTTCTCCTCCTGCGCTTCCTCTCATTACTTCCACTACCCCTTGACGTCTCTTCAATTTGCTTGTTTTATTATTAGCACTGTATCTTTTTTTGTCTTCAATTTTTTGTCATCAATATCATCACAATCTGAGCCTCTCTAATTTGGTTTGATTCTGCACCGTTGGCCACGTTAAATAGACCCTGTTTATGCTGATGATTGGTACTGACTAAAGCAATAGCAGGAGAAAGTGTAAAGCAGGCAACTGGTTAAGGATAATGGCGTCCACATTGGTATTTATTGTATTGTGTTCACAACAAAATCAGAAGAGAAAAAATTACCCTTATTATTATATTATTAGTTAGTTTGTTATTTAAAGATGCAATCAGGATGATGTTTGGTTAATTCGTTTCTCTTTAGCTTCTATGTTTATTCACTTACAAACCGTCTCGTCCTTCAACTGTTGCTTCAATAATCTTGCTTCTACTGTTACTACTGCTTCTTCAGGTTTTCTTCATTTCTCTTCTTCAGCATTCTATCTCATCCTATTTCGTTGTTGTTCAAACAAAAGTAAAAATTCAAGGCTAATATTAATAATAATGTATAATAATACAAGAAAAAAAAATACTGACTGTATGTTTATATGTATATGTCTGGTAAGATTCAATTTGATTGTATTATTATTAGCTAATGACTTACATGAACGTGAATAAGCTCAACTCACAGTAACCTCTTTCAACTGTTGCAAGAGAAACGGAGAAAACCAATTGACGTCTTGACTGATTCTTAAATATGTTACAACTTTGATTTCTCCAATTGAACTAGCACCAGCAACAATAATTATGATGATGGTGAAAATAAAGTAAAGGGGAATGTTTGTGTGTATCTCACGGAATTGCTTGGGAATCCGATGTGCGCTCAATCATCCTGTCAATCTTTTGTATTGGCGCCGATCCAACAATCAATGGTCTTTAAAATGATTCTTAAGAAGATGAAAAGAGATGAAGATACATTCCTAATACATGTATTTACCTATGCCACGAAAAAAAACGCTAAAGACAAAACTTAAGGTAACCAGTTTTTTTCTTCCAGCTTTTTTCATTACTTGTTGTAAGCTTTTGAACAAATTTTTTACTTTATCTTCTTAAAAACGTATCTTTTTCATTCTTTCCTTAGATTTTCTGGACTCAAGTGGTAAAAGATCACCAAGCAAGCTGAGAGGCAATCAATGAGGAGACCAAGAACGATGTAAAGATCAAAATCTATGAAGTTTCCTCGATAGGTTATCAAGAAAAAGGTTTGGCAAAGAGTAGCGGGAAAAGGTTTGACCAGACAGTGTACTTTGGATGGTTTAAAATGATCAGATTGAACAAGTTTTTTTTTGTTCAATATTACTATTCTGAAAGCCTTTGGTTGGTTTTGTCGCTACATGCTGACCAAGGAAATGAGCTAAAATGAAGCTTAAATAATGCTAGGGGAAAATAGTAAATAAAAAAGGTCTGGCCAATCATGAAGAAATTATTACAGCAAATCATGATCATCAAAGGCGGTTCAATCAACATCCTCATCTCTATCTTTATTATCATCTTTCAACTTTTATCTTCTTCGTGTGGTCATGGCAAATTACAAATTACCAATCTAAAAGAACACTCACCAATCAAGTAAACCTGGACAATAAGGCTAACCACAGTGAATTGGAAATACATTTAAAGGGACACTATTTTGTACTTATATCCAAGCCATCATCATCATTATCCTCTGTTGAAATAATTCTAATAAGAGGTTATTTCTCCGGTTCATTGGGACTATCTTCACAAATAGACAGCAAGAAAAAGAGCAAAAATCTTCAAGGTTTTTACCTTGAATAAGTAGTAAAGTGTTCATCATCTTTTCATCATTCCTCTCTTTCCCCTTTACTCAATTCTTTACGGAATATCGTTTTTTTCTGGTCAAGTCTCGCCTGTAATTTCGACATGAAATGTCCAGCAATATCTGATTATCTAAAAATAATTGCCTACTTTGATTCAATAAATAAGCTGAGGCCTGAAGGAAAACCAAGCAAATGGATGGATAAATCACTCAATAATAATGGATGAACCAATTTGTTTTCAAGATCAAAATAAATTTTGCTTTACGCTTCACAGAATTGTCTGAGATGTGCTTTAATTGGACAATTTAAATCAATTGTATTAATATTTTATTTATTTAGATTTTTAATTAGCACGTTTCAATTTGTTAATTTTCCAATCGATATCTATAGATATCTCTAATCAATCGTAATTTATGCATTGCCCCTTTCTTTTCGCAAACTCATGCTTTATTTGCTCAACCTGCCAAGTACATTGTTGCATTAACTTAAATTGTTTGTTCAACTTTAATTTCAATCATGATTAAGTTAAGGTGACAAGTTGAAGTATATGAAGAATACATGATTATCATATAATATATATCGTGCAATCTTTTTTTTTATTATCTTATTATGCTTCGTTTCCATTGACAGCTAATACAGTCTACAGTGAAAAAATCATGAAATGTGTCTACTGTTGTTGGATTGTCAATCCTCTTCATCCAAAGAAGTTCAATTCAATTGAATCAAGTGGTACAGGAAGATGATGATGGCTAAGAATATACTAAACAACATATCTCAATTGATTCAATTGAATTCAGAGTGGAAGCCAATTGTCACGGAACGAAGTAAAAGTTGAAGAGTTTATCGGAGATGTTGTATAACCTGATATTATTGTTTGGTGAACCTGTTTCTGGTAATTGTGGTTAGCCCATTGTCTTCACATTAGATTTAAACATTCATTGAATGGCTGGCGATTAAAATGACACATGTTTATTATTAATGTTTATTGTAAGTGTTATTGTATAAATTTTAGTTGAATGTTAACAATTTTCTGATTGAAATTTTAATGTGAGAGGAAAAAAGGTCAACAAGGTTAACACGAAAAGTGTGTGTGTGTGTGTTGAATGTATTGTTGACATTCAATTAAATTAGTTACATCGTTTACTTGTTACCTGTTGAATTTGCTGCTCATTAATCACTCTCTTTTATTAATTACAACAACAGATAACATGTTTATTCGCTATTAATCACGATTAAATGATTAGTTGATTGTGAGGTAAGGTGAAAGGAGAGATCAAAGAAAAGATGAATTCAAAAATGGTTAATTGTAACAAAATACTTGTCTTATACAATCCAGTTGTACACAATACTGACCAGAAGAGATTGGGAAGCAAATCCAGATAACAAAAGTCGATTCTAATGCACTTGACATACCAACAATCAGGTAACAATTTAACTATTCAATTTTACTACTTGTTGGTTAGTCTATTTCAATGATATTGAACTTGTAAGTTGTACGTTTCTTATGTACTTTTTTTCATGGCGTAATTTAATTTAACTTCTTTCTCTTCATCAGGTCAATTGTTAATTGAATCTAAATTGAAAATCAAATTCAATTCTGGAGTAATCAAAAGAATAAAACAATTACTCGATTGAGTAGTTGGCCTAAAAAGATCCAAACAATTCCAACTTGATTAGATTGACGGGACAACACACACACACACACACACATTGGAAACACAGGATTATCAACTAAATGTTATACCAAGTAAAGCTGAACAGTCCATTCAAATTGCGCTAATCATAATAATGAATCTGGTTTTAGTGAATTGGTAATGTTAATTATTAATCATTCGCTTCGATTATAACCTAAATTAGATCAAATTCCTGGCTGGTTGAAACGGAAAATTATAAAAGTACAAAAGACAATATAATCATGGATGGACCATTCAATTAAATCAGTGATAATAATGCTGTTTGTAAGCCAAACCTTCAATGTTTCACTGATCTTCCACTTCGCATATTCAAAGATTCAACCGGTTAAATGGGACAATTAAGATAGCAACAATATTTTCGTTGTCAAACTTGTCAATAATTGTTAAATTGTTGATAAAATTGATGTTAAATTTGGATTTCCTTTGTTTGCTGTTTAACTTTGATGCTATTTTGACAATCCAGGAAAAGATTCCTATTGATGTTGATGAGATTGACTTTTTCATGTTGCCTTTACCTGGATACATCAACCAACCTTGACCCTTTTATAACAATTAATTTATCATTATTGGGAAACAATTGCAACATTTTTGATTCCCAACAATCTACTTTATATTCCCATTTAACATGCCAAATCAGATTGTTTTTTGCTGCTGCTTTTGGTTGGTATTTTCACTCGCTATCCAACTCTAACACTTTTGTTTTATCACAAGAAACCCTAATTACATCAGCTATTAACAAACGTTGGTTTTCTTGATGACAATTAATTCTGATTATGGTGTGAGATGTAGGAAACAACAATTTATCAACTACAGCAACTTTGTAAACACATTTTAAGAATGATTTAGTAGTGTCACTTTCAACAGTTTGTTCAACATTTAATGGCTCTGCGTCTCAATTAGTCCATCTTAATTAATGTTTTTTGTTACAAAATTGACTACAACTGCCATTTTTACAAGCAATTAAGTATGTTTTATCTCACCAATCAGTCACTAATTAAGTCACTAAGATTTAATTAAATCTTTCATAGCCATATCAATGAATAAAATGTGTTTAGATAAATCAATTGAAAAGGTTAACTCAAATGTAATGCAGACTTTGGCTTAATACGATTCAAAGTTAAGTACAATGAGATTCAAGTTGAACCACAATTCTCATGAGAGATTCGCAAATTAAATTGTTGTCATCAAATTCAAAGCCTAAATGAGGGACTCAATTGTACCCTGTATTCACGTAATAACAATCAAATAGATTATGTATTTTAAACATGTAATTTATCTGGAAAGATGGCTACTTATGCATCTTGTTTAGTTAGCTTTTTCATTTCAATCCTGATCAATCTCCATTGAATCTAAATTTACATTATATTGATAATTTACAACAATACATTTGGAAAGGTATAATTGATTGCAAGGTTAAATAAGTTTATTAACCTTAAATCAAATAAATTGAATAAAATAATAACTGCTAATCAAAATAACAAAAAGTCAATAAACAATAATATTTTAAGGATCCATATCGATATCTGGTATCTTTATAAACATATGATTTATATAACAACGAAATGGGTAACTTGAAAAAAACTAATCATCAAGTGAAAGAGAGATAATTTTAATTTAGTTTTGTTATTTATAGTAATTTGATTAATAAACAAAAGTAGGAAATGATTAAGACAATTACTATACAAGTGCAAGAAGAGGAACATTGAATTTAGTCTGTGATTTTAGTCTTTTTGCTGCAAACCCAGTCAAGACGCTTTATCCATCTTTACCATCTCCATCATCACCTACTACAGTTTCATCGTCAGTATCATCCACATGATGATAAACTTGATAAAGGTCAGATATCATGTAAGAATCTGACCGCTGTTTGTTTAAATTTATTGTGAAAATAACAACAAAAGAACGTCAATCCAAAAATTGAGATAAATATTAAGGTTTGGTTGATTATCTCAACTGAACAATAATCTGGTTACACACCTAAACCAGAGAAAACTGATGAAGGAATGAACCGTAAAAATGTTAATTCATTTAATACTATTACTCTTATTATTATCGTTATTATTCCAATCAAGATAATACAATAATCGGATTTGCATATCGTGCTGATTCAATGATTCTCACAGTTAGCCGATTCACAAAACCATATTATGTAGCTATAACAATGAAGATGATGGTGATGATTATACTATTAATATCATGAGAGACAAATTTGATTCTGATGAGAACGATTTTCAGATGTAAATTGCAAATTTTGCTTCATCCTTACACTGTTCAAAAAACACACACACACATATTTAGATTGGAAATAGCAGACAATTAATGAATGTACAATCCAATTTACAAAGGTTAATTTAAATAAATTAGCTATTCAATTAATGTGATCAATCAATCAAGAAGCTTTCAAGTTAGTATTGAAATCAGGTTAGAAGATGTTGGCTAAAATGTTTCAAATTACATCTTTAAATGCAAATAACAATTGAAAATATCTCAATACCAGACGATGATGATGATGATAATGACGATGATAATGTAGCTGATGATGATGATGAGACAGATAATGATGATTGTGATGAGAAAAATGGAGAAAAGGGAAAAATGAAAAGCTTGGTTACCAGACAGTTAAATGTTGCCTAAAGTCAACCTATGGATCATCTTTATCGACTTAATTGTCATCATCATTTGAATATATCATCAATTGTTTACGATGGTTGACACTAAACTATTACCCTAACCTTGTCACGCTATTCAGCTCAACCAGAATCAATCTTGAAACATTTCCTTTACAATTTACTTTTCCCCTTTCCATTTCATATTTCCCTCCGCTCTTGTCATTTTCACATTTCAACTTTTCATCTCTCTTCAGTCTTGCTTTGTATTTTTGTTTTTGTTTTGTGTTTTTTTTACTTAATTTTCACTTGATCATCATCTTAAATATATTCATCTTCATGGTCTTCATCATCAACATGTTCATTCAAATTGCAACTGTCTTCCTATGGTAATCAATCTTGTTACAAACTGGAACCAGAAAACGCGTTCAAACCATTGTTACCATAAAATCTGGTCTTTGACATTAATTGTTAATATTGAACGCTAATCATCATTACAATGACAACTGATGTTCAACCATTTGACATTTTATTACAATTTAATTAACCGGTTTCCAAGCATGTTAATTGTTCAAAACAATCACAAGGAGATTGATTTATAAAAACAAAACTGATGAGATTGAAAAGTCATATTAAGCCTCTAACAGTCCTTGTAAGCCTTAGAGTCTAAGGTACTCTTATGGGAAAAACAAGTGATTTACGTACAATAAATTCATGTGAAAATCTTCATTCTAAGAGTCATGAATATATTTCAATGCTTAAGTATTGAATTATATTCACTTGATTTTAGTATACAATTTGGTGTAAAAAAAGCTTGGATCATAGCAAATGAATGCGACTCATTTTGTCCATAAAATTATGTGTGAAAAAGGCTTTCATGGTAATTCCTGAAGCTATTGCAGTCTAAATATCTTCAATATTTTCAACAGTTGAGTTAAAATTGTCCCTAAAATTTACATTATAACATAAAAAGTGAAAGAGAATGAAAAAAATGCATTAATTACAAATTAAGTCAATAGTAATTCAATTGGCTTTCCTTGCTAACCCGTAATCTATTAATAAACGCCGTTCTATCCGTAAATTGTCGAGTTAATGACTGAATAAAATAGTTTACCAATTAGATAATTAGACTGAATTACCTTAAATGTAAATAAGTGTAAATTAAGGAAGAGTAAAATGAATTAGACGATAAAAAAAGGGAAACAACAACATCAAGAACCAGAAAAAGCTAAACTCAAACTGATATGTCACCTAAAAATCTGGTTAAGTCATTATCATCGTCATCATCGTAATTCTTGTCGTTTTAATAATGATTATAATAGCTTGATGATTATGCTCAACATTTACCTAAAGCTGATAGATTACCATGAAAGATTCAACGGAAATGAATCCATTTTTAGTTTCCTTTTTTTTCAAACATCACTCAACATTTGAATAATTTTGACAAATTTCAATTATCTCATCATGATGATGGTGATCACCTTTAAACACCTTCAACTCTCTTAACAATATATCGGCAATCAATCAAGAAATCAACTGTAAACAAGGATCGTTTGTCATTTCATCTTCACTTTGCTCTTCAAGTAACACAAATCCATTGTGGGTTATGCTAATCAGTTTGTTGGTCTCAATGAGTAGACAAGTTAATCCAAATTTTTGTTAATCATCATCATCATCATTATCATCATAATGTATTCACAAAAAACTGGTAAAATCTGTTTTTGCATTGCCTTGTGAAAGTCAACTTTCAAATGATTATACAGAGTGTCATGTAAACCAGCCAAACGTATCTGATGACACGCTAGCTCAATGACTCTTTTGCTGTTTTCATCATCATCATCATCTTCATCGTTTTGAACAGAGACGACAAAAAAAAGAGACTCATGATGATGATAAAATGAGTTACAATGGGTTGTAAAAATGGTTGCCAAAAAGATGACTTTTTTTCATACCAACAACGTTGCCGTTGTTACCTTTTTTCATTATTTCATTGAGAAACCTTTGATTCAATTTTGTTATTTAATTCAACCTTCGTTTAAAGACATAACAATTTAGCAAAATTTAAATCAATTGTTGATTAAAAGCTGAGTAGAGGAAAAATTAATTCACCTTTTAGCTATTTTTCAATGTCTCAATGTTTTTCTGGTTTTCAACAATTTCAATTGTATTTTTTTGGGTTAACTTTCTCTGGTAACCAGGAAAATGATTTCACTTTTTATACATTTTAATGATTTACTGATGATTGCTAAACAACCATTATTAAATGACGATTATACTGTTAATATCAATGTTTAATCAGTTGCTTTACCCAACATTGAACCAGTTTTTGGGTTTCTCCTAACAATTGGTTTACAGGTTTGATTCCTTTACAATTTTCATTACAATCATTGCAATTTCAACTCTTTCTTGATTGTTTAACTTCCCATTTTACTTGATAATTGATTTTGTTAACCAAAATTTATCAATTGACTTGAAATGGACAAACTGTGAGGTTAAATGTTCATTGAACCAGATTAATCCTGAAAGTGAAACCTGGTTTACAATCAACAGACAAACGACTCTTTTAATGTCATTTTAATTTGATAATCATTCCATCAGTATTATCACAATTAAAGGAGTTCATTTACATACTAAATATAATAATCACAAAAGCAATAATCAAATGAGCAAATTGACTATTAATTGTGCAAACAAAATGGCAACGTTATTCAATGGCTCAAGGTGAAGTGATTAATGTCTATTAATCAATTCATTTGAATATAAACTAATGTTAATCAAGGAAGACATTTTGTTAAATCTCAAATTATGATATGAAGGTTAAATGTGAATGCATGTTAAACATTGGATAAAATGTATTTCACTCTTCTGATAGTTGAATGCGGTTTTACATTGTAGCTTCATTGTTATCTTTTAACCATTATTATCATTATTACCAGCATTACTATTAATTGTAGTTCATTAAGATGAAAAAAGGTGAAAAAATTAAAGTAAAGGTAAAAAAAAGTGGAGCCAAAAAATACAATACAAAACAAGAGCAACAACACTTTCATCCAGTTTTCAATGCAACAAGTGTTCAATCTCCTCCTTTTATCATCCTTTTCTTCATCTTACCTTACTCTTTTCCTCTTCAAATATCTTACTCCAACTAATTTCCCATAACTCATTCAGATTCACAGAACCATGGTAAAATCATAGTCTTTACCTGAAGAGGGCCAAAAAAAGTTGACATTCAACTTCACAACTCACTTGAGTCAAACTCAATGACTTTTCACTCTCCACTTTCCTCCCACTTCCACCTCCTCACCCTTCATCATTACCATCATTATCATCATCATCATCATCATCTTACATTTCCTCAATGTCCAGCTTTTTCAAACCTTTTCACTGTACATACAAATTAGTCAATCACTCTTGATGCCCAAACAATTCCAATTCAGAAGCCATTAAATCCATTCAAATAATGACCATAATAGACGGAAATGCAATCATCTAAATCATCATTTTAAACACCATCTTGATCAACATCAACAAAATGAGGCAAACTCTGTTTCTCCATCATTTCATCTTTTTTTAGGCCTAACTTAATCGTAACTTAATCGTTTGTATCAAATTGTCTCATTTTTACATGTTGTACATAAGTTCAGAGAAGTGATTAAATTAACTAATATTCTTGCTAAAATTTAAGCTTATTAGAAACGGATAAATTTGGTTGCAACTATATTTTGTAAATTACTTTTAACTCCAAATCTAAAATGCAATGTACTTTCCGTTAAGACTTGAATTGAAGCAAATGTTTATGTCTATTATAAAGATATGCACTTTATTTTCACCATCATCACCATCATCATCGTCATCATCATTCCCCAATTACAAAAAAATAATAGCAATAAAGAGGATAATAATAAAAAATAGCAATCATGATAACAATAATGATAATAGTTTTGCTCTTTTATTCTCAATTTTTTAACAATCCCTAAGGTTAACACATGGTAAGAGCTCAACTCCTTCTTCGTCTTGGTTTTTTTACTAACTCTTCGGTTTAATCGTATTAATAGTACATCATTATCATCACTATTTTCATCATTATTATTATTGCCACAATAATCTGGTTTCATTATACTATGTTTTATTTGACTCTCCATGAAATCGGAAATGATGGACATCCTTATGTATCCAGGAAAATGTCTACAGTCGAGGAAATGGTAATCTCAAATCAAGTTACATATTTTTGGATGAAAATTACTTTGAAAGCTTTTTCTTTAATTTACTACTAATGGTGTCAACATTTTATGTTTATTTGTTTGTGTACATAAATTACAGAGGAAGTCGGGTCAATCATCTTAATCTTCCTCCCTCTATACCTCCACTTATCATCATCATCATCTACATCATCATCCAGTATATAACTAACCATCAAAATAAATGCACCATTAATGGCTTCAAAAATCTCGTTTTTTTACATTTTCTCCCTCAAATTGAATGTTTGGATTGAAAAATTGAATAACATTTCTTTATCCACTTTTCCTTTGGTCTACCATCAATTTACATCCTACAATTTAAATTTTGTTTACAGTAATTATCACTGATGATTAGAAAATGTTTAAATTGATGTTTCTACAAAATGCTAGTGTTTTATTAATTAACTGGCGTTAGGAGTTACTAGTTGACTAGCTCAAGTGACACAAGGAATGGCTTTAGATGGCGATGATATCAAAAGCATAATGATGATTGCGGTTTAATGTCTACTAAGAGTTGGGATGGTAAATAAGGTTGAGACTTGATTGGAGCATTGCGAGGAAAAATGTTTTCAAGATTATTGTCCTTGTATCATTATTTCAATTGTTAAATTATATGCACGGAAAATTTTCTAATAGTTAGGTGTTATGACTACAATGAGGACGACGACAACGATGGTGATGATGAAGTTAATGATGAAAGTCTCTCAACTCATTAAGGCATCTTCAATTGTCATTGTTAATGGGTCTTCCATTCCTCTTGATGTACACAATGTTTGAGGCAACATGCAAATTGTTGACTATCAAATTCATTTCAATTTAATGTTGCCAGTCTCATTACATTCAGGCATTGAAAACAAACCCAAGACAAAAAGGATTACATTGATTTGTTTGGATTTGCACACCATTTACCGGTTACCAGGAGATTAACCAGAATCTAGAAAAGCAAACCTTGAAAGTGATTCCATTTGATTAGCAGTTAGATTATTAAATTATGGAAACAATGGATTGGGTAAATTGACCAGAATTGGATGAAGCTGGAGAGGTGAAAGTTGGTGAAGCTTTAGCTTTCTTGACAGACTAAATGGGCTCTTTTTTGGCTAAGGATTCCCCTGAAGGATCAATGCAATCGAGAAATGCAGTTGAGTGATTACCAGGAATAGTTTACTATTGATGCGTGATTCTTCTAATTACTTGTTTGTTTGGTTGATTGTCTAAACAAGTGCAGTCAATTACTTTAACATGAACACATTACGCGTCTTCATCTGTCTGTGTATTGCTTTACACCATTCAAACTTACATCTCCTTTCACTTGACGCCATCTTGCTTCCTCCCTTTCCTTTCAAATGGATTATAAATTATCGTCAATCAATTGATTTATCATTTCATTTTAACCTAACTTTACCATTTACTAATACTTTCAATCAGTTTAACTATTTTAAATTATTCAACAATCTTGTCAGCTTCCTTCTTCAACCCATCTCAACATCTGATTATATTCATGTCTCAATACCAACAAGTTTACCCATTATTTGTTGGCTTTTTTTAAACATTTTTTCACCCTCTTATTGATTCGAGGTGTCATTTTGCTGTTTCAAATCGCCATTTTCAACTGATAACCTTTATGCTAACTGAATTTAAATGAATTTTTCAAGTCATCATCGCTCAATTTGTATCTTTTTGTAACACTGCCTTAACAGCCATTCTTTGAAACATTAGCTGATTAGATTAGACTGATTCTTGGAATCAAAGGTGTAAACCAAATTAGCTAATCTTTAACTATTATTGAATATTTAAAAAATTGAATCACATTGATTGGTATCCATTTTGTTTAGTTGATGTTGAGTATTGAAACTTTCGTCTTCATCTTTCATCTAACAATAAGTAAATGCTCAGTTATTAAACAGTGCAAATTAATCTAAGCCAATTAGTTTGTGTTTATATGTTGCGTGTGTGCGTACAACTCAATTTAAATTATTATCATTATTAATTGTATTTGGTGTTACATGTTTATTTATAATGTCTTTGCTTTCTGATTGACTGGGCAAAGCGAAAGGGAAAAAACCTTTAGCTTTTTCAGTTTGAACAGCTTTTCTCTCTCTTTTTTGGACCTCTACTTACCCAGTAATTTATTAATTACATTTTAAAAACAACAAATTTGAAAATTTAAATTTTTTTGTTCGTTAAAATTCACATCGTTATGGCAACAAAATAACTGTTTTTTACATTCAAAATTGAGTCGATATAACAGACAAAAGTCATTGAAAAATATTGAAGTTGTTTTGATGATGCTGATGTTAATGGTTACACTTAAGAAATTATATTAACAATAATCACAATTATATTGGTTTGGCAGATGATAAATTATCAATTAAATGAGATTTTGCTTTTCAATCTGTCAACATTAATAATCAGATGAAAAGTAAATGATAACATTTTTAAGAATCACAAATATTTGTCACGTTCATTTCAAGAAAAATATTAACTGTAACCTGGAAAATTGTATTTTCATCCAATAGATGGCGTTGTTTTTTGCCGAGTGAGAGCCGGGGAGGAAAGAAAGAGAGAAAGAGGTAAGTGAGTATGAAAGAGAGTAGAGAGGTTTAATGTTGATGAAGCCAAGAAAGATTTTTTTACCAATTCAAGTGAACTCATTTTGTAAATTTATTCTTTAAATGTGACTGTTAATTAATTCAAAATAATATTTATAATAAAGGTGACTTACATTATCAAGAATTTTATTCATCCTTTCCTCTCTTCCCTTCTAATCTCCTTTCATTGTCCTATTCCCTTTCATCTTCATCTCCATCTTTATCACCATCAATATTTGAAGCAACAGTAACATCATTGCCACCAACTTTATACTCATCATCATTCTCAAGCAATTAACTTTCATCTATCCTTTCCTTCACTAAGGTAATTTGTGTAATCGGTGTAATTTTTTTTATAACTGCATCTTGTCTTCTTCACCTTCTTTGTGCATTGCAACTTGATAGCAACATATATTCTTTATTCTTGACTCATTCGGAAAGTTTATAGTGAATTCTATTTTTCAACCAGGTTTCAGTTTAACGTTTCTGAAAAAAGACTGTTCTTTAAGTGTGAGTTTTTTTTACATTTCTGGCTATTCTCTTTAAACTCTGTGGTCAACGAAGTTGATGTGTTATTGGATTGTCGCTGTTTTAAACTTCCACACATAGATAAACACATTGAAGGAGAAGTAAAAGAAGAAAGTTACCCTTGGAGTTGGGTGTGTTTTTTAAGCCTTGCTCTATAGAGATTGAGGACCAAGCCCTTTTTGCCAAATCTGTTGCTTCAATGTGTGCTCATATATCAATTTTTCTCTCTTTTCATCTTTCTTTAAATCTATCTATCTCTCTCATTAAATTATATCGTTAACCTCTGTTCATCTCAATTTGGAGTACATCAACAACTTGCTATAAATTTGCATTTTTTTGTCAAAACATCATCCTCGTTTCCGTTCATCACTGATTTTCTTTTTTGTTTCTTTTCGTTCTTCACCCAAATGGATATTAGATTCTCATCTGTTTAAATCACCATGGAGGGACAGAAAGAGTCTCCCGAGTATTCCGTGTATGCTGTGAGAAATACTCGCCGGCTTATGGAAGACAGACATGTTGTCATACCAGATCTTCTAAGTCAATTTAAAGATAAGGTTAGTCGATTTAAAAATAGACTAACTTTCTTTTTTGTACCATAATTTGGAATATTTGCTCTATTATTTAAATTGCTGTGAATTCTGTGAATATTCTGTTTTCTTCGCTTGTTTTCCTTATGCTTACCTCGTTTTTGTTTATTTTTTTAGGGTGATAAACAGTATTCTTATTACGCTGTTTTTGATGGTCATGCAGGGCCGGATGCTGCACAATTTGCTGCTGATAATTTACATAAAAATCTCGTCGAGAGCTCCTTCTTTCAATCTGGAAATATATTAGATGCTTTTAGACATGCATATGCTCTCACTGATTTTCAATATACCGAAAAATCGGAACGTGATGGAATTAAAAGTGGCTGTACTGCGGTCACATGCCTTTTGGAAAATAAGAAGAAACTTCACATGGCATGGGTTGGTGACTCAGTTGCACTTCTTTCTCGTAATGGCAAACCGTGTTTCATAATGGAACCACACAATTTGGAAAGAGATGATGAAAAAGAAAGAGTTGAGTCCATGGGTGGTGCAGTCATATATTTTGATACTTGGAGAGTTAATGGTACTCTTTCAGTTTCTCGAGCCATTGGTGATCCTGAATATAAGCCTTATGTTTGTTCTGATCCTGATATCGAACAGATTGATTTAGATGGCACTGAAGACTTCTTGATCATTGGTTGTGATGGATTGTGGGATAGAATGTCTCCAGAGGATGCTATTGGACTTATCTATCAGCATATTCAATCTAAATGTCATTTAGAACCAAGTGAAATAGTGAAAGATACGGCTAAAGTTCTTGCCGAACGATCTATAGAAGACGGCTCAAATGACAACGTAACCACTATTGTTATCTTCCTTCGAGATGTTGCATCTATTCTTAATACCTCTAGTTCTGTTCCATCCGAAACATCAAATAACGTGTTTGGTGCTAAATTGAATGGTGATAATTCGAATACATATGATCTACCAACCGGGCTTAACAACATACATACTAGTAACAGCAATAATAATAACAATTATGACAACGGCTTGATCGATACATCTGATTATGATTCAAGACCTACGGATAATGGTTTGATTAATAAAGAAGTAATTGATGATACAATCGGTGCCAGTGAGGATAAAGACATTGTATCACAATTAGAAGGCAAAAATTCAACCTTGAATCCTTTTGCCGATGAATTCCAACCGAATATAACTAGCAACAACATTATAGAAAATCAATTTGGAAATGAGCCAAAGAAGGACGACGAAGAATTAAATAAAAACGATGGTTTAGAGAAAAAAGATTTGTGGATGAGTGACTTCAAGAATGATGGGAACAACGAACAACACCAACAAGATTATTCCAACCAGGCAGAAATGCTTGATGGTCTAGTGGTTAATGGTCTAAGTGCTTCAGAAAACTTGTCTGGCAGTGATGTAAACCAGCCTAATTATTCTTCACGTTTCGAAGAGAATCTTCTTTCCTCAGAAGAAGTTGTTCAGCAAAATCCTCACGATCTTGCACAAGAACCTTCTGCACCTGAATTGATTTCTATTGATCAAGAGCAATTTACAACCATGGAGGCTAATATTTCACAAGCTGAAATTTTTGTTGGCAATTTAACTCCAACCGAAGTCCCTTCAACCCCTGTAGCCAACAATCAAGTAACAGATTTTCCTTCAGAATTGTCTTCTCAATTTGCTGGGGATAACTCATCGCAATACTCTTTCGAAACTACTCAAAGTAACCCTGAAAGCAATGTGAATCAGTATATAACTTCTGTGTCCGATGCAATGATTTCCGAATCTTATCAAGATCCTTACTTCGCGTCTGATTCAGTTGAGCCCGAGTCAATCATTGTCAACACATGTGATGATGCAATTTCTTCAGGTCCTCATGCCATTGATCCTTACTCTGGTGATGATAAAGAACTTGAATCGGATTCAACTAAAGAACTTGCTGAAGTACCACTCAACCAGCCTCTTACAGAAGAAGTTGCTATTGAAGTTACTGACAATGCACCTCTTGGATCATCAAATCCATTCGGTTCTAGTATTCTTAATGAATCTCAAGCTCACTTAGCTGAGGAGCTTGAAGCTAAAATGCCAAGAGAAGAAGAAAAATCCTTTTTCACTGAAGATACTTCTTTCGCTGATAATAGCTCTGCGTTGTTAGATTTTTCAGCAGATCAAGTTGATGAAATAGTGCTTTCACCTTACCCCGCTAATGAATCTAGTATAATGGAAACTAAATTTGAGCAATCTATTGAAGAGCCGATAACAGAGCAGGAATTAATTTCTCAACAAGAAGTATCGCCCCCTGAAAAGTCTGAAGATTTATCAGTAATCACTGAAAAAACGACTGAACTTACCATTAACGACGAGTCTGGAGCCAATGTCCCCCTTGATGCTCCCATTACCGAATCTAATCAAACTGAAAATATTACTGAACTCATTTGTGGTTCAACAGAGGAAAACCCCAGTGAGGCCATAGCTTCTTCAAAAACAGAAGCTTCTAAAGAGGAGGAAACTGTTGGCGTGACCACTACTACTGTTGTTGCTGCTGCTGCTATTGCTGTAACAGCAGCTGCAGTTTCTGGTGCTGCTATTTCATCAAAGAGCTCCCAACCAGTAATTAAAGAATCAACTACACAGGCAAAGAGTAGTATTGCTAAAAAATCAACAGCACCTTTATCCAAAACAACAAGTCGAACAACTGCATCTTCAGTTAAACCATCAACTGCAACCATTACAAGAAAACCTTTGCCGACAACTTCTACCACCAGAACAGCTTCTTCTAGACCAAACGTCGGATTAGCTTCCAGTAAACTCCCAAGTAAACCTACATCTACATATACATCCACAGCAACTGTCAAGAGCTCGACAACTTCAAGAGTTGGAACTACATCAACATTAAATAAAAAACCTACTTCAACAACCACTTCAGGTATATCTAGAATATCCTCTCTTGCTTCAAGAACGAGTTCATCTACCGCACCATCATCATCATCAACAACAACTGGCAAAACATTGACTCGAACTACTACTACTACAGCTAGTTCTGCAGCATCTAGAAAACCTCTATCAACAACTACCACAAGTGGCACAACTAGAACCACTTCTACTACTAAACCAACTTTAAGCAGTCGAACAACAACATCGTCATCACGGACGGTCACTTCTTCCACCGCCAGAACCGGTGTTAAAGAAACAGATAAAAAGGAAACTTCAACTGGATTAACAAAGCCTACTACTAAACGAGCCTCTACAGGTTCTATGTTAAATCGACCTTCACCCGGTGCCTCCTCACTCACTAATAAAGTTAGCTCAAGCGCTTTGAATCGCTCGATGACTAGCTCTTCTCGTCCCGGTGCTACAACTAATACAACTGTATCAAAGCTATCTACTCGTCCATCATCTTCCACAATGTCTTCAACCAGGTCTCCTGGTCTTTCTTCAACACGCTCATTAGGAGCAAAAACTTCTGCAACTACAACAACCAAGTCAACCACGTCTACCAATAAAGTAGCCGTATCTAGATTAGGAGCTAATAAAAAGCCTACCGCTTCAACCACAACTTCAAAAGAGGCAACATCAGTCACTAATTCATCATCCATAAATTCAACTGGCGAAGTAATAAACTGTAATGATCAGAAAACAAGTTCTTCCTCTCCTGTTGATGCAACAACCAATCTCATAGGTACTACAAGTAATGCAATTACTAATAGCATTAAAAGAGACAAAAATATGCCTAATTCAGCAAACTCTTTGAAAGATGAATTAGAGGCGGCCCTAGCAAGTCCGATCTCATGTGAAGATAAAGGCGTGATAAAGGGAACCAAAGAAAATGAATCAAGTGGAAACTTGTAAAACCTGAATATCCTTTCTTACTCCTTCTCCTCTATCTATTTTTCTCTATTTTCGCTCCTTTTTTTCATAAGATTCTTTTTTCCAATAGGCTTCCTCTTTCTTTCTAAAACTATCTTCTCACTCGCTCTGGGCCACCATTTGGATTAGCCCATAACATTACATCTCCTTCAAACAACAAACACAGACGTTTAGCCTTATTTTTTCAATATATTTTACCATCGAAAAGATCAAGGCAAAAAATTAGCCGGTGTTGAATCATAGTCTTATGTGCTTTAATACGCTTGTGAATGCTTGTATGCTGAATGTTTATTTCAGTACAAAAAAAATATAATGCAAACAAAATGGAATTAAAAGCAAATAAAATAGATTGATGATTTCATTTCAAATATAAAACATGATTTTTCATTTCTTTAAACTGACTCCTCCATTCTTACTTAACATCTTTGCCATCGTCAAATGACTACTTTGGATTAGCCTAAAAATTGATAAACATTCAGAGATTTGAGATGTTCAATTTCTTTTTGTTGTTCTTCTTCAAATTTTTTCTCCTGCAAAGAAACATAAATTGCCATTAAAAACGACATTGATATCATATTTAAGTTGCAAAACACTTTAACAAATCTTATAAGTTTATCTTACAATTAAATTTGTAGACCTTTTTTCGACTATCTTGATAAATTGCAACAACGTTAGCTTTCGTTCCTCGACACCAGTTTTAGCAAATTCACAATCAGGACTATGGTCAAGATGTTCTTTCCATGGATCGTCATTCGATGACCAACCTTCCATTTGTTTCAAGCAGCAGAAACATTCAACAGCATCATCAGCTGACTCAGGCAAACACTTAAACCAACCAGCTTTGGCCATCTAAAAAGCAAATTATTAATTCAATTGGTAATACAATAGAAACCGGTCTGCAAAGGCAATTGAAAATACAAATTGTATTATCTAAACAATAGCAAAAATTACTTACATTTTCCTTTGAGATTTTACCCGTCTTGTGAGGCCAATTTTTGAAAGTTTTGACGCGATTTTTTTCAAATATCAAAGCGTGGTCAGTACCTTCTCGCACCGTATTAACCATTATAAATTTGAAACGATTACTTTTAATTAAGAAAATATATAAAAATCAAATGCAACAAAACAAATTAAGATAATGATCACATCAAATATGTTGCCGCCAAATGCAATCAGATGTAACATGTAATCATGATCGATTTGTTTACAGTCCTTCAGATGGAGGTAGTAGAAGCGATTCGGTGAAAAAAGGAGTTTCCTCTCTTCTCCTATTGGTTCATTTGAATTTTCATATTCGGTTTGTTTTGTTTTATGACGCCATCTCTTGGCCATATAATTTATGCTTAACCATAAAACCGTTAAATTTTAAATTATTTACGTTAATTTGCTTTCTTTACCATTAAAATATAATCTATGTTCAATTCAGACTAATCTAATGAGGATACTTGATGATGAGACACTTCTAAGAATTGATTATCTCATCAAAATCCTATCATCTTTGAACATAATCACGAGTTTCGTTGAAAATTTACCTGATTTTGAACTGTTGGCATGGGAACCAGGATTGGGGAGAATCAAATAATTTACAAAAATCTTCTTTCCCATGAATTTTGCTGAAATTAAGTTTTCAGTCTATTCATCATTTAATCAATCCAGTTTCTTCTCTGATATTCAATTTTAATCACCAGAAATTTTGCTGAAACTTTAAGAATTACATATACAGAGATATTTATTATGTTGTTATCTTGTTAAGCGATATAACATCAATTCCCAGTTTAGTTTGAGAGACGAATCTTCTTTGCGATTCATCGATCTGCTTTTGTGCAAATTCCAGATTAAAATCCAATGTTCGGCATTATATTTCTGATAAGAATTGATTATGGCTCATAGATAATGCACGAATTCACACAGTAAACTGGACCTCTCAATTGACAAATTGCCGACTTCCTAGCAGCCAATACGCATATTAACTTGGACAGCCAATCAACTTCTATTAATATTGATTTATGAATTCATATTGTCACTGCTATTTAGTGTTACTAGATGATCAATCCAAACCAAAATATTTGCTCCAATGTAATAACAGTGATTTGAGCAATAACAAACTCCTCTGAAATCCATTGGCAACCCATCCAATCTCGTTCTTTACTTTAGTGATCAATCAACATGCATTTATTAACCAGTATGCTCAAAGTGCTAGTAAATAATTTGTTGATTTAATTCTTCTTCTTGGTTCAATTAGATGGATAGAATGAAGATTTGATCAAAATAAATACAACCAAAGGTCAAATATTACCTGTTCTGTTGTAAATAATATCGACGGATTTCAACTTAACCATGTTGAGATTCAACATTTAATTCAGCGATTTCTTACGAAACTTATGACACTAACTGATACAGATATGTTAATTTAGTAAATGAGCACAATTAATTTAGTAAATAATTAGATTTACATGATTAATTATTAAAAAAAAGAGAGAAGGATAAATCAAAGAGAAACATTTTAGTGTTTGTGTAGGCATCTCTAAATGTTGAGATGTTCCCTTAAATTTTTCTATTTCGCGGTTACAACAGTTTTCATGATGAGCTATCTTTGTTCTCCCTTCATCTCTTTTGTCCTCATTCACAATCAAGTACCAGTTTCTGTTATTTATTTGACGTTTATAAATTTTTTTACTACTGGCGAAGTGGATTGTTTGTGTGTAAATTGTGCTTAATTTGTTCAATATTTGTGTCATTCTTTTGTGTTTACCTGTGACACAATGGAAGCCGAAACATCGGTTAAAGTCTGCGTCCGGATTCGGCCACAGGTACCAAAGGAGATTATTGAAATGTGTAAAGTGTGTACAAATGTAACTCCAAATGAACCCCAAGTTTGGCTTGGATCAACCAAAGCTTTCACATTTGATCATGTCTTTAATATGGACTCTAAACAAGAAGAAATTTATACAAATTGTGTTTACTCTCTAATTGAAGGGTGTCTTGATGGATATAATGCAACGGTTCTTGCTTACGGTCAAACCGGATCAGGTAAAACATTTACTATGGGAACCGGATTTGACGTAAGGGTAGAGAAAAGTGAAAATAAAGGTATTATTCCTAGAGCAGTTGATCATCTTTTCCGTGGAATCCGAGAAAAGCAGCAAAAAGCCAAAGAAATGGGTATACCACCACCTGAATTTAAGGTTAATGTTCAGTTTTTGGAACTATATAATGAACACATTATTGACTTGTTAGCAGACGATTCTGGGACCAATATAAATCAAATTAAAATTCACGAAGATGCCTCTGGTGGTATTTACACTGTTAATACATGTGCACGAAGTGTTTCATCAGTTGAATCAACTTTAGATTGTTTAAAAAAAGGTTCTCTTTCTAGGACAACTGCTTCGACAAATATGAACAGTCAATCTTCAAGATCACATGCTATCTTCACCTTGTATATAAAACAACAAAGGATTGTGTCTCTAGATGATCATCTTAAACTGGGAGTTTCTAGTGATGGAACAATGCCTTCTCATGAATTCGAAACCTTAACTGCGAAATTCCACTTTGTAGATCTTGCTGGGTCAGAGAGACTCAAGCGAACCGGTGCAACGGGTGATAGAGCCAAAGAAGCTGTCTCCATTAATGCAGGTCTATTAGCTTTAGGTAATGTAATATCTGCTCTTGGTGATAAAAGAAAACAGGGTTGCCATGTTCCTTATCGTGATTCCAAATTAACTCGTTTACTGCAAGATTCCCTCGGCGGTAACAGTCAAACATTAATGATCGCATGCATATCACCGTCCGATAGGGATTTCATGGAGACTCTCAATACGCTAAGATATGCTAATAGGGCTAAGAATATCAAAAACAAGGTTGTTGCCAACCAAGATAAAGCTAGTGAAACAATTAACCTGCTTCGTAAGGAGATTCAACAATTACAATTGGAACTTATGGAGTACAAGCAGGGTAAAAGAATCATCGGTGAAGATGGTAATGAGCAAATCAATGATATGTATCATGAAAATACTATGCTTCAAAAGGAAATTGGTAATCTTAAGCTCAGAGTTAAAGCTCTTCAAGATACGAATGAAAGATTGATTGCACGCAATACCGAATTAACGCTAGAAAAAGCGACCGGAGGATGGATTACAAACGATGGTGAGCCAAGTGATCTTAAAGATATGGTGCAAAATTATCTTCGTGAGATCGAAGAGCTGAGAACCAAACTAATCGAGATGGAAGAAACTTGTTCTCAACTGAGGAAACAAGCTCAGCGTTCAACCATGAGCCGAATGTCAATGTCACCCTTTTCATCAACCGCTGTCGCTGTTGTTGGAAATTACGATGTTGCTGAAGAAACAGAGACTTGTGATACTATACTTAAAGAAGCTAAAAAAGAAATTGCCAAACAGAAAAAAATATCTCGTAATTTAAGTAAATCTTATAAAGATATTGATACAATATGTGAAACCAATGGTAATCGAAATATTGATGGTGATATAGAAAGGACAACCAGTGGAGGTACAAACCCATCTCCTATCAATGGTGAATCTGATAGTGGATGGGGTGGTGGAGGTACAGATGGTGCAACTGATGGAGGTACTGATGGTGGAGAAGATGATGAAGGTGGCAATGGTGCTTCATCATCCCCAGCATCAGATGAAAGTGATGCCAGTGATGAAGAATCTGATACCGAGTTTCAACTTGCTGAGCTTTCAAATGAGATCTCTGTAAAGGAAAAACTGATCATTGAACTGGAAAAAAGTCAAAGAAAGATGATGTCAATGAAACATCATTATGAAGAAAAGTTATTACAGTTACAAGCAAAAATCAATGAGATTGAATCTGAACGTGATCGTGTACTAGCAAAGTTGACCAACGTTGGATCAGGTGGTAATGATAAAGCAAAAAAGGTTCGGGATGATTACCAGCAAAAGTTGAATGCTCTACAGACGGAAATGAAAAAGCTTAAGATGGCCGAGAAAGAGCATGCTACTGCCATGAAAAGTCAATCAAAGTATGAATTACAATTGAGAAGTTTGAAAAATGAAGTTAGTGAGATGAAAAAGCAGAAAGTTGGTCTGTTAAAGAAGATGAAAGAAGAAGCCCAGCGTCATAAAGAAGCTGAGTCTAGGCAGAATAAAAAGCTCTCACAATTGGCTAAACAAGAGAGGCTGAAAGATGTTAAAATAAGAAATCTGGAAACAGAAGCTAATAGAGTTAAATCTCTTCTCAAACGTAAAGAAGACCAAGTTATGGCAATGAAGAAAATGATTAAACCCATGAGTGATAAAGTTGCTGGACGGGTCAAATCATCTAGTCGCATGAGAAAAGGATCTGAAAAATCATCCGTCGTTCGTTCCCCAAAAGTTATTAAACAAAAGTGGCAATCTATTGAGCAGGACATCAACAAGGTGATGATTTATAAGAAAAACATTGCAATTCATGAGCTGCAAATGGAACGTTTTCTTGCCCAGCGCCGTCGATTGGTACGAGAACGAGAAGATACTAAAGCAAAATTATCAGAGTCTAGAAGAGCCGGCAAAAGTGAAGATATTATTGCTGAACTGTTAGAAGAATTGGGTAACATTGAAGATAACATTCTCTATCTTAATCAAAATATAGATGAATGTCAATCAACAATTATGCAGCTAGAAGAAACTGCCGGTGATACACCTACTTTAGAAATGAACACTTTACTTGCTGATGTAGGATTAGAAGAGATGAAATACCTTTTTGAGAAAGTATTAACAATGGCAATAAATCAAAGTCTCCTTGCCGTTCAAAAGGAAGAGGAAGCACACGAGTACGAGATGAAATATAATCAACTCGAAGATAGTTCTGTAGCTCAAGAAAATCTACTAAACCTTTTACTGGACACCACATTTATTGAAGATACCAAAAGGCCGCCTACAGCTAATAGCAATAACAATAACAATAACAATAATATTAATAATAATGCATTTGAGGCACCGATAAATGGTAACAGTAATAACGAAACTATTGACAAATTAGGCACATCGAACACTCACGAGAAATACCACAATGGTGATACAGTTGGACCTTTAATGGGACCTTCATCTTCGTCAAGTGGGAATAACGTCAATGAAAATGGGTCAGGGCGACCTGAAAAAGCTCGACGATTAACCAAAACACCGCAAGAACTTTTATTCGAACAATCACGAAATTCGATTAACATGGCCGATGATCCTATGACTCAAAGTTTGGTCAACCCTATCTCAACACTAGCCAAAAATAATTCTGATCTCCATAGAGTTCCAAGTGCTCCGTCCTTAAAGTAAGTTTGATTTTGCTCTCTTAGTGACATTTAAGATACTTTTCTCCCACAATATTTTGATTTGTTTTCTTCTAATCATTTCACTTACTTGGGCTTTTCCCTTTCTCATTCCTTTTTTTGCTAAACAAACCTTTATTTGATCAACTTTTTTTCTTCTTGTAGCTATCACTTTATTCTTGTTTCACTTTTATCGATGTAATTGTAGGAGGCTTGTAGAATACAATTTATTTTGATTGATTGATTAGCTTAAATACTAACAAATATTACTTGATTGATTATTCGATCTTCAACTAGTCATTCCCATTATGCAAAACTGTACAAGCTGTTCAATTTAAACAAATTTTCTTTCCCATTTCTCTTTTAACCTTGTCCTTTTTGGTTAAATAATTAATTATTTGCTACTGCGTCTTCATTTTGAAAAAGCAAATAATAATAAATCATTTACTTATGTTTTGAATTGTCCATATTTAGGGATATATGCAAACCATCTTCTAGGATCGAATCGCCAATCCTTAAACGTAAAACTTTCGAAAAAAATCAATTACTCGAAACAAGACGTCTCATCAAACCAAGTTGTGTGTTATCTGTTTTCGGCAACAGTCCATCACAAACCCATGTTACTCGCCAAATATCATCGTGAGCTTCTTATCCTTTGCTTATTCAACTGTAATCCCCTCTCTCTCCTCTAAATCCGTGAAAATCTCTTTTTACTTCTCTATGTTTACCGTTTCGCATGATTCTCACCCTTCTTGGCCCATGTTGCCAAAACTAAATCAAAAGATTTGCTCGTTCAATGCATGTTCAATGTTTCTTTTCGCTGACTTGTCCTTGTTCCTCAAAGACCAATTCATTGATTGCACAGGCAAAATAATACAATAATAGAAATAGTAACAATACTTTAATTATAAATTATGTATGCGTTCTCACTTTTTTATTTCCATTCTCTTTTGATGGCAAGTTAATTGTTACCCTAAGAAGGATGCATTGAAAAATAACGATTGAATGGTGATCGTGATCAACTTCAATCAGCTTCTTTTTATTCACAACCACACATTGAAATAAGAACCTTTTTCTGCATCTCGATCCTGAACTTAAACTGATTTTATTGAACTAACACTTACCTCATCATCTTTTGTTTACCTTTACGTTTTCATGTTCTCTTTTTTGCCTGTTGTCTGTAACTCTACCCAGTGCTGTCTCACCTTTCTCACCTTTCTGTTTTTTCACTCATCTTCATCCATTCATTATCAACTTTTTTGTTTGCTCCTGTAAAAAATTTCCAATCTTTATCTTCCTTCTTGTGATCATTCAATCTCAATATTCCTTTTCTTCTTCCTGCCCGTTTACCTTTTTCAATTCAAACTACAATATTAATAATTCAACTTATCATCTTCCTTTCTCATCTAAAGTGAAACCAATGAAACAACTCCGCCTTCATCACCACAAATCTATCGCCGAAACAAGGAAGAAAATGTTTTCTCCAGGTTAACAAGTGGAACCATCTCTAACGGTCAAAATAACCCAGACAGGTACACATCATTAAAATTATAAATCCCTCTCGCTCAATTGAAATCTGATTTTACTCATTCTACTTGCATACAAAAACTTAATAAATAATTTTCTGTCTATTTTAGAGGAATAATGGTCCCGTGCACAAATCGAAGTTATGACAAATATTCGCCTCTTATATTGTCCTCAACCGCTGAAGGTCATAGTAGACCTGTACTTTCAGTCTCTCTCACTGATGATGTAATGTTCTCTGGGTCCAAAGATTGCACTGTTAAAATCTGGGATCTTCACACAGGCAGAGAAATTCAATCTCTAGAGGATCATCCAGACTCTGTGGTCAAAGTTGTCTACAATGAATATATTCGATTAGCTTTTTCAGTTTCCAAATCAATCATTAAAGTTTGGGATACAAGAGAAAATCCTGCTCGATGCATAAAAATTCTCAAGTACGAAAAATCGATATTTTTATTATTTATTCTCGCTTTGTTATCTCATTTTCCACCTTTCTCTTACTTTCTTTCCAATAAACCTATTTTTCTGTTTCATCACTAATTTTCTTTTAACAACCCATTTAATAATATAATAATTCTTTTACCATCTTTACCCTTTTGATTCACCATTTATAGTTCACTTGGACTCGCTGATGGATTGGTTGCATCGGCTGCACGGCCCAATGAATTAGGTCAAAATGAAAATAGAATTTTAGACATTCAACTTAACAAATACGGGACCGTACTATTTTCAACTTCTGGACATACGGTCCGAGTTTGGGATCTCAGAAAATACTATTGTATTGGAAAATTGAACACTTCTCATCAAGCTAATGTTATTTGTATGGCCGTGGAAGAGTCTGGCAATGATTCTAATATCGTTGCTACCGGGTCTAAAGATCATTACATCAAATTATTTGAAGTAATGGAAGATATTGGGGGCATTCATCAGCCCATTTGTACCTTGGATCCACCCCACTATGATGGCATTGAAGCCTTAACCTTATCAGGAGATTTATTATTCTCTGCCTCCAGGGATGCTTGCATCAAAAAGTGGGACTTAACCTTGCCCCATAAAAAGTTAGTTCAGTCTATTAACCAGGCCCACAAGGATTGGATTCAAGCGTTGGCGATCAAAAAGGGTGGGTCAACTTTGATTAGCGGTTGTCGAAGTGGGTTTGTCAAACTTTGGTCAACTGATACCTGTCAACCTCTTGGTGAATTGAGAGCCCATTCATCAGCAATACACGCAGTAGATGTTAATTCAAAACTTGTGGCTACTGGATCTGCGTAAGTTTAAACCCTTTAAACCATCAATACATTAGTATTTCCTCAATCATTAACAATAAAGAGCATTACACCTTTTTATGATGTACCGTGAACTTGCATTTTTGCAGTTAATTAATAGATAGAGTTTTTAATACAAAATATACCAATTTTATTTATTGCTATTTGCTGTTGATCGTAATACTGATCTCAAAAGATAAGCAAGAATAATAAAAAAAGTAAAAGTGACAGGTTGTGTGGGTAACATCACTTTATAATTCAAGGTTGCTGCTGATATTTTATTTTGTTGATTCCTGTCGTTTACCAAATAAAGTGATCTTACCCTTGACTTGATTTTTATACCTTAACTCGGTATTTGAAATTATCTAACTTGTTATCATTTCTTTCCTCTTCCTACAGAGACAACAATATTGGCCTTTTCAGGTGGAGAAGCAGTGCAGATCCGTCGCCTGATCTTTGTGATTACGAACCTTAAATGAGAAACTCTTTCAAAGGCAAAAGCAAATACGATAAACGATACACATCAAAACAATCAAACCTATTTCTTTCAATGGCGGGATGTGATGTTTTCAATGTATCGAAACTTGTCAACAATATTATCAGATACTTTATCGGTCTCTTTTTTAATATGTACTTTTAATACTTCGCCTTCCTCTTCACTCTCATCAACATCTTTGAAACATCAACACACATTTCTCATTCAAATCTAAACTTCACCTTAAACATAATCATCACTATATAATTGTCGTCTAGGCAATTGTCATGCCAAGCAACTACCTTCAAATGGTTACAATAATATTACCTTACCTATTTGTTTGTCCTTTTTATCTCAGAAACCATTTTTTTATTTGCATTTATTCCGACCAGTCACAGTTATCTAATTGTTTTGAGACAAAACAAAATAGCTGTAAATAGTTTTAAACATGTTTTCTTTGATTCTGTCAAGAGCGTATTTACCATTCCACAAATTTTTCATTTTTACTTCGATAAAATTTTTTTATCTCTTTCCTTTTTTACAAGTCAAAAGAGTCCAAAAAATGCATTCACCAAAATTAGATTTATAAATATCGATGGAATATATAAAGAAATACAAATTAACTACCAAATTTTACCGATGTCAAACTAAACCCAAACCAAATTCAACTTAAAGAAACTATTTTGTGAAACTAATCACCTGCTAAAGGAACCATCAAAAACTCAACAATCAGAGTCCTTTTTACCCTAATCATCGTCTACCAATCTCAACAATATTTAAACTCTATCAAATGAATAGAAAAAATGAGATGAAATTTAATGTTCTATTATATTGGTAGATAAAATTAAAGATACAAAAATTTTGGTCAAAATATCACAAAAGTCTGTCTTATTTCATACAAAAAGTCACAACACTTTGCAACCCTTGAGTAAATTTACTTGCCAAGCTTTTAATCTCACCAATATTTAACCGTAATATGTGTTTTCAAAAGTGATTAGTATTGAAGCTTAACCATTTCAATTTGATTCATCAAGCATAACTAGACAATCACCTCAGATTTATTAAGTTAAAAGTTATCTTAAATCATTCCAACCATGCAACATGGAAACGTCATACAATTGGTTTCACTTGATTATTGTTGAAACACAACAAACCAGTCTAGGTATTAACCATTATCAAAGCGCCTTCCATCAAATTACATTAGCAAAAATGCTTACAATTTCAACTTCACCTTCTAGCCATTCATTTATAATTTACTAATTCATTTCGCTTTTACATTGATTAATGATACCTAAAAATACGGGGTTGGATAATGTCTACACTCCTAACTTAAAAATAAAATTACCACAAGATTGAACACTGAAACAAACATCTTTGTCAATGATTAATAATTATTTTACTTGCAATTTAATTGTTAGTCATTTAGTCGATTTGTAGCAAATCAATATACAATGTTTTATTACAAGCCTTTTTTAATTGCAAGGTGAAGTTAAAGGTTGAATCCTGGTTTTCATTGAAACTGACTAGACTGATCAAGACTGATTAAACAGTGAATCGGCTAATGTTAATCATTGTGGATTTAAGTGCACAAATAGGTGACTATGTTATTGAAAAGCGAAATGATTAACATAATAAATAGGAAACAGAATGTAAATAAATGAATGTTTTGCTTGGATTTTGTGATTTCTAATGTAATATTGCATTGAAATTGTCAACCATAAACTTTTTTTTCAAGTAACTTGATTAATCGACTCAATGTTGGCTTAGATAAGTATAGTTGCATGCAAGACTCACTATTAAACTGTTAATAAATTACCTTGATAGTGATAATCATTTGTAAACATATCATCAACATTGTTACGAATTGCTGATATTTAGCGTTGGTTTTAACCTCAGCCTACGTTTAAATATTTCCTTGTATTAACAACACTAAATAAATGCTCTTGACATATGATTAATGATAACAATCAGCCGAGCAAAATCTGTCACAATTGTTGTTGAATATAAACTAATTTGTTTGTTCATCCGATTATGCAAAAGTGGAAAATCTTGTTAATTAATTAACCAAGCCATTTTTAAACATTTCTGGTTGCTTTTTGGGTTCAACTGAAAAGGTTTCAAATGACAAAGCCATTTTGAACTTCAATTGACATCAAATGAGATTAATGCATAAAGCTATTTTTATTAGTTAACTGGAATCCCTCATTTAACCATTTCAATCCCATTTATAAGCTGTTTAATTGTTACTCGATTGATGGTGACCTAAAAAATGAATTATGTTTAGATTAAATGAGAAACAAGATTGAAATCAATTGGGCAAATGAATTTATCTGGTTAATTAGCTGGTTCAATTAAAGAAGTCTAATTGTTTTCAGGATTCTCAATGAATAAATAATTTAGGTTAAAATTGTTAAATCAGATTCAAAATTAAAAATACTTGGATGCTAATTAAATTTGCATTGAATAAGATATTAATCAGTTTAATGTTTAGCTTTAAAAGACAATTATTACAAATCAGATTGTTCAATTAGTCCCTCTTCACCCTGCATTAAGTCAGTTAACACTGATTAGCTAGTGGTTACCATAACCATTGACTATTAATTGTTCATAAATCAAAATTTGGAGTTAACCAGTTTTTTTGTTTACAATTAAAATCAATAGATGACACTACCAATCATTTTTTGTTGAGTTTATTGAATGTTAAGCTCCATCTGTTGCTGAAAATTGTTATTTATTAAAGCTTATTAGCGGATTCATTAAAGCAACTTGATTAATTTGTTCATCCAAGAATTATTATTTTAATTTTGTGTTCAATCAAATGGATAAGTTTGTTGTCAAGGGGAAACAGATGATGAGATAATCAATGAGGATGGACAAATTGTACTGTTAAGCATGATTGAATATTGTTTGCTGATTATGGTTGACTAATGTTGAAAAAAAGTGGAAACAAAAAAAACGCAACTTTATTCAATAATTGTTTTCTTGTTCAAGGATTTGTCGAAGGCCGAAATCTAATGGTTTTGAAATTTGATTACAATACTAATGTACATTTAAATACTTTGTATATTTGCCATGGATGGGGCTTGAAACATTCAAAAGATTTGATCACCTGATGAGATTATTTCACACCATAACAAGCGAATCTAAAGAGGATCTCCTTATTCAATTGTTTTCAATCTAAACTCAAATCTTCCAACTTAGCAAAAATTCAAGTGTAATTAATTGCAGTGTAACTGTTGAGTAAAATTTTAATATCCTTCTCTAAACATTTACCATAAATGTAGCTTTCCAAATTGAAAAGGTTAACAAGGTTCATTTGATTGTTTCAAAGTCAAAAAGTAATTATCAATATGACCTGATAATTGATAAACATGATGATTTAGTAAACAGTAAAGATTAAGCTTAATGGTTCAACATGATAAAGGAAACCGTAAATCCAAAAGATCAAAGTCAAAACAAGCAAACAATCCGGAAGAGAAGTGAAAGTGACTCGGTCAAAGGCAAATTGTTTTTTTGACAAAACAACCTATTTTCAGGTCAATTGATTAATCTCTCTCTATCTGATTCATCAAAAGAGTATCAAAACAATTTAGTTAATGACATGTTTTACTTTTGTTTGTGCCATCCTTCTGATTGTTGTTTACAATAACATCGTTAGTTGCCCACATCGAGATAACACTGAATTTTGAGTAAGATAAAACCCGATTGTATGATATTGACTGTCATTGCTTCATTGTGTTATTAGCTTGGGAATAAATCAAATTAACCAAAACATTAATCGTAGATAATTATGTAATTTCCTGGATTCGCAGTTGATTTTCACAATTCACAACCAAGATGTAAATCAATGAGACTCATGTGATTTGGTTTAACAATTGTTTGATTCAAAGAGTTGATTCTTATGTAACGAGGAAAGCTTGGTTACTTTCATGAAAACATTGTAAAAATAATCAAGATTGTTAGATATGATTGAAAGAAACAACAATGTCTGTTTTTTCCCAACGATTCAGGTTGATCAAGCTTTAAATGTAAAGTCCAATCGAAAATAAACACGTCGCTAATTTATCAATCAACACAATCAAGGCCTTTTTAACTAATCATAAGATTGATCACGAGAAATTGATCTAAAAAGTTACAACTGTTTCAAGTATTCGGAAATCCTGTTCCTGAAATTGAAATCAATTTCCAAATGAAAATTAATGCTCAATTTAGCTCAATTGCTAGTGACATAAAAAAGCGTAATCAATAAATTATCAGCTACAAATAGATTAAATCACTATTGATCAACAATTTCTCTGTGTAATCTGCAACGGAATCAGCTTTTCGCTTTTCTCAAACTGTCCATATTGGGAAATGAAAGTCAAATGAACAATTAAAAGATGTTTGCCTTTAATAAAAAAGACTAATTGTATCATAGTATAAACTTGATTGAAACGTCACTTGACTAAAACAATGTTATATTGCTTTCTTGTCCTTCATTGTTTTTGTTGTATATTAACATGCGATAATCAGGTTGGTTGTAACCAAAGATATATTTAATATTTTGTACACCATATGATGAGTGAAACCCAAAAAATGCTTCAATTGATGGGGATGATTTTGATAACATGAAACTGTAATGGAAAGATGATGTTTGTGTGCAACAAAAGCACATGCAATGAATATTGTTGTTGAAGGAGGGTTGATTTGTGTAAACAAAACAGGTCCAACAAGAAAGTCATGTGTAGTTAACTATTGCAATTACATTTGATAATAAATGTGATTCCTATGCTTTATTTATAATTATGTCCTTTATTCACTTTGCTTTTCGTGAGTGTGTTTCATCAGTGTTTCAATTCACCAGGAATCTTTGTGTGTTTTTCCTTGTTGCCAAACATGGTCAAGTCTAGTGAATAAAATAGACAGAAATGGAGAAATAGAAAAAGAAAGAGAGAAAAATTAAGAAGGAGGAGGAAAGAGGCAACATAATAACATGATAACACAAATACGGAGGAGTGATAATTGTTGCCGTTTGATTAATGGTAGGAAAGAGCAAGAAAAGTTTAAGGTTAATTTTTCTTCATTTTTTCCCTCCGGCTGGTTGCTGTTGTTGTTGAATCGCAGTCATCTTTCACGTATAAAATTTTAAGTTTTCAGTGTCAGTTGAGTTTAATCTTGGAACCACCAGCTTTTGAGAGTGTATTCCCAGAATTTGTAACAAAAAATTTGAAGAAATTGCGAGCTTAAGAAATTTGGTCTGCATCTCGGATGAATATTTTTCCCATTGAGGGTAAAATTTGAACTTGACAGGGTTGAGGGTCAAAGGCCTCACCGTCAATTGAAAGTGTACCACCAGAGGTGAGAGGTTCTAAGCGGAAAGCACGAACGGGTATTATTTTCACGTAAGGCAAATCAGTGTGACGAGCACTTTCCAGGGAAGACAGGAATCGCAGAAGATTTTTAATGGACACTTTACTGGTTATATATGCTAACCAAATGATGCCATCGGCTAATTCAGAATGTGGAGCAAAATGAACGGTCGGTGAAAGATGAGACTGACTAGCTGATTGTACCATGATAAAATCATCTTCAATTGTTGTCCAATTAGAAGGTACTGCTTCCCATAAAGGTGGAATGTAATCATTTTGATTTGGAGATGGTGATGAACAGGCATCATCATTTTCACCAACATTACCAGAGTCATTGTGAGTATCATTTGAAGGTTCCTCATGTCTTTTAGAGGAATTTGTTTCGTTATTATCTCCAGTTTGCTTCACTTCAATCTCAATTGTATCTGATCCATGTTTCTTCAGGTTGGTCAATGTTTTGTTATCGACAGGTAAATAACTTAGTCTACCTCGATAAGTTTTGGGCACTGAAACGAAAAGAAAGAATACGTAAGCATTTTATAAATAATAAATGAATGGATATAAGAAAAAAAATATATCTACCGAAGCTTCGATAGATTGACCATAAGACGAAACGAGAATCTCCTATGAATCGAAGTCCCTCTGATTCAATGTCAATGTCGGAAATCAGTCCCCAGCCAACTGAGAGAAACGAGTATAGCTTTTGTCTGGGGAGGGAAACTTCGACTAAGTCGACAGGACATGGTTTACCAAATACCGCATTCAGTGCTCCAGATGTTATTGGATCGGGTGTGTCATTTGAGCTGTTATAAGCATAAATAAGCATTAATTATTGATTGGCAATAAAGAGGATGGAGATAATAGGAAAGTGAAATAATGTCAAAAGTGTAATGAAAGAAATGATAAATGTCAATCAAATATTTTAAAAATAGATAGACATCAAAAAAGAAGCTGATCTTGAATATTTTTACCTGAAATACATTTCACCAATTTTTTATGAATTCGTAGACAAAAGATCATTGTTAAAGCGATATTTGACAAGTTTCGAATGGTACTACATTTGTATTATGTAAAAACAATGGGAGAAGTATAATGAAATAAGATAAATCAATGGAGATTGTCTGATTTTATCCGAAGAGTTATTAAAAAATTATTTTGTATACTGTACAGCTATTTGAGTTAACTACAAAAAATATATATTCACTTGTCAGGTCGAGATTAATTTCGAATCGGTAAATTATCGCGTTCAATACGCCTCTTAACCAAGATAATAGGGTTAACGTAATTACCTTAAGATAAGATTTTTCAACAAATGAAGCAAACAAGACCTGGTAACCAGTTAAATTCCGTACTTCAAAGTAAAACAGTACACTGAAAGTTATAGAAAGATGAAAATTATTCAATAGCTGGAAAGCTTTCCAATAGAAAAGGGTGAAATGAAAGCGCAATCACCTTACATACTAACAAGTTGAAAGTAGAAGCAAAAATCGGTTAAATATCCAACCATCAATCAAGCCAAACAATAAAGCAATACTGGCAACAACTCAAATTGCGAGATATACTGAATTGACCAGAAAACAAAAAGGTAAAAAGAGCATAATAACATTTAAATGAAATAAACAAGGCTATTGGGATACACACACACATACTGTATGTAGTGTGCATATGTTAAGATAAAATACAGAGAAACTATCAGGTTGAATCCAATCTCAAAATATTCGAGATACTCATCACCACAGGATTTAAGGCTGAGAGGTTAGAATTATTGGCGAAGATATGAGGAAAATGGACTAACCTTGTTTTAAAATCCAGTGTGGCAGCCAACCCATTCCCAGATCCAGCGGGAATTATACCAACAGGTATTTGGATTGCCTTCTGCCAATCATCACGTAACATAAGTCCATTGAAAACTTCAAAGAGTAAACCGTCACCAGAAACAACGACAATACCATCCCAATGGTAAATATCTGTGAGATCTTTAATTAAATCTTGAGCACCATTTTTATAGTTAGTTGTGATCACTTGATGGGTTATACCAGCTTCTTGAAGGATAGGTTGCACTTTTTTCTTGAATTTGTTGGGAGCTTTACCAGAACCACTGAATGGATTGATCAATATCAAAAGTCTACGATTCCTGGAGGTTGATAAGGATGATGAATTGTGATGGTTAACAGTAGTAGGTAATGTCATCCTCACTAAAGGTGTTTTACGTTGAGTAGAAATGAAAACAGCAAACAATACAAGTGAAAGATGAAAAAACACAGGTGCAGGTGAGAAACCCAAACAATAAGATGAAAATATGGTCAAGAGGTGAAACCAGAACAGTAGTAAGTGTGAAAAGACTTACAATAATAAGGAGCTTTATCTGGCGGGTTTTACAATGATCGATATGTTATCACCCAAAATTAGACAACACGTTGAGACATGGATAATGTATATTACCCAGCAATAACTAACAGATAATATAATGGCGATGTTGTGGTACAAATGTGGATATTTTCAATTGACAAAAATTACAAAAATTGACACAAAATTTATTGTTCAACTGACTGATATTAAATAAAAAATAGAGAGAAACTTTTTCCCTCATTCATTTCATACAACCTTCTACTCTCTCTCCCCTTCTCTTTATCTTCAGGCTCTCACTCATTATCTATCTCTCTCTGCCTCTTTTTTTCTTCATCTTCAAATCCATCCGAATGTTTCTTTCTATGTCTCTGTTTTTAACCCAGACTTTTAACTATATTTTGCCAATCCTGTCAATAACAAAAAATCGGATGAGTACCTATTAAACAGGTTGTACTAAATTATTTTTTACCTTTTGATGATCTAAAATTGTAGCTCAGGAAGAAAGGTGAAAGTTGTGGCTTAGGTCAACATTAGATGGCTTATTCCTTCAAAGATGTAACCATTCAGTTTCACACAATCTAATCGAAATCTTGAACATGCAAACCAAAAGAAAGAGAAAGATGGACCCAGAAATTATTTTCCTGCAGCTTCTTAACCAGACTGGTTAAAAAGTCTGTTTGGTTAAAGGGTCAAGTCAGGTAGCTGCGTAAAAGTGATTGGCTTGATTAACACTGGACCAGTTTGTAAGTAAATTAATAATAAGAAAATTTGTTGGTTTGTTACTCAGTATTTTGAAAATATCAGGATATGAAACTTCAGGATCTCGACCTTCCCATAAAACAATGTGTTCTTGAATTTTCGTTGAATACGTAAAATTTAATGCTTGAAGATACAAAAACACAGAATTAAATCAAGCGGTGTAAAGATTACGCGATTATTCAATAACTGATTACAAATAACAGGTTGCATAAGGCGATAATTGATGAAATTAGAGTAATCTCGGTTAAACTCAAGCAACCATTTAACCGCCAAATTCGAAGTGAGTAAATTTGAATAAGTTTTAAGGAAATGATTTAGCTTTACATGACAATATAGCCAATTGTAAATACTACTGTACTTGAAATTGGTTTCATGCAATGAAATTGGATCAAAATTTGTCATATATACAACTAATTGAATCAATATTTCCGGAGGAAATATCTCATTTCCATCGCAGTATAACCAAAGCTGTGAATGATTGAGAGAACTGAATTCATTGTAAAAATACTATCCTATCCGGCCAATTGATTGAAAATAAACCATTACGAAATTAATTTAATTGAAACATTGATTTTTTGAGTACACGAGGGCATCAATTATTTTCAATTATCAACCTTTAAAAACCAAATAATAAATTGTGAGAATGATATCTGAGAGTATTCTCTATTTCTAATAGTTTAATAGGACTCATTAGAATTCAATTCAAGACTACAAAATAAATCTTTTGAGAAACATAGAGATTAAAATGGAAAGCACCAGCAACCAAAACCATTGCCCAACCAACACAAACGGTGTAGTTAGATCATAATTAGATGAGAATCAGAATCAAAGTCTTTAAACGGTTTGAACGTAAATTAGGCTTGATGAGTTTAATTTACTGGAGTTACTTAGTAACTGCACTGTGAATTGATTTGGCCATATAATCGATGTTTGATTTGTTAATTCCACACATTGATATCCGAGCACTTTTAGGCAAGTAGATATGACATTGTTCAACAAGATATTTAACTTGATCCTCGTTAAGACCGAGATAAGAGAACATTCCAATTTGATCAGTAATGTGATTCCAAGAACCTGGTGTATTTAGAGCTTCTAATTTTTCCCGTAGAGATTTTCGTACCTCGATGATTCTATTAGCCATAATTTTGATTTGTTCTTGCCTGAAATAATGAATACAAGTGATTAAAATGACAACATCAAACCAGAAAGACAGCGAGAAAGGAGGGTTCTTACCATTCCGCAAAAAGCTTTTGATCTGTGAGAACTCGTTTGACAATACGAGCACCATGTGCAGGTGGATTTGAGTAGTTACCTCGAACGATCAAAGTGATTTGGGCTTTCATGTTAGTTATTACTTTGGGGTCCTTGACAACACATGTTAAATTACCGGCTCGCTCATCTAGGAGAATCGTTGAAATAGAGAGAAATTAGATAAACGAAAAGTTACACTAAGCTGTTTACTCACTGTATAATCCGAAATTTTTAGCGAAAGATTGAGCACAAATAAATTCAAATCCTTGTTGGACAAAATATCGAACTGCGTATGCATCTGTATCCAAATCACCTGAAGCAAATCCTTGATAAGCGCAATCGAAGAATGCGAAAAGTTGCTTTTCCCTCAATAGATTGGCAATTTTTGCCCATTGTTCAGGTGTAGGATCACATCCAGTAGGGTTATGTGCTACAGCGTGCAATATAATAACCGATTTTGCTGGAGCTTGTGACAAATCTTCCATCATTCCATTAAAATCCAGACATCGATTTTTAGCGTCCCAATAACGATAAGTTTTGATATTACTATAGCCCGAATGATTGAATAACAATTGATGGTTAGCTATTATGAAAGAAAAAAAATTGAATTATAATGTTAAAACAATATACCGTTGACTAGCTGAAGTTTACTTTCAATTGCGATCAATGAAAAAGGGACTGCTCCATGCAAAGAAAATAATAACTTGAATTGAATTGCACCAATAGTTTAAAATCTCATCTGTGGATAATATTAAAATTGGTATTTCAATACATGGTTATCTAGATATAATAATTAAATATTTCGACTGAATTTGATATCAAAATTGCTAAATCAAACTTCAAGGATCGAGCTTCTCCATTTTGCATCGGTGTAGTCTTAGTAGATCGCAATTTCAGGTAAGAACAGGTAGTCGACGGTCTAAATAGACGAGTAAATTATAATACTTACGCCAAGACGGAGCAGATATGTAAACAGTATCATAGCCTAGACAACGTCTTAAGAAATCAGCTCCAATTTTCAAAGCTCCTGTACCACTAATAGATTGTACACCAAAAGCTCGACCTTCCTTCAGAGCAATAGAGTCTTTACCAAGTACCAAGGTAGTTGCAGCATTGGAATAGTCTGGATCACCAAGCATGTCAAGGTATTCATGGTTAAGATTTTCATCGGCAGCCATTTCACTTTCAACCTTCCGCACCACAGGTAAAACCCATGGTTTACCATTTTCATCCCGGTAAGCTAATCAAAGTAAACAGATGAAACAATATTTAGAAAATTCTGATTTCACAAGAGGTCACATCGATGATAAAGAGTTGTGATGAGTATACGTCATCAGTTAATCACAAAAAATTGACATTAAACCAAAATGAGTAAAATAAAAGAAAAATTTGTACCTCCTTTAGTCAGTTCAATTTTTTCAGGAAAAGGATCTTCGAGACATAAACGAGATAAGTGAAATGTTTCCACAACTCTGGCCGGTTCAACACAAGCAAATATACTCATTTTGAGTGGTTTCACGACAAATCAATAGCTAGAAATATTGCAAAGACTTTCAATGAATCAATAATCTAAGATCTGTGATCAAAAAATAACGCAGACGAAGTCTACTTGCAGAAAACTAGTTTTAGTGAGATTATTATATAGATTCGATTGATATCTCTTATCGGAATCGATTGATAACAATATATAATCTTGTTGTCGTCAATATGTAAATTCAGATCAATTGATATTGAAGGAACAATAATTGATTGATATCAAACAGGTATTATTAACATTCCAGAATTGGTTCATGTTGCTATACATACCTTTTTGTTCAACCAAAATCACAAATCTATTGTTCAAAACAAGATTTTTCAAAACTAAAGTATCAGTTTAGATTCAAATAAACCCGATTTGACTGAGGCATGAGAATTAAGTCCTAATGATAGGTTATGTAAATATTTTCCAGAACATTAATCAAACCAAACTAAGCCAGGATCAAGACATTAAAACACAACCGGCTAAAACAGGGAAAACTATTTCAAAAAATTACATGTGACTCCTTTTAAAAATTATGTAAATATAATTGATTGACTTTCAGCGCAAAATTCAAACAAAGATGTTCTCAAAAATTTGATTTTCCATAAAATCTTAGCTGAAGCTGAATTAAATTTAATCTAAAAAATATTAAGCATTATTTATGAATTTAAATATCTAGATGTGATGTAATGAAGATTAACGATTAATAAAAACATTCCTACTTAACGCTTATGACGTTTGAATGGTAATGATCGTGCATCATGTAACGATCAAAAATTCATTCGAGCCTCAACTCAAGCCAATCTTTTACAGAAATAGAAAGTAGATTCGTTCGTGGCTAATTATATAATATTTGCCAATATTTAAAACAGCGTATTTCTTGATCTTAACATAAGCACATATTAACTTGGCAATGAACAATATGTTACCATAGATTAACAATATTTGCACTAGTCCAAGGACATCTGGAATTTTATCACGCGGTGGTTTGATTAAATCAATTCTATTGAATTTGATTAAGGTTAAGATAAGAAACGTGAAAGGACAAAAAAGGAGAAGGACTTAAATATCAAATATGGACTAATTTGGTTGAGAAGAGGTTTTCATGAATATTATTTTACAAGGAAATCGTCATTACCTCCAATACTGAGATTCATTTTATTTGCTGATGTGTCAGCGACAAATTTTTGTGCTAAAATAAAGATCTCCACCGGTTGGGCACTTTGGACACATTCAAAGACAGACATTTTGGGTTGATTAGTCGATTGATTCACAAAGATTGAAGAAATGAAAGGCGAAACAATGTATAGTTGATAGCTTTTAAAACTGTTGGTTACTGGTTATTGATTGATAAATAAATAAAATTTGCAGATGACTTTGAAAGGATGATTGGGAAAATCAGCTATAATCAGGATAGCAATGAGAAGTTTAAATTCATGGTTCAGGGTAAAGCTTTGAAACAAAATACATTCAAGTTATTACATGGGAAAACACTGTTCAAGGTTAGAGTAATATATTAACAGCTCGAGCTTTAAGGTGGCATTAAAATCAGCTCAGCTCTAGTAAAGCGGTTTTTTCAACAATTTTCATCTCAAATTATCGCATTTAATCAATAATTAGCTGAAATTAATATCAATGAAACATTTATTGACCATCAAACAATCTGACCAATAAGACACTCCTCCAAGGCGACCCAAAAGAGGAAAAGACAAGTGTAACAAATTGTAATGAAAATGTAAGCCTTTTCCTCATTCCTTGTTTACAAGAACTAGAATTATTATGCCTTTAAAAATTTATTATCAGGTGAAAACCAATTTAAATGAACTCCGATAGAACCAATAGCTATAATAATATAAAAAATTGGCAGAAATTTGTGTTTGCAGCTCATCAAAATAAACCAGCCGCTGGTAGGTGATATTCAACGGAATCTATGATAGTCCTCAGTTTTCCTGAATCAGATGTGCTTACACCAAGCACTAGCAAGTTTTAAGATGAACCCAATGTTAGGCCATCAACATTGTCAAACAGCGATATTTTTAAAAGGCATATTTCAATCATCATATCTAACATGTTACCCAGCTTAACACGGAAGTCTCAATTGATTTCAATATGACTATTAGTTGATTCAAATAATTGCTGAGTTTTATGATTGAAAGTTAACGGAACCTGATGAGAGGTCAGATCTTTCTCTCTTATTCTCACTCTCTATCTCTTTTTCCACACCTTGAAAGATCAATTTGAATGAAAATGAAAATAAATAATAGGAAGGAAAAAAATGACAGATCAACTGTTAAAGGGTTGAATATCCTGAGGTTGGACCAGTGATGGGTTTGTAGATGGTTTTGATTCAAGTTAAGGTTAGATGTTGCTTTAGTATAACGGTTATTTTATTGATACAAGTAAGTTCACCAAAATTTACACTCATTTTCAAAAGCAAAGTAACATTTAAAATCAGTTTCTCATTTCTATCCATTGAATGTTTACAATCAAATTTAACTCTCAACTAATTTAAGCTTTTAACTAATTGATTACCTTTAAACTGAATTCATTTCCATTTTACATTCACAGTAGAAACAACCTTTTTAACTAAACCTTTTTAAGTTTACCAACAGGACAATCATCAGACGGATTGTACACCAACACAAAGTATTAATAAATCTACAATTTACTTGATTTGATTAGAGGTGATCTGTTTAACTCTCTTTTTCAATTTCCATCCAAGTTCAAGTTAATCATTTAAAAACAGTTAACATGATTATATTTGGTAAAAGTGTTACCAATCTTTGGATTACTTTCTTCTTGTGTATTGCTTTGTGTTACCAGATTGCCAATGGTGATCAAAAATGCCGTGTACCACGATATATTGCGTGTAAAAAAGGTGACACTTATTATGGGCGTTTATGTGTCCGACAATGTAGTCGGAAAGGTGTTTGTGTCCCTTGTGAATACATAACAGATGAGTATGAAGGTCCAAAGGCAATTAAATATTACATTAATTTGTGTAAACAACATTATCCGGATTCTGAGAGTTTTGTTGCTCCAATATCACAGTGTTGGGTTTCAGTGGATTAACATAAACGTAACAATCGCCATATAAACTTATAATTCGTCCAAGTTCAATTTAATGAGGAATCATCGTTTTTTTAACTCACAATTTCCATCAAATAACATTCTAAAATCATCATTTCGCTTTACTTGAAGTCCTATGGTTAAATTGTATTGTTCAATTCATTTCTTTTGTATTTCTCATTGACCTGAAATGAAAAAAAAGATGGTAATGTTAATTCAATTTAATACATTATATTGATTCTGAACTTGATTGAGGATAAACTGGTACCGATAACCATATATGGTGACAGCTTGAATCCATCCTACACTTTTATTAAAATAAATGCCGATAACCATTGACATTATACCAAGCTAAACCAGTTAGTTTGTGTTAGTCTTGAGAATAAAACCAATTGTAAAATAACGTGCTTTTTCTATGAATAAAATTATTTATATTTTCTTGTTATTAATGATTTTTGATAAATTTTAAAAAATGCGAGTTTTAGCGAAAAAAACATTTATTAAGATCCATGGAGAACAGATAAACAATGGTTCACACTAAATTGGGCAATGTCTATTTGGGTAAAATGAATAAAGGTAACGAATATTTTCACTGATTATGTAAATTTTCTCTTGAGGTTACCAACGGGTAAATGACCAGGTCTTTAGATGTAGTAGCATTTTCAATACTAATATCCAACATCATATCGAGAACGTTTACGAGCTTTGAGTCCTTCAAAAAAGTCATCGATATCTTCTCGGCGAACAACTTTCTTATTATCAGCAAACTTTTTCAAGTAAGTTTTCAATTCTTCGGCCATAAAATTGCATTCCTGGATGGCTTCAATGGTTGAAACTCTATCCATCTTGTTTATCTCATTTAGTCCTCTCTCATATTGACTTATTTGGATGCTCTTTTCTTTACCTTGTTTCTCGTAAAAAGAAACTGTGTCAGTTTCATCACATATAAAGGCGCAGCCAAGACTTGAGTATTTTTTCAAGCAAGCAGTACACTTGCAAAGATTGGATCGCCAACCCTCTTCCCAGAAAGTGGCTCCTTTTAGGGTATCGATTGTGATCGAAGATTGGAGAGATTCAAGTTTACAATTAGTAGAAGAAGGTGACACAATAGAATCGCAAGAGCTTTCAATCCCAGAGTCAATGTTATCAGCATTGGAGGATTTACTATCCGATTCTGTTTCTTCAGTTTGACTTGAGGTGGCTGAAGATGTGGAGGGATTTGGGGCGATATTATTTTCAGACGATGAAGGTTCTTGTGCAGATGAAACGATTGGTTTTTGATCGGCTTGTGAACTAGCTTGCTGTTTTTGATTGATTTGTGCATTGTCTTCAGATGACTTTAGAGTATCTTTATAATAATACCATAAAAAGTCAAGTTTAGTCATACAAGGGCTACAAACCATTTCTGCGAAACCTTTTTCCTCTGGAATTTCACTTTCGAGATGTTTATCGTGGAACCAATCTTCACAAACAATGCATTGGTACATCGCATCATCGTTGTCCGGGTCAGGATAAGGGCGGTTGCAAGTACAGTATAGACCAGAGAAATTGTGGTTATACTTATTATCTGGGTTTGTGGCACTCTTGGTTGGACATAAATTACATTTAGAACCAGCCATTTTAGAATTACCACAATCACATCGGAATGAACGTTTAGTATATAATTCGTAAAGATCATGACCCTCATGACAAGCATAAGTACAGGCTAAGCAAATGCCATTTGGTTCACCAGCTGAGGGCTTACAGGTATTACATGCATATAATGCTTGACGAACAACATATCCACGTAAATATGTACAATCTTTTTCATCAGAACCACCAAGAACAGCAAAGGCATCGTCCTCTAACTGCTTCTCTTCTTCTAAAACGTCCATCATGGTAATAACATTTTCACAATCCTCGTCACCAGCAGCTTCTGGATCTTGCAAGTCATCAATAGCTTCTTCTTTTTTAACAACCCCAGTTGCATCTAGTGACGATGAGACAGGTTCAAGAGACTTGACCTCACTTTCTGACATAATTAAAATCACAATTAAAAAATACTTTTAATAGAAATCCAATAAATTTTAAGATTATTCAAGACAAAGAGTTTAACTGATCTAAAATAGAGCGAAAAAAAATAAATGCCCGCCTTGACTAAAGCTGCCATCTATTGATAGGCAAACAAACTATCCTTAATCAACCAATTTGATTGAAAATTGACATTTTTTGATCAAATCAAAATATTCCAAAACGGATAATTAGAAATTCATTTGGTGAAAGCCATAGAGATTCTTTCAAACAGAAAAAACAACCAATCAACGTAAATCGCGACAGAATCGAACCAGAATCAAGTTAATGCACAGTGCACAGTAGTTCTGTATTTTAAAAATGTCACCAAAAGTCAATCCAAATGAAGATTATCCGAGATTTAATACCTCAGCAATTTTAATTAATTTTTACAATCAAAGCTGAAGCATAAAAACTAATTGATTTTGACCTTTATGGTGATCTAATCATCGATTCAATATCGACCAACAATTTTGACAAATGATACTTGAAAAGTGTCTGTCAGCACTTTTATATGTATCGAACACATGTAATCTCAAGAAGCTAAGGTAGAAAAGCTAACAACAAGCTGTAAGCTAATCCTTAATCAATTAACATTAAAAAATCAAAATTTCAATTTTAATCATTAGCTTCAATTAGATAATAAATTAACCAAATTATTTGGTAGCTAGGATAGTTCAAAGAAAAATAAATAACTTGATGAGCAAGTACGATATGATTTATAAAAGTACAAGCACTTACTGAATGTTTTTTCATCAACTTGGTTTGCCCAAAAGTGTTTGTCCACCAATCTTTCGCCATCGTATTTTAATTGCTATCATTTAGCGCGTCATTTAATATACATAAAAATACAGACCACAAAAGTAATGGTAATAATTTGACAAAACTAGGGTTGATTATGAGTATTGTGGTTTTAATGGTGAAATTTTTCAATTTGAACAGGTCGATTTGTAGCTTGTCAGCTGATTGTGGCAATGAGAAAGAAAGAGAAAATTAACCAAGATTTACTAGCTTATGGAGCGATCATTAAGTCGATTAAAAGACGAGATGAACTGATAGATTTATTTGTTTAAAACCACTTGATAAAAATTAAAATTATCATTTGTCAGTTTGATAGTTTCAATTTTTATCGACATGATTCAGTAACAACTTTGTCAATATTACCATTTGATACTTTGACCCTGATATTGGAAGAAAGAGGGAGAAAAGAGAGACAGAGAGAGAGAGAGAGAGATGAGATGTGTAAATAAAAGATTAGAAACATAGTGAAAAGGAAAGAGAATAAAACTCTGAAGGTTTTTCAAGAGGCGTTAATCATGTTAATAACGATTAAACTTTGACAATCAGTGGATTGTCTTTTCTAGCAATTAGACTAATCTTTACCTTCATTCCTTGGTCTATTGATGGTTAAAGTTACTTCTTTGTGCAGCTAACCAACATCGTTCGCCATTGTTTTAGAGTTGCTCTTTTATTTTTCTATGTTGGTTGTCCTGAACATATGGTCTCAGCCTTTTCCGGTGTTATTCTTCTTCTTTTCGTTCTGTGATAATTAATATTGTGATTTACTAATCTGTCTAACACTTCTGTTGCTTCAGTATAAACATCTAATAATATTATGTTGAATTAAGACCAGAAGTGGTTTTGTTTTGCTACCAGCCTACCACCAGTTTTGCCATCTTGCTTTTGTAGGAAAATTAGCCTTTTTTGATTTGACATTACATGCAACTGATTTTGGATCATGGATTACAGTAGTGAACATGGTAAGTCAATTAGTTAATTTGTATTTTTTGGTAGATTGCAAGTTGCAATTTCAATACAAAAGAACAATTAGTCATTTTTCTTATTTTTTTCTCAAAATCTAGAGCCTATTCTTGAGAGAAACTATGTGTCATTCTGGGAAAAATTGTCCAATCCAAAATATGCCCCTCATCGTTACATTGTACTGGTCGTTTTGTGCCTCATCAATTTAGGTATTTAATAATGATTCATAATTTTAGCATTTATGTTTATTATATTCAAATATGCCACTATAATAATTACTTCTTTCTTTATCAAATATTTAGGAAATTATTATATTTATGATAACCCAGCAGCACTTGAGACTGAGATTACTAGAGATCTGGTCATTTCCACTTCACAATATACAACATTATATTCACTCTACTCATGGCCTAATGTAATTTTGGGTCTCTTTGGAGGATATCTTCTTGACAAAGTCATTGGTTTAAGAATCGGCACCATAATATTTTCTCTATTCGTTTGTTTTGGTCAGTTGGTATTTGCTTTAGGAGCTTTTCTCAACACCTTCTGGGTTATGCAATTAGGCCGTTTTATATTTGGATTAGGAGGTGAAAATCTCTCTGTTGCTGTCAATGCTTATGCGGTTAGCTGGTATAAAGGATCTGAATTAAACATGGCCTTTGGCTTAATGATGAGTATCTCTCGATTAGGAAGCACAGTCAATTTTAAAACTATGGTCCATATCTACAATTTTTTTGAGAAATACTATACTGGTTACAAGTGCCTAGGTCTTACTTTGCTATTTGCTGTTAGTTTCTGTATTTTCTCTCTGATAATGGGCCTTTTAATGGCTTATTTTGATAAAAGAGCCGAAAGAATACTCAAAAAAGAGCCACCCAAAGCTGGAGAAGAAATGAAATTCCAAGATGTCTTTCACTTTGGGCTTGATTTTTGGATGGTTTCGTTCATTTGCGTCCTTTATTATATTACAATCTTCCCTTTTATTGGACTTGGAACGTAAGTCGTGTATCAATGATTCTAATTTATGGAGTGGATTTTTCGATTTCTAATATTTTTTCTACCTTTTTACAGAGTTTTCTTTTTGAGAAAATATGGTGTGAGTGAGGACTCCGCTGATAGTATAAATAGTTCTGTTTACACTATATCAGCTATAGTCTCACCCATATTAGGAATACTCATTGATAAAGTTGGTCGTTGTATTTCTTTTGTGTTTGCTGGAACCGCAGTTACATTACTTGGACATGGTCTTTTAGCTTTTAGCTTTGTAAATCCATGGGTTGGAATCGTTTGTCTCGGATTTGGTTATTCGACTATAGCTTGCGCACTATGGCCATTAATTCCAGATATTGTTCCAGAATTTAGGCTTGGAACAGCATATGGTGTAGTTCAATGTGTACAAAATCTCGGACTAGCTTTAGCCAATATGGCTGCTGGTCACATTGTTGACTCTCGAGGTTTCCTCGCATTGCAATGCTTTTTCATAATCTCGCTCGTAGGTTAGTTGATCGTGAACTTTAACAATGTTTCATGTTAAAATCTTAATCACAAAATTAATTTTTACTAATTTCTTCTTGTCTTTTCTTTTTTTCAGTTTGTCTCATCTTGATTATCTTCTTATTTTTATCTAACTTCAACAAAGGAGGAATTCTTAATATCTCCGCTAAAAAGCGTGCAGCTATGACAGAGGCGAAAAGGTGAGCAGATTTTAATTTTGTTTAGTTTCCTTTGTAATCAAGTTACAAGGATACTTCTCCGAGCAATTGGATCTCATCGTTCTAAGTGGTGATATGCAGAATGTGGTGAACCCTTCCTCAATTGATTTAAAATTTTCCGGAGCTTAAAAACAATGCAGTTACAGTTTGCTTGTTTAAGCAACAGCAGGATAAATGCGACCCAAAAAGGACAAATGATTAAACAACTTGCTGTTATTTTGTTTCTTTCGTGTTTCACTGAAGTTTTATTGGTTTTTAAAAGGTGAACTAGCGAAGTTGTTTAAGAATTTGACCTTTTAGGTTCGAATTTTTCTTTCTGTCGTTCAAGCAAACAAAATTAGCTGTGTAATATTAGACTATTCAGGATAAGTAATTCGAGGAAATTTATTTAGAATATCTCAATTAAAATCAGACTATATCTATTCATATATTACTTTTACTCTCTGTTCCATAAAATGGTTTCTCGCTGAATATGAATCCGGGTCTTTTTAAACTCGATTGACTTTTTTGTAAATTGTATCTGTTTATAGTTCATTTCAAAAAATGTAGCCAGTCATTTTATTTTATAGAGACTGATGATTTTTCATTTATTCACCCCTACTTGTATCAGATTAACTGAATCGATTGAATTCACTGTAAAGTTAATATATAAAAATATCATGATAAAAAGCTTAGATAATAAGATAGCTTTTAGATTATTACCATGATCTAGGTATCCAAATAGCGTATACTGTGAAATTTGAGTAATAGGAGATAGGATGAATCATTAATTTTAACGAAATTACATTAATAGTTCTTACGATTTTTGCAGCAAAACTCTTTAGAGACTTTAAACATTCAAATTTACATGTAACATTTCCATAATTTTGTAATCACTTCATGTCTATTAACTATTTATCTCACCATGTTACATTGTCAATTTAATAATGAGATCCATTTTATGAGTGGAAAAGTGATTTACTACTTGATTGATTTTATTATTTGAACTATCAAAACCCTTCTTCAGAATAAGAAGCGATTCAGAAACTGTTCTGCTGATTCCAATTGCTTGGTTGAGATCTTCATTAAATTAGAAACAAAAATAAATTACTTAAACAAAAATCATCAATATCGTAATGATAAAATAAAAGGATCGCCGAGGAACAAAACCTAAGACGTGAAGAGATCGAAGGATATTCTGCCGAGCCACCTGCCCTTGCTGGTCAAGATGAAAGTGTCCGTCGACGTTACCTATCCAAGATTGGAACCCAGGTAAATTAAGACTGTAATAAATAAGATAAATGACAAATATATTCATAAAATTTATATCTCCTAGGATCCAAGCAATTTGGAGGAAGCTCGAGCCATCCGTGAGCAAATCTCTGGTCCATCTAATTAAAATTTGATCATAAATAATTAAAGACTGCTAAATCAGAATGAAAACAACTAACGGATCAATTGGCTAAATTATTTTTGATTACAACCATCCAGATTAAAAATCATTTCAACCGCTGGAATGGTTGTTACATTGTATTTAAAAATCCTGTTTTAATGTATATTTTATTTTCGTCATTTCCAGTGGATCAAAAGATCGTTTCACACATTTCTTAAACAATGAGACAATCATGTTTAAACAAGAAGCTCAAATCGGTCAATTATTTTCATCTACGATGAATCAAGAAATTATTGAATATTTTTTGCAAGCCCAACACATTAAAATCAATGTTTGGAAAAGTTGATGGTCAATTATTTAACTGAAATGCTAACTTTAAAAGCAAGAAATGATGCGACACTTTACATAAATTTTTCATTAATTAAAATCAAATCAATTTTATTAAAAGGTTGATCACGCATAATATGTAATCGAAAACAAAGAAACAAAATTATTTCATATTTTATAACAATTAAATAAATATAGCAAAGTTAAAATGAAGAACATTATATTCATTGTAATGCAATGAAAAGGCATTCGATTGATATGTAATTAACAGTTGATTAGAATGATATGATTTAATTTACAAAGTCTACCTTAGGCGTAGCTATTGTCAAATGTCTATCGAAACATTTCAACAGCAAAGATCAAAATAGTAATGTTAACCATTGTTGTAAATTTTTAGGATAAAATTATCATATTACATAGAGCTATACATAAAAGTATGATTAAAGATTGGCAAAGATTGACTAAAGATAAACGGAATCAACTCACGCACACTTTTTTTCTTATTATTTCACATACATTATAATCATTGTATTATTTAGGTAAATTGTAATCAAATTTGATTGACAATTTACGTTTTTTGAGCTTTTTGTTTCATTTTACATTAAAGTTAATTTCATTAACGTTTAGCAAAAAAAGAACAGAAAATTCATCTGAAAAAGTCTGACATTCATATTGATTGAAAATATTGTTTTAGATGTAATTACCGGTTAAGTACAAGCATAATTATAGCTCTCAATGCTATTATCTTTACTCATTGATTCTGATCGAATGAAATGCAAAGAATGAGTAAATGTAAGAGCATTCAGGAGGGTGATGTTAACATGATTTATAGGAAAAAATTCATCATCCTGAGAAAGTGGCTTTTTCAATGTCAGATTTCTTATGCTGATTCAGTTTGGTTGTTATATTTGATTTCAGCTATGCTTGTATTAGGATGGACCGTTGGAAGAATGAAGAAGATTTTATTTCGGGTCAAAATCTTGGCTCTAATGGAGACTCTATTAATAAACTAAAATTAAATTTAAACAATTGAAAAAGTGCATTTGTTTAAGATTCAAGCAACTTAATTTGAATACAATTGTCGATATGAATTAAAGGCAGTAGCTAACTCCAGTTATAACTAATTATCAACGGCAGTGATAATGAAAATTGATATGTTGGTCAGTTTAAATCGGCTGTAAACACATGATTGTCGGTAAAACTTATTGTGCACATTTGAACACCATTGATATGAAAAATAAGATAAGTTATACGTCCATAAAGTGGTTTTGATATCTAAACTAAATAACAGATAGAACAGATAGAGCTAAACATGAGTTTCTGTGACAATTGTAGTTGAGTTAAGCTGATCATTAAAAGAATATAAATTAAACTGAATTAGAAAATTAAATTGGCTGTTTAAAAATGGAAACAGAAATAACCTTAAAATAATATAATCGACTAGTTTTGGTTTGGATAGGGAGACTATTCAAATTAATTCAAAAATGTGCATTAAACATAAATAAATTAAGATTATAAGTCGCCTTAAGATTTTGACCCTAAAAGAGTAAAAACGAAACCCTTGTTCTTCTTGATTCACCAGACGGTGTTGGTTTGGCCCTTCTAGAGGCCATCCCTAATTGTCAAATGTTCGGGTCGGAAGACGCCGTTCCCCCTTTGGATCCCATTCCAGATGATAAGCCTTCATAACCTCCATCATCCTCTCCATAGCGTCCTGAAGGAGATAGAGTTCTGGATCTTGTCCTGGCAGCACCCATGTCAAGATTATACTGTACAAAAAATATCAAAATAAAATAAATAGGATGAGTAAATGTATGTGTAAGGAATGGTGAAATTGTCATCAAAGAAAAAACTATTCATTTTCATACTCATTTTTTATATTCATCAAAGTAAGAAATGAAAATGCGATAAATTATTATTTAGTGTATGCTTCATGACATTTGTCAACATTTACTTTGCTCAAGTTTTGTCAACACACGAAATATTATAAAAAATAGTTATTAAGTTTTAAAAATATGGATTTCTTTGCATAAGTTGACAACGAAAAACAAAACCCATATAAAAGTTTTGAAGGTAAATGATCAGTTGTTGTTTCACAATTGTTGGACCCTTGACCTAGTTTGATGATGTTAAGGTAAAAATCATTTTTATCCTTTATTTATACATTTGATTAGTTCATGGATGGATCAGTATTGATATTAAATCCATTGATGGTAAAAAGGAAAAGGTTTTGCGTTTCAAGATAAAATCATCCTCTCCTATTGGCGTGTGGATAGTGATGAGCATCTTAGTTCTGATGAAAGAGATAGTCAAGGATAATATCAATTATATTGAATGTCAATGTTTCTGACAATTCACTTGGACATTGCAACTTTATTCATGCTAAAAGCTTAACTACCTTTAAATTATCCATAATCGAATCAAATGACATTTGATGAAAAAGTTGAAGGTATAAATGACAAAGAAAATGATTATCTGAAATTCATTTTTGTTCAGAAAAAAACCAATGACCGGCTGATTGGATGAATACAAGAAGCAATATTGTAACAAATATTTTTGAGATGCAAGATAGCATTGTAAATGTCAACAATTTACACCTTCATCAAAAGCTCTAGAGTAAACGACTTTTCAAACTTACTTTTGACGCACATCCTAATGCAGAATTAACCGATAAACAAACGTAAATCATTAAGTTCTTGGCTTCTTTAATTACGTTGTCAACTTTTGTAAAGGTCGCTGCTTTTCCAACTGTTGGCTGTTTGACTGTAAATTGCAGTTGCTGGACAAATGTTGGAACTTTATCCAATTGATCGAGTAAATCTGTCTTAGCTAATCCACTTGGTACCTAGATAAACAGACGAACATCATTTATATTAAACTTGAGTTTATTTATAAATGGTAACTACAATAAATAAGCTGGTAAATGTATGTTTACCTGATAAGTAAAATGTCGAACTAATTTATAAAATTTGTTTGCTTCTTCAGCAATAAACTCTGCTTGAGTAAATAAATCTTGAGTTGTCTTTAATTCACCCTCCCCATGAGTAAATTGGTACATAGAAATAGCCATTTGAACCATTGCTTTAGCTCTACGAACAACATCATTATCCTCTGGAGCAGTCCATTTTTCTGGATCAATTTCATTGCCATTAGAAATTACTTTCAACTCTTTCGAGTTTATCAATATTTTATCATCAGACGCAACTTTTGGTTTACCTGCAGTTGCAGCAGTCATTGATCCTAACTCATTGTTAGACTGAGATTGCTGTTGATGAGAATGCGAATGCTGTAACTGCTGCTGCTGCTGCTGTTGTTGTTGTTGTTGCTGCTGCTGCTGATGCTGGTGTTGCTGCTGTAATTGTTGTTGCGACTGTTGCTGTTGTTGTTGCTGTTGAGTTGGATATGACTGGGATGTAATTGCTTTAGGTGATGGAGATGGACGTGGTAATTGATTGTTGCTACTGGATTTCCCCTTATTAGCCATTCCAGAGTCATAATGGTTCATAGATCCAAATCCATTTGCTAGATCTCTAATATCTTTACTGTATTGGTGAACATCACTGTATAAAGAAATCCAAAAGTCGAGAAAAACTTCCAGATTATCTTTAGCAATTCGGCTGTTTGGATGAGCTGATAGGGTTAAACAGGCATTTAAAATTTGAGCACTGAAAATATTGATGTGATTCTCTGTTGCCTTGGAATAGATTAACAATGTTTCCGATGTTGATACATTATGAAGTAGACGGCAAACCTCATTCAAATGATCACAAAGTTCAGTGTAAAGCTTGAAATAATCATGAAGTCGTTCAGTATCACCAGATAATGAATGATTTCTAAGTTGGTTGATAAAACTTAATTCGTCAGTTAACTTGAATAATTCATCAGCTTGGTCCAAGGCAGTTCTTCGTAGCTAGAAAAGAGAAGAAAAAAGTAATCAATTGATCATTTAGGAATGAAACAAAGAACAAAATACTTTACAAAATCAGTGATATTAACACTGAACGTAAGTTAGCTAAAACGAATGAATGCATGATCTAAAGATATTATCGAAGAAATGCAAGGTTTAGTATCACTTCTCTTAGTTCAAATGATAATGATAAGTTCAATAAAATTTACGGTTAAATAAGAAAATAACATCAATATTATTTGAATGATGAATGGTTAGTTGTCACGAAGTTTTGTAAAAAAATTCAGTTGACTAACCTGAAATTTAACATCATTAACAGCTTTAATTGTCTGCATAATGGATTCTTCCAAGTCTTCGGTTGGATTTGTTGATCCAGCTTCATCCTTTAGATAGAGAGAAAAAAAGTAAATAAAAAATATATTGAATGAAGAGTTTAATTTATTATTTAATATCACAAACATACAGTGGATGGAACAAGGATTTAATAAAAGTATATTTTTTATATTATAGAAAGAGTCAAAATATTGAGTGTTTGATGATTTTGAATGAAAATTGAAGAAAGATTAAAAGTCAATTTTATTTCACTCCATCACCTTTTGCTTTTTCTTATGCCAAAATATGAATGATATTAAAAAAGATAATAGTACTTACAAGGATAACTCCCAATCTCATCAATTGATTCAGTTCAATTTTAATTTTATCACAGAGAAGCAATATTTTTTCTCGATTATCATGGCGTGTATAAGCTGAATCCGTAAAATGTTGAGTCAACTCGACAAAGTAGTCGAAGGCACATAATAATCTTTCACGATAAACACCCTTACACATGGTAACCCGACTCATTTCAACCAATTCCTGAAATAAAAGAATGAAAATTAATTAGATATCAATGCGAGTTTAATTAAATCCATCTAATTAGTTGAGCAGATTTGAAAAAAGAGAAGTAAAATGTCATCCTAGATTAGAATGGTTATCAAAGGAATCAAATTGAGTTTTGATGAAAATAGTATACACAGTGTGTACGATAAAACTGACAGGCGAAGGAGGTAAAAGTAATTACACGATGATAATCACTTTATGTACATATTGTTTTACCTCAAAACGCTTAATTGCATTAAAAGTTGTTGGAAGAGGATTAATATTGTCAACTGGACCACTTGATGGAGATAATGGTGATGAATGTGATGATGAGTAACGTGAAACATGAAATCTAAAATGGGATCGCCTTGAATGTCCAGAGGAATCAAATGAATTATGGATAAGAGTTGGTAAAACGCCATCTTTAACTATATTATGAATATAATCAATGGCTCTTCGGATCTCGTTGAAAACTGTATCACGATTATCCTTGACACTTTCACAGTCTGGATGTCGAAGACAAGCTTTAGATGAAGTTAAAAGAAGAATTGTTGACCTTTCAAGAAAACGACGAGCTGAACCCATTTCTGCTCTTCTCCTTTCATCTTTCAAGTTCTGTGAAAAGGAAAACAAAAGAGCCATGTATCATTAATGATTGGTAACAAGTAAGACTTGAATGTCAAGAAAAAGTTTTATAAGATTAAAGATTACTTACATTTGAGCGATCAGAAATAAGATGGGCAAGCTCAACCATCTCATATCCAAATTGACTGTAAGCTTTAACAAACTCGGTGAAATTGGCAACATTTTCCAGACGATTCAGACTTATTGAAATCTAGATAACAGAGAAAAATGAAAGAAAGTTGAAAATTTTGCAAAAATAATTGTGGTTTAACATATTCCAAAATGTTTTGTTTAAAGAAACTGACATTGGAATTAAACTAATAGTATCTTCTGGCAATTGATTACAAAGAGACAAGATGGCAGAGAAGCGCGAAAAAACGTCAATCTTCCTAACAGTCGCCATCTTACGTTAATTACTTAGTAGACAAAAACTGAAAGTTATAATCAAAAGATGAAATATGAAATTAACAAAAGGTTTTATTTCTTTGCACAGAAAACATAATCGTTAACAGTCTAAAAATTATTGTTGGTTAATGATATACTTAGGAAAAGCCTAGAAGGTAAAACTCATTTGTAACAATTCATTTATTCTCATTGCTCGACTGAAGCCAAAATTATTTGCAGTAAAGAATTGACTATACCTTAACGAGCCCATTATACACTAACATTGATTTAGTAATTAATAAAGAATCAAAACAAGACAGAAACAAAATGAGAGATCAAATAAAAGACATTAATGATCATTAAAATGGAAGTACACTAAATTAAAAAATCAAGCTCAAAAATGAGTGAAAATTGAGCAAAGCGACTGAGGCAAAAAGGTATAAACAAAAAAGTAAAACAAGCTACACCTGAAAGTCTAACCTTTAATCAAACAGATATATAAATCAAGTGTCAGGTTCGAAGCTGAAATGAAGTTTAATTAAATATCAAGATTACTTACCCTATCTTTGGGTCCTAAAAGTTGATTAACCACGACAGAATCGGCAATAAGTAACACTCTTGTAACAGATGAAAGCAAATTTCTAGCTCCACGAAAAAGGCCTCTTTGATCAGAATAGCAACGTGAATTATAAGCACCAGAATCAGCAGTTAAATCACACAATTGTTCAAATATACAGGCTAATAAAAATGGTGAATAATTGAGAAGCAGAAAAAATAATCAGAATGAAACAGAGAAAAGAAGAGTTAACAATTTGATTAACCAGAAAACTGATACCAGAGTATCTGATAATATCCGAATCTTAAAGATATTAATAATGGATTTATGATAACTAATTTACCTGCAGTTCTTGATTCTTTACAAGCATCAACCATATCAATTTTAATTTCTGGATTATCATCTCCAATCGCTTCACCAACCGCAGCAAATCGTTCAATAGATTGATTAATTGATTGTCCAACTCTCAAAAGAGCTCGATGAGTTTTTTCACTTTTACTTAATTTTTCTCTTCCATCAGTCAACATGATTGTAATTGTAATTTAATAACTCCAATACTGTTCCAGACAACCAGGGAAAAGAAAGGCACAAGTAAAATGTATAAGTAAACAATTTACATGGAAAGATGTAGAAAACAATTTAATTTAATCGTTATAACGATCTTGATGGATTCACTAGCAAATTGAACCAGAAATACAAAAAAAGATGATTGATGATCAAGATAAAATTGTCAAGCTGATTGAGCAAATTGGTGAAAAAAACTACTAAAGCTCAAATAATTCAATTATTTTGAAACTAAAAACCAATCAAAAAACAAAATGATAGCACTTTTCGGTATTAGTCTATACGGACACAAGATGGAGCGTTAATTCAACACACAATCGTCCAATCACAAGACAATCATATGTTAATTTCAATTCTTTATTTCATGATATGATTATTATATAACATTAAATGATATTTCTGTTGTTATTTTGATAACCTACTTCTAAAAACATTAAATTGTTGCTTTAATGGTCAAATTAATTGGCCAGCAATCGGCTCCGGAACCAGCTTTAATGTCTTTCCATTTCTACATCTTTCTATTTCTGTATCTTTGTTATTTTCAGCGTTTTTATTTCAGTGATTGTAATCAAATTTAAAAAGATCATCTCGTTTGGATATTGATTTAACTACGCCTTGTGTATGCTAGACTGTTAACCAACAATTAACCTAATATCCCGGTCTGGATTGTCTACTCAACTATCACACTGACAAGTCTTTACTTTCAATGAGGATGGCTTTATGTAACAGCAAGGATTGCATATTAAAGTTAACGTAACCAGCTACTCAAACTGTCAACAGATTTGTTAACAAATGTTAATTGTTATTAAAAAAGGTTTAAGGTTTCATAGATTATTAACCAAGTTGTCAACTGTCAATAAGAAACTTAATAATAATCAACTGTAATCATCAAAATAACCCGATAAACTTGGATACATTTCAAAAAGATAGACAAAATTGGTAAACAAAAGTATCATTTTTCATAAATATTTCACCAAAATCAGACTCGCTCATTGTTATTAAACCAATCAAAGGTACAATTACAATTGAATAAACCAACTAAAATTACAAATCTGATTGAAATCTTTATTCAAATCCTTAATCCTTGTTAACCATCAAGAGATGACTTTATAACGTTGATGTTATTTTAATGAACAAAACATTGAAATTAACCAACCAAACCCATCACTTTGTGACAAACAATTGATAGTGACAAACCATGATTAACTGGACAGAAGATTAATGAATGAAAATGGGAATAAAAAAACGTTCAATTTGAATAATTGAATAACCAAAAGCCTTTTATGATTTTGTCACCCAATGACAAAAAAATAATGAAAAAAAAGGTTACATTGTTATTATGATAATAAAATACAAAAGCAACAGCAATTTGTCTCAATAGTTGAACAAACCATTTCACTAATCGATAACTCTAATTGTTGTTTAATTCAGATCAATTCACCAAATGTAGTGAACTTGGATTGCTAACCTTTACCCTTTCAGAGTGACTTCAATCAACCATCAAGTAACTACACTGAGGTGACCTAATTTCACTTTTCCCAGCCTCTTGCTCGTCTTCACCTTCATAATAATGTTATATCTTTACCTTTCAATTTTCCCATTTTTCCAGTTCTCAGGTTTAAACGATCGATTGTAAACCTTAAAATGTATTTAACATTAGATTTACATTTTGTGGTGTAAATTAAATTTTAATCAAGTCAATCTAAATATAAGTTGATTGAGGAATCAATCAGTAAATAGAGTTGAAAAAAATGAAATAAAAAGATCTTTTCAAGGGTAAAAATCTTTTCATTTTTTCCCATTTCTTTTCTCAACTCTTTTCTCGTCAATTCAGTCAACTATGAAATATATAAGATGATTGAAATCAGGTGACGCATTTGCCTCGACACTATTAATTAATTGTCAACACTTGATTCATTCATGATTATGTATTAAGGGAGTAAAGTGTTCACAAAGAAGTGTATTTAAAGCAACATTTTATGAACCAGTTTATGCATTAAACCATTAGACTGTGATCAAACAAAATGGATCCATTAAAAAATAATAATCCAGTTATTAGTTTCATTACATTACATTAATCACAAATAATCAATAATGTAAAATGTAAAGTTGAACCAAAGGAAAGGTAAAAAAGATTGCCAAATTTCTGGTTAAAATGGGTTGACTGTTTACTTTCTGGTTTTCTGGTTAATATTTCAACTGGTTTCGCCACTTCTTATGCAAGTTTATTGATTTAATTGTCACAGATTTATCCAAATTCATCATTGAAAGGTTTGAAACATTGAGTCGACCCTGAAATGTTATAAGGTGATAAACATGATGAAAAGAGTCAATTTTTGTTCCCTTTATAAACGTCTCTAAAGAAAAGGTGAATAATGAATGAGCTTTTCAGGTGTCAGCCAACTATCGATTGGAATCTGATTGATCAGCCAATGGATCTTGCAATTTACTGATTAATTTAAATCAACTATAAAATTGAAACATTGGACCCAATTGAATTAGAAAAGGTAAAAGATGAATTATTAAAGCCAAGGTGAATCTAAGACTGGATTGAAGGCAAGTGATGAATTTTGTACGTGAGTTTCATTGTTATAAATAGCATTCTAATTTGATTAACTGAGACAAACTAACTAATTTAATTAACGGTAACAGTTGAATTTGGTAACATTTGATCAATGAGAAGAAGATGAAACGATAAGTTGACAAAAATGGTTACATGAGTGTAACAAGACGTTGGTTAAACATTAAGATGGTGATTACAATAATCACAATTATAATGATTAGGGATTGCAATTTGTTCCGGTTTCTCCGGAAAATGATAAGTAATGTTGAACTGGATAATTTGGATAATGTTGGTAAACATTTTTCAACAACATCAGTAAATATGTATTAATATATGAAATAACATGAACAAAGTGAACCTGAACATGGTGAAGGAAAACAAGTAGCCAAGGACAGATGACAATATTAACGAGAAAAGGAGGTAAAAATTACAAAAGGAAATGGATGATGAGGATGAAAATGGTGCAAAATGGATGAAATTGGATGAACAGAGGAAAGAAATGGATGAACAAGTGATGAAAATGTCGATATTGTCCTCAAGTTTACCTTTCTGTCTGATCTTTTAATAATTGATGTTTGCCAACATCAATGATTAACGTTCACTGTAAAGGAATCATGAAAGGCAATCTTTTTTGTCTCAATTTGTTGACTTTATTTTCAACCTTTTTTTCAGTAAAAATTCATTTTAATGATTAAACTTGAACAAATTTTGTAAATACAAAAATTGTCTTCTAAAGTAAAATTGGTTTTCAAATTTTCTCAATGTAAATGCTCTTACACTTGATTGAGATTTCACAAAATCTCACTGATTTGTCGATCATTGATTAACCTATTGTTCCCTGGATACTTGGAAATGAACAAACTGCCAATCAATTGGTTAAAGTTCACAGAATGGAACGAAATTGACCTAAATTTGGGTGTAAATTTAGTAAAACTGTTTTCTTTTTTCACCCAATTTTCCCTTCGATAACTTGAATAGCTTTCAATATTTTTTATAATTTTCAAGTTATTCTTGCATTTTGCTTAACCATGCAAATGTTTCCTTTTTAATCGATTTTCCTTTGTACTATTTCTAGTCGATAACTCAAGTAATAACTCGATTATACAAGAATATGATAGTTTCAAGTAAACCTCAAATGATACTCAAGATAACGTTTCGCCAATTTCAGATCATTTCTTTCAATTTCATTATCAATGAAAGACAATCAAACGACTCTTCAATTATTCAATGTTACCAAGCTTAAAGATTGACAAAAAGTTGATGGAAAAGGCAAGAAAAAGAAATTTTGATTTACCCAAAAAATGAACCAGAAATACTCTCAGAATCTAATCAACTTTGCAAAATGTAAAATTTTGTAAATCAAACATTGAAAGTCTTTACATTATTGTAATGCCAAAAGTGGGTAAAATTTTGTTAATATTTTGTTTCAGAAGAAACAGAATAAATCAAATAAAACATTTTTTCTTTCCACGAATCTTGCTCAGAATTGCTGAACAAAATTGAAAGATCAGCTAAATTATTAATGTTGACCTAAACCTGAAACTTCAACAAAAGCAATTCCAAAATGCTATAAATGGAAATTGCTCAAACCTGAAATATTGGACTTCAGGATAATCTACAGATTATCTGAGGAAAACATTTCCAAGTTGAGTTACAAAGGTTTTAAACAAAAGATGATTTATATTCAATAATGTCAATGAATAATAATGAAAGACATTTGTTTAAGATTTTACATTGACATTGAAACTGATTTTAATTCATTTGCATTGATTTTGCTGTTGATCAACTCTTGATTTGAAATGACAAAATGTTCACTCAGTAACAATAATTGATTGAAATGTTTCAATTGAATTTAAACGCATCATTTAGACAATTTAATTGCGCATTAAACAGCTTGTTTAGGTCGCTTTATCTTGAATTAAAAGTTAATAAAATGAACTATTAAATCTAATAGCTTCACCAGATCGATAGAATGTTGATTGAAATCGTTTTTTCTCATTTTGTTGAACTGCCTCAAGTGATGATAGGATTGACTCTTTTCCAGAATAGTTGAAACATGTTGAAATGAGATTACCAGCGGTTAAGCTCATTGAATATGCAATTAATATTCAAGACAATTATGATTACTATTATTGGAATCAAGGTTGACAGTCAAGTTGTCAAAACTGAATCTATTAATACTCTGAGCAAAGGTGAATTGAAAGTGATTAGGAATGAAGTTTCAATGTGATCAATTGATTTGCTCGTTTTGGGTTAAAGGTTGTTTAATGATTGAAATTGAATCTGTGATTATATTTTAATTAAAGTACTTAAAGTCATTATAAAATGGTAATTAAGAGCAAGGTTTGATTGTGATTTATTTTGAAAAGGATAAAGATTTTTATTTTGTCTATTTTTTCAACCTTTTAATTGTGATTAAAATGAAATACTCATGAAGGTTTGACACCATATTAGGTTATAAATGGTTGAATGATGAACCAGAGTTGAATCATCTAAAGCTGGTTAACCAGAATATTTTGGGTTTGATTTTGTTGTTGGGCTTCATTGTGAATAAGAACGAGATTAAATTGAATCTTAAATAATCAAATGAAGACTTGAAAATGACAATTCAACTCAAGCATAATCAATGATTATTAATAAAGTTGATTGGTGAAACTGTAAATGAGTGAAATCATCAACACATTTGATTCCAGTTTCAACAGTCAGTTTTGGGTTTTCATTTTGCATTCAATATTGGCTTACAATACGTTCAAATTGGATAATTCAATATAAATAGGATTTGATTAAGGATAAGAATAAGGAAATTTGGCAATAAAAAGACCAAAACACCAACAAACATGAAGAGAACAAGAATTTAGCCATTTCTTCAGAATTTTCAGACCAAACATTGAACTTGAAAATGGCTGTTCAACTCAAACGGACATTGAAAACTTATTTGGAGATCAATTTTCATAGAATTGAGATTTTGATCCTTTATAAAATTGAAATCGACTTGTTAATCAGTGGATTTAAATGGATTAAATTTATTTTGAGAACTAATTTGTTGCCTTATTCAATCATTTGATGTAAACTTTAGTCAAATTTGGCTTTAGATTGTAAATTGAGACAGTTTTATGAAAACAGTTGACTGAGTTTAAAATGTTGACTTTTTTTGCGATTAAATGAAAACAGATTAAATGATTCAGTTTACACAAAAGAAGAGCTCATTAATTATCATGAATATACAATAAAACCATGGTTAGATTTTTAGACTGACTACTTAATTAATCAATCCTGTATAAACTTAGAAATGGCTTGAATGAATTATGAAAATATCAAAGTTGCTCAGTTTACTGCAGCTAACCAAATGCTTTCCCAGTCTCAAAGCAATTTCACATTCATCATAACCCAGCTTGATTAACAATGGTAATTATTTTATTGTTGCAAAATCTCAACAATCAAATGCTTCTTGACTCCAAAATTTACCTTGAATAATCATGCTTTACAATAACATTTTAGTGCAACAATATTATATTATAACTTGACAATGCGATGGTTGAATTATGAAACGAATCGGGTTTTGTAACTGATTCACCAAAGAGCTTGACTTAAGTGACTAATGTTTTGGACTCTCAAAATCTGGTTTCTGTAAAAATAATCCTTCCCTTAATTCATGAAAAATTTATCTCTAATCAGTTTTCATGTACTTTGAAGTGGACCAAAAGCTTGCAATCTTTTTACAACTTTGAAGCCAAATTTCGCCATTTTTGCGATTCTTCAAAATCCTGAGATTGAGTTAGATCACCATTTCCCCTGAAGTAAGAATCAGATTTTGACACTCTTGTCTATTTAGGACCATAACTTTACAAATTTTGATCATTTACTTATTATATTTTTGGCCAACGTGTTCTTGAAAAACACCTTAATTTTAACGTTTAATGTTGTCTGTTAGTTTAATTGTCTCAAGGAAGTGAAACAAAAGAAGTGCAATGAAATAAATATTATTGAGTTGATGTTGGAGTTCTGGAACTGGAGTGGAGCTGATAAGATGAGAGACATCATGCTCAATGGCCCGATATCCATGCACATGCAAGTCTATTCAGATTTTCTCAGCTGCAAATCAGGTAAGAGTATAAAAAAAGATTCATCTGAACAGTTTGGGAATCTAAATATCTTACATCAAGGTGAATCAATGCTTTTGTGGTCGTGGTTGATATCGATGAAAATAATATTAGTATTCTGCATTGGTAATGCTGACATTCAGTCTAGTCCATGAGTATAATTGACTTTTTTGGCAAAATTTTGAGTCAACTATTTATGTTTAATGGGCATATTAATGACTAATCACTACAATTGCACTTATTGTAGTTCATGGTGGTGAAATGTCACCATCTATCAGATTAAGTATCATGACTTTCAAGCAGAAATCCTTAGATTCTATGTTTATTATCAATGTTTAATATTTAGTTGATCCTTTTTTTAAAGACTTAATCCATAACCTGGTTGGGAAATTTTGGTACCAATTGTGTTTTGAGTTGAATTGAGTTTGTCTAATGACAATTAATACTTGAATCAATGATTTATTAATGAATGCAAATCTTTAAATAGAAAGAGATTTGGCAATAATGGAAGAGTTGATAATGGAATTGACTTTGAAAATAAAGATTTTTTCATGTTTTGTAAAATATTATTCCTGAAATAGTATTTCTATACTTTATAACATTCATTATTAACCGTGATATTTTTACAGATTTTAATTGTTCGAAGAAAGACTAACAAATTTATAATTCATAATTTAAATCACTCAAAAAGCAAATTGTGAATGAGTTGAAACCATCAAGATCATAACCATAAACCTTTAGGATAGCAAAAACACATTTCAATAACATTGCTCTTACCTTTCAGCTTTTACCGATGGAAGCTCAGGCTGAATGTCCAGTTAATGGGAAATCAATGGACAAGATATTTGATATGTTTAATAGTGACAATTGGCGGTAGAAATTAAGATTTGGTCAAAATCCTTATGAGCAAAATTGGAAGCAGAGTATTGCTAGTCAATAGATAGGCGGCTATTCAAGTCAACTTTAGTCTAATATGATGTTTTACGTTTTCGCCCAATGATTAGACCGTCAGAGGTGGTGAAATTAATTGTTGATCGTGATGGTTAAATGGTCAAGAGGAATTAAAGACAGAAAAAACACACACAGAGTTAACCATTACGAAGATGGAGGATAAACAGGTAAAGCGAGTGGGATTGAACCTACAATGGTGCAAAGGCAAATCAAATTCAACAGCCACTCATTTATTGAATATTTACAATCAATAGGAGATAAATAATTTAAGAGGTTCACAATTTGATGATTGGTAAGATGGCAATAAAGTGGGAAAAGGTTTAGTCACAATTTTCAGGTGAATTAAAAGCTACAGTGATAGGGTTCATCTGATGCAACACACAGTTAACTTGGAGACATTTTGGTTATAACGGATTGTACAGGTTACTGATTAATATTTTCCCACTTAGGTATATCACAATTAACAGGTAGGTTTTTGAACCATACAATGTTTAAATAATGAGTAAACAAGCGTTATAAACAAACTGTTGTTGATAATGAATCTCAATGGTGTTTCATGCTTGACTCTGGAAAGGAAAGAGTTGTTAGCAAAAAATAAAATGTTACATTCATTGAATCGACTCAGATCTTTATCGAGACTCCCTTTGACTTACCTTTATTTTACACCGCTTCTCAGTCAATAATATGTTTACATGAATAAACCAAAGATGGCTGGCTCAGATTGATCACTGAATAAAAGCGGAAACAATTTGAAACGAAAAATAATCAATTTTCAAATTAACCTCACTTTTCAAATCATCTCGAAAAATAAACCTTCTTGTTATTTGCACGTAAATTTAGTGAGAATAGACTTTGTGTTTACAATTGATTAAACTCAAACGTTTTAGTGTTCTGATTAATTTACTTGATTCTGAATCAACTTTAAATTTTATTTATGTTAATTCTTGTTTATTATCTTATTACATTTTTAATTTAATTACAATTTCTTGGTAAACTCATCTATTGATAAATTTTACAATCCAACAGACGGAGCTGAAATCAGGATACAATCTACTACAAGGGTTGCTACTCAGGTGTCACTACTGTTTATGAAACAGCAGATTATTTTTGTGTGTGTTTCAATAATTCCGTTTTATTTAGGTTTTGATTTATTGTTGTTAATAATTATTTAGTCCCAATGAATAATTCTAGTAGTAAACAGAAATCCTCTAAATCATCTAAAGAGGATTCTGGTAGTAAAAAACGAAAAGGTGAACATCACTCTGAGAAAAGTAAGAGCAAAAAATCTATTGCTGCAACACCAGAAAAACTGAAACCTCAACCACCACCTCCACCTCAAATTCAACCCTGTTATACTTCTCCGTCATCATCAACAATCTCTTCAGCTTATAACAATACTGTTGTCAACAATCAATTTAAACCTAAATCTGGACTCGCTCTTTACGCGTCTAAAGCCAAGACTCGGTCTAAAGTGTATTCGGGTACAGTTCGTAATGCAACATATGACAATGTGCCCAAGCTGGAAAAGTTATGCCTCCAGGTTTTAATGGACAATTATACAAATATTACTTATCTTGGTGATGCTCCTTATTGGTTAATTAAACCAGTCCTTGAAAAGTGTACATCTAATCAATTATTTATTTTGGAAGATTACAATCCAAGGTTAACTGAAGATGATGATGAACTTTGGAAATGGCATTGTGAGAAAGAATTTCGAGATTATAAAAGACAAGAGGATGAAACCTGGAGAGATTTATTTATACGCGCTGAACAAGAACGAAAACGTAAATTGGAACGCATTACTCGCAGTATTGACATGAAGGAGAAGTCAAGAGGACCAGTTCGAAAGACCCAGTTAGCTTTTACAGACACAGTTCCTAAGCCTCCTCGTAACATTAAAAAGATACAAGACAAAAAGGCAGCCGGCTTTGTCAAAGTCACCGCCTCATCAAGTATGTCCAGCTCATCAAGCTCCCCATCTAGTTCTAATGCTGCGGCCGCTGCTGGAAAAAAGACCAAAGGTTTACTCATGAAGAATGCTCTTAAAATGATGCAAACCATACGAAGACAATATTAGGACTATTTTTTAAATGAAAAGATTTGTAAGTTCATTGTTAATGGTAGTAAAGATGTTCTTATATCATTGCATAAACCTTTTATGCCATCATTCAACAAATCATGTCCATATTGTAAACTCTGATTAGCTCCATCTATTAGAATAATTAAGACGAGCAATTTATTGTGATAATAAGAAAGGGTGAGTAATTTAAATAAAAATTGCGATGAAAATTATTTAAAAGTTCAATTGCAAAAGTGAACAAAGAAGACCTAAAATGGCTCTTAGATACTGAACAAAAAAGAGTGTAAACAAAAAGTCTATTCCCACTACTTTTAGGTACAAATAACATATTGGGTTTATTTTGCCAGCTTAAAAATTAGAAAACAAAAATTTTATTTCTTCTCCTACGATTTTTATCCCAATAATCTGGTAATTGTTTCACTGCTGCTTCAACCTTATCCGGCTCTCTGATGATGGATTAGGTAAACATATTATTGACTGAGAAGCGGTTAAAAAGGTAAGGGAGCCATGATGAAGAGTCTGAGTCGATTCCGCTGAATTCAGGATTTTACCCAACAGTAACTCATTTCACTGCCAGTGTTGAATAAGCATGGTTGAGAGTTACCAACAACAGTTGTTTATTTCGTTTGTTTTTCGCCCAATTACATTCAACCTTAACAATTTATCCGTTAATTATGTTTCCCATTCAAGATGACAATCTTCAAATAAACCAGTTAAAACCACGAAGTAACGTATTAACCAGATTAACTCGACTTCCATAGCTTTTTAGGTAATTCAACTAAACATTGTAAACTTTTTTCCTTCAACATCAGTACCAAACCATTTATCGCCATCAGAGATCAACAAATTGTGAATCCATTAATGATTTGAAATTTAAATTATCGTTAATATACATTAAATTGCCTAACTTCCAGTTTAAGCCAATCTTACATTGTCTTCAGTGTTTTTCCCGTCATTTTTGGTATGATTAATTTTATGTGTGTGTGTGTTTCAATTGTGTTATACATTTTAATCAGCCAACCATTAATCATGATTGACCAGTCAACAATTAACGCTATTGCTGGTTGAAATCACCAGTCAAAATAAATCACGCCAAGGCTCAAGTTGAAAGGTAAGGCTTCCAAGTTTACTTCAAATGGTTAAATTGTAATCGTTTAAAATGATCAATGTTTGACCTAATAGCTCTTGGGTCAGATTTAGGTTCAAAACCGGTTGACAAAAGGGTCCACAGTTTTACCAGTTTTAATGAGAAATTATTTCAACCCAATTGTAATAGAAACCATTTGAAGTAAAGCCTTTCCTAGCAAAGCCTTGACATATCTCTTGACTAACTGTTAACTAGGAATCAAGGATCACCATTAAGTTTCCATAATCGGCACTAATTTGAATCATCAATTTACTAAATCAACCTCAACTAATTGTTGCACCGATTCAACAACCAACTTGAGCTTCCACAAAAATACAAAGGTAAGAGCTGCTCATTTTCAACCCAAACCAAATGACTCTCAGCTTTAAGTTAATGGTTGATGATAATTTACATGGAATCTAAAATTTAATTACAAAAGTTGATTGAACATTAAAAAATTAAATGATTATTGAATGTCAAGAATCAAATTTTCCCATTCCTTAATAGGGAATAATGAAACCTAAACATTGAGCAGAAAAGCAATTGCTTAAACATTATTGATATTTTGATATCAATAACAATTGTTTTTGAAAATGGTTTGGATACGATTAGATATAAATGTATTCATCAATGAGTTTTATTGATACGTTATTGAATAATGAAGGAACTAACAATTATTGAATCAAAGGGCAATTTATTGCCAACTCAGCTGATCAACTCGATAACATCAACATTACACCTTTAAGTTTTCATCAGCAACTTCAACATTAATTGATCATTAACTTGTACTTCTAAACATCAACCTTTAAGTCTCATTAATCTACAGCCGAGATAAAGTCTAATGAATAACTAAAAATTAGCAACAAAGTCTAGACTCTGAAATTAACTAACATAAAAAATAATGAATGTTCAAGGGTGAGACCAAAAGAGATATTATCTGTTGCTATTTCAAGCTCATAATGGTTCACAAGCATAATAAAGTAATTCCGATGTGAATTTAATTTTCGAATGGTTTCTAATGGAAATTTCAGGTGATGATGTAGCCATAGTCATGATGTTTGGTGGTTAAAATGGTAAAATCTGTTTGCAAGGCTGGAAAGAAGAAGAAATGGCGATAAAAATCAATTTAATTTTACCCATTTACAGATTTATCAACATGTTGAACTCATTGAAAGTATAAACATGTTAGAGATCAAATTACAAGTCGAAGAGATTAATAAATTTCATTTGATGAAAAATTGAGCTTTAATTTGGAAAACATTTCAACATTTGAGATCCAGTAATCACAAAACCCAAATATTGAAGATTTGAGTGTTGTAAAAACGCAAAACGCGTTGTCCCATGAAACAGTCGATTTATATTCCATTGTTGCACTGATACTTCCACCATTGCCTCTTCGTGTTCCAGTTACTGTAGTTGTATTCAGCTTACATCAGGTTCTAACTTTATTAAACAGCACGATTCTCTTAAATGGAGGCCTTACCAACTTGACATTTTCAACTTGGGCATCAAACATCGCCTTTATAACTAAATGACTTGATTGCTGGGCCTATCAGTCTAAAGTAATTTGTTGACAGCTAATTATTAATAGAATTTAAAAATGTTTATACTTTTGAATAGCTTCGGACACGAAGTAAACTCTCGAATTGATGCCTCGAATCTATTCCATAGCTTGTTCAGCGTTTCAGTCAAGTGGAGCATAAACTTCACATGGTTGGCCACAATTTGGATTCACAACTAGATTTAGGTTGTCAGAAAGAAAACTTTCATTACAGTCTTTGGTTCGGTTTCTTGGTTGTCGCCTGTATTCACAATTAATAGCATTTTTTGTTTTCTTAAGAAGACTTAATTCACACGGAAACCCAAAAAGCATTTACATTGTACTTTGGATGAATCAAGTTAATTCATCAAGAAATTATGCTTTTAAATTTCAACAAAATTGTCTCCAAATGCAATCCCAAATCAGCAAAACTTATGTCAAAGCTCAATCATTGAAATATATTTCATTATTATATTTTAATATTTATAAGATTTAGAAGCAGCTTATTGCATTTACTTTGCTAAATTAATCTTTCCACTAAAAGCTGCTTGGCGAAATCAAGTTACATGAAATTAATTGAATAAAATTTTCATTTAAATTGTACAAAAAGATCGTTAAACTTGTTTGATTGCAAATGAATGTGATTCAAATAAATGATACAATCTTGCAAATTACTCGAGATTTGTGTTCAATAGAAATACGTAGGCGACTGCTGTGATCGTAACCAGAACGAGTCTTGAATAAAATTAACCCTCAAAATAGACATTCACTCTTCAATACCAATTGAATAGTTTAACCTTATTTACATTGAAACATTTGTTGAAATAATTTGAAAATATCAATATCCAACAAAAACATTGACACATCTTCAGTTTTCCAGTTAATATTCAACTGATTAAACCATAAAACATATTTATATTTTCCGGCAATTTTGCCAATCGATCATGAAAAGAAGCCTCATTTTGGTTGAAACAGGCAACTCGGAATAATATTTATCAATATTTTTACCAATTGTATTGCTCTTATTGAAACACCTCAAGGCAAATCCCACTTGATACACTTTCGCTACAATAATATCATTTGCATTCTCATCATTCAATATTGACTATAATACTTACAATATTCAATGAAAAACAGAATGAAAAAAAACTGAATAATAATAAAGACTGAATTTATTGAAAAACTAAGCCCAAGAACAAGTAAAGATAATTTACATGGAAAATGGAAATGAAAGTTGAGAATTCATTGTTTATCAATTATTCAATTATTTTCCTCTTGAAAGCACACTCGATGCAAAATTGAATAAGTTAATTTAAACAGATTAAACTCTTGTCTTATCGATATTCAAATGACTGGGAGTAAATTTTTATTCCAAATTTCAATGCAATTCTCATCAACAAGATTCTCTTCAATATTTACTTTACTCATCAGCATTTGTTTTTCAAGGAAAAAGGTTACCATAAACATGCTCATGATGCAGGTAAAAAAGTTGAATTGCTTGAGGCTGAAGGTGAAGTTGCAAGTTTACAGGAAATTGCACTTAAGATTAAAACGATTCCCTGTAAACAAATTATATGATAACTTATTCAATTCACTGGTGAACATGATGAAGGTTCATCTTGATTTACATCTTTATATTTCTCTTTCTCTCTCAATCATTTAATTTACTAATCAATTGTTTACTCAACTTGTAAATTGATTCACTGAAAATCATGTTGATCTTTATCTGATCTTTTCTCACTGGATTCTTGTTTATTTATGGATATTTTTACTTGGCCCAAAATGAGTATTCATTTTTACTCCATTTAATCTGATTGAAATGAAATATGATGATAAATTGGTAATCATTAATTCCATTGCATTATATTGATTGGATTGTTGTTCGTGTTCCTTTGGATCAATCTTTGGCCATTTTTACTCTTTAACCATTGAGAAGGGACTTTTGCCTCACGAAACTTGTCCGGTGTTTCACTTTAATTAAAGGATAATTAGCTTTAATTAAAAAGTAAAGATTAATCAATAAATTGATTTGGTTGATTAACCATGAAATTAAGTGTCCAACTTGATTCACTTTGCTTCACTTTAAATGTAAAGATGAAAATCTTTTTATAGTTGGAAACAATTTACCTTTTACTTTCATACAATTGTAACACCAATTGATGGTAAACAATTAAATTAACCAATCAGTTTAATTAATGTTTTACGTTCAACTTGAATACGTTTGATGGAAATCGCGAGTTGAATGAATCGCAAGCAAAAAATGATGAAAAAACGTTTTGTTTTTACTCGAATCAAATGAACGTTTAAATTGTAAAGTTGTCTTCTTTTGCCAGGTTTAATGATTTACTAATTTGATGTGTCAACTTGGTTGGCTTGAGGAATCGACATTTTGCATTATTATTGATTAAGATGAGTTGTATTGGTATTGATGATGGAAATGGTTTACTTTGATGATTAAAGTTAATTTCGGTTGGATAAACATTTTCTGTTTAACTAATTCAGTTGTTTTGACACAAGTTTTCAAAAGCTTTCCAAAACTCTCACCAAATTGACTGAAATCGGGTTACAATCATTATCGTGATTCAAGAAATCAAGTTAAAGGTCAAACAAGCAATTCTTAACAATGCGGTTACTTTATTGGATCAGGCTAGAAATCACAATCAGTTTGAGTTCCAATTAGTGTCCAATAAGTAAGAAAAACTCAGAGGCAAAGTTTAGTCAACTAAACTGTAGTAGCTTGACAAAATTGTAGTTTCATCAGTTTATTTTGCATTATTATTCCCAGCATCAGAAATCGATAAGACAATAGTAAACCCTCTTCTGATCATACATTTTCATACTTTTATTTCAAATGCTATCAATGGTTCCAAACAAGAATAGCCAAACTTGTAATGACTTTACAAAACTCAAACTATTAAACTGTAAACATTTAACTTTAAACTATTGATTGATTTAACCTAATAACGACATGTTAACCAAATAACAAATGTTTTTACATTCAATTTCATAAACAAATTAGTCTAGAAACTAATAAGTGACAGCTTATAATGAGATTGATAATCGAAATGAAACTCAACACAACCAGAATAAATACGAGAATTGGTCATTAGAATTGTAAAGAATCATAAAACAAGGTAAAGGAGCTTTCTGCAAACAAGAGCATTCAAAAGCGATTCTAAGCGATCGAGGAACATATTTTATCAATCGTTGATATAACAACTCAACATTTGCTAAGTTTATGTCGTCCAAGTTT